GTACAAGATACTAGGATTATGAATCAACCTTTTTTCTTTTGCCCACGAGCCTGGTCATTGGATTAATCATCAGACCGCTAGTCATTCATCTGCGTTGGGTCAGATTTCCGGGGCCCGGATCCAAGGATGAGAAGCAGGATACGTGAGAACGCGTCTAGAAGAGGATTCCATATCAAACGAGTCATTTAAGTGTCTCCATCAGCGTATCTGTCATCGCGTTTGCCTTATTGCCCCGCTTCATCGGCTATTTTCATTCGTCCCGGCCTACCAAAGGTGGGTGATGACTGGCAACGCCTATCACGCAAAGCGGGAGAGCGAATGTGATAGAAGTTGCATGAGAAATGTAGAGAGTTTCAAGGCTGCATATGTTGGGTCATTCCGTACAGTTGGATTGGATCTCCGCGGACAGGAAGAAAAGTGTCAAGTACCTGAACCCAGAGCTTTCTCTGGACAGTCAACAGTGGGCATCCCGTCAGTACCGATTTTCCAGTAGAGCCAGCTACCCCGCATTTGGGAATGCATCGACCAGTGATGCAATCATCCTCTGGCCGGCCACTGTATGGCTGCCTGCTTCTCATGAGATACCGATACGACCTGCAATCTCGTCAGCTTATGGGTAGAGGTAGGTGGAAACAAAATCCATGAATTCATATGTGAGTGCAGGTACTCGACTTATTTCCCGAGTGTACGCATTAGTTGATCGCCGATGAGAATGTGATTGTAGTTGAATCTTTGTACAGGTCGTATAATTTCTGTGCTGATGTCATGTCCTTCATCATTCGCTCTTTCTTTTTTAGTTTCGGTATTTATTTTTGTCTCGCCTCTTTCTGGTTTTTAGTCCGCTGGAAGTCAGCGAGTCCAGTATATCATAGCACTGGGCCTAAAAGTATTACGTAGATAGCATACCTTTCCTATTGAGTCATTGGTGTTAACTAAAAGAGAAGATAAAGAGTTTTATCTCTTAGATGTAAGGGGCATTCAGCTCTTGGCAGACATCTACCTCTAGGACATCCATGTGTATACATAAACATTCCTGATTTCTATGACGATGTAGAGATGTCGATGCCATTAATGGAGGATGTAAACTCCTTGAAGATGAAGTCATCTGCAAAGCACATCTTAGAAAGCCTCTATGACGATAGATCAGGACATATGAATGACCTTAATGCTATTTAGACCATCAAAGCTGCCATGTATTGGAGCCGGCAATGTCTGCGTAGATTAGCTTTGTACAAAGAGATTATTTGATGACAAGGATGGATTCACCGACATATGCCAGAAGGACATAGACTACAATATGCTCTTTCTCCGGCGCGTGAGCACAGTGAGACAGGTAAACACTTCAAAACTCTGTCAATTCAGACCTTTATCCTAATTTGTGTCTGAGGTGTGTGGAAGGTTTTTACTTTACCTTCTGCAGAAACAAAGTGAAGTACCTTCTAGGCTGTCACTTGTCTACTTAGTAGTTTGTCTATCTTTATACAAGGTAGCAATACTCACGCCCGAATACTAGAACAACCATTCTGCGATATCGATATCGATGCCATGGGCACAGTATCAGTCAGTATTCTATGTACCGAAGAAAGGATGACAACAATGCTGATGTGGTTCAGACTAAACTCTACTCGTTTCTCAGAAACATTCAAACCCACGCTCTTCTATTTAGACGTGTGGCTTAGAATTGTAAACCCAAAAAAAACTTGAATTGAAGTTGACTAGCTGGAGCCGTATTGATCGTCAACGCCTCCTGCCTCGAATCTACCCACTATATGCAGACTTAAAACGGAAACGCCACCACTAGCATGACTCTGAGCCATAACCGTGCTGAATATGGCGGTTGCCACGCTAGCGAATTAATCGGACACAGGTCTGCTGAAGTAAATGCCGTGACCGATCACTGCTATTTACTTAAGCCTCCCTTAGACTGCTCAGTGGTATCGTGAACAAGATGAAGGACCCTTTCGTAGCTGTCTCGTGCCCCTCTACGCAGGTGGCTTGCTTCGCCTCACTGGCATGTCCCTTTACCCCGTCGACAATCAGGTTGCTTTTTCGATGTGTTAGCGTGAAATCACATGCAAACCTAAATCTCCCTTTTGATAAGAGCTTCCTGAAGCAGATTGGTACTGGTGAGTAGAGTGACACTCTTGAAATCGTCCCCGCACTTTGTACTTCACCTGAGATTTCACTGCCGAGTCTAGAAGATATTGATACAGCAAGAGAGCGACCGGCGGCGGAAGTCCTCATGTAGTATATTTGATTAAGAATGATAACTCGTTGAAATGGAAGACCGAGCATATCTATAAAATATATCGTGTAGAACGATATGAGAGTGACATTTCTGGCGGTGGCTGAATGATACGTATTATTCCATCCGCCTAAAGCACGCAGGGACCCTTACAAATCCGTTTACAGATAGCTTTCTGAGCAACCTGATTGTGTGAAGGAGTCAGTACCATGTCGACTAGAAGTATCCGCGAAACAAGATGAGTGTAGTACGAATATCGGTAATGAACAACCATTCTAACTCAGTTGAGCCACATTTTCTCACTTGTATGGCTAGCAAAATATCCTGTAAAAAGGTACCTTTAATTTCGACGAGTGGCTTTATCTGCCAGCCAGCTAGGCTGATTGGTTCGATGGGGACATATTATTATACAAACATACATGAGCAGTCGTTCCCGAGTCCTGCGTCACTTTGCATAACCAGATTTCTGAGTCCCATTGGTAGCTCACACGTACCTGGACAGACGATCGGCTGCAACATCCTCTCAATCATCAATCGACTGGCTCTCAGGATAGATTCTAACCAGTCTATTTTTCCGCTCACTTTTCTTTGAGTGTCTCGGTCGAGATCGCTCATAGAGACTAGGCGTGCTGTTAGCGTGATCGGAAAGTCCCCGAGTCCCGGCAGATTTTTGGAAGGTGGCCTTGGGTTGGGGCTGGAAACGCAAGCCACCGTACATCCTCGCCCCCTGATGCTAGTACATGCATATAGGAGGCGTCCGCTCTATGGGAATGTTCTCAGTATGTACTCCGTATTCTTGGCAGCATGAAAGGTTACCAGACGCGGATAGAAACGGGTAATACCAAAACGAATGAGAGACAAAATCGTTCTCCTATGGAGAAAGGTGTCACCTAGTTGTAACTTGTGTGCTGATGATTTGTTGCCTTGGTCGGTCTGTCGAGTCCAAATGCTAACCAGCCCTGTCAGAGAGGGAGCGCCACCTAGGAGCTGATACGCTCATCTCGTTGCTGATGGCCCCCCAAGTGCATTACCGCAACAGTGAATATGTCCGCCGGTTTCATATTGGGATAAATGCGACCGAATTAAAAGAGATAGTCTCCTGAAAGGAAGGCAGATAAACGAAATTGACACCCTAGAAAAGCGAGGATTCTGGATTCTGGACTCTCTGAATTCTAGATTTATGCCTGAACTATATGCTATGTTGGATGCGAAAGCTGCCTAATCTTATATACATATCTATATTATGGACTTGCTTTAGAATAACCCTCTGAGCCGTTTCACGATCACGCAGGGTCCACGCCGTGATTAGCATGAATAATTATTGTAATTGTCTTGGATGCCCAACTCTTGCTGACAGTCTAATGCGGAGGGGCATTTCTTCTTAGCGCGTATCTTTCACTAGCATCAGCTAGAATCTCGCCGCTAATTAGTAAACCAAAAAAGCTGATAGTTAATAATAGTGTAAAAGGTCGATCATTATACCCCACAGAGTCTATATACAACGGATATCATTCATTTGTACCTGATGATTTTGAAATACGAGTGAAACGATGAGATACACTGGACAGTCATTACTCCGTACCTATCCGCATCAACAGAATACCTCGTACCTGGTCTACGGCGCCTCTTTCCTAGCCTTTCATCCGATCTGGTGTTGTCTCCGAGGAAAGTCGGTCATTCAAGATGCACCATGACGTCTTAGGGGCGACGGTTTCGCGGGCGTAACTCTCTTTACGGAGTTAACCAAACCTCACACTCGCCATCTAGCATAACTTTCTTCTCATGCGACGCCACCACGTCTGCACTGCCGGGTCGGCACTTGGGTGGCATGCACGTCGCAGTTTCATATGGATGCGGAAAGAGTGTGGGGTGGAGGAATATAGTAGGTGCCTGGGGTAATACGTACTCAAGCGAGGCGGAATTGTGGAAGTAGTCGTAGCCAGTCAACATTCTATAGAAAACCAGCGGCCATTGAACCACGTCGCTTTCTTAGTAGTTCCCTGTTTTGTCTCTTGTCCAGGGAACAAGAACGAAACCAAGACACTACTAGAACTAAAGCAGCCCTATCCTCTATACGAGTTAAGCGAGCCTGAGGAATGTCACCTTGCCAATACACGTAGCCAATACCCTAAGTTGCCAGGCCCTGGTCAATAACGGACAGCCCTATAGATATGGCCAACGAAAGGGCCAATTGGAATAATTCATCCCGCACCCGTGAGCTGCTACCATCCCATCGGTCTTGAATTAAGTCTTGCCCTTGCTGCAAATGGGATTAATGCCTTCTTTTATACCTCTAAAATGAGGTCTAGACTCGATGGCGGTGATCCAGAATGATAGCCTCATGGACACCTTTTTTAGTCACCATCACCCCCCTGGGACGAGGTCATTTGACCTGCTCAAATGAGTTAGACTCTCACAATTGACGGAAGCAAAAGACGGCTCAGCATGGTGGGAATGGAGGTTGCTACGTTCGTGGCGCGGCGACGTGCTATCCTGACCGACGAGGTTCATCATCTTTCATGAACCATATCAATATCATCCCAGAGGTAATCACGCGGCACTTGAGGTCGGGTAGACGATAACCTTCCCCCCTGCGAGCATACAGCATCCCAGGGTTGGAAGGCCATCTCGAATCCATGCAATCGTTTGCTATATTCATGTCTACATCCATGTCGCCTACACCTATACCGGTCCGACTATACAAATCCTAATCCAAATCCAGGGCCCACACAAAGCGCCCTCTTTTGATTTCAACCTACCAACTCGTCAAGCCCCGTTCTCGATCAAATCCACCCCGCAATTGCTTCCCCGGCTTGAGGACCTTGCCCTGCAACACGGTATACCGGATGATATTCTCGCACTCCTCAGGCCGCACGCGCGCCAGCCAGATACCCTGCGCCGCACCCTCGTTGTCCTCACTACCATCCGCCCCATCCCGCTTGTACCACTCCATATCACGCCGCCGGTATACAATCACGTTCGCTGAGTACTTATGACCACCAACGTGGCTGATAAAGTAGATGCCCACACCGCCAGGTCGCGTATCGTTCATGTCGCGATACAGACCCAGCGGGCGAAGATGGCGTTCGAATTCGCGTCGCAAAAGAGGCGCAGACTGGCCGCAGCGGGCATCGCGGGTGCGCTGGGAGCAGAGGAGGATGACAGCGGCGTGTGGACAGGGATGTGAACGGAGCGGGGTCATGACGGATGTGCTGGCCGGGTGTGGTGGCTGCTGTTCATGGTCTTGGTCCTGGGGGCGGGCGGGCTCCTCCTCACTGGGGCCTGTTAGCGACGCACCCAGAGGCGTCGTCGTTGTCAAGGACTTGTTGACAAAGTGCTCGATCAAGTCCGGGACTAGCTGTGGGGTGACCTGTTCCACGATGGTGAAACTGGGGAGGAGAAGCACATCAGTGGGCTGTTTGCCCGTCTCATGCGTGTGGTATTCGTCGGGAACGGGCATGTTTGATGCTGACAGCTTGAGTCTCTAGGAAAAAGAAAGGCGCCATGTGAGTGTTGGACTTCTGGATACCGAAGGAAAAACAGAGAGAGGGGAGAGACAAGGCAATTGTAGTAGATTGGTCTTACCCCGTTGCTTGGCTCAATGCCTCCCTTCTCAATGGCCTCCATGACACTGCCCACCTCATCCGCTACGTCGCGCACCCAATCCGACTTGCCGGTAGCGACCAGCAAATGTGTCGCCCATCCCTTGACTTGTCCGTAGAGTTCATCCTCCTGATCAACGTCGAACTTGGCGGGGTATTTCACTGTACACGTTGCGCAGTCGTGCAAGCATTCATCACCATCGACTGCGGGGTCTGGCTGCTTGAATAGCTTATCTGATTCTGAGATGGATCTGAACCCGTTCTGAGCTAGCGCATTGTCTCCCACGGCATCGGTATCGGTGTCTGTCCTTGAGGAGGCGAGGGAAACGTTGGAGGAGCCAAAGAGCGAAGAGGCGCCCCGGCGGAAGAGCTGCATTGTGGATAGGCAGGAAGGAGACGATTGCTCGGAACCTGCAACCGCGGGACCTGTAGTTGTATGAATGGTAGATAAAAGGGAATCGGGCCTGTTGGCTCAATTTCTGTCGCTATGACGCGTACCTGACCGCACTGGCAAAGATCTTATCAATCATTCTGCATTCTGCCAAAAATCGGAACTGATTCCGCCTGACTAAGCCCCCACTGGGGCCGAAGTCCATACGTTGAGTCTATAACACATGTTATATACTGTCCGACGAGGTGGGGGAACAAAATGGCCATTTCGGTTCATCTCATATGCGGAGTAGTGGAGAAATGTTGGCAAATTCCAGATTTGGTCTGTCTATACGAAACCACGTTTTCGCGCAGACGTGTACGAGGCAGCTGGACCTGGATGCCTGCACAAATACAATGTCATTTTCGAGGTATTTAGAAAGCAGACGTGTGAAGATTGAAATCATACAGATAGTCACTACAATATCAGAAGCAATACCATAACGATAGGTGCTTGTGGTCAAGACGTTCATGGCCTGAGGGGTCACATTCTCATAGCTCTAGAAGATCGAGCCAGGAGGAACTCAAACAAATGATCGGGAAGAGTGAGAGATAGTAGTAATATAGAAAATAGTACCAGATTTAAAAGCAACATCATTTGGAGTTGATGAATCAATGGTCTTAAGATAACTATTAGTCGTCTCAATAAGCATAACTGATGCTTGGCCAAGCTGATATCGAGTCACGTGTCAGGCAAGTATCACATCGGTCGCCAGCATGGAAGTACGATACGGAGAAAATGCAGTTTATTTATTATCTCATGACAATTCTTTCTTTGAGCACGCTCTCGAAATTTTCTCTTGCAGAGTCAGACGGATGTAGATCGACCACTATTCAGGAACCGGAGCATCACATGATCCCCGCTCCCCGGACCCAAAAAAAAAAAATAAGAAAACGACGAGTTTACACTCAACATTGAAAAGGGGGTCAGAGAGTCATGGACGAAAGCAAAGCTCCTCGAGCTCCTCGAGAGCCACAGGAGCTCTACATCCTGGTGACAGGTGCAAACAGGTACGCTACAGCCAGCTAAGTTGATCGCAACTGTCTTGCCCGTGGGGCTCTGTCTTGAAAAAAAGGAGGCCGTCAAACTAATTAATCACTTGTGTTCTCTGCAGCGGTCTTGGATTTTCGATATGCTGTCGCCTCGCCGACGAATTCCTTTCCTCGCACCACTACGATGACACCCTACACATCATCTTTACCACCCGGAGTGCGCGCAAAGCCGAAGATACCCGCCGTCGCCTGGAAGAGCACGTACAAACCTCCTCTACCTCGTCCTCATCTAATTCCGCGCGAGTAAAATTTGTCTCCGAAAGCGTCGACCTAGGCGATCTTCTCTCTACGCGTGCACTCTCCCGCCGACTCTCGCAGACAATCCCCAAGCTCGATGCGATTATCCTGAACGCCGGAATAGGGGGTTGGTCAGGAATCAGCTGGCCCGCAGCCATCTGGGGCGTCTGCACCGATCTCATCTACTCAGTAACATGGCCGTCCTTCAAGCTCTCCCCGGTGGGAGTTCTGACGGGCAGGCAAACAGAGAAGGAGGAGGAGCCAGCCCTCGGAGCTGTGTTTTGCGCCAACGTGTTTGGGCACTACATGCTGGCGCATAACGTGGCGACGCTGCTGAAGAAGGCCCAGTCTCCTAATGGACCTGGTCGCGTCGTCTGGGTATCCAGTATCGAGGGCACCATCAAGCATTTTGACGTCGAGGATATCCAGGGTCTGCAGAGCAAGACCCCGTACGAGTCCTCCAAGGCTCTAACCGACGTCCTGGCCCTGACCTCGAATCTACCCAGTACCGCCCCGTGGGCCGTCGATAGCTTCCTTCGCTCCAACGATAAGACCGAAGAAACGGACAAGGCTGTGGCGGAACATACTCCAACCATGTATCTCTCACACCCAGGAATTTGCGCAACCTCCATCATCCCCCTCCCTCTTCCGCTGATCTGGGCGATGGTAGCTGCCTTCTGGATCGCGCGCATGCTCGGCTCGCCCTGGCACACTCTGTCCACCTACACAGGCGCCTGGGCTCCCGTATTCCTCGCGTTGTCCTCTCAAGGCGCGCTCGATGCCGCGGAGTCTCCGTATCACCAGTCTGGCGGGGGCCGAGTGAAATGGGGATCTTCTGCGAACCGGTTCGGCGTCGGAAGCGTGAGCAGCACCGAGGTGGATGGCTGGGGACACGGCGGTGTTGTTGGTACGGCCATTGTTGAGGCTGATCGGAATCGTCAACGAAAGCGTGGCGCGGTCGATTTGACTAAGGAGGAGAAGGAGAATTTCGAGGAGCTTGGTCGGAAGTGTTGGAAGCAGATGGAGGAGCTGCGGATTAAATGGGACGCTATTCTGGATCGAGCTGAAAAGGGCAAGGCTGTGACTGCGGCTGAGACTGCGGCTGAGACTGAGACTACAACTGCTCAGTGAGAAATTACGTGGACACGTGGAAGAGATCTGGACATTGCCAGGCTCGGCTCACGTACTTTTTCGCTCGAACAAGATCCCTATGATCATTTGTAATCTACTCATAATGACATGTATACAATATTGTAATCCAATGATACCTTACTAGATCAAATATACCGAAAGACTGCTATAGCAATTGGATTTGCATCTTTCTAGATCCCGCGTCCCAATATTTACATCAACAGAACCCGCCCCGCGCCCATGATATCATTAAAACAGGTAGAGCATGATTTTCTTTGTCCGCTATTTTCCAGAAGAGAAGCAGGGACCAGCAACAAACACAATAGAAAAAGCACAAAGGGAGCGGGGATGTAGATAGATAGAAGCAGAATTTGAACAACTGTAACAGTAGTAGATAGATGAAAGGGAGAGAGCTCTGAGGCGAAGAGACTAAAAAAAGATAATTGTCGCAAATAACCGACCGAAATCGTGCATCTCCACCATCTAGGTTTTGGGATGATATCGATTATCGGGGAGACACGAAAAGAAGGGGGTGAAAAAAAAGTCTGCCAACGCACTAGCGGGAGCAGATCACGCAGAAAACGACTCCGGGTCCATGCATCAAGACAGGAAGGAAGGTATTGGAAGGTGAGGAGAGGTGTGTGAGGGACGTGGCGACGTGAAGGATGAGGAAAAGAGATTACATGATAATCGCAGGAACTATGAGAACTGTCAGCTTTCTGGATCAACTTCCCCCGTATAGGAAAGAATATGCTTACCATCAATGTTCTGCTTGATGCTCTTGTGAGGGAGAATGGAGCCACCGTTGACGTATACCTCGTCGGCAATGGTAACATCGTCACCCAGGACAGTGACATTCTCCAGACGAGCCCAACGGCCGACGGAGCTGTTCCATCCGACGATGGTAGACTTGATCCAGGCATGGTCCTTGACCTTGCTGTTCTCCATCACAACACAGCGCTGGAGGCGGACACCGTCGCCAATGACGACGTTGGGCCCAATGACCACGTTGGGACCAATACGGCAATTGTTTCCAATCTTCGCCGAGGGGTCGACCATGACGTTGCCGCCGTGCACGTAATGTTCAGAGTTGGAAGCCAGCTTCTTGGAGTTGCGCTTGGCCAGATGGGTGAGGTACAGGCAGGTACCGGTGAGGAAGTCCTTGGGCTGACCGACATCCATCCAGAAGCCCTCGAGGTCGAAAGAGTGGAGCTGACCGTCCTTGCAGATGGCGGGGAATGTCTCCTGCTCGATGGAGGTGGGGCGCAGCTCGATGCGCTTGAGGACGCTAGGGTTCATGATGTAGATACCGGCGTTGATACGGTTACCAACGAACTCGACGGGCTTCTCGACGAAACGGTCGATGCGGGAGGGGTGGTTAGGCTTGTGAACGACGACACCGTACTTGGAGGGCTCGTCGACCTTGGTGACGACGATAGTACCCTCCTCACCGTGGGCGCGGTGGAACTCGGCGAGCTCCTTGAAGGGGTAGTCGCAAATGACATCTGAGTTCAGAACGAAGAATGGCGAGTCATCCTTGGCCAAAATCTTCTCCGCCAGCTTCAGCGGGCCAGCGGTGCCCAGAGGTTCGGACTCGACGGAGAACTCAATGCGTACACCATATTGCTCCTCGTACTTCTTCAGGGCGGAGACCATGACATCGGGGCGGTAGTTGACAGCCAAGACAATATCGGTGACACCAGCAGCAGCCAAGCTCTCGACCTGGTGCAGGATCATGGGCCGGTTACCGAACTCCACCAGCGGCTTAGGGAGGGTAAGGGTCTAGACAATCAACAATTAGCCATTGTGAAGCCAAGACAAGGAGGAAGCCCATTTCATGAGCAATAGACCTAGCATTGAAGCAATTGGATGGCTCCACTGGAAGATGATAGATCGGCAGCAACTTACCAAAGGACGCAGACGCGTGCCGAAACCTCCGACGAGAATGAGAGCTGCGGCGGTCAGTCAGTACGGGACGGGGTGGAGGGGTGATTCCACGGAGGCATGGAGGAGGAGGGGGTTCCATTCTGGTCACATACCCTTCATTGTGGATGTGTGCGGGGGATAGGATCAGAAACAATTAGCAAGGATAAAAGAAAGGAAGATAGCTTCAAGAGGAGATCACTGATCTCGAGGTGAAAGAGGTTCAGGGAGGAAATGGCATTATTTAGGGAACACCTGGCGGTTGATGGATTTATTTTTATCAGGAGGAAGGGTGGGGCACGTGAGTGGCCCGATGATTGGCGGTGGAGGGGCACGTTTGCGGCGAAGGAAAAAAGGGGGCGGCCCTGGACCAAGTCAACCACGCCCAATTCATCCACTCTCGACGGAGTATACACTCCCTGTTCATGAAGACCTTCAATGTTGGATCTGTACCATCCTCTCGCTACGATTCAACAATTCCAGTTCAACATGAATACGAAATCCATTGGCCCGATTCCATCTCGTCAATGCCGACGGCGCTTTCGACCTCGAATCTCCCTTCTTCAGCGTGGTGGGCATCGGTCTCGCATTGGGTCACACTGGACCGGGCTAGCCCAGCCCATCCCGGCCGATGCACCCAATGCCGCTGCCTTCTGACTGGATCGGGGGCCACCAAGCTCGCTTCCCCGCGAACTAGAAATCCCCGTGCTCAGTCTCTACCTCTCAACATCAAGTCAGGCGATGTCGCCCCCTGAAGGTGGCGGACGCAGCTTGACTTTGCTGTTTTCTTGAATCTTGATCGTCGGTTGCGGTCGGCTCGCGCGTGGAGAGCGCCAGAGGGCCAGGTCAGATGGAGGATCTCCCCATCCGTCGCACTACCACAACCCTACTTCATCTGCCTGAGACACTTACCCAATTGCGGCTCCTCCATCTGGCATCCACACACACATACTTTGTAGCTTTGCTTCTCCAGCCCCTCCCCCCTTCATTGAGTGTCCGGGGGCAGCCGCTGATGGCCACGTTGTGTCTCAGACATTCCTGACGGGCCACCGCCTGCTCCATCCGTGGCATCCACAAACTGAAAGACCCATTCTCGAACTCGCCGAGCTTTCTGTAGCGGCAGATCGGCATGATCGTGGGAGCTATCCCGTCGCAAATCGCCCTTGTAGAACCCAGCCGTATCCGTCGCGTCCACCGGTTGACGATGCAGCAGATTAATTTTGGTCATTCCTCCCCGCAGACTTTGTCCGTAGACCTGATCCCGGAATGAACTGAGCCCGACAGTGCGGAGCAAGATGATGTCTCGAGGGCGTAGCATGGCCAGCGAGCGACTGAGGCGATCCGCTTCCTGGGTCTTGCTAGAGATGGAGGTTTGAGTTGGAAGCCAGAAATTGACCCCAAAGCCTGTTCGGGTCTCGTCGCCAACTATTAATTCGATGATGTCGAGCTCGGTCTTCCATTGTCGGGTCACCACACGACGCGGAGGGTGGATCGCAAGGATACCCACGACCAAGTTGACCGTCATTGTCTGCGGCGTGATGGACTGCAGATATCTTGCTGTAGGGAGATGTTGCAGATCGCTAATTGGGCCAGAAATCTGCAAAGAACCTGGCAATTCGGGGTCATTTACTTCTGCTGCCGTCCTGGTTGAGGTAGCATCTATACAAGATTGCAGAGGAACGCTCTCTTGTGTAGATTCTTCGTCTCGTAGCCCCGAGGCAGATATTTCTGACGTTTCGTGCACGACGAATGAATGATCATAGAACTCCGAAAGAATGGAGTCCTCATTCATTGAGTCGTTATCAGCTGCTACCAGCTGATGTGTGTTCAGGAAAGTTAGATCCTCTGGCCCATGATAGAATTCGTAGTGGCTTGTTGGATGTTCCATGGAAAGCGGTTGAAGAACTCTCCATTTAACGGGATCTCCACTTTGAATGATTGACGTCTCGTGTTCATGGATGCTGTCTGCGCCTTGAAATGGCTGTATAGGGCCGTTGAGCAGTTCATCATTTTCCCAGTCAAGGCTGCTCGGCAATGGCGCACCCATCAAGAAGATCGTCTGGAGGGCCATATCGCTGGGAATGGAGCTAAATAGTTCATCTGGCTGGGACCCAAGCTTGACTCCTGGTTTTAATGAGGCTTTTCACCATTTGGTCCCATGCTTTTGGAACAGGGGTGGTCGAATGAGTACTTTGTTTTATACGAGGTCAACCGCCGATGATGCAGATGCGGGCATCACTGTTCCATGTGAGTCGGATGCGAGCTTCTGTATTTAGCGCCTCGAAGCTTGGGACCTTGCTCCTCAGCGAACGTTGTCGACAATTGAAGTCGGAGAAAAGCGAGCTCTGGTAACCACAGAAACTCGGCCCAGGCCCGAACCATGGGATGGCCATGGCACTTACAACTCTTGTATATTATTCCAATGAAATTTCCAGCGTCAACGGTCGATTCAACATCTACTGCAGGTTGGACATTGTCTAAGCTTATGGTCAACTCTCGTTGCAAAGTAAAAATAAAAATCTTACTAACTTCTACACCTAAATTAGTTAGTTAGTTACCTCCTCCATGTCATGCTTACCTGAAAGCTCCGGTGTATGCAGCCAATGAGTAATCTTGTCAATTAATGATACCACGTGACCCTACGGTTACTCAAGCGGGCCCGAGTGGCAACCGACATTCGCCGCAGTCCCAGCGGAGTAAAAGCCCATCGTCAACGATCAACCCCCTCGTCTCCGCATCTTCACTGTCGGCCATGGCAGTCTCCTCAAATAAGAACTAGATTCCATCTGTTCTCCCTTCGCCGTACATCTCCTCATCGTCCAACACTAGAGGAGCCGACTCTCATCTTCTCCGCGGCCAAGCGCCGTTGTATATCGGACAACTATGGCCTTCCAGGTCTCGATCCCTCGGCCGGTATGATCTGACTTGATTCTTAATCTACATCTGGCTTCCATCACTGACACTTGCTATCTGCATCTAGAATTTCGCCGTGGTGACATCGGATCTTTGGCCCTCGATGTCTAGTGTGCTCGCCGCTCCCTTCACGCGATCCGCCGCCGGCCGCGCTCCGACGGGCGGCGTTCGTGATATTCGCCAACAATCCACTTTTCCAAAGCAGAATGTGGCGGTATGTGTTCTTCCATCAAACCTGATTATGGTGATATCAAAATCTGACTTCATTAGACATCCCAACGTGTGTCCTTGCCGGAGTGCCTGGACACGGTCTCACTGGAAGCATTGAGAGCTGGTCTCGTGCACCGGCCTGCACCGCGTGGACTATCCCCCATGTTGAGTGGAGGTAAGAAAAATTATCAAAATTCTGAGTTACAATTCATATCTAATCTCGAGTGTTTCATTCAAGGTAACACCCTCTTGGCTCCGTTGATGACTCCCCCAGTTCGCGCTTTTGCATCACCCACAGCCCGATCCTTTTCGACCTTAACCCCCTTCCGCCTCAGCGCCCTACGTGCAGCACCCAAGATTCATGGACTCTCAAGACTTCAGCAGCAAAGATTCCTGTTCGGCGGCCCTTCGCAGAACATGTTGGCTCAGAAGGAAAAGACCGCAAACACCAACCCGAATAGTGCAAACGCCCAGAACACATTCTACCAGGCTCTTCTTCGTGCAAACATGCCTGCGATTGTTGTGGAAAGATACCGAAGCGCACAGTTTGCGAGCAATGCGGCTTCTGAGGCGATTTATGCAAAGGCTTTGGAACGTGTTGGTGGTGCCGAATCCGGTGCTATCGCCGGAGGAAACCAGAATCTCAACTCGGATCAGCTGCAGGCCATCGGCCAAGCTGTTGCTGCTCGGTCTCATGGCGGTCAAATCGGAATGGCAAACAAGCCTAACGGTACTGGTGCCAAGGAGGCTCCTCTCTATGTCGTGGTAGAGGAGTCACTGGGCAACACTGTCTTCCGCTGGGTCAAATTCCTACTCATCTTCGGTTTCTTCACATATCTGTCTCTCGTCCTGATTACCATTCTGGTTGAAACGACTGGAGTGCTGAAGAACATTCGGGGCCAACAGAACAATGAGGCCCAGCCTGAAAAGCAGACTGTTCGTTTCAGCGACGTTCATGGCTGCGACGAGGCCAAGGATGAGCTGCAGGAGCTGGTTGAATTCCTTCTGAACCCTGAACGTTTCTCCTCCCTTGGTGGAAAGCTCCCCAAGGGTATCCTTTTGGTCGGTCCTCCCGGTACTGGTAAGACTCTCTTGGCTCGTGCTGTTGCTGGAGAAGCGGGTGTTCCCTTCTTCTACATGTCCGGTTCCGAGTTCGATGAAGTCTACGTGGGTGTTGGAGCCAAGCGTGTGCGTGACCTTTTCACACAGGCCCGCGGCAAGTCTCCAGCCATCATCTTTATCGACGAGCTGGATGCCATAGGTGCCAAGCGAAATGAGCGTGATGCCGCGTACGTGAAGCAGACCCTGAACCAGCTTCTGACCGAGCTGGATGGTTTCTCCCAGACCAGTGGTGTCATTATCATTGGTGCTACCAACTACCCGCAGCTGCTCGACAAGGCCCTGACCCGACCCGGTCGTTTTGATCGCAAGGTTGTCGTGGGTCTCCCCGATGTGCGTGGCCGCATGGATATCTTGCACCACCACATGAAGAATGTCCAGATTGGCACCGATGTCGACGTTGGTGTCATTGCCCGTGGTACCCCTGGCTTCTCTGGTGCTGACCTGGAGAACCTGGTTAACCAAGCTGCAATCCATGCCAGCCGTGACCGCAAGACCAAGGTCGGTCCCTTGGACTTTGACTGGGCTAAGGATAAGATCATGATGGGCGCCGAGGCTCGCAGCCGTATCATCCAGGACAAGGATAAGCTTCTCACTGCCTACCACGAGGCTGGACACGCTCTGGTGGCTTACTTCTCACGATCCGCTACTCCGCTGTACAAAATCACCATCGTTCCCCGCGGCATGGCCTTGGGTATCACTCATTTCCTTCCCGAGATGGACACTGTCTCCCGGAACTACACCGAGTATCTCTCCGACATCGACGTCGCCATGGGCGGCAAGGCTGCCGAGGAGATGATCTTCGGGCCAGACAATGTTACCAGTGGTATCTCAGCGGTAAGTCTTGTCTCGTACAGCAAATGACACTTGATATGAGAAGCGTATACTAACGAATATCTCTCCAGGACATTCAACAAGCAACCGAAACCGCCTTCACCCTGGTCACCCGCTTCGGTTACTCTAAGAAGCTGGGCAACGTCGACCTGTCTACCAACTACGACAGCCTCTCCTCGGAAACAAAGCAAGAGATCGAATCCGAGGTGCGACGCCTCGTAGAGGAGGCACGCGCCCGCGCAGCCAAGATTCTCACCGAAAGGCGAAACGAGCTTGAGATTCTGTCCAAGGCACTGATCGAGTACGAGACTCTGACCAAGGAGGAAATGGAAAAGGTTCTCCGTGGTGAGAAGCTGGACAAGGTGGCCATCTCGCCCAGCGCGCCAATCAAGCTGCCCGATGCCCTTCAGGCGGCTGGCCTGAACTCGACACCAGCAGCAGAGGTTCCCCCCACTGTGTCGGATTAAGTTCGTCTCACGCGTGCGGAGCGCTCATCCTCCAGTACTCAATTTCTCTCCTCTGAGTGCATTCCTAGTCGTCTCACTTTCTTCTGATCTTTTTGCCTGGCCTGCTGCTTTATTATCTCCGCTGTGCATTCCCGGATCGTTCGGGCGTCGATATTGAAAATACCATGCTTCTATTTTCCTATTTCATTGAACGATCTGACTTTTTTTTTCATCTTTATTCACTCTCGTCTCTTTCCTGTGTCTTACCTGTATCGTCTGTACATATAATCTTGTATGTCTACTGCCGTTATGGAAAGCGAATAGTCTGTCAATGCGACTCGACGATGCAGCACCGCAAGATAAGGAATCGTTTCTAAATCAGGAGGGTAAGATTGAGATCCGGGGGCTCTCCAGGCCACAAAAAGTGTCTTGTCTCTGTCACTTGCATCTCTAGATGACCCCGACTCGAACCAGTTCATTGTCAGGAGTCAGATCACTAAGAGGCCATTGGAAAAGGATTCCTTAAGGAATAAGATTTCGCTATTAGACATCGTATCTACTAAAAGTGTGCCCCCCTACCTAACTGACCTTCCCATTCAGTAGCAATCTATCAAACCCTTACCCTCGAAAACACAACCAAATACATTCTTATTTATTAGCCCTTGTACGTCCCAATCTCTCCCCATCTCCACAACCAAAGTAGCACCTCCACAAATAATCACATATATTCCTATCCATTTTTCTGTTGGAACCAATACCTACACACAATCGCCCTTGCACAGTCCAGCCCAGTCCAGTATCTATGCCATCAGTCATTCTCCCACCAGAACGTGTTCGGTTCCGTCCCCCTCGCGCGATCTCGGGTTTCCACCATTCCACCATTCCACCCGAACAATGATGTCATCCGTTCAAACGCGTAACAGGCAACAGGCAGCGGGGCCTTTGTTCAACCAGGACGATCACGGGGCAAAGTCGTGCTTGGTTCGCTGGGTATATTTGACGACATGGAACCGATATCTGGAATTAGGATGGGAAGGGGGGGTCCGTTTTTGGTGTGGAGTTGACGTGGTCAGGATGACAACATTAGTGTTAATATTCATGGTGGGGATTTGCGATGTTGAAGTTGGCAGTGGATGGCTGTGATTGATATCTTTCTCAATGAGCAAGTGTTGTGAGACTGCATACAAAGAGGGAGGAAGTGTTGGCTTTGGAATTTTTTTTTTCCATCATTGATTGTATAAGATCCCGCTGTTATATACACAAAATATGCACCTGGGACTCGACGCATTCAACGCGTCGAGCCTCGTAAAGAAAACCAAAAGGGTAGAGCTCAGGATGAGGAGAATGAGAGAGAAACAATGTAACAAAGAACAAAGGCCAGCTCTTCCCCTTAAGGCTTCGTCGCTGGAAACATAAATGAAAAAACACAACCATTCATCACGGTCATGAACTGAGAAGAGATAGGCGGCTTCGTAGCTGGGTCGGCGCGCCTGAGGACAGAGCCATCTAATCGAGAAGGAGGGGGGGGGGGGTCTCTATGTATAGTGAAATGAGTTATGTATGGGTGTCCCCATCCGTCCTCGGAGAAATCCACGGCCGGGATATGCAATTCAACAGAGAGAAGGGGTGTAGGAAGTGTGAAGGGCGTGGGTATTACATGGCGTATTCTCTGTGTCGTGATAGGGATGCATAGAGAAACCACATTGTTGATTCAATCCCGGCCGTGAACGACAAAGCTGACTGCAGTCATGCTGAGCAGAAAGTCGAAAATCAAAAAAAAAAAAGGATGGTGTAGAAAATGCTGGTAATGGTTATGTCGGTGCGGGGTATGGTTATTCAACGTCGTCGTCCAATCCCGCCTGATCTCTCATCCAGCCACGAGACATCTCGACGGCCTTGGACCACCGTTTGTACATGTGGGTGCTCTCCTTGGGCGTAATATTGGGTTCGAAGGTGGCGCGGTTGGCGCGGTTCATGTGCTTGAGGTCGGAGAAGTCCTTCCACACGCCAATTGCGAAGGCGGCGGCAATCGCGGCGCCGAGGGCAGTGGTCTCGTGCATGGCGGGGCGTTCGACGGGGATTTGAATGATGTCTGCTTGAGTCTGAGGGAGGAGTCAAATTAGTTACTGGAATCAAAGTCGTGACGAAACAAGACTTGAATCGTACCTGCATGCAAATGTCGGAATTACTCATGCCACCATCCACGGCCAATTCCGTCAGCTTCTTGCCACTGTCCATTTCCATGGCGTCCAGAATGGCTTTTGTCTGGAAACAAGCTGCCTCCATTGTTGCGCGGGCAATGTGTCCTCGTTGCGTGTGGTGAGTAATACCCCCTTCAAGATGGTGTTAGCGTGTGAACATTCCAAGACACGGAAAACGAAGCTTTAAGACTTACAAATCGTTCCCTGGGCATCATCAATCCAGTACGGCGCAAAGAGACCACTAAATGCAGTCACGAAAACGCAGCCTCCGCTATCCGGCACTGTCGCAGCTAAGTCACTGACTTTCCGAGAGTCGCGGAAGAAGCCCATGTTGTTCATGAGGAAGGAAACACCACTGCCGGCCACTGCTACGCTGCCCTCCAGGGCATACACGGGTTTGCGATCCCGGCCCAGCTGGAATCCGACGGTGCCGAGCAAACCGTGCTTGGAGATGACGGGCTTTTCACCCACATTGTAGAGCAGGAAACATCCAGTGCCGTAGGTATTCTTGGCAGAGCCCGGAGTAAAGGCACAGTGGCCGACTAGTGCGGCTGCCTGGTCACCCAGGCAGCTGGTGATGGGCGTGCCCTCCAGGGGACCTTCGTAGATCTCACCGAAGCCCTCGCGGTCGGCCGAAGGAAGAATCTCGGGGAGACGAATCTTGGTGCGGTCGATATCGAAGAAGTTGAGGAGTCGGTCATCGTACTGCAGGGTCTCGAGGTTCATGAACATGGTGCGTGAGGCGTTGGTGACGTCGGTGACCAGACGCTTGTTCTGGGGGCCGCCGTTTAGGTTGTAGATGAGCCAGGAATCCACGGTACCAAAGGCGGCTCGGCCGTCATCATACGCCGATCGAACGTCGGGGAGGTTGTCCAGCATCCAACGTAACGTGACCGAGGAGGGGTATGTGGAGAGAGGCAGGCCGCAGATGTTGACGAGATCCTCGGCGCCGGGCTTTTCCTTGAGTTCGCGGACTAGATTCACCGTGCGCGTATCGGTCCACGTGATGGCATTGTGTAGAGGCTCTCCAGTCTCCCAGTCCCATACCAGGGCGGTTTCTCGTTGACTGGTAATTCCGATGGCTTCAATGTCGGAGCGGGAGTGGCCCAGAGCCAGGAATGATTTCATCGCCTCCTCAATGCAGATATAGACCGACTCTACCAATTCATAGGGGTCTTGTTCGTGCCATCTGCAGATTCAGAGAAGGGGAAGATGGTTAATTTGGGGATTCACTGGTGGGCAGGGTGGTCATGATCGTGGTGATCGTGATAGTAGGGGTACAAGGAGGAGGAGATTGGGGGGGGGGAGTGTCGAGTTTCCTTAACTTACCCAGGATGTTCATGAATCTGGCGGAATTCGGTCTGGTATTTGGCGATGGGAACGCCCGTGCAATCGAAAATAATAAAACGGGTGCTGGTTGTTCCCTGATCAATTGTGCCAATAAAGCGCTCTTTTAGATCGGACGGATGGTGCTCCTCGTCCTGTAGTATCGCGCGCTCTCCATCGTCGGTCTGGTGCGGTCGCACGTCGACCTCAAACTCCAAGTCCGTTGGGGGTTCGGAATCCCCGTCCACGCTGTTTTCGTCGAGATCAAAAGGGTTTCGCATTGTGGGATGTGTGAGGGTGTATGTATAAGAGGGCGGAAGGGGAAGAGGCGAAGGCGAGCCAAAAGTAGAGGACAAGGGTGAGGATGAGGAGGAGGAGGAGGAGGAGGAGGAGGAGTGGAAGGCGGAGGTCGAGCGAACAGAGCAAAAGACCGAGCGAGAGGGGAAATGGCTGTGGCGGACAAGTTTAAAAAAAAGTGTGGGGGAAGAAGGGAAACCCAAGGAAAGTATGACGATAGGCCGTGGATTGGGAGGGGGGAACTGGGAATTGGGCGGGAGAGCTGCAAAGGTTGGCAGAGAAGACCAACTAATGATGATGATGATGATAACAATAATAATAACTATAGGGTACAGGGTTATAGTCTCTCGCTCCCTCCTTCTGGTGCCTCTTTTTCTCTCTACGTGGCGGGGAGAGAGGGATTGGCGACTGGCGGATACGGCGAGCTCCCAAGTCCAAGGCCAGCGAGAAGGAATCAGAAAAAGTGGAGAGTGACGTACGAGGGGCGAGGGTGACTTGGAAGCAGCACAGCAGAACCGCAATCATCCAAAGCGAGGCCGGTTCGCGCCAGGAAGAGGAGCGAGTTCTTATCCAAACGGGTGGGCCATGAGGAGGCCGTGGACACTCGCCATAGTTCCTTCCGTTGACCTTAGGGTCCTTCCCTAGTGACTACTGCTCGAGGAAGACTCCTGCTATACCAGAGCTCCGTACACTGGAAGAAAGTATCGGGCGGGGCGAGGGACCTTGCAGTGGGGGTCACCACTTGGCCCTGGCGCTCCAGTCAGAATCCGGTTCGAGGGGACCGTTTTTTTTTTCTGATCAGAAGACCTCGTCGCCTCCCCCACTTGGTGATCATGTTAGTGAGAACATGATTGATTGTTCTGTGCTTCTTTGATTGTTCTTTTTGCCAATCCCCCGTTTTCCGATATGTACACCTGCCCTTTATCCGAGATCCGATAGACCGACTCTTTCTTCTCCAAGGACACGGTCAATGCTCTTCAATGGCCATTGTCAAGGTGCATGCCTATTTAGACCACCACAATCATATCCCTTATTCCTGATCACTCCACTACCGTACTGCGTCGCTACAGGATATCTTCCCCTGTGGACGATCTATAGATAGTGCTTGGCCAGCCCCATCGATCGGGGCACATGACACTCTCCAATTTTTTTTCTTTTTTCGTTCCCACGTTCTAGACTGTTCCCGCCATTCTTCCCTTTTTCTTTCTCTTTCACGATGCGCCATCAAGTCATCCCTGCTTCCTATTCATGGAAAAAACCCCCACCGGAAGAATTATCACTCGATGTTTCGAGGAAAAATCACCACCACCACCACCACCATCCCCGTACAGTACTTACTCTATTTTCCGTCCTCCGTCCGTGCTTCCACATTCCTGGAGAAGAACATGGGGGTCCTACTACGGCCACGGAGTACATAGTATGTACTCCGTACTCCTTAAGCTAGTCGCAACCAAAAACATTTCCATCATGCCAAGTCCATCCCTCGGCCTCTCTGCGGATTACCTTCCCTGCCCCTGGAATCCGGATGGAGACCTGGACCGAGTCCAGGTCCACTCGGCTACACATGACCGAGTTTCCGCTCAAGAGGCTTACTAGGAGTAACGACTGCAAAGATCCTCTCCTGACAGATTCACTCTAGCTATGCGGAGTGTCATATTTAAACATATGTGATTCTAGCTCGGTTCTCGTCGCTCGAGACATCATCGAGGTAATGATTATACGATCCCAACTCATTTCCCCCACGCACCTGTGGCAGCCCAATCACATGCCGTCGCGCTCGGGTCGTGACGTCTTGGATCCATTTTTAAGGAAAGTAAAAGAGAATAGCTACAGAAAATCCACATAGCTACAATATACAGTAGAACATCCTGTAGAAAGACCCGGTCTCATACCGACCGCAAATTAGCAAAGGACCGAATACCCCTCGCATCCGTACTCTGTATCTCCAATGTACAATCTATATAAAGATGCCCTGCTCTACAGTACCTGGCGGGGAAAGACAATCGATGCCCAGCCTGCCAGGGACCGAGACGTGCGCGTCGGCAGATCACGCGAGATGAAGAAAAAAGGGCCGATCCTGCGGGAACGCGACCCGTATGTTTTCTCGTTCTTCGTACGGAGTACATACAGAGTTGGTTATGTCGAAGGACATCTAACTATCGCATGCGGCGCGCGGGAGAGAGGGTCTACCAATCGGGGAGGAGCGTGCCCAGGTCTCGCTACACCTTCCCCTCCCGGCTTTAAACACCACACTGTGCGTGAACGTGGGACCCTACACTTTTGAAGTTGCCCAACACACACGCTTAACCACCGGCGCCCTTTTCTTGCCCCCTTTTTTTCTTTGTTTTGTGATACTTTAGAAAATGCAAAATCTTTCGATATGTTTTGAATTCCTGCCAAGTCGGAGATGAGAAAGTAATTCCGAGCAATACAACAGGTAGAGCGCTGACCCGACCCATTCCCCGATATATACGCGAAGGTTGACGTCAATTGCCAAGGGAAAAACGTCGAAGATCACCTGAAATCAGTAGTAGTGATGAATGAAATAGAATAAAAGAAAATAAACTCAGTCCTTCATCGCACTCGGGATCGACAACGGGTCTCAACCGGTCTTTGTCTGGCCTACGGAGGACAAACCAGGGAAACTCGGCTTTTGTCGAGGCCCGCTTCTCGTCATCGGAGCCGATCGGGAACCCGCAATTACGGTTTGGGGTGAACGCAACGGGGGGAGTAAATATAAGTGACAGGGAGAAGGTCGCGATTGTATATCTCCTGGGCTTGGAATGAACATCGTGGTCATTCATCCAGTGCGACCGATATGGCATTTGTCTATTTAGGCTGAGATAACAAGCCTCTGGGAAGAACTATGCGGAAAGGAGGATAAGCGTTAAGAGTCAAGCTTTCATCATTACATCAGGCTGTCGTGTTTTCTCTACAAAGAGAAAATCTCTAAGTAACCGCCTTCTATCTTCACAAAATGTGCATCCTATTCTTGTGGAGGCATTCTGTCCTTAGATATCGCTATGGTGCGCCCAAGCCAGAACAACCTGGGTCCTCAAGGTGTACCTCCACCGCGGGCATGCCTCCTTTGTTAAATGGAGATCCCATGTACCATCAGCTATACAATCGCGGGATCAACAGACCATGATCACTTGCTTCAAGGCCGGCAGCCGTGGAAAAGTTACTGGAGGACCAGTCATAAACATGTGATAGTGTCCTCTGTGAAGGTCGAAGAAACACCCTTTGGTGATTTAGCCCGACTATGGTCGTGTTTCTGTCGAGCTAGTAAGTCTTAGATTGGAGTCTGTATTCTGAATTTCTGTATAAGCAGACTAGGATACCTAGTTATCAAGGAGTCAGAAACTAAATATCGCGTAACAGGTATTAATATCCTTTAACACGGAGACAATCTATCCAACTTTCCGAATGACCTGAATATCGCGAGGATTAGCGGGAGAACAAACGCCCGATACGATCCTTAAATATTCACTAAATGCGCCGCGGCGAGGGCAGGAAGGCAGCTAACTTAACATAAAGGCAAGCGACTCGGGTTTATTATATACGCTTATTGCTAGGTGTTGTTCAGTCGAGTGGTCCGTACATCACCGACTGAGATTAAGCGTGAGAAGTTATTACCCGCGCTATCAAACGTTCCTTTCCGACTAACTCCCGGGTATATTTCAATAAACTTCCCACGGAAGTAACTTTTCTGATTTCCGAATGGGTCTGCCCGATTGACTATACCTCGGATGATGTTCGAAACATGCGGAATATGCTCCTTGCGTTCAGACGGGAGTTACCAGATGGTTCTGGCGAAGGCGGCTAGCAGAAGATTTCTTCTTCGAGCTGGATAAATGCATGTATTGTAGCTTCTTGTTGCTGTCTAGACCATGGTGTTGTACAGTTGATCCTGCAAGGCACACAGGACAACGCCCTTGCAGCGCCCCCCGCATTGTAGGGACATATACTGATGGGGGCAACAATACAGGGACTCCTTTCGTTCCTTCGACCAATCAGTTCATGTAAATGAAGAGAAAAGAAATGACGCAAAGAAAATCAAATTGATCAGATTACATTGATGGGGTGCATGGATCTCTCGTCCCCCCGCTTGGTTTGGGGTCAGCCGTCCACGAATCTGGGGCGAGAATCTATCGACGAATCACGAGCGAGGAGTTCATCTACAAGGGAGGCCCTAGTGCCTCGTTTCAATAAGTCCGCAAGGCTTAGTTCACAACATGGGTGCTTATGTATAAGTGCCGGTAGGGGCCAGATGATGTATACCCTTGAATATACAATTCGAACACCGACCAAGAGGGCAAATCTTTGATACAGCCTCGTCGAGGGAAACGGGAAAGATTGTCTTGGCTTGTTTCAAAGCCTCATCTTTCCGGATGATACGGTTCTCTCTAGCCCTCAATATCCCCTGTTCGTCCTCAGAAGGCCGTGGGAAGGCCTTATTCTCATGGATGTATGTCTATTCATAGACGGTGAAAACTCTTGGAGGAATATCATCACCTTGCCGCCATGGGGCCATGACGACAAAGATGGCTACTACGGAAGAAACTCTCGGATGGGGCGAAGAGGGGCTCGAGGCAGAAAAGTGTCTCCTAGAGTCCAGTAAGTGACAGTTTCACCGGGCCTGATGGAGAGTCCTATTTTTATGTAAATTCCGGAGCTCCCACGATCATTGTGCTCCGTTTTCTTCATGGGTAGGACGGTCTTCTTATTATGAGTGATCTCCCTCCGTGATATACCCCTCAGATATCGTCTGTCAGCTGCTATCTTATTCCTCTTTTACCTTCGTCTTTCATCCCTATTGAACAAGCCTTCGTGATCAGCAATGATGATTCCATCATCCCGATGGCCGTCCCTGCTATGCATGGCCATCGTATTCCTGGGCTGGTTTGGGCCCGTAATAGGTGCCGTGGAAACATCAAATATATACAAAGTCCTCAAGAAATCCGACAACATGGGCGGCGAATGTGATGATATATTACCCAAAGTCAACGCGATGGGACCCGAAGTGCAGAAATTGGTTAGTGCTGCAATCGAGGCCATCGAGCTCATTCTCAGAGATCCAACCAAGGCGGAGCAAACCAATTATAAAAATCAAGGGAAAAATAGAGAACGGATCCTTCTGCTTGCACGGCAAATCTTCGGTGCTGAATTCGGCGCGAAGTTTAAGAGTAGTCCGTTCAAATATTTGAAGCTCGATAAGGATTCTATCGCTGCTATGACTACCGTCAAAGGTCAGATCCAAGATATCCTATCCTGTTCTGCTCCCTGCTCTTATTCGACAGCCCTTCAGTGGGTTCAGGAATTGGCGTTGACTATTACTATGCATATGAGCTAACGACATGTTTTGGAACGCAGGAAACTTTGAAAAAGCTTCAAAACTATATCAACAGTGGGGGCGATTCTAAATGGCGATTGGCCTGCGGCGATTCGTGGGCCAAAAATGTCAACACGCTGCAAACAAATTACATCCCTTATACCAAAGGTACACCCGTTAAAGAAATCTGTATGTGGTTCCTATCATTATTATCAATCTTTTGGCACTTTCTAATTGATACGCTAGCTGGCATTAGCGGCGGTGTCGGAACCAAGATGTCCTTCGACTACACCTGGTACGACCAGGGAGGACCGACGATGAACCCCGAGCCACCTGAGAACCCCAACGAAAGTGAAGAAGATAAAATAGAACGCTGGAAAATCCAATCTACGTGGTATTATTCCGCAAGTAAAGGATGGAGTGAGAATGGACCGTGCAGCGGTATTCAACACAAGGATCAAGGGCCAGAAGCAGAAGCCTTGCACTCAAAACGGATCATCTACTTTTGCCCAACTGTTTGGGATAAAGTCACCAGAAATGTCTGGAAAGCAGACCTGACCAAAATAAAGGGGGATATTCCGACCGATGGGACCGCTCATCTGGACAATTATCAGAGTCCTGGGGCAACTTTGCTCTACGAGATGACCCATCACCTCACTGGAACAAGTGCGTATTAATATTACCCTATTTTTGTTCCCAACCACTCTCACTCACCAAAAGGGAACTATGCTAATCTTCTCTGAATAGACGATAACCTTGGCTATGATTTCAAGAATGTTCAAGAGGGACGAACCAAGCGTCAGCTGGCAATTAAAAACGCTGATAGCTACAATTACTTTTCGGCGGCCGCATACCTGTCTGACTATGAATGGCACTCTGGCGTTGCGAGGTCACTCGGAACCCAAGAGACACAAATTCATACTACCTCTCGTTAGGTTGTGTCCCCTTTCAGACTATCAGAGAGACCGATCAGCACCAACACCCTTGGAGGCCCCAGACTGCAATTATGTTCTCAAACTAGCTATTAGCTACAAGATCACACATGACAATTTTCTTTCCTTATCTAATCCCAAATATTTGTCATCCACTAGCGTAGCAAGAACAAACTGCCTCTGAACCTTGGAGGGTCCCGTGCAGTCAATGAATACCTGGAGGCCTTCTTCCCAGGTAAGCTCCTCCTCCGTCTTCCCAAGTGCCTGGAGAATCGGCGGTCGTTCCTCTTTGTACATTTGCTTCATTCCTTGCCTCAAGCCTGGGTCAGCAAAAACCTCTTCACGCTGTTCGAAGGTGTTCCACTCGATGCAATAGAAACTAACGTGATCTCCATTGGGCAGTTTCAAGAAGTTAGTCTCTTGGCCATTCACTGGAACGTGATGCAAGCCACTATTTGATCCTCCGGGTGCAAAGTGGTCAAGAAATACAGGGAGCCATAAAGGGCGCTTTGAATTATGAACAAAGACAAGCTCCAAGCAAGAGTAGGGAAAGCCCCATCGATGCATCATGTGCAGCTGCGAGTCAAGTCTCCAGATAGGCTGTTCAGACAGTGGCCTTTCCAGAAGTGGTGAAAGCCGTCGACTCAATTCCGATGACTCGGATGTACAGGTGGCCTTGATGGCTTTGAATTTGTTGTCCGGGCAATTCTCTCCAGTTGGTCAAAGTTAGATATAGTAGTAATAAACTTATAAAACCAGGCGGACTCACCCCATAGATAAAAGACTTGTTTGGGATCATCTTGATCCACGCAGCAATAGCTGCGAGGGCCGATGGGGGCGTCAACTCCTCTCTGTAGATCTCGCAGTATCGCCAGGCTTTTGAACCAAGCTTTATGGGAGGGATGGTTTGAGTTCTGCAAATCTGTTGCGGAGTACCGCAAATTCAACGGAATCATACAAGACATTACGATGCAAAGAAAATCGCACTGAGCTCAAAGACGCATGGGGGGGATGAAAGAAAAGAAAGATGACGGAGGCGTTGGGGGCTATATAACTATATGCCCAAACAGATGACCGTTCCATGACTAAACACAATAATGACTAGTTAACTAACTAACTAACTAACTAACCAACCTAATACCCGTAACGTGGCGCAAACCCCTAAGAAAGCTAAGAAGAGAGGATATTCAACTAAGCCACATCTTTGGATTCTGAGAAGACTATTTGGTAAAATCAAATGGCTGAACTGTGCGGGTAGCGAAGGCAAGTACCCAGATTAAATACACTGATCCATTTTTATGTTCCAAGCTTATTCTAGAGAAAATAATTGGAACAACTATAATGTTTCCCACTTCCTATATCCTTTTGGTATCGAGAGAAATGGCTCATTCTTGAACTTATATTATGGTGGCGGGCGATTTTGGTATCCCTTAGCTCAGAGAATCCCTGAATACGGAAATATGGCTAAGTAAACCAAGGTTGAACAATAGAATTAATAAGGTAGACGGCATAAGGTTTGTCGAAACAATCTCTGAATCAAAGGATCCAGAGGATACAGCCGTCAAGGTGTGATTACTGGACAAACACAACAACAGTCGCAAATACCCAAATTGAGGGGTAACGGATTATATCACGGGAATCCATATCAAATGACGAATATACGCAAGAGAGTGAGATGGATATAGGCTTAGACGGAGTGCGCATCTGTCCATAGGGAACCCTGTTTTCGACTCTCACTGTAATAAGAGCGGGTATAGATCAGCGCTCGGGGGCGATATACCGCCAACACTTATACTCTTTGTCATCACCACTGAAGGAGAATAATCGTTGAGACAGTTCGTTGAAAAGAAAACTCACGCTGGGCGTTGGATTACGGCGGAAGCCAGCTTTAAACCCAAAATTCGGAGATGCTCCTTGGTCTCTTCCGACCGCTTCTTCATCAGGTCCTCAGCCAGACCCCTCAGTCCATTCCGGCGAGCTGCTCAGGGCGGGGTGACTAACTCACTCTGTGCTCCGGAAGCCGAGCATTTCGCGGCAGTTTTACCGTCACCTAGATTACGATTAAATTTTGTCAAACGATCTCTTTGCAAATTTGGATAAACGTTCATCACCATTGAGCGAGGTCCTCGAGATTATACGACTAGGTCTATGCACCTAGGTCATTAAACTGCTACATGATATCGTTATGTCGCGTGGATATCCCCTCTATTCTTCACATTTCTCCTCTTTTAATACAACACTCAGATCAAAACAAGACAAAAGGAAATTCAATAAAAGCTTCGGCCCTAGTGCGTTCTGCGTATAATCTACAGGAAATCACGGGGAATGCAAACAAGAGAGAACACGGGGGTGATCAAGTATCCTCTGTCCCCCCCATACAGTTGGTGAAGGTTTTTTTTATAACTCAAGAGAGCCATTTGCCAAAAAAAGACCAGCAAAAAAAAAAATTACTCCTCATCCTGACCCAGCTCGGCCTTCTTGCGAGCCTCAGCCTCCTCCTTCTCCTTCTTCTGGAGGAAGATCAGGGCGTTGATCTTGTCCTTGATGGTGTGCTCAGAGACAATGGTCTGCTGGATCTGCTCACGACCGATCAGGGTGGCGACGATGCTAGCACCGACGACGAAGGTCAGGACGAAGCGGTACATGCCGTACCAGTGGGGGGCACGACCAGCAGCGGCAGCGCGAGCATCGTTGTAGTAAAGGAAGGTGAAGGCCAGGAACTGGCTGATCAAGGCGTACTCCACGGGGAGCAGCAGAGTGGGCCAGGCGACGGCCGGAGCAATGATACCGGCAGCGTAGCGGCGGTAGCCGAACTTGCCGCCGTAACCAGCCCACTCAAGACCCCAGTGGACGGCACCGAGGAAGGAGAGGATCTAGAAGAGTGCCAAGGAGCATGATTAGCGGGCTGAGATCAAGGATCAAGCTGATAGAAGCCTTCCGAGGTCGGGGATCGGGCACTTACGACGGCACCCCAGCCAACCTGGATAGGCTCCAGCATGTGCAGCATCAGCTCGGCGCTCTGGCCGGAGAAGATCAGGCCGTCACCGAGAGCGGCGGCGCGGTTGATCTCGTAGGAGAGGTAGACGGTCTCGAGAGAGGTGGCCAGGTAGGGAATGACACCAGCCATACCGAGAGCGAGAGCCTCCTTGGGGACGTCCTTCAGGCTGAAGGTGTCCTGGATGACTTTCTATATTGCGCATGCTTCGTTAGTTTCAAGACTTGGTGTACCGTTATCCAATTGAACGAAGACCTGTGGAATATACGTACAGCCTCAGACTTCATACCGGCCATCATGTCGACATCCTCACCATCCTATCAGGGCGCAAGAGAAACATATTAGCCATTGGGCGTTCTGCAATGCTCAATCTCACTGCCGGAATGATCTCACCTTGGCGGAGGAAGACGCATAGCGGACCAGAGCAGTGGTGACGGGCTTGTGAGCGGCGAGCGCGAAGCTAGGCTTGACGGCCGGGCGGACGGCGCGGGCGGACGAGGTCAGCTGGGCCTTGAAGATGGGGTTGCCCAGGATAGAGCGAGTCACGGAAGCATTGGAGCTCGAGACAGCCCGGAAGGCGGAGCGGGCGGCGGTGGCACGGTACAGCATGGCGGGGGAAGGTACAGCTTTTTTCATGGAGCACGTCGGGTTAGTGATGTCGCGGGCAACGAAAAGACCTCGGGTATGGCGACGGGGAGCTTCCTACCCAATTGGTGTATAAAACAGCTGGAGGGGAGATTGATGAGTGGAGATGAGGGTATTCACCCGGAGAAAGACTCGAGATCGAAGTCGAGGAGGCCGTGGGATTCCGGAAGAGAGCAAATCAGAATATCCTGAAATGAAGTGACCGAGTGGTGAGGTGTGGTCGTCGGGCGGACCGTAGCGACCCGTGCCGCAGGTTTGCAGCCTGAGGCCGAAAGAGCTAGAGAATAACCCGGGGATCCCGTGATTGGCACGTGACTGAAAGTGGTTGCAATTTGAACCCTAAAGAGTCGAAAAGAGACTAGCCACTTTGAGCCACTTGGTGAGCCACTACTCGAGCCACCCATGCCACTTGGCGACCAAGACAGCAGGCCCAGCACGGGACCGACGTCACTCTGCGTGGGAGGTTGCAAGTTTAGCGTTGGCTGGTAAACAAGCGTACTCGCCAGTACGGTATCTATGGGAGTCTCAGACTACATTTTGACTGAAAGTTCACAGAAAATACGATATGCTGATCAAAATGGATCGCTAGAATAGTAAAACCTGATCAAATGACAGGATCTGTCCAGACTTGATCAAGTATGGGGCAGTTGACGGGGATTTATTTGGGGAATGATAGACCCCCTTGGCTGTCTTGGTACATACCCCGTCAATACCGCGTACCTTGGCCAAGCACTGCCTGCGTAACCGGTTGGAAACTGTCGCAGCCAACGGTCCTCTCAATTCTCGATCTACGCAATCAGGGCCATAAGCTTGGCTGAGATACCCAACTCTTGTTCGGTCGCGATCTTGGCCCATTACTTTCCTCCCTTCTCCAAACCCCCCCTTCCCTGTATTCTCTTCTCCCCACCAAAGACCCTCCTCTTCCCCCTCCACCGTTCAAGACCCCGACTCCCGCTTATCTCGGAGGTGGTTCCTTCCGCCTCGGTATCGCGTGCAGCCCAGCTCGACTTGAATGGCTTGGACACCTTAGATAAACCCCGAGCTGTGAGCGCTCCTGCTATTGTGTGAGACTTGACCTGATCGGTTCCTCGTCATTGACCGTGTGCCTCTACGACAATCACTGACCGTGCCTGATTCCCAGAGCTAGGACGCCCAACTATTGATGACGACCCACGCCGGTCACCAACCTCTCCATTCATTCGGATCGAAACCCTTCTCAACTAGGCCCGGCTAACGGCCGCCGACCGCAACCATGTTGGAGGGCGTTGTCGCCAACCTGCTCAATCGCTTCCTGGGCATCTACGTCAAGAACTTCGATGCGAAACAGCTCAACATTGGAATCTGGTCGGGCGATGTCAAATTGCGCAACCTCGAGCTGCGCCGGGAGGCACTCGATCAGCTGCGCTTGCCCTTGAACGTGGTCGAGGGCCACCTGGGTGAACTCACATTATCGATTCCATGGTCCAATTTGAGAGGCAAACCTGTCAAGGTCGATATTGAAGATGTCTTTTTGCTTGCGGCGCCAAAGGAGGATGCGGATTACGACCCGGAGGAGGAAGACAAACGTGCGCATGCGCTGAAGATGGATAAGATCGAAAGCGCCGAGCTTCTTCGTGAGCGCAATGCAGAAGGAATGAGCCAGGAGGAGCAGCGCCGGAACCAGAGCTTCACGCAAAGCATGATAACAGCCGTGGTGGATAACCTGCAGATTTCGATCAAAAATGTTCATTTCCGCTACGAGGACTCGATTGCTTCGCCCGGTCACCCATTCGCCGTGGGATTGACATTGAAAGAGCTCAGCGCGGTCAGCACAGACTCCGAATGGAACCCGACGTTTATCCAGTCTACCTCCGACACGACACACAAGCTAGCCGTTCTGGGGGCCCTCTCCGTATATTGGAACACTGATGCGACGCTTCTCGGCACTGGGCGAGGTTCTGATATCGGTGCCGAAGCCCAAGGTATCACTCACGATGACCTGATGGCCAAGCTACGGGATGCCATCGACAATGGTGACGGCAACCAGTATATGCTTCGCCCCGTGAGTGGTCGTGCAGGATTGGAAATGGACAAGTCGGGCAAACATGACCGCCCGGCTATGAAAGCTCGATTGTTGTTCGATGAGCTCGGCTTTGTTTTGGACGACAAACAGTACCGCGACGCCCTGATGCTGGTCGACTTGTTCCACTATTTCATTCGCCATCAAGAATACAAGCGTTTCCAACCTAAATGCCCAGTGAAAGAGGACCCACGCGCATGGATGAAATTCGCCGGAGATGCCGTCCTTAGCAAGATCCATGACCGAAATCGACGATGGACTTGGGACTATATCAAAGAGCGCAGAGATGATCGAATTGCGTACATCAACTTGTTCAAGAAAATGAAGAGAGAAGAAGTACTCACATCGGAGGAAACGAAGGAGCTGAACAGGATTGAGTATAAACTCAGCTACGAGGATATCCGTTTCTGGCGATCTCTCGCGCGCAACCAGTTACGTAAAGAAAATGTCGGTGTCAAGAAACCCGCTCAGCAACAATCATGGTCAGAATGGATCTGGGGGAGCAAGCCAGCCGAGTCCGAGGAGACCGCCATGACCGAAGAGCAGCGGCAGGAACTCTACAATGCGATTGACTGGGATGAGAAGAAAGCTCTTACCGAGAGTGTCGACGTTCCTCGCGAATGGGTCAAGCTTCAAGTCAACTGGAGTTTGCGGGCGGGTAGCTTTACGCTGAAGCAAGACCCCCATGGCGCAGCAAACGAGGTCATGAAAGTCGTGTTCGATAACTTCCGAGCGAAGGCCCTGCAACGTTCGGATTCATATCTATTGGACCTCGATCTCGGTGGATTGAAGATGTATGACGGAACCACACCCGGGACTCTTTATCCCAAGATTGTGAAGGTCAAGGACTCCCTACCCGAGCTTCCCAAGGACCAAAAGCCTAGCTCGGACGATGATGAACTTGCCTCAGAAGCCAGTGCAGATGGTCTGGTCGATGAAGATAGCCTGTTCCATTTGCAGCTGGAGAAGAATCCGCTGGACAGCGATGCGGACACCGCTGTCAAGGTCAAGCTCAAGAGTATCGAGGTCATCTACAACCCCCGATTCATCGTGGGAATTGCGAAATTCTTCGAGCCCCCGGAACGGCACATGGAGTCGATTGGCGCACTGTTGGACACCGCAGGAGCCACCGTGGAAGGCCTGCGACAGCAAACCCGAGCAGGCTTGGAGTTTGCTCTGCAGGAGCACAAGAAGGTCGACGCGCAGTTCGACGTGCGTGCTCCTTTGATTATTGTTCCTGAAAGCATCACTCAGGAGAGCTCTCTTTGTCTGATTATCGATGCTGGTCATGCTAGCGTCAACAGCGAGCTGGTCGACCGACAGGCTATGAAGGATCTACAAACCAAGCAAAAGCGACAGTACGAGGAAGAGGACTACAAGCAGCTTGAACATTTATTGTACGATCGCTTCCTCATCAAGCTGGACTCTACACAAGTTCTTATTGGACCTGGTGTGGATGCGACAAAGGCGCAACTCATCTCCGGCGTTGAGTCGAAGAACTTCCATATAATCGACCGGATTAATGTGGATTTTGTGCTGGAAATGTGCATTGTTCCCAAGGTGACGCAGCTCACTCGGACGCGCATTTCAGGAAACTTGCCAGAACTGCATGCATCCATGTCAGACACGAAGTACAAGGGCCTCATGAAGCTAATAGATATTGCCATCCCGCATTTTGATGAAGGGAAGGAGATGCATGAAGATGTCGCAAAGGCCAAGGCTGCTACTGAGCAGGCTGCGATTGTGACAAGAGCCAGATCAGCGTCCTTCCAACCCCCTGCCCGACGGGACCTCCCTGTTGTCGACGACGACGAAGACGCAGATGCAGGATCTGAAGACGAACACTCCAAGAAAAATGTGGAATCAGCCATCAATATCCATCGTCGAGACTTTGAGTTCAAGTTTCATGTTGGCCGCCTTCGTGGTTCGCTATTCCGAGCTGACTCCCAAGATCCGCAAAAGGACAAATTGCTGGTGGAGCTGGTTGCCGAAGGCTTTGGACTGGATTTCTACATGCGCCCTTATGACATGGTGGCAGAGGTCATCTTGAAGTCCCTGAGTGTGGATGACTATATCGAAGAAAACCCTGTACCTGAGTTTAAGCGGATCATCTCGTCCAAAGGTTTCAATGCGGACGAGAACAATGATCTTTTCCATCTGAAAATGGTTCGAGTTAAGCCCGAGTCTCCTGAACTCGACTCGACCTACGAGGGCATTGCGATGAATCTCGACATATCTGTCTCAACCATTAATCTCGTCGTGACCAGAAAGACACTGCTCACTCTTCTTGATTTCATTCTCCTCACATTCACCAACCCGCAGCAGCCGAACGAGGGGAACGAACAGCTAGATAAGGCCTTGCCGGAGTCAGCCGATGCAGATCAGCAGCCTCAGCAAGTTGGCAAGCTTCGTATCAAGTCCAACCTGAAGAGTATCGCTTTAATCCTTAACAATGACGGCGTCAGGTTGGCAACTCTCAGTCTCAACACTGCCGACGTTGGTATTTTCCTCGTGGGCAGCGCCATGACCATTCAATCCCGAATCGGCAGCTTGACCCTGGTCGACGATGTTAACTTGGGTGCTTCGGAAGAATCAGATGTCCGGCGTCTCCTGACGATTGAAGGTGACGATTTCGCGGACTTCAAGTACGAGACTTTTGATCCCGACAGTGACACACACCCTGGCTATGACTCGGAGGTCTACCTACGATCTGGTTCTATCAAGATCAATTTCCTAGAGGAGCCTTACCGGAAAATAATTAACTTCCTGGTCAAGTTTGGCAAGATGCAAGCGATTTTCAATGCAGCTCGCCAGGCAGCCGCCAACCAGGCCAACCAACTCCAGGAGAATCAATCTCGTATGCGTTTCGATATTGTGGTTAAGACTCCTATCGTGGTGTTCCCCCGAGTGATGGCAGAGGATCGATCCAGGGACAACATCACTGCTTATCTTGGAGAGATCTATGTCAAGAATGAGTTCGTTCTGTTGGATGACTCTAAGGATAGCCCGGCGGTTAATGTGATCTCCACTGGAGTACGCAATATCCGTCTCACATCCAAATTCAACTTCGATGATGGTGTGGCCGAGGAGCTTGAAATGATCCAGAAGGTCAATCTCGACTTTAGCATCTGCCATCTGGAGCACCAGGCCAATAATCCACGCCCTGATATGGAGATCGAGGGTTCCTTGTCTCCCATTAACCTTCGCATCTCGCAGAGCCAGCTGAAGTTCTTGTTGGCTCTGTCCAAGTCTATCCCTGGGGCATTTGCCACTGATGCCGACCAGCAAGAGCTCGAAGCCATGGAGTCCTTGCCATCCTCTGTGACTGAACCTACAAGAGAAGCAACTTCGAAAGCTACTCAATCGCAGACGGATCAAGACAAATCAGATGCCGATGACAATACGGGAAAAGAAACTTGGGTGCGTCTTGACATGATTTTCAAGGTGGACAGTGTTGGCTTGGAGCTCATTCTAGCCAACGATGACCAACCCGTTGGCAGCTTGGAGGATTCCAGCCTTTCGAAGTTCTCGCTCAACGACACCAGAGTCAAACTCCGCATGCTGACTGACGGTTCACTCGAGTCAGAGCTTCTGATCCACTCGTTCTCGATCCGTGATAGCCGTCAGCAAGACAAGAACAAGTTCCGTAACATCATGTCCTTGATCAACAACGATGTCCAACAGCAATTCATGGCTAGTCTGTCCATGTCCCCTGGACCGGACAAGCATCTCATTGCGAACTTGTCGATTGATAGCCCGCGGATAATGTTCGCTCTCGACTATTTGTCTGCTCTGCAATCGTTTAGTAATTCTGCATTCGCCTCGGAAGCACCCGCCGAAATTGTGGCAGAGGAAACCGAATCTCCCGAAGGATCGGACTTGGACTCGGATGCCGCTACTTCTACGGATAAAGCAATCACCGAAGCCTCCACCGGAGATGCACAAGCTGGAACAACCACTGTTTCATTCCGGGTTAATTTGGTGGATGCCCAGGTTATCATGGTTGCGAACCCTGCTATTACTCACTCTGAGGCTATTGTGCTTGGTACCAAGGAGATTCTCATTTCTCACCAGAATGTCTCCACTTTGCAGATCCAGAAAGTAGGCATGTTCTTGTGCCGCATGGACAAGTTCGAGACGAGTCGTCTCCGCATTCTGGATGACTTCACAGTTGAAATGTGGGTTGACAGCCGACCTCAAGACAAGGGTTCTGCCTTGACCTCGATCGAGGTTCATGTTGAGCCTTTGGTTCTTCGCTTGTCTCTGCGTGATATCCTCATGGCTATCCAGATTGTCAACAAGGCCTCTGAAATGAGAGCACAGAATTCCCAGCAGCTTGAAGGTGGAGAGGCAAAGAAGATCACGGATGGAAAAACAAGGGCTCGGTCCGCCAGCAAGACATCATCAATTGCCAACAGAACGCGCCGCCGCATGAGTCAGACTATAAATACGCTCGATAAAAGTGATGCCCCTCAGAGCTCGGCCGTCCTTAAACGTGAGGAGTTGTCCGCGAAGATTGATGGCGTTAGAGTCATTCTCATTGGTGACCTGCACGACCTGCCATTACTCGACTGGAGCGTGAAGAAGTTCAACGTTGATGTGCGCGATTGGTCATCCACACTGAATGTCGATACCAGCTTCGATACCTTCCTCAACGTCTACAACTTCTCCAAGTCAGCATGGGAGCCCTTGATCGAGCCTTGGCAGCTGGGCTTCCATATGGCCAAGGAAACGAACCCTGATGTCTTCTCAATTGATGCCTATTCCCACAAGACGATGGAGCTCACGCTGACGTCGGCTACGATTGCGCTTGCGTCTAAGTCGTTCCAGTTCCTCAATACGGACGAAGACGTCCTCTCCAAACCGAGAGGGGCCGACGCTCCATATAGAATTCGTAACCACACTGGATTCGACTTAAGAGTGTGGGCTGATGTCAGCGCGGGGGAGGAAGGCCCTGCGGCTAAGCTCAGCGATGGAGAGGAGTATCCATGGCGATTCGAGGATTCTACTGCAGTTCGTGAGACCCTCACTCCTGAGGGCCATGGCGGTATCGTCGGTGTCAAACTGGAGGGAAGCGGGTTTGATAGTATCAACCGTATCCCTGTCGTGCGAGAAGGCGAGGTCATATACAGTCTCAAGCCGAAGCGCGACAATGTGCTTCATCGACTCCTTGTGGAGGTCAAGCTTGGTGATGACAATGTCAAGTATATCACTTTCCGCTCACCTATGCTCATCGAGAATAACACCCAGATTCCAGTAGAACTGGGTGTGTTCAGCCCGGACGACGGTCACCTTTTGAAGATCGAGAAGATCCTGCCTGGTGATGCTCGGCCTGCGCCGGTTGGATCGGCGTATGTGCACTCGGTCGTCATCAGACCCGATCAAGGATTTGGCTACGACTGGTCGAACGAGCAGCTCTTCTGGAAAGATCTCATGAAAAGACCCACGCGAACGATCAAGTGTGTCAGCGAAAGTGGCCAACAATCTCCTCCGTTCTATTTCCAGGTGAATTCCACCTTCGACAGTAAGGACTCGTTGACCAGCTTATACCCGTACATGCGGGTCCGAATCTTTGCTCCAGTGGAGATCCAAAATCTCCTGCCTTTCGACTTCAAGTACCGCATCTATGACAAGAACACCAAGAAGGACTGGACAAACTTCCTCAGAAAGGGAGGTGTGAGTCCCGTCCACGTTGTGGAGCTGTCTCACCTACTCTTGCTTAGCATCGATCTGGAAGATACCGTTTTCCGGCAGAGCGAATTTGCAATCATTAATGGCAATGCCCAAGATTACCGGAGAGAGCACACTCTGTCCCTCAAGGACGATCGAGGCCTTCAGTTGAAATTGAAGCTCCATTACTTCAACATTCCCGACAGCGGTGGGGCTTTCAAGGTCTCCGTGTATAGCCCATACCTCATTCTGAACAAGACTGGACTTCCTATGGATATCCAGAGCAAGGCCTTCCTCCAGTCTGCTCGCACTGCCGCTGGCCAAGGCCTCAGAGTTGATCCGAGAGACGGTGGTCGCGCTCTGCCTTACATGTACTCCTACAACAACGATGACCAGAAGAATCGGTCTATTTTGAAGGTTGGAGATTCCGCCTGGAGCAAGCCGGAGAGTTTCGAGGCCATCGGTAGCACCTTTGAGGTCGTTTTCCCTGACCGGCAGGGCCGATCTGAGTTCCACTCTGGTGTTTCCGTCGCCGAGGGTGAGGGTAAATACAAAATGACCAAGGTGGTAACGATTACCCCTAGATTCATCTTGAAAAGCAAGCTCAATGAGGATTTGTTGGTTCGCGAACCAGGCTCATCCAATGTGCTTCAGATCGGCAGTGGAGAGCTAGTGCCGCTACAATTCCTTCGACAAGTTGCGGAGAAGCAGTTGTGTCTCTGCTTCCCTGGTGTGAACAATCAATGGTCTTCTCCTTTTAACATTGCAGATGTCGGCACTGTCCACGTCAAATTGGCGAAAGCGAATCAGCGCCAGAAACTGATCAAAATTGACATTATTCTCGAGAATGCTACCATCTTCCTGCATTTCAGCTTCGAAAGTCGCAACTGGCCATATTCGATGCGCAACGAGAGTGATATGGAATTCATTTTTTACCAAGCCAACCCTAATGTGGAAGATGACGAAGATGATCGTTCGAGTGGCTGGCGCCCCATTCGCTATCGTCTGCCAGCGCGGAGTATCATGCCTTATGCATGGGATCATCCAGCAACCAGAAACAAGTCTCTTGTTCTGACCTGCAATGGCAAAACCCGGCATATTAGGATCGCCGAGATCGGCAACTTGATTCCCATGCGGATCCCCCCTACAAGACCCGGCGAATACCAGAAAATCATCGATATCAACATTGTTGCCGATGGCCCTACCCAGACACTTGTGTTGTCCAACTTCAAGCCCTCCAAGAGTATCTATAAACAGCAGAAGGGTCAATCCTCCCAGAACAGCGTGACTGCTGGCTTTGAAGTCAAAGAAATGAACTCCGACGTGAACTTCAAGGCCCAGCTTCGTCTTGGTGGTATTGGTATCTCTCTCATCAACCAGAATTTGAAGGAGCTTCTCTACATGACCTTCCGTGAGATCGAGATCAAGTACCGGGAATCGAGGATCTACCAGACCCTCAATACTTCCATCAAGTGGATCCAGATCGACAATCAGTTGTACGGCGGTATTTTCCCCATGCTGCTGTATCCTAGTGTGGTTCCCAAAACTGGAAAGGAGATGGAGGCGCATCCGATTTTCCATGCAATGGTCACCCGTGTCAAGGATGACTCTTACGGTGTCCTCTACATCAAGTATGCAACCATTCTCTTGCAACAAATGACGCTTGAACTGGATGAGGACTTTATCTTTGCTTTGTTGGAATTTGCTAAGGTGCCTGGTGCGTTATGGTCTGAACCTCAAGAGGGCCAGTTGTGCGATGAAGATTTCAATATTCCGGAGCCGCAACAGGGCGAGGCCGGCCAGGATGTCTACTTTGAACTTCTTCATTTGCAGCCCATGCAGCTGGACATTTCCTTCATGCGAACTGAGCGAATCAACGTGGAAGACACTATGCAATCGTCAAATCCTCTGATGTTTGTTGTCAACGTCATGACCATGTCAATGGGCAATGTCAATGATGCACCTATCCGGTTGAACGCTTTGATGCTGGAGAATGCTCGTGTCTCCATGGGAAGACTCGTCAGCAATATTCGAGCACACTACACCCAGGAGTTCCTACGACAAGTTCATATCATTCTTGGATCCGCCGACATCATTGGTAACCCTGTTGGTCTATTCAACAACATCAGCTCTGGTTTCGCAGATATCTTCTACGAGCCGTATCAGGGTATGGTCTTGACCGACCGGCCTCAAGAACTAGGCTACGGTATTGCGAAGGGAGCCACGAGCTTCGTCAAGAAATCTGTTTTCGGATTTTCGGACAGCATGGCGAAGTTTACTGGTAGTATGTCCAAGGGTCTTGCTGCCGCCACTCTGGACAAAGAATTCCAGGACCAGCGACGGATGTCCAAGTCACGCAACCGCCCAAAGCACGCCCTGTATGGCATCACAGCGGGTGGTAATGCGTTTGCGACCAGCTTGGCCAGCGGAATCGGCGGCTTGGCTCGCCACCCCCTGCAAGGCGCGGAGAAGGAAGGCGTGGCAGGATTCTTCAAGGGCGTTGGAAAGGGTGTTTTAGGATTGGCAACCAAGCCCGCACTCGGCGCCTTTGATCTTGCCGCCAACCTTGCGGAGGGTGTCCGGAATACAACCACAGTCTTCGATGCCGAGGGCTTGGACCGCGTCCGATTGACCCGTTTCATCGGGACTGATGGTATTGTCCGGCCATACTCACAGCGGGAAGCCCTCGGTCAGTTCTGGCTCAAGACTACCGACGATGGCAAGTACTTCAACGAAGACTACATTGCGCATTTGGAGCTACCTGGAAGAGACATGCTAGTCTTGTTGACATATGCACGTATCATGCTTGTGCGCATCAAGAAGCTCTACACAGAGTGGGATATCCGTCTCACGGAAATCCAAACCATTTCCAAAGAACGCACTGGTATGAGTATCACACTCAAGGGTGGTGCGAATGGACCTTTCATCCCTGTTCAGGACGAGAGCTCCCGGAACTGGCTGTATAGACAGATCGCTATTGGTAAGTGCTGGTCAATTGTTCTGTGTGGTTGAAATTACAGTACTGACATTCTTTCTCTTTAGCGGTCAATTCCTTCAACGAGAAGTACAATCGAGGGTAGACGTCTTACCAGACCTTTGTAACGATGTCATGAAAATGGAGCCGCATTTGCGAGGGGACGAACAAAATGATGAGGGCAAATGAATGGAAATGGGTCTCAGCCTCCGTGTCTTATTCTTTTATACTTTCTTTATTCTTTTATGAAAGGAATGCCATTGAGTTGGCTCCTTTTGGTTTCTCGTACATACGTTTTGCTACGCATATTGTGATTGGGTTGTTTGAAGCCTTTTCTTTTCTATTCCATACACAGCGAAGATTAATTGATCATTTTTACTCTTTCTCTAACCAATATGTATGCTATCCCTATAATATTGCCATCTACAATCGTGAGCGGATCGCTGTTGGCTACCACTCTACCGATGACCATCCCTCATCGCCCCTGCTACGGCGCGAAGCCATGGAGTGTCACGTAATTTGAAGTCGACAGCCTTACTTTCTAAATGATGATGCTCTTGCAACGGAACCCTGTAACACGAGGACGACTCAATCGACTGTGAGTAGAGCCAGGCCTCAATCGGGATTGGCGCCCAAAACCTCTTTTAAATCGACATTTATATTCGACACCTATTCGTACATCGCTAGATTCAAAATTTCGGGATGGTTATCTTTCACGGAACTGCTTTATCCGGTCCAAATGCACTTTCGACGTTCTTGATGTTATGCAGAAACATGGAAGGGAAGCAATGGCGCCCAAACTGAGCCTCTGTTGACTGTCATGCAAAAGAAAGGGGGTCAGTCAGCATCTCCTTAGCTTATATATCTGATGAACCGCATATACGGACATACCTGCTTCCCACCCTGATTCTCTGCGGTCCTGAACCCGAGCCACCGCCTGTACAGATCCTCTGCCAACTGTGTCGTAAACATGTAGGAAAGTCGATACGTAATGTGGTCGTACAAATGATCCAAGTTCCAAAGACTGTCTGGCCCACCATTGATGTTTTCAGGGGATCCGCGATTGTAGATTCGCGCAAGCTCTTGTGGTGTCCACTTGCCATCTGCATAGATCGGGTGTGGAACGTGGACAGCCTTCAGTCCATGGAATAAGGACCATGAAACACCCGTCATTTCGGATGCGAGGCCTAATCCGCGCGTTGCCTGGTCCTTGTGGATAAGGTTGAGCAGGCGCCGTGAGTACCTGCCCATCGTAATTACTGCAGAACGACGTGGCGTTTCACGGCTCTGTCTGAAATTCCAAATCTTGTTTGGATACGTCCATGTGGTATCCTTGGGGTTGAATATGGGAAGGAAAGTAATGAAGTCTGCCTCTTCTCCAACGCCCCAGTTGAAATTGTCGTTCTCTGGAGAAGGATTGGGTGGCTCTGGGCCCATGGGTCTGATTCCCGACCCCGTAACTGGCCCCCAGATTGTCTGGGCGGAGATATCTTGGAGACTGTGGCTGGTCATCTCTTTGAACTTTTCCCAAGTACCGTGTGCGCCGGGGGTGTAGAAGTAAGCGTTGCGCTCCCATAAGTATTTGCGCGGCTGTTGTTTCGCGAAGGAGATGGATTTATCTAAGAATTGATAGATATTGCCCGTGTGTCGCCCGTCCATCTCGAGTTGCCAATAGTAATCAAACTGTGGGTAAAGCTGGGAGAAAATCTGTAGCGGTTTGTGATGTTGTAGAACGGGGCTTCAAGAATTGTTATTTATACTTGTATAAGCCCACCGGTGCTGTTTTTAGCGGATCTGGTGACTTACGTATGCTCTTCAATTTTAGGATACCACGCCTCCAACAACTTGTTATTGAAGAACACAGCGATGTTTCGAAACTCCGGGGGTATCGACTCCCGTAAATCTCTCATGGGTTTGGCATCCGAGAAGATCGGTAGTTTATCGTCCTTAACGTGAACCATGAGGAAGACCTCATACTCCCCTCCAGAGTGCAAGGAAAGCTCCATGATAATCGCTCGAAGGTACTCCCGGTGATTCGGTGTCCACAGCATACTGTCCCACGATCGAATGAGGACAGCTGATCGAGGATGATACTGCTTCGTCCCGGTTTCAGAGGGGTCCGGTTCAGGAATCTCTCGAGGGGGCTCTCTTAACTCAAAGGAGAGTGGACGCTGATAAGACCGATTCATCGAATTATGCAGACTGTAGCGATCCGCATTCCTCTCGTAGCAAAGAGATTGAAGATCTCTCCAGTCCACTTCATCCCATTTCACTCGTGGAGGCCGAGTGAAACCAGGAACATCCTCTAGGCTGTCATCGTCGAATCCGTAGGCCCCAAAGCGAGAGTAGCGATCTGTGCAAACATCTCCGTCTAGACCCATTACTTCGTGTGAACCAAATCGAGACTCGGGAAACGCGGTTTGCTTTCCTTTGTACACAAGTACCATGTCTTCTAAGCGAGTTCGATCCAAATCACGACCTCTCGGCCCTAGGCATGGCTGAAAGCTACCGCGATATGTCTTATTCCATTCTCTGCTGTTATAAGCAGGGTACGGGTCGTAGATGACGGGGCTCGGATGTGCATCTCCATGAGGCTGGGAGTTGGTTAGGGTCAGGGTGCCACCCAAGTAGAAGTTTTCGTCTCTGAACGAAAGTAAAGTCAGTGCGATTCAAATCACGTCTCGGGATTTAATCCCCGATGTTAATGACCTCTGATCATGCACCAGGCCCATTCAGCCCATTCCATCGGTTCCCTCATCCTGCCCTGAACCCTCAACAAGAGAATAAGAGCCCCCCGGCTCCCGATATTGACCCGGTCGAAGGACTCCTTCGCTATGACGTGGCTCCATCTTGGGAAAAGAGAGAACTCGTGCCCGAAAAGACGTGAAAGGGTTCCAATGACGATAAACAAGCCAATAACAAACACAAGCCTGCGCACCCACATGGAAGGACGAGACTTGAGTGACACACTGGTCTGAAACCTGACAAGACCCTTGCCTCCTTTCATCGTCCAAAGCCGATGCATTGTGAGCAAGTCTGCAGCGCTTCGCCAAAGGGCATGTGTATATTCTGGTTTCGCGATGCTATGGGTGTGGCGCTCGGATAGTTTGTATGAGATATCTGAAGAAGGGTGTCGTAGAGGAGGTCGAAGCAGAGGCCCGGCCAGTTACAGTGATCAGTGATAAGGCTAGTGCTTACCTCAACCCTTTTTGTACAGAGTAACTAGTTACTTGCAGTCTCGAGACGTTTGTCCTACACTAAATGGGCAAAGGCGCAGTCCATGCAACGTCGTCAATACACGTTCCAGACTCCATCTCCGATGATGAATAGGGGAAGGATGAGAGTAAAATTACCACCATATCAGATATCCGTGCCTTCGCGCACCCAAAGAACTTCCCGCTTTGGGTGCGCCCGCATTCCTGACCTTTCCGGTTTCCTGACCTTTTAGTATAGAAATCGTCAAATTTACCACCCAACTAGCTAATTATCAATAAAAAAAAGCTCTCCTGCCTGCCTAGCCGCTTCCTCGTTTGCAATTGCCCGCTGAATAGTTTGTAGCCATACACCTTCTTGAACTGCCCGGCTAGCTTCCTTTCCTCCTTGGCTAAATCCTCCTCCTTCCTGGTCTTAATAGATCGATTCGTATCGCGTGTAGTCAATATACCGGCTTGGCCAAGCGGTTTTAGCTGTCGCTTAGTGTATTTTCGACGTACTGGAGTTTACGCGGCCCTCATACGCTGAATTATATCCCGCGTCATCGAAAGCTCCTCCACTATCTCCCGCTAGTACGCTATCAACCTTAATAGATTTCGGAGGGCTATTTTCAACACTAGAAGACAAGAGATTAGGTAGTGGCGATAGTATATACGATCCCTATAAGCGTAGATCTAGTATATATAGATCAGGGATTTCTAGTTAATTATTCAGATCTGTCACAATCTAACTACCATCAACAGGATAGATCCCACGCTCTCTAAAGGAATCCCGGATAATTCGCTACAAGAAGGCCTTCTTGCGAATTAGACTAATAATCGCTAGGAAATCCGATTTCCTATACAGCTAGCCGCCCTAGAAAGCTAGCTTATTATTTATTAACCGAAATTATTACTTATAATTCAAAAAGGGCTTTCCGTTAAGCGGCTAGTAAAGATATATTAAATACGGTAGAAATACGAATAGGATAATATAATTATCCTCGCAGGTTTAAAGAAATTCGAGTATAAGATACGCCATATAGCCGTCGAATATAAGAACGCGCTTTTCGCCCCGATTTACACGATAAGCGGTTAATTAGATGAAATAGCCTAGCTAGGCTAGGGCTAAGTTATCAGAAATCCAGCTATTAGGAGAGATAGCCGTCATCGTGTCTAGTAAGAGATTTTCGCTACTGTAGAACTAGGCCTCTATAAGATTTTAGCTAGTTCCTTTAAATATAAAGAGAGGATCTATTTGCTAGCCGTCCGCAGTAATACACTCTAGTATAGTGATATTTTCGCCTCTCTCTATTTCTAGCAGGTCAGGGCAAGATAATTTAGCCCCAATAACGTTTCGCGATCGCCCTTAACTAGGTTAAAACCCGCATTTATCGAAGTTATATACTAGCCGAGCAGGAACGTTATATAGAACACATTCTAGTAGGTCGTACCAGTACTAAAGAAGCCCTATATCCTCCGCTTAGATTCGCGTTAGTTCCTTAGTCTTTTACTTCACAGGGCCTAGGCTAAGGTTTTTTAGTAGACGCTTTATAAAGGCGTACGGCCAATTTTTACCAACCTACTGTACCTATCCGGCTAGCCCGATCGCGTTAGTACGCGATTTACCCATACCCCTACTACCGCAGGGGTAGGTAGAAGGTTCCAGTTATGCATCTAGACTATCCAGTTAATCAAGGCTTTCTCCTAATATAGCTCCAGGATATTTTTCAGCGATTTAGTAGGTGTAGCAGGCGATTTAGCCATTTCGACGCGTCCTGTCAGGGTCTTGCGATCCACGCCGAATTCACGGGCAATCTTAGTAAAATTCGGCTTCTTTTAGGATAAGACCACTTTGCAGGCCTCGGCTATATGAGATTCATCAAAATTGATAGATTTAGGCATGGTTGGTGGTTGAATTGGCTAGTAGAAGACTACTGGTAGAAAAATGGTCAAGAAACCAGAAAGGTCAGGAATACGGGCGCACCCAAAGCGGGAAGCGGTTTGGGCGGGCAGTAGGCACGGATACCACCTTGTGTGAGACAAGGCTTGCGGATCTCTCGCTTTGCGGAAGGATTTCTCCTATTTCCTACGAACTACGGTGGCTGATTACGGCCACTGAGTAGAAACCCACTTTCAGGGCCGAATATCCAGTAGAACCCTGAAATTGACCAACTACCTACTCTGGCAGAATGTCTAAAGACCCTGATTTTTTGTAAGCCAAATCAATACTAGTTAGGGGGTCTAATTCTGCCTACGTGAGCATATCTTACAAAAGAGTGACCGGAAAAATGACTGGGAGGATGGCAGGAAAAGGTAACTACCTGTCTAGCCTTGGTGGAAGGTGGAAAGGCAGCTGAAAGATGACTAAACAGGGGTAAAAACATGGTCTGTGGCAAGACTGGGCTACGGCCGAGAGTCGTCGTCATTTTCCACAGTCGTTGAGAGTAAGCCTCGATTTACCTGATTAGGAACCTAATTAGCCGAAGACAGGCACGGAGAACGGAATCTTGCCAAAGAACATAGACCATTGATTGGCTGAAAATTCCCTGTAGCCGAAGACAGGTTGACAAGATATCCACGTACTGGAATGACCCAAACCCACATGGAGTTGAGATATGCCACACGTGCTTCGCTCACAAGCCCTCCCAAAACATTGTCTATCCACGAAGAATTCAAAATACTGAAAGCCTAAGTCTTAAGCTTTGTGCTACAGATGTATTGAAGAAGCTGATCCTTTCTTTTCGCAAACTCGGGTATGTACAGCGTGCAACACTAAACAGGAGAAAGCCCTGGAGAGCGAAGCTCTGATGCTTCAGACTCCTTGGGATAATTTGGTATTAAGTGACAGTGATACAAGACTTCCTTCGATGAAGAAGACCCAATTCGAATCCAAACCGAGAAAATACCACGTAATGTACCCAAGTAATGTAGAAATCGCTTATGACGCTTAGGCAAAATAGCTCTTCCATAACACACCCGATAGGTCCTCTAGCTGGTCCGGCGTGAAGGCCTAGATTACGATAATTAGTGCTTGATAGAGAGGTTTCAGGTTATATTCGAATTACTTACCTTTGCATCGATGTGCCAGGTATCCTGTCTGGTCTTCTTAAACTCGCTGATTATCGACTTCACGCTGGAGCGCACAACGCCCGGGTCATTAGCGGCGCGGGTGCTCAGCGTAGTCAAGGCCTCTGGCATCCAGCGAGGCGGGGGACTATTGTACGGGAATGCCTGGATCAAAGCACCCAGACCCAGAACGGCTCCATGGCGGACGATGATCAGTCGGTTGTGCTCAGGAGTGGGGGTGCCTGCACCGGAGGAAACCGCAGAGGAAATGCCCGACCGGATGTTTCGAGGTTTCTTGGGCAGTGGGTTTTCTTCTAGAATCCTTGTGAAGCGCTCCTGGAATCGGTGGACCATCTTGTCACGCAGGAAGATGGGTGAGCAGCGGACCATGCCGGATAGGGTGGCCGAAGCACCGGCGCGGACTTCGTGTTGCGGGTCTTCGAGCATGGAAGCAATGCACTCGAAAAGCTTGTCGCGGTCTGCAGAGTCTAGAAGGAACAACCGACGGAAATAAATGATCTGGATGTTGATCATGACCCGCAGACGCTGATGCCACGAGGGGGAAGTCTGTCCAATGCGGGTGAGAGACTGTATGAAGTCGGAGTTCTTCTCTGCCGGATAGGGAATGTTGGGGAGGTGGCGGAAAACATGGTAGGCAAGTGACTGCAGCTCGGGGTCTTCCTTGACATCCATCATGTGTAGGAGTTGAGCAGTAAAGACATCAGGGAAGAAAGGTACAAGCTGAGTGCACTCGTGAGAAGATAGAGTGGAGTCTAACCAAAGCAGCACCGTCTTACTGCCGGAGGTGTAGGATGATGGGGTCTGTTGGCCTGGGGTTCTGACTTGGCGCCATTGTTCAATTTGGTCAAATACTCCACGAAGCATCGTGGAAAATTCATCAGAGGGTAGATAGGGGTAGGTGCCGACAGAGGAAGCGGCCTTCTGGTCCTCCAACAAACGCTTGAGGTCGGGGTACGACTCGTGGTATCTTGTGCGGTAGATGGTCGCAAGGGTCTGACCCATTGCTTCACGTACTCCCTTGTAAGGATGATCCAGATGAGCAAGGAAGTCCTCGACAATAGGCTTTTCGAGCTGGAAATGCCATCCAGCGTCAATGATGCACTGGTGAAGGAGATTGATCTTTGAGCTTTCCTTGAAGGCAGCATTAGTGGACATATCCAGGCGGAAACTGGCAAGCCAGTCAACCAAGGGCCAAGCGCGGCGAGGGTCACGGCATTGCAAGATCATGTGAAGGAAAGTAGTCCAGTAACCCGAGTTCTCGGGGGTAAGACCGTCCATGAAGATCTTACGCACGATGGGGAAGGAATATTCCCACACGAGAGCACGATTCTCCACACTCGTATCAGTCACGGAGCTGATCAAGGCTCCCAGAATCTCCGCCGTAGCACGATGCTGGTGCTTATCACTGCCGTCCTCGAAGACGGCTTGAATCTCCTCCTGGATATCCTTGAACGAGGCAGCGGTAAGGCCATCTCGAAGCATGAGCTCGAAAGCGTAAAGGAGCATCATGGCGCAAGACATGCGGAACTTGTCGGCAGACGGGTCTCTCGGTTCTTGCTTTAGGTACATGAAGAACTTGGAGAACCACTCGCGAGTGAACAACTTGCCCATCTGAGTCCGCACTTTCCACTCAACCTCGTCGTATTCAATATCGCGCGCAATGTTGGATTTGTACGCAGGCATCGTCTTGCCCCACACCAGCCAGCCGGGGAAGTCGTGATCAACGTAATACTCAGCCTCAGGCTTAGCAAAGCTGGCCAAGTACTCCCGAGTCCAGTCCTTCTCATCAGGCCGGGTGGCCACCTTGATCTTCGAGGGGAATCGCTGATGGCCCAGGATATAGTTCTTGTACTCGTGAGTGCAGATAGCCCGGACATCAATCATGGTGAAGAGCGCAATGAGCGCTTGGGAGTACATGCCCCTCAGGCCGGGGTGGTCATCGATGGAGCCTAGGGTTACTAGCTCGATCAAGTTATCACTTGCAATGTAATCGAAACGAAGACCCATCGTGATGACGATCGTTGCAGCGCGACTAGCAATCTTCCAGTGAGAGACCCGGGCTAGATTAACCAGCTCTTCGGCCAGATCAGCCTTCTTCTTCTCAATCAATGCACGCTTGTTATTGATGACCTTGCGCTTTTGCTCAATCTCTCCGTTGACATCATCAATAGGAGCAATCGCTTCGACTATCTTCTGATCCAGGATGGCCATACGTTCCATGGCGCGGCCATAGTCCATGATTTGGAAAACAGCACTAGAGCAGATCTTCTGCACAGAGGGCTTGTCAACAGCGCTGGCATCGATAAATGTTCGGATCAATGCTGGAGTGTATTTCCAGTTTCGCCCAACAGTCTTTGCGACGCTGCTTAGAAGCAACGAGAATAACGCTCCTTTGATACGGGCATGGTCATTCTCCTTAACGCCCTTCTGCAGCGCCTTGAGTAGGGGAGGGATGATGAGAGTTCGCGCGCCCCAAACAGACTTCAGAGCCGATTCGCCTGCATTCTGAGCATTTCTACGAGTTTCCGTGTAGAGGGAGACACAAGACTCGGCAAGATCAAACAGGAGAATCTCGTCGAGTTTGGATCGAGGTCGCGGAGCGGCATTATGGCGCAAGCGTTGCAGGTGGTAGACGTTCGCCCTACGAACGAGCAGTGCCCTGGGGTAGTCTTTGCGAATGCCACTCATCTTGTATGGGTGAACATCTGCTGCCAACAGTCGCGTGACCCGGTCCAGAACATGTGCCGAACGTTCGATGCCAACGTCAACAAACCAAGAGCGGTAGGCGGAGTATAGTGCACCAAAGCAAGGCACGTCGTCCTCCTGCCTGTCACTCAAGAATCTGTGCACATCATGCAAGACGAATCCTGCACGCTCGCGGATTTCATGGATTGTCTTGTACAGAATGTCTCCTTCCTCGAGAGGGTATCCTGTTGGGTAGGAGAAGCTCTCCTTGATCGCTGATTCATCAGAGCTGTCAAGCGATGCATCGGGATCTTCATCCCCAACGCCATTAGACAAAGAGCATTCATCTTCCATTTCAACTTCGCTTGTATTCACGGAAGCGTCATTGGAGTTGGATGCCTTCGAGGCAGCCTTGGGATCGAAAAGCACGGAGATACCAGACAGAAGAAGACGAAGCAGGACGAGGTTTCTGGTCACTTCATCGGACCAATCCTTGCCACTTCCATCCCGTTTAATGCTGGATGTCTCATTGGTCAGTCCCGAGAGATGCTTCAGGGCAGATTCAGCCTGATTCTTAAAGACTTCAACGGCAAACTCCAATTCCTCCCGCTTAGGAACGTGCCAGTTAATGTTCAAACTCTGGACATTAGGCTTGTAACTCCAATGAGTTGGCTGAATACCGCCCTTAATGTCTTCCTTTTCATAGAGTGAGTAGTCACTTGTGTAAGTGCCTGTAAGATTAAGCAAAAGATGGTGGATGAAGTTTGAGATGTGCACGGTCGGAATGCCTCGGCACTTCTGCTGCATGTAGACTGCAATGTCAAACAGCTGTTGTCGATGAGCAAGGACAGCATCGCCGACGTGGACCACGCACATACTCAGCATACTAACGTTCCAAACCAAGCCACGGTCACGAGGAAGTACATCTGTGCCGGTTGTTCTGGTAGAACCTGCTCCGTTTTCCTCAATCTCCGTGCGGATGGCTTGTGTCAGAACCGGGATGAAGCGCTTGAGAGCCTTCTCGGGGTTGACCTTGCACAAGGCATTGCAAATGAACGCCATTGCATCTCGCGCTTGGTGGATGACGTGGTTAGAGACGAAATCCACAATCTTGGAGAGTGCAATATCGTAGTACTCGGGGGATAGTGAAGCCAACAGAGGCATAAATGTGGCGGGGAGTGTGTTCACAATGTTCTCCTCGGGAGATCCGTTGCGCACCCTGGTGACATCTGGCAAGTTCTCTAGAAGAGTGAAAACACGGCCCAAGAACGAAATTGTGAAATCGCCAAAGCCACAGGTTGATGACCGCAGAATCATCTCCTCGGTTTCATCATCTAGCTCTGTATCGTAATTCAATTGCAAATCGACTCCTTGCTCCTCCATACGTTCCATCTCTCCAGTGATCCATTGCAGTGCAAGCATATTGCAATTGATATCCTCTCTTCCCTGGGTCATATCAACCATGGGAATATTGTAGCATGCCGACTGAATGAACGATAGTGCATGCAGAGATTTATCAAGATCATTGGCATCAATGCCGGGCAAAGCAAGACCGAGGAGCGTGGTCATATGGCAGCGATAGCCCCTTGTCCGGGTGATGACACGGGAAAGTACTTGCATGGCACGAAGAGAAGAGGTCGTCCGATGGACTTCAACCAGACCTTGCAGAGAAGGATATATTCTCTGCAATGCGCCGGGAAGGATAAGATGCGGCTCGAGGTAAGCCAGACCTTGCAGTGTAGACAAGGAGAAAGTCATTGCAGTGCTGCTTTTAGCGTAGATACCCATAAAGATTACGTCCCTCAGACACAAAACGAAGCGTCGCTTCAAGGGCTCATTGAGTCGTCGCTCGGCTGGGATCTCCATCTCTCCGCTTTGCTCACGGTTCCAACGCATCACGAAGAAATCGGTCAAATAGTAAACTAACTGCGATAGAGTCTTGGTCCAGCTACCAGAATTAGAGGGATGGAAAAATGTTTCCACTGCCTGAATCAGACCCTCCAACTGGCTGAGGATTGAGTCCTCGGATTCCAGACAGGCAGGAGAGAGTGACATCACTATCCAGCGGGCAATATGATGAGCCACGGGGTGCTTGCGCGTATCGCGATCAAGCATGATGCCCAGTCCAGATGAAATGTCCACCAACGCGCTGTATGGCGACGTCGATTGTCCCACTGGGATCTCCAACAACCGCAAAATCGCGGTGAAAATAAGAGACGATTGCTCCTTTGAGAAGATACCATGCTCGGAAAATGGAAGGTGTCCCGCGGGCAGCGAGTCGCGAGCCAGTCTGGACAAGTAGTCCAAGTATGTGGTATCGAACGTCTTGGAGCGACCTACTAGCGACCATAGATGGAATTGGGTTGGGAGATGGGTTTGAGGTAGGAGGTCTTCTCTTTCAGCGGGTGGGGGTGATGTCGGGAGCAAGAGGTTGATCAATCCTGCTACCACGAAGGCGCCTTCGGAAAATGAGGTTGTATAGTGAGGGAGGAATTCTTCGAGCATCGCAGGCAGTTCGCAGGGGTCGAAGAATAGCTGAGAAAAGGCGCACATTTTCGTCAGTGTCTTGACGTTTCGCTTCAGATTGGTCGAATGGACCAGGCCAGACTCTGTTGGGAGTACAAAGGCCTTGAGCTCCTTGTAGAGTGGTCGCCAGTCGAGAACGAGATCTTTCACAGGTCGGAGATAGTGCTTGCGCCTGTATCCAAAGTTAGCATTCCCCCCTCCATGTCGCGGACCATGACCATGGATTTGAGCTCACTTGGTGAGGAGCATGAACATGCTGGCGAACCGCTCCGAGACACCAGGATCGATACCCGGAGCTAGCGAAAGCTCAAAGTAGAGCTTCACTAGATTGATCCGCTCCTTTCGGTTTGGATCGAACTTCAGAGACAGCCATCCTCGCAGCTCGCGTGTCCAGTGTACAGCCCCGGGACTGAAGTCGCCCGCCTCCACCGAGATGTATAACTGATTCAAGATTTCGCGCAGGGTCCGATCTCGTTCGGTCTCATCTTCGAGCTGATAGGGGAGGTACTTGAAGTATGGGTAGGTCCGTGGACGAACTCGAGCTTTCGGCTCGCCGTCGCCATTCATCACAACGGGTTCACCACCTGGCGAGGTGGCGCGTGAGATCTCTTGTGCATGGGAGAAATTATCGGATGTGAGGATCGCTTTGGGGGCCGAGGCATCCATCCTCGGATGCGAGACGAGCGAGAGGTGGAGGTTGGGGGGGGGGGGGACACGCGGTGGAGATGAGAGGAGGGAGGCGTTGCCCGTGGACGGACGTCAGATCGGGCTCTAAGTCGATACGTCAGCAATCAACTATAAGCTCCACAAGCTTCAAAATTTACATCCCAACAATAGTATCAAGATGAGAGTGGTACATACCTCTACCACAAAGTGTATAATTCCACTCCAGAGGAGACGGATCTTGAGGCCGGAGGATGCGTTGCAGCAGGCCGAGTTCGCATGAGGTTCTTGGCTGTCGGGGCGGGCGGAGGAGGAGCTTCGGGGTGGGCTGAACTGAAGCAGAATGGGGGCCAGCGGTTAGTAATCGAATCGATGCTCCGTTTCACCTCAAAGGGGTTGGCCTCAAAGGATGGGATGATTTGAAGAAATGGGGCTGATAGCTCAAAGAACTGAGATGATCCAGTGTCTCATGTTCGAAGCTCGGTTCCCGCTCCATCGAGGTTGGATGACATAATTCCACGTAACTCCGTAGAAATGGAGCCGCTTTTGCTGTCCTGGGGGAGAATACCAGCAAATTATAGATTCAAACTAACCTTGAACTATTTAATTACTGGTGAGTTCTCTGACAAAGAGGTGACCGACGTAGTTATTTCGTTGTTTAATGATGACAACTCTCTATCTTTTGATTTATAAAGGGTTACCAGGCACTAGTGAGGCAAAGAACGCCTTACCAAGCCCAACCCAGGCAGACAACCTCTGACGCAAGCGGCACAGTCGCCGCACAGAGCCGAGTAAATAACCAATCCCGAACCACTGTATTTTATCTTTCATTTCAACTTGATCTGGCCATTAAAGGGTTTCTCATATGTACCTTCACGCTGGGGGCAAAAAGGAACCGAAAAGAACCGCCTGGATTAGTGCATAGGCCACCATGGCTTGCGCAGCAATCGATAGCCCTCGGCGACTCTTCTGGGGATCTTGGAAGCTGCCCATGGCTGTAGATACGAGCCACCAATACCACACTGGATACCCCGATGAAATTCGATTGACGATTTGGACATGATAGCTCGTCAAGGCCATCACTGCCAAAAGACCCTGCGGCACTGCTAGGCGAAACAGCATGGAACCCGGGCTCACCTGCGAGGAGGATGTGCCACCAGAATCCGAGCGCAGAGTTGATGGGGCCTTAAGAGCCCAGAGTGCTGATTTGCAGAGGACTGCCAGCATGGGCGCGGCTAGCAAGAAGAGAGGAATATTGGAGACGGTCCAATACCGGAGAAAGCCCACGTCCCTGTAAGATGTTAGGATGACAGATTAAACGGGTAAAAAGGAGAGTTCGTTTACCAATAGAAGCTCTGGACCCAATTATAGATACTAGGTACAGTCCAGCTGCACCATGGCCGCAAATCTCCTCCGCTCATGCAGTATTCGCGGTAAGCCAGCATCTGAGGCACAATCATGCTCGATGCAACGATACAACCCCCCGCGATTAGAACGGCGAGACGACGGACTTTGTGGACGCTGAGACCTTGCGCAAAGATTGTCCAAACCAGGATAGCAGCATCATAGGCGAACAAGAACCCGCTCAGAATGCCATTACTGCGGACGACGGTTGCAATAGCAAAGAGCACCGCAGCTGTCAGAACCTGCAGATCTCGGAGCAATACAGCGCCCTTGTGCTCTGAAATGAGAGATGATGTGTACAGGTAGTATCCCAGAATATTCAGGAGGGAAAAGACCGGTTCCCCGTACGGCGCCGACAAGAAAGCCCCGGCAGGTGAGATAACATGCAGGGCAGCCGACAAGAAACAGATGAGCTTCTGGGTAGATGTCGCACTCCCAAAGATGTTGGCTGACAAGCTATACAACGCCAGTACTGAGTAGTAATGAGCGATATGGGACAGAATCACGCCCACTAAGGCTGTGTTCACTGGTCCATCTATTCCTCCAGACCAGCGGATGCCTATATGCAAAGGTGTGAGATAATCATTCAATGTGTCAATTGAGGGACGTCAATTGGGACAACGTACCAGAAACAAATAAGCCCAGAATTCGGGGATAACTAAATGCCCATTCTTGCTCAAACACATACCCTTCCTCCGCGATATGGAGGAAGTAGATCGAATCCCATCGGACAAACTTCAATGACGGAGGTAGAGGCTCCGTCGGGCTACTCACCAAGCCAGACCCCTCGCGCGCAATCAAGGTTGTGGAGGTATCATATCCAGGCCCCGGGCAGAGAGTAATTACTACAAAGAGCAAGGCTTTCCATAGCAAAAAGGCGAGGGTCAAGCTGCCCACGGGGTTGTCCAGTCGGAGCAGCTTCGCCAAGATGGACTTGCCAGCTGTTTCGACCATCTCAGTGGCACCTCTCGGGGGTAATACTGACGTAAGAGAATCCAGCTGATACAGTCTAGGTTGGCGGGTCGCGTATTGGTGGGTGTGAATCGGCATCACCAAACTTGCCGAGGCACTGCAGCACGACTGCGCGATAAGAATGCTCAATGTTTGACGGTTTGGGAGAATGTCGTGGGCGGGATCCCGTCGGAGTGCACAACAGGCATAAACCATTGCATAAGTGAGTGATGCACATAATTAGTCAGCGGGACACGGAGGTGATTGCAAATGAGCAACTGATCGCCGATGCGCGATTTATAAAGTCGTTTGATAGCTTATGGTATAGTCGATGTGTCTGATAACTAATAGATAACTAATAGATAACTAATCCGTAGTATTGTCTCACTGCAATGATTCGGTGGATTCGATGGGCTGATCCAGAGTCCGGGGTCCAGTTATCCAAATGAGGTCTGATAATTCACGATCAGCCCATCAAACAGAATGCAAGTCTAGACACAGTACGCATTTTGGTCAGCTTGGAAGCTTGGGTTGAGCAGATAAATCGATTAGGATCAAATCCGCTGAAGTTTGGACGGCAGATAAGACAGCAATGAGCTCCTCATAAGGTGCCTCGGTAGATCATATCCTCTTCTCAGGCCCAATAGTATGTCTAGTCCATATAGAGTGGCAAACACAAGGATGACCGGCCTTGGCGGCTGCAAAACGGTGAACCTCAGTCATTTATCATCATTGGTAACTGCTCGTCCACCTGATGCGATATTTTCAGGGTTTTCTGCAAAAGATGATACCCACTCGGGACTACGGGGCCAAACCGTGGCTCCAGGATTCCACTCAGCCCTATTGAGCTTTGCTCTCGTAGACAACCTTCTGGCTTAGTCTAAGTAATCTCAGCAGGAGCTGGAGTGTTGATGATCCTGCGCATTCTACTATGTACAAAGCCCGTCAGCTTGGGCAAGGCCACTACATAAAACGAACCGCTGACAGGTGCGCTTGATCTCGTATGTTTCGTATTTAGAGCCCATGTTTAAACGCCGCGGCGCTGGGTCTCTTGTCGATGACGGTGGGGCACGAGAGCGGCGCATCAATCCGTCCGATTCCCGCGGTAGACGGCGTTCGGTCCTTTGGCATTGCACCTCGCCGCCGAGCCGTGAGTAAGCCTCAGTCCAGAAGAGTCTGGTGGCCGCTTTTTTACCGTGGTTTGGGATACGGTGAGATCCCGATGCGTATCAAATATAATGATAATTTGATTGTGCTCACCTGTGCCCGCTGGTAGACAGAGTTGCCTAGGCCTCGTAGCGGAGCAAAGAGAGAAAAAGTCTGCTGGTCATGTCAAACGACTCCCCACCTTCTTTTGGCGATACGCGGGCCCAAGAACCCCTCATCCGCCAGTCCGAGCAGGCCATTTTGTAATAGTAGTAGTTCTGGACGGTAACAAGAGCAAGATGTACACACACATATACATCTGTCCTGACTCGACCAGCTCAGGTACAGAGGGAGCTAGCTCGCCTTGCTCGTGGCTGACCAGCTGAAGAAGTTGGCACCCGTAAGAACTGGTCATTCGCGCCACGGCCAGTTAGTGTCGATATAGGGTCCGATGCTCAGCTCAAGGATGACGGACGAAAACCAACCGCAACTGCAGTGGTGCTCGCCAAGCCACGCCCAAGGACGACAACCCATTTTTCACCATGACGTCCCTTTTTTCGTTCCTCTTTTCGTTCCTCGGCCTCGGAGCCTCAGAGGATCCATTGGAAGTTGTCCGATCGTCCGCTCGGATGCGCCGGAGGTCGTAATGGCCGATCCCGTCAGGATCCAAGGTGGTCTGCGCAAAGTGGAGCCCACTTTTTTCACCATCGCTGACTGGTGTACGGAGTAGCGGCAGTTAAGTGGAGAGTTTGGTGGTTTGGTCCGGGTTGCAGGTCTGAGGTTTGGAGGTGGTTTGTTTGGAGAGCAAATAATAATAATACTAGGAGGATCGCATAAGGCTGACCGCCAATTTTGTGGATTATTTTATTATTTTATTCTCTTTTTACGGAGCTGGTCCTGATGGTCCCAGAGAGAAAACGAAGAATCAGCTACACGATTATTATTCTTATTATTATACAGTACATCTCCTCCTCTCCCCCTTTCACTCCTTTCAACCCCCCTTGCAGTTCCCCTTCTCGGGAAGAGTTGACGCTAAGCGCCCGTCTATACATCGCGCATACATATCCTGTTGTTGTCTTGTCTCCTCATTCCTTCATTCTTTTTCTTTTCTTCACCGATCCTGATCCTGATCTCGATCTCATCCTCTCCGCCGCGATCCCCACTCCACTACAGCCAAAACTGTCCTCGCGGCTGTTCTTCCCCGCAACGAACGCGTGGACAGTCTTGGATCCGTACGTGGTTTTCCTCCCGACCTTATAAACCCCCCCCATCCACCTAGCCGTCGCGGGTTTGTGGGTAGGAGGCCAAATGTGGCTCCGCTAGAGTCCAAGAATGCTGCTGAATCTTGGCCTCGCAGCGGATGCCGCAGCAGCTCATTCAAACGATCCCTCTATCCAGCCAGAGTCTCCCCCAGCATCAGCATTGCCCTATTCACCCTCGTTCACTTTCCCGGCACTACCATTTCTGGACGCCCTCCGTAACCGCCCCAAGCAGCCTGGTCCTGCTGCGCTCGCCGGTTCGACCTCCACCGCGGCTATGAGCCCTGTCATGTCGACGCCGACGGAGGGCGAGTCTTCCACCGCTGCCCCCTCCGCCCCGTCCGCGCTCGCACGACCTCGGGCCCATCGTTCCTCTACCTACAAGAAGTCATCGCGGCCGAAAACCTCGTACCAGTTCGCCCACCCTGCTTCACATGCCCGCCATAAGCGGTTGCGGCTTCGGCCGAAGCTCTTACTGCAGGTGCAGCAAGTGTCGCAAACCTCCAGACCTCTACCTGTTATAGATGTCCTTCCTTCGACCATGTATCTGCCTCGGTTAGCTCGCAAGTTCCCAGCTCTGTTTCGACGAAGGAACGGCCTTTGTCCCTACGATGTCATCATAGTCATGAGTGAATTATATGAGCGTACCAGAGCAAATATCCCTGAGAAGCACGCCAGCTCCGAGGACGACGACGAGGATCAGCGCGAAGTTGTCGCTACCGTCTGTCAGATGCTTCAAGAAGATGCGCGCTTAAAGGGGAAGGCCGAGATTTGTCTAAACTTTGGACCCATATGGGAGGCGACTCCACTGCCCAGTGGCTCGTACGAGTTTGTTGCCAACACGGATGATGGGATTCGAGTCATGCGATGGGCATTGCGAGGAGGGAAAAATCGTCGAGGAACGCAAAGCCGTGATGACACGAAGCGGTTTACATTTAGCGTCATTGACCCCAATACCCGACGGCACCCAGTAATCGCATCCATGACCAAAAACCAATTGGAAGTGAATGATGAGTACTCTGCCGCGGCTGCACGATCTACGACTGGTCCCACGACCCCAAGTTCCGGCATGTCTGTTGTCAGCGACATGTCTGATACGGAAATGCCCATGGACACCAATGACGTGACTGTCCTTGACGACGAGTTACGCACTTTGATCATCGTTACAGGGATCTGGGTGGCTTTCCGGGAGGGTTGGTCGCACAATTTTAACTACGGTGACCCTGTCTCGGCAGCTAATGGCAAGGGCCTCGCATCTCCAACATCATCGACAAAATACAGCTCGCCCACCACAAGCAAAATTGAATACGAGGATGCTCCTGATCGCGATGAACTCAGTCCAGTGAAGGATTTCTCGAATGGAAAGCGCTGCATGTCGTTCTCTGGCGTGACTCGTGCCAATTCGACGACACCCTCCGAGGGAGGCAAAGGAGTTGGCAGCTTGTCAAAACGGTCAAACTCAACAGGTGCCGCTTTTATCGAACGAGCCAAGCGACGGAGCGCCTCGGCGGCTAGCAGTCGACTCAACCGCCACAGCATGTTCACTGGCACTGGTGAGAATGGCCGTGATATCGTGGTATCCCGCCCTCCATCTTTGCGACAGAATTCCATCGAGCCCGAGATCTCCCCTCAACGTCCTGGCCGACTCGAAACCAGACCCAAAGTCAATCCGGGTCTGGAACCCCCAAGCTGACTGTCCAGCCAGATCGTGGCCCGGAGCTTACTTTCGACGGTGCATCAGACGTGCCCTCCAAGGACTCGGAAGCTACGAAAACCAAACGAAAACACCGACTCAGCTCTCTCTTCACGATCTTCCACCGAAAGCACTAAACCCTCTACGCGTGTATACGCCCCTGCATCTTCCAGCGACTGCCTCCCTGTATCTCATACGAGTATTTTTCCTTGTTTTATTTTGCATCTGGTCTGGGCGTTTCCTCTTCATCCTCGGCACCGCATATCGTCTGGCACGGAGCGTTGCCCATTTTGACCATTTACATTCCTGACATATCTCTCCTTACTAAATGAACAATTTCCCCGTACTTTCAAATCCCGGTGGCCCTTTGACTTGAGCATTCTGTATAGAAGTGGTACGTGTGGTCAATTCATCGGTTCATGGGATTTTCTTGTTGCTTTGTGGAATTAGGTACACTGGCCTACTTGAGTCTTTGTAACTAGTATCGAGGCAATCTGAGCTGCTCTTCCGTACGTCCCTTTATTAAGCCATGAATACACACGGCCAATCTATGGGTTGATCCGAATTTCTGTGTGCTTCGAAAGTATTCTCATCAATGATAGGACCAGTTTAGATTAGAAAATCATGCAAATTAAGGTGAAAGTTTATACAGTCGATCCCAAGGAAAGAGGGTCCACTCAGACTCATTCAAAGCCAAACCAGGGCATTGATCAACACCCACTCATTTTAAGAGCCATCAAACGACCCCATTCCACCGTCCACCGACAACTCAGAACTGAGCAGTCTTATTATCCGGTGCAGCAGTATATAACTGCTGCCCATTCTTCTTAAAGCTGGTAATAACCTTCTGCCCCTCAGCACTTATAGCCCACTGCGCAAACTTATCAGCCATTTCCTCATTCCTCACACCTTTTCCAATCAAAATATGAGCCGGATTCAGCAGGGGATCAGACGCATCATCAGTACCAGCCTTGTAGATGGTCGTCTGGTTCTGCAGCTCCGTCGAGATAGACAGGTACGTGCCGCGATCAGTGATGGTGTACTCATTGAGCAGGATAGCGGCTGTCAGTGCCTGAATCGGGTACGCGATGTACTGGTGGTACCAGGTTGAGTACGCGGTGGCCCAGGGGACTTGACCGATTTCGATCCACAGCTGGGAATCCTTGATGTTGGTGGCGGATTTGTCGTAGCGGGTTAGGAAGCGGACGGGGGGATCGGTGTTGCCTGCTTCGGCGGTGGTGTAGATGTTTGAGAATTGGGTTTGGATGTTCTGGTTCTTGGAGATGTTGGCCGGGTTCGAATGCGGACCGACGAGGAGGAAGTGGTCGCGCCAGGTGTACCAGGCTGGAGACTTGGCGATGCCCTTGTTGATGGCGATTTGTTCGGCGGCGGGGGTGTAGGTGATGCCGATGTCGACGGTGCCGTCTTTGAGGTAGTTGATTGACTCGGTGGTGTCGGATTTGTACCAGGCGATCTCGAATGGTTTTGAGCCATTCTTGACACTGGCTCTGATGAAGGCGTTGGCGAGAACTGGATTGGGAGAGTGTTAGAATGATGCCTTCTTCAATGATATATGACAACTGTGGTAAGTCTCATGGAAATATTTACCCTCAATCAGACCACTCTGACCGGCACCGCCATTGCCAATACGAAGGGCGACATTCTTAGCCGACCTGTAGCCCCCATTGTAGATGGCAGCAGGGTCGACGGTATAGGCCGGTGCAGCAAGCAACAACCCCTGAATGAAGGTAGAAGAACGCATGGATGGAGCGGATGAGCGACGTGAAGAATAAATCGAGCTCACAGGGAGAGCCTCCCTGAGCAAAGCTGCTGGTTATGAACAGCAAAGTACATCATACGTAAGCTTTAAAACCCGACCAAGCCATCAGAATGCCGTGTTATTTTTTTTTCCTTCTGTGAGACGAGGCCTCGCTATGAACACGTCTTTGATGATAGATCGATCCTTGATTGAGGCTAGGTAGCTGAATCATTGAAGTTGAAAAGGCTGCCTATGAACATGACGTGAGAGACCCAATGCCATCGTTCTTTTCAGAAAGAAGTATAGGGATATAGAAGACATGTGGGAAAGTTATTGTCAGTAACTAGCACGCATTGGCCGAGGGCCGTATCGGCGGTGCGGAGTACAATCTGTGCCAGCCTTAAAGATGCGATCCACCACGGATCGGCGTTCGACAAGGAGACCAGAGCCAATACATAGCATCACGCGACTGTGCAGGTCTTCTCAGCTCAAGGTCCAGACTACTGCATTCGAGTTTATCATTGGTTTGCGTCTTGGACAAGGTTCCCTTACTGGGGAAGAATGACTTGATGGTTCAACTTCAAAGGGAAGCATGCTTGTCTGGGGTTGCCGAGAAGTTGATACGATGGTGTGGGTATGGATTCGAATAAGCCTAATATCTGATGTCAGTAGACATTTTATTTTGCACAGAAGCTCATCTCCAGAGTTGCATTCAATAGAGATAATTATCAGCGATCAGGAGAATATCGGGGGATCTCATCGCGTGAAGACGGTCAAAGAGCCTGTGGCGTCTCCTACTGATCATGATTTGCTGAAGCTGCATGAACTCACCCTCACCCCTCTTTCTTTTTCTTTTCTCCTTCAGAAAGTCTCATTCTGCGGTGGACGATCCCATCCACCCTCCCAATCTGGCCTGATGTGAGTTTGCGTTTGGTGTTCGCTGTCGCGGCACCTTTAGGTTTGTCAGGGCTTTCTGTATAATCAGCACGAATTTATACGAAGAGACCACCGACTACCTCATACTGTAAGTTACATCCCCAGAAACTGGAAAATATATAGTGCATTGTGTCCCTTAAGAGTCAGAGTCTCTTGAGATCGGAATAGAAAACGCTAAGTGGAAAGTAGCTGTCTGACGGGACCTGGGCAGATGGTAAATCTGAAGCGTAAGTGGCTCAGCTCAATTGTTCCAAATCATAAAGTACGGTAGCCTGTCGCTGGGAGATCAGTCTACTTAGATCTTCTACTGTTTGGCAGCTAGGTTAGCCTTGAAGGATGCTGATGAATCGTCACTCGCCTACACAGACGACCAGGAATAGGAAAACGTGGCTTCAGATTGACTCAATCGGTCAGGTTCATATACGTATGCAAGTCTTCCAAACCGAAGATTTTATTTCAAGATTCTCTATATATGTCGATCACCACCACACACGTGTACAGGGTTCCAATCTCAACCAGCCAGGTCTTGGCAAGCCACGACTCTTAAGACCATTTACCGCTCCAACGCAGCAATTGTCTTGGGAACGTACGGCTCCTCCAAATACTGGATCTCCTCAGAACTCAACTGAATTTTCAGACTGGCAACTGCCTCATCAACGCGCTCCACACTGTGCAAACCCACGATGGGGCACTCATTCTGGTGACTCAGAGACCAGGCCAGGGCAATCTGCGCCATGCTCACTCCCTTCTTACCCGCCAGTTCCTCCACACGATCCACAATCGCCTTATCCGCCTCCGTCTCTCGATTGCGGATCAACACCTTAAGAGCACCGTCCGTGTTCTCGCGCACGGTAGAGCGCGAGCCCCACGGCCGCGTGAGCACGCCACGGGCCATGGGAGACCAAGGGATGAGCCCAACACCGCTGTCGAGACAGTAGGGAATCATCTCGCGCTCCTCTTCGCGGGCAATCAGGTTGTGGTAGTTCTGCATGCTGATGAACTGGTGCCAGCCGTTGCGGGCGGCGATGTTCTGCAGAGTCTGGAACTCCCAAGCCGCCATCTAATGTCCATGTATGTCAACTTTGGCTCATATATGTAACCGATTATGCTTTGTGACTTACCGAACTAGCGCCGATATAGCGAACCTTGCCGCTTTCGATCACATCGTTTAGTGCCTTCATGATCTCTTCGCGAGGGGTTTCACGGTCTAAACGGTGAATCTGGAGCACATCGATGTAGGTACCGAGGCGCTGGACGCTAGCATCAACCGCATCGAAGATATGCTTGCGAGACAGGCCGACACGGTTGACATAGTCACCATCGTTGCGCGCAGATTTCCAGATGGGAGGGAACTGGCCCTCGTCATCAACACCGTAGAAGCACTTGGTCATGATAACTACGCGGTTGCGGGAAATATCGAACTTCTTGAGGGCCTTGCCGACAACTTCCTCCGAGCGACCGTGGGAGTAGACATCCGCCTATTTCATACATGAGCCGAGTTCTATTTTTTTAAAGAGCAAGTTGGATATTTACTTACTGTGTCCCAGGTGTTGATGCCCCGCTTGTAGGCGTGCTCAATCACGTTCAATGACTCCTCCTCATCCAGGACCCAGTCCTGCCAATCATTGCTACCAAAGCCCATGGTGCCTAGAACGATCTTGGAGATCTTCAGCCCTGATTTTCCAAGGCTATAGTACATTAGGTGTCAGAACTTCGTGAGGGATAGAAAGTCCGTCTGTTGTGTGGTTGGGGCAATACCGTGTGTATTCCATCTCCTTGCCAGACATTTTGAATACGGTGTGATGGAGGATATTTTACTCAGAGTTGACCTTTTAAGAAGGAAATGGTCAGCTAAAAGTATTATTAAATATAGATCAATTACTTGCGGTCGATCCATGACATCAGATCGCCATCTTGGAAATGACCTACCTTCACAAGCCAATGCAGAATCGTGGGATTGTATTTTTTTACGATCGTCGCAAAAAGATAGTATGGCGTCAGGAGGATACTGACTCAATATGTGAGTCAAGTCAAGAATTCTTTGGCCCAGATAGCTGCAGCTGGGGTGGCTTTATTATCCAATCTCCGTCACTTCTACATGCCGAAAATAACAAGCGAACATCACTTAGCCGACGGTTACTCGGCAAGCTTTCCCATCGCCCACTCACAGTCCACCGTGGCCACCGGTCGGCCTGGGCCATCGGATAAGGAAAATCTGGGGTAGATACTACTGATGAAATGGTATGCAAGTTGCATCTTGCTAGCAACATTGCGTATCCTCCAATTCATAGTTCATGATACTGCAAACTAAGTCATAGCTTGTCTGAGACTTCAATATATACCACAAGAGATTTCGGGGTTTACAACGTCTCCGCCTTCAAGGGCTGCCCATCAGCACCATACGCGCCAAATTCAGACTCTGCACCATAACCAATACAGCCAGCCCACTGATAACAATCTCATATTTAAGCTCCTCAGATAGCGCCCCAATGATTTCGAAAGAACCTACCTCCACAACCGAGAATACCTTGTTGTGAAATCGACAAAGAACATGATTGTCGCGCGTATTGATCAGCTTAAAATCACCCGTCAAAGCCCCTTCAGCTTCCCACCGAAGGATCGTACCACGCAAAGAAATGCTCTCAAAGTTGTAAGTACGCGAGAAGATATCGGGTCGTCGAAGCAGGGCACCATGACCACAAATGGAGAGGGTGACTTCCGTACTCAGCTTTTTGAACGATGCTGTGTACAGGCTTGACTGGTTGTCCGAGTTGTGCTCGTCGTTCATGACATGACTGTTTTGGTGCCTTACTAGTTGTATTTGAGGCGTTTGGCGACAGACTTTAACGGTGGACAATGGTGTGGAGTCGTCCGAGTCTAGTAACGAGAGGAACTTGCCGCGATAGTGGATATGAATCATCTGAACAGCAATTGACATATTGATGAAATGAAGTTCAACTTCGGGTATGGTGAAGATGATCGGATCAACTATGGAAACCCAGGATCGATTTATCCTCGAGGAGAGTGAGGCAGCTTTTAAGTATGTCACTGCTCCAGTAGTCCTTCATGGGAAGTTAGTCTTAACACTCCTCGCTTCCAAACCAATGATTCTCATGGGGCCTCAAGAAAGAAGCGTATCAATATGCAGGGCATGTGATTGAATTGAGATATGATTGGTGCTGGTCCTTCCCCAAGCGAACAGGCCAATGAGGATATTTGGAGCAGATGGCCCCCACTGCAGACTGCAACCACAGCCTCGCCTCGGGATAAGCTGGGCTGATCCTTGAGTAGTAATATACCGACCTAGGAGATGTCAATATTTTGTATCTGATTGTTGCTCACTCACCCAAGAACATCAAGGACCTTTCATATGGGTCCAATGACATGGAAAAAGTCACGGGGACGAAGTGGGTGTCTTACATGCAGGTAAGCTATAGCAATCGAGAGCAACAAGAGAGGAAATAAATAATCGGCAGAGTCCGAAAAATCAAATGTGATGAATTCCGACCATCATGTTATCGCTGCACGTCGACTGGTCGTATTTGCGACGGCTACGAGCAAGAGAGCCAAGCTGTCCGCGATGCTGCCATGAGACGAAAAGGCAAGAGGCTGCTCATGCCCCAGCAACCAGCCACGGAGAGAACTGCTCTTTTCATTCGCCCATGTCAATTCGTATGTCTTTCAAGTATGCCGATGGTCGAGGGCCAGACATTCGCGTTTTTCCGAGAGCACACGCTACATGAAATTCCTGGGTGCTTCGAGTCTTCCAATTGGGAATCGCTTGTGATGCAACTTAGCCACTCTGAGTCATCAGTTTGTCATGCTGCAATAGCAGTCGGTGCGATGCATCGTTCTATGAGAGGACAGTGTCCTTCACTGCAGAACGATAGTTACCTCGATCATGTCAATTCATTCGCCGTCAAATATTATGTCAAATCGCTCAATCATCTCCGAAAGCGTCTGAGTGGTCCAGCGGACTCTGAATGTGAGCACGTCGCATTGGTGACATGTTTATTGTTCATTTGTTTCGAGATGCTACAGGGAAACAGGCCAGGCGCTGTGGCCCATCTTCGAAATGGGCTTCGCATTTTGTTGACATTAGGTTCTCATACCATGCACCTCGAACCTGAGATGAACAGAATGTGGCTCCGCGATGAATCTCGTTCCCATGTATCCACCCTTGATCAGCTAAAGGTCATTTATGCTCGTTTAGATTACGAGTCCACGATGTTTGGAGAACGGAGCCCCAGTATAACCCTTGGTTACCCTCGTGATGAGATCGGCCCAAGTTCTCAAGTACCAAGCTCTTTCATGAATGTTGCGGAAGCCAGAAAATCTTTGGACATCCTGTCAAATGCTGTTTATTGCTTGCGGAGTGAGCTCCTGCATCTGGCTGCTTTAGAAATGGGCAACGATATATATGAAGACTGGGCTGTTCGTTATTGCATAGCCTATTCGCGAATCCGGACAGTGGATCTATCCAAACACGCATCGCTTTTGCAGCAACAATCGTGTCTCAAGTTTAGCCTGGAACGTTGGGCCTTTTCCTTTAAAGTGCTCTCTGGCAACCTTGAGCCTCGGCCAGCAATTTTACTCGAGATGCGGCACTTTTATATCTACTTCTTGATTTGCACTATTCGCGACACCCATGAGGACTCTTGCGATCATTTTGACCCTCTTTTTCAAAGGGTGGCTGACCTCGGAAATGAATTTGTCAATGCTAACGGCAGCAAGAGTGCAACTAGGCCCAAACTTACATTCACCCTAGAGTCGGGAATCATCCCTTCTCTTTATCTAGTGGCCATGAAGTGCCGCAACTACAAGATCCGACATGAGGCTATCGCTCTGCTTGATCGAACTCGATGTCAAGAGGGGATGTGGGAAGCCGGCTTGATTGCTCGTTTTGTTGCAGAAGTGGCCGACTTGGAAGAAGAAGCAGCCGACACTCAAGGGAGAGAAGATTATAGCTTCAATACTTGCATTCCCGAGTCTGCTCGATTCAGTGATGTTGTTATTGCCATGTCTGAAACTCCTGGGCATGGTCGTTTGGTTTGTGCGCGCTATGCTCACGAGTCAACGGGTGAGGTGAAATTTTCAGAGAGGGCATTTCAATTATGATAAAATTTGGTACAATGTAGCCTGGCGATAGCAGCTGAGATTAACATCAATATCTAACTAGTTTTGAGAAATCAAGTGAAATCTAGAATCCTTGGCCATCCAATCTATATTATACCCGATAATTGCTGCATTCACAACATGGATCTTACCAAGAAAGCACCAATTATCTTGTCTTGTCCTTCATATCTTACCGTTCAGCCAGGACAGCCTTGAACCCCAGTCATACTCGGATAACTCAAGGTGCTGTCCCTCAAATGGTGGAATAACCCATGGGAATTGCTCTGGCACGAAGCCATCTGTGGTCACCCCGTTTCCAAAGCTCGCATACTTCTCCGCCGGATTTTCGTACTCCAAATCGAAGTCTTCCCAACGCACAATCTCTGTTGCAGCATAGTAATGAAGCACTGTACCAGGCCATGGAACGATAACCTTTCCGCGGGAATTTTTGTCTAGCAATAATCTGTGAGTCCGTGGTATTGAACCGACATGAGAAAAGGTTGAAAACATACACCACGAATTGCAAGGCCCTGACCATACCATATGGGACATTCTGGACTGAACCCACTGATTAAACTCTCTTTGAGCCTGATATTTGACACAAACTGATCTCAGTCTATCTGTTTGAAGTCGTGACAAAATTCGAGTCATGTAGCTCCCCGCTCGCTCAATTCCAGGTATTGCAGAACCATTCACAGGGCAAATTGGCGGATTGAACACTGAGTTCCATCAATAAGCAATTTATATGCATGAAAGTTGTTGAAGCTTACTTACCGAAAAAATTCGGAAAACCAGCGACCATCGCGGCCATATAGCTTTCACAAGGTCCCTCTGGATCCCAAGCTTTGGATAGGGACTGTTCCGCACGGCCAACTACAGGGAATCGAGGTCGATACGGCTCAAATCCAGTTGCATAAACAATAATGTCGCACTCAATCTTCCTCCCAGATGATGTAATGAGGCCATTATATGCCAGTTCAGCGATCGAATCCCTCAAATATTCGGCGTTTGGCTTTTGCAGTGCTTCCAAATAATGACCACCCGGGGTGAATCGACGACATCCTGCCTCAAAAGTCGGTAAAAGAGCATCCAGAAGTTTATTATCGGTAATTTTCGACTTCATGAAAGACTCTGACAATGAACTGAACTGAGCTTGAGACTTGGTGCCTTTCCACAGGCCTGTAAAGCCAGACGCTAGCTTCTTCTCTAATGCGATCCGAAATTCGTAGTATTTTGAAGGGCTTTTATGTAGCGCGTTCTTGTGCTCGGAAGAGTCTTCATAGTAGTCAGCTAGCTATTCTGAGCGGCATAGCATCATGTTTATACATACACAGCCGCTGAACAGCACCGTCTTCGGAGAAAATATGCGGCACAATCCATGTTGGCCCTCGGGCAATATTAATGATTTCCGAAGCAACTATCAACGTGGCTCGTCAGCATTTTTCGGAATCCATATCAGTGGAATCCGTACTGTCATACCTGGCTGCAATGCTGCTGTACATTGGACACTACTAGCGCCATTTCCAATAACAACTACACGCTTCCCTTTGACCCTCATTTTGGTCGGCCAATTTGCTGTGTGAACTTGTTCCCCTTGGAATTTGTCCTGCCCGGGGATATGAGGGATCTTGTAGTTATTGAGTCGTCCAACAGCATAGACAAAGACGTCAGCCCAGATGGTATTTTCATCGGCTGATAGAACATTGCGGGTGACGATTTCCCACTTCGAGAAATTCTCATCCCAGGTTGCAGAGACACACTCTGTGTTCAAACTCATGAAGCGTCGAAGATTATGTTTGTCCACCACATCTTCCAGATACTGGTGGATTTCACGCGCTGGAGGGTATAGCGAGGACCACAAGGGGTTTGGTGCCCAGCTAAACTGGTACGTGTGAGATGGCACGTCGCATGTACATCTGGTTCCGGGTTAGCAATGGGAGCTAGAAATCCTGGATGTTCAAATAAGGACAACCGTCCCACCCTGGATAGTTATTGAGATACCACGTTCCCCCGAGACAGGGATTGCGGTCAAAAATTTGAAGGTCAACACCCTCTAATGAAGTTTTCACATCATGAGCAAATTGAATCCCTGAAACACTGTGAAAGTTGTTAGAACAAAATGTGCCATCGGCCCTTGCTTCACATACCCTGCACCAACCACAACTACTTTCAGCGGTCTAGGAACGAAAGCACTCGGCACAATGTCTGTGAAAGTCATGGTCTGGGTTCGTCTGACAACTAAACCACGAAAAAAGGATAAGGATACAAGTACCTAGATTTTCATCGAGATGAGAGGAACTTGTCGCTTTTAGCGTTTGAGAGCTCACATTATTTCGCTGAGGAGGCTCGGTCGCATATGACTTGCGAATGCAAATAAGAGTTGATATCATAAGGGAGTCTTCAGGACGATCCTGCATGTAGTCAAGTACTATTGTTCTAGGCCGCAGATCAGTAGTTTATCGGATGGTAGGTGGCGCAACACTATCTTAGACTGTGAGAGTCTGGTTACACAAGGACTATCCAGTCAAGGGGTAGCCTAGCTGCTTTCAAGGAAGTCCTTTCGATCGTCAACCACTCAAGAAGAACCGAGGCTGGGGGCTCAGTACGGCTCAGCCGTTGATCGGCAACTTAGAGTTCTCAACCGATCTAAAATTCAATAGATCAAGATGCACCACGCTCACATGGGTAGCAAAGATACAGTTCTTAGCGCTAGTTGCTTTTTCCGTCCCATAAAACACATACCTTGAGAATATTTGCAAATTCACACGCTTATCTTAGCCAGTAAGCATTTTTCGCCTAGAACACAATAAATCGGTAGATATAGAAAAAAAATCAAGTGTTATCCATACCCATTCAAGGGTTGTGAACCAAAGAGGAATCTCTTCCCATCGTTGGCTAGGATATGGCATCACGTGTTGCTGGACATGCAATCTCACCCTTGCCTTGAACGGCGCTTTTGCATCCTCGCCTCGTTTTGATTTTGTATGGCCCCGGCATCCGGAGAATCAAGGTTGGCTCTAAATCACAAGGGATATTCTGCAGGCCTCAAATGGCCCAAATTAAATCCCAGATAGGTTGTGCCAACTAGCCACAAAGCGAGATCTTGACCCCTACTGACCACATGTACGTTGTGGCCCACGAGACTGTAGATCGCACAAACCACTGGTGTTCCTACTAAGCGGCCCCTTACAAATACCATATTTGTAAGGGGCCAGTTACGCAAATTCCCTGGTTAGTTCAGTCCAACTTGGCTGGCAACCTAGTCACAGCATTCAAAGCACTGTCCTTATAGGAGACTCCATGTCCAATCTTATCATTCTGGAGCAACTCCATCAGGCCGCGTCAGAAACCGATGCTTATTCCAGATGATCGATTGTAGCTTCTGCGCTTTCCAGGGATACCCACTTTGTCAGAAGCTCTAGGTTACGTGGAAAATTGCGAACAAACGCGCGAAATATATTCTTATCGACACCATCTTTTCATCACTGATTCATCCAGAATTAACAAAAGAACCTCGCTGATTGATATCCTGCCGCAGATTGAAGATAATAGACGGTTGTTAGACTTATTTCGATGATGCAGAAAAAGTAACCATGGGTGTAACTCAATTGTTTCCATTGACTCATTGCCCCTGCCACAGAACCAGTTATACTAGTCCAAATCTGGTATAGCGCAATCGCGTTGATCAAACGAGATCTGGGTGGGTTGATCAATTCTCCGAGTAGCCACTCGAGGAACATCATGAAAACATGCACATTCGTGACAGGTAACCCGAATAAGGTCATCGAAGTCAATGCCATTCTCGGTGACTCGATCCCAATCCGGGCCCTCGCATTGGATATTCCAGAGATCCAAGGGTCGCTGGAAGACATTGCACGCGATAAGTGCCGACGGGCTGCTAAAATGGTAATCAGATGGCTATGAGACTGTGATTATTTTTGGATTTCACTGACGTCTTATCCGTCGCAGGTTAATGGACCAGTGATTGTGGAAGACTCGGCGTTGGAATTCCATGCGATGAATAGGCTTCCAGGGCCATACATGTAAGGTATGTCTCTGACCTCAATTGCCAGACATTACGCTAATTGATCTCCCTGATGGCAGTAAATATTTCCTTGAATCGCTTGGAAATGATGGGTTGAACAAACTTCTGGCCCCGTACGAAGACAAAAGTGCGGACGCGGTCTGCACTTTTGCCTTTTCCTCAGGGCCCCCTAGCGAGCCCTTGATCTTTCAAGGAAGACTTCAAGTGAGAGCTAAGATTTCTGGTGGCTTCAATTCGAACGATATACTGACTGAAGTTACAGGGCAAGATTGTTGCTGCGAAGGGACCACCCGTATTCGGTACGTGCTTCTCGAAAAACTCCTATAGATCACTGTGGACACAGGAACTCACATGTGGACAGGATGGGAACCAATCTTTGAGCATGGAGGGGAAACTCTCGCGGAGATGGCCCATGATAAGAAGGTAGATTGATTCCCGGTATGAGGAGTATTCAAGTCATTTCGAACACTAATGTCGGACAGAACAAGTTATCTCATCGCTATAAAGCCCTGTGCAAGTTCCAAGACTGGCTGGCGAAAGGGAGAATTGAGGTTTGAAAAGGGAAACTTTCCCCGTCCGAACCATTCAATGACCAGGGATCTAAATCATATTTAAAGGACAGCTATAGATCCAATGGTTTTACATGAGATCTTCGCATAATGAATCTTCTAATTCACATATGGCCTTGTTCAAGTCAGTAGAATTAATGTGTACTGAGTATTCTTACAAACCAGCTTTAAAAGTCAACATCCAAACGGGCGATAATTCCCGGTCGTCGGGGCAGTTACCCCGCGCCACGTCTCATTTCCTTCTCCACCAAGCACCTTTGGACTTACCCATTCGATCGCGTCTCGGCGAATTTGCGCCTTTTCAGAAGTCTAGGATTTGGCAATTTAGCTCTTCTGATTCTCCCCCACAGCTGGTAGTGTTATGTGGAGGTGGCGATCAGCTGCACGGTGCGCCCGGCGCCCCAGATGGGCCTCAAACTGTGATCATAACTCACGATTCAAGGATCAGTGTGGGGAGACCCAGCGTCGTTGCTCAAAAAGGGCTACAACAGTATTGTCTCCCATGACCAGGAAAATAGTTTGTACTTGATGCCAGCTATACACTCCCCCATGACGAGAGGGGAGATTCTTCCCCTCCAAGCCATCCCCCACGGGGCCCAACCCCAGAGGATTAGATTCAATCTGGCTGGCTGGCCCAGGGTTTGATAACCGATCGTCAATACCCCGTCCCCAGGGCTAGTGAGATACGGCTCCAAGATGGGCAACTTTCCCCGCGGACCTCTACAGGTGGAGCCTTCCCCAGCCTCAGGGTCCCATATTCGTGTCCCAGAGACTCCAGCCCGATTCGGGGAATCTTTCCAAACTGTCATCAGGACTTGATAGAAGCACGAGGATGTATTTTTATATCTGTGGGGTCCCAAGCCTGTGTGATTTCAAATTTCAGTCTCTACTCTAGGAGTCAATCTTTTCTCAACCCTGCTGCCTTATACACCTCCATATCTATACGCCCTGAAACAATCTATGGACTAGAAACCTCATACACAATGGCTTTCTCCCAATTATCCCAGTGGAACATTCCACAAGAGCTCCTTCAGGAGATATCAAAATATGCCACGCCGACTGGCATTGCCGACTATACAGCCTTGGCCATCCTCGCCGGCACAGGAGCAACCTTCCTCTCGCGAGGAACCCTGTGGGATAAGCCGGATCCATATTACCACCTGGCGTTTGAGAGGCCCCAGCTGAAGATTGGTGGCCAAGCCGGAGCAAATGCCAACAAAGAAACAAGGAATATCGCCCATAAATTGGAGGAGACTGGGAAGAACATTGTTGTCTTCTGGGGCTCACAGTCTGGTACAGCGGAAGGCTTTGCTCATCGGTTAGCCAGGGAAATCTCTGTGCGCTGGGGCCAGGAGACCATGACGGCAGATCTTTCAGACTACGATCCTGCTACGATTGCTGAGATCCCTGACTCAAAGCTGGCCATCTTTATCGTATCGACCTACGGTGAAGGTGATCCAAGTGACAACACTGCTGATTTTTGGAGTTGGATAAACAAGGCCGATAGTGTTTCTCTGTCCAACCTGCGTTATGTGGCCTTTGGCCTCGGAAACTCCAACTACAAGTTCTACAATCGCGTTGTGGATGTTATCGTTGAGGGCCTGGACAAGTTTGGAGCGAAGGCTTTCATGGCCGTCGGCAGAGCCAATGACGCCGAGGGCGCCACTGAAGAGGACTTCATGGCCTGGAAAGATGACTTGTTCGCTTGCTTCCGGCAGCAGTTCGGCTTCCAAGAAGTTGAAGCCAAATACATTCCAAGCCTGACGGTTGACGAGGACGAGTCCCTTGAGCCCATCGACTTGCACAATGGAGAGCCCAATAACCAAATCGATGGACTCAAGTCCGCTACTCAGTCTTCGCCTGTTCGCACATTGAGCATCACCAACTCCAGACAACTATTCACTGCATCTGATCGCAACTGCCTGCACATGGATTTGGACCTGAGCAGCCAACCCGAGTTGACCTACAAGACTGGTGATCACCTTGCCATCTGGCCTGGAAACCCTGACGTCGAGGTTGAGCGCCTACTTCAAGTACTGGGTATCTCGTCACGGCGCGACATCCCCCTCATCATCAGGTCCGTCGATTCGGCCACCAAGATTACGATCCCGACGCCAACAAGTGCTATTGCTCTCTTCCGTTACTATCTTGAGATTTGTGCTCCGGTAAACCGTGACAATGTGCGCGATCTCGCCCAATTTGCGCCAACCTCCGAGGCAAAGGCCTACCTGACCAAGCTTGGGCAGGACAAGGACTTCTACGCCGATTTCATCAACCGCACCCACCTCAATCTCGGCCGCTTGTTGCAACTTGCATGTCCCGACCAGGCCTGGTCTAACCTTCCACTTGCATACCTTGTCGAGACGATGGCTCACATTCGCCCTCGATACTATTCCATCTCCTCGAGCAGTGTCGTCTCTCCTCGTAAACCCTCTATAACTGTCATCGCCTCTACCACCCCACTTCAAGACAACACTAACGAACTCGTGCACGGTGTCACATCCAACTATCTCCTTGCCATTTCCCAAAACTCCCGCTCCCAGCTTCACCCACATGGACTGACCTATCACCTCAATGGCCCTGGCGACGCTCTTGAGGGTGGCAAAGTCTTTGCCCACATTCGTCGCAGCAAGTTTAAATTGCCCATCACAAGCAAAACACCCCTGATCATGGTTGGCGCCGGTACAGGTCTAGCACCTTTCCGCGCATTCCTCTCCGAGAGATGCCAAGTACAAAAGATTGGCAAAGAGATTGGACAAATGATCCTCTTCTTTGGGTGCCGCAATCCGAATGAAGATTTCATCTACCGGGATGAGCTGGAGGAGATGCAGAAGGTTCTTGGTGATAAACTGCACCTAGTGACGGCTTTCTCAAGAGAGGAGGGCTCACCACGGAGATATGTGCAAGATCATGTTTCGGAACTTGGTGATGAAGTTGTGAAGCTCATTGACGAAGGTGGGAGCTTCTATGTCTGCGGGAGGGCCGGCATGGCGCGTGAAGTTGAGAAAGCTGTTGGTCGTGCTATGAAGGTTGCAAAGGGATGGTCAGACGATGAAGTAAATGACTGGAGTAAGGCTGTTAAGAAGAAGAATAAGTGGCAAGAGGATGTTTGGGGTTGATGGGTGTTCTTCCTTCAATGTTATGAATTTAGCTTCTATGAGATGGCATCTAGTTAGATTGGGCAGAGCTTGGAGTAAATTGGTGATCAATAAGACGGCATCTATTTTTCGAATGACGAGAATAGGCGCCGTTTCCTCTGATATCGTATTTCGACAACTGACCTCTCGGACCTAAGCAGCTAAGCCCCGCCTCCCAGCCCTGGCCATGTACCTTAAATCCGCCAGCCCTTTTTAAACCCCGAGATGAGATGAGGCCCCTTGAGGATGATATAGAAAAACAAATAATTCCACCGCAGTGCTGGCCTATCTCTCGTCTCTCAAATGCAACTAGGTTGCCCCGCTACTTTTCATTATAACCAGCTACAAACTGATAGGATAGATTCATGATGACCACATCCTCATCGGACATCGTGCTTATTACAGGCGCAAATCAAGGCCTCGGCTTTGAGCTCGCCCGACGCCTTGCCTCTGATTATCCTGGTTACCACATTTTGATGGGCGCTCGCGATATCAGCAAAGGGCATGAAGCTGTTAGCAAGTTAAAAGCTGAGGGACTTTCGGTAGATGGAATCACTATCGACGTCACAGACGAAGACTCCATCAAAGCCGCTGCAACAGACGTAGCATCAAAGTTCGGGCGACTAGATGTCCTCGTGAATAACGCAGGCATTGTCGCAGAGGGCAAGATGCCTCCTGGAACCAGCTTGCAGGAAACCTTCCGCGCCTGTTTCGACGTCAATACATTTGGGTCATTTCTAGTGACAGAAGCCTTTGCGGCTCTTTTGAAAAAGTCGCACAATCCGCGCGTGGTCTTCATGTCTACCGGACTGGGATCTATCACCGACCGTCTGAATCCAGATGATCAATGTGCGGCTTTCCAGTTTCCAGTTTATCGCAGCAGTAAGGCTGCGCTTAACATGATTATGGCTCACTACGCTGCACTTTATGCAAAGGAGGGATGGAAAGTGAATGCAAATGACCCCGGATTCTGTGCAACGAACTTGAATGGCTATCGAGGCTGGAATACGCCGGAGAGTGGAGTTGTTAACGCTTTGCGACTGGCGACTTTGGAAAAGATGGACCGTCTGGCACTTTTACTTGTACTGAGGGACCTGTGGGTTGGTAGTAAAGGGTATCATCATGATCATCATGTGTCGACAGAATCCCTCTAATTGCAAGGATTATTATGGAAAATCATGAAAACAATGTGCAAAATCTCGTTACTTGTATTTACACCATACTACGTATTCAATGAGGCTGATCTATCTATCATCAGGTCATGTCCGAATTCATCATATCACTGCTTAGCCGCGACTGGGTAGTCAGTGTAATGGAAGGCATTGTCCTCGAAGGGTCCATAGAAACGAGTACGATCGTACGCGGCGAGCGGGAGGCCCTCCTTCAGTCTGTCGACTAGGTCGGGGTTGCTGATAAAGTACCGACCATACAGAAGGGCATCGTATTTGCCAGACTCGACCACGCCCCACGAGTTCTTATCGTCCCAGCCGCCAGCAGAGAAGAAAGGGGTTGAGCCGAAGATTTGCCGAAACTTTTCGAGGGAGACGTCGAGCAAACCCCAGCTCTTGAGGAAAGCATCCTTCTCCTCATAGCTGAAGATTTGTTCAAAACGCTAGTTCTGTCAATAAAGGTCGATGCATATGATAGAAAAGAAATCTTACTGGTTCAATGAAGCTGACATATGAGAGACTCGGATGGGCCTTCTTCAGGCCTTCGCAAAGATAAGTCCAGGTCTCAACACGCTGCTCGCCGCGGGCCTGATTGAACAGACCAAACGGCGAGAGACGAATAGCCAGGTTCTCCTCGCCAATGGTTTTTGCAAGTCCATCCATAAGTTCAAAAACGAACTGGCAGCGCTTCTCAGGGGTACCGCCATACTCATCAGTTCGCTTGTTAATATTGGAGCTAAGGAATTGCTCAGGAAGGTAGCCATTTCCAGCGTGGATCTCCACACCATCAAAACCAATTTCCATAGCGGTTTTGGCCGCAGCACAATAGTCTTGGATGGTTTGCTTGATATGCGCCACGGATAGCTCGATCGGCGGGTGATTCTCGTATGGCACGGGCTCGGTGGAGCCAACGGGCGGGTGCGAATAACACTCCGTGGGCGAGTCCCACACACTAGCCGAGGGGCACACAGCAGGGGAGCCAGTCATCTGGGGGATCGTAGCACGGCCGGCGTGCCAGAGCTGACAATAGACGAAGCCCCCCTTGGCGTGGACGGCATCGACAACCTTCTTCCAGCCACTGGCTTGCTCCGAGGTGAAAATACCGGGGACACCCGGCATGCCATTGCTCTGTGGAAATCACATCAGATGTTTAGAAATTGGAACTGCAACGGAGCAACTTGAGCCCCTTTATTTGACACAATAGAAGGGGCATATATGATGGGGCTCGTCATGCAAGATATACACAGCTTTGGTCTATTTACCTCGAGAGAAGGAGGGATACCCTCCGAGATGATCAAGCCGCCCTCGGTGGCACGCTGAGAATAGTAATCAATCACAAGATCACCAGGAATCCAGACACGGTTTGGAATATCTGCCGTGCTGATAGGGTTTTCCGGCACTCCGCGGTTACGGGTCAAAGGCGCATGGATGATGCGGTGGCGGAGGGTAATGTTTCCATTAGCAATGGTCAGGGGTTGGAAAAGAGCCGAGTTCTCGGGGCCAAGATAGTGGATAGTCATGACTATGGCTTTATTTGGGCTAAATTTATGTGGAGGAATATCAAATAACAAATGGAGGAGAAATGGGGATGATACGGAGAACAAAACAATGGAAGGCCGCTGGCCCCCTTTTTGCGTTTTCACTATCTCACAACCCAATACTCGGAGCGTGTTGTTAAACCCGTCAATTCGGTTAGATCGAGTTAGGGCTTCTGGTGAGACATGTGCCGTCTGACAAAACGACGGTGCAATTTAAATGTGGGACTTATAGTTTCTTGGGGCCTTTCTAGCCATGCTGTAGCCTGTGAGGTTAGAAACGGGATAATGACCCACTTGACCTTTCCATATAGAGAGAATAGGGTGTAGAATATGGAGACTCGTGAGAACTCAGGAAGCACCATGCTACCGGAAACCGCCGCGTAATTGACTCCGACTTCCGAGCATGGCCCAAGTCTAATGGTTGATTCACCAATCAAAGATGGCAATTGCTGAAGACTGGGCGTCGGAACCCAGCCGCCTGGAAGTCCTGGACTATCGAGCGTATGGTCAATAGTGTTACTTCCCCGGCACTAAACAACCCTTTGCCGCCTTCAGGCATTTTGCGAACGCGCGAACTGCAAATGGATCCGTGGGATCGTCGAGGCTTGACCGCCGTCATTTTCTTTTATGTGTCCAACGACTCCCAATTTTTCATTTTTCACCTGCAAGCAATAGTATTGTGTGTGTGACTCTGGCGTCAGCTTCAACATGACTACGAGTCACCCACAGGATGTCTATCACACAGTCAATCTGGTGACGCAATGTCTGTGCATTCCGATGGTTACGATATTTGTGGCCTTGCGCTTCTATACCCGACTCCGGTTCAAGCAGAGCCTCGGAGTTGAAGATTGTGGGTTATGCGTTCTGGAATGTCCTGCAGGGTACTTTGGCTAATCTATATCGTCTTAGATTCTTGCGCTGTGGCTTGGGTATGACTTTCATTATACTAACTATACTTGGCAACCATACTGATAGCATTTCGCAGGCATTGTTTATGGGATACTGCGCCATAGGTATTGTCGGTAAGTGTTGAGTATAGACTAGGATTGTTCGAGACATATCGCTGATTCTATCCAGTTGGTAACTATGGCGGAGGTTATCACTTCGACGAGTTGAGCCAAGAGACCCAGATCCAATACAAGAAGTTCTGCTATATCGCCACCATCCTCTACTGCCCGATGGCCCTCTTCGTCAAAATCGCCCTCCTAGCAATTCTGACTCGCATATTCGCTCCTTACCGTGGCAAAGTGTGGTTCATTTACATCCTACTCGGCTGTCTTTGCACTTACTATATCATCGCCCTCATCATCAAGATTCGCATGTGCTATCCCATTCCTGTCTACTGGCTAGGAAAACTTCCGAATGGCGAGGGCTCATGTCTCGATCAAACGGCCGCCTTGATTGCCGACTCGGTTATCAGTGTTGTTAGCGACCTCATCATCCTTGTCCTGCCCTTGCCATTGACATGGTCACTACAAATGTCGCGTAGTCGCAAGCTTCGGGTGATTGGTCTTCTCGGTGCTGGAGGTCTTGCGACTGGGTTCAGTGTGTACCGATTGATCCTGGTCCTGAAGGATGGCAAGTCCTCGGATATGAGTATCGTGTTCATGTGTGTCATTATGTCTGGGTAAGCTATATTCACCTCGTCGCGGAAGGTTCACAACTGACAAATTTTCTAGCAATGCCGAGGGTGGTGTTGGATTGATTTGCGCATGCCTTCCTGTTCTCAACGTCCTCTATGCCCACTACCGGAAAGAATACTCATCTCAAAAATACTACAACCAGAGCTCTGATATTCGGCTGGGGGAACGCAAGTCGGGGAACAACTCTCAGTCCGCCAGCCGGTTTGGCAAGACGCCAAACTTCGGTGATCAAAATGATCAAAGCCATCTGATCTCCTTCGCTGGAGCTCCGGATGCAGCTGACTCGATCTATAATGATGATGGGATTAGAAAAACGGTTGCCGTGTCACAGACCGTAGAAAGTGCCGATGGCGATAGTCGATGACATCACTGAAGGGTGTAAGGTAAAAAAAAATATTCCGAGATACCAAACAAATAGTGCTATTTAATGTTGACCGATTTTAATTTTTATTGAGACTTTTATTACGTGACTGATTATCTCATAGCAGAGTTAGGATCGAATAATCCAGAATGATGCCACAGTCCATCCAGGCCAGCATCAAACCCAACAGACCAAGAAGCGTCGATAAACGGCCACTGAAACATGTCTGTTTCTAGATCAGGATGGCTTCCTGCAGCACTCTGATCCTTTGAGAAGAATCCCTCTTCGGCGTCGGGGCCAGGTGATGCAACTCTATGTCCATGTGCTTGGTGTGTGCTTTGTAATTCTCGACCCTCTGCAGTCATTGATCTGGTCGTATGTAGCTCTCGACTTGGACGTGATCGGATGTCACCATATTCGTCCAAAGTGCCTGCCAACGCAAACCGCCTTGGACTGTGGATGCCCGATTCGGGGTGTGCCTGGGTACTCTTGACTGTCTCGTAAAATCGGTTCGCTTCTTGCACAGTTCGCCACTGCGGGTTGTTAGACAATCTGCCCGATCGTAGTGAAGTACAAGGGTCATGTCTTACCCAGCTTCGACCAACCGGCCACAGTGTACTCAGTCGTTCAAGGTACATCATATTATGGGTCTTCTCATCCTCTGCTCGATCGAGCCCTCCAGGGTATCGTTGTGGTACGATAGTGCCATACATGTTAATGTGCGCAGCAACGAAAACACTAAATCCTGAGTATGGGGTTATCACGGATGCCTCAGAGGCCTCAAGGGCGGATAAGATGCTGCTGATATGTTGTGCAGCCTCAAAAAGTTGTTGAATCGTGTCGGGATGATATTGATCATCGTCGGTCATATCGTGAAAAACGTCGGAGTGAGGCTTGAGATTCGAAAGAAAGCGATCACGGTGGAGAAAGACGATACTATTTCGTCAATATTAGCAGAGTTCTCGGGTGCGGTAGAGTATATCCATAGCATACCTCATGAAATAGAGCAGATTGATGTACGCAAACAGTTCTCCATACCCCAGAGCTACATGAGCCTGTGCGCTGGTATCAGGATATCTAACAGTCCTGTCTTGTAGGGACCGCCATTCATCCAGCTCTGCCTTCAGCCTATGCCAAGTCTTATGAAGTGGTGATGTGGACGACTCGTCCGAGTTGAAAGATGCCAGAGAGCGCCGATGTTCGTTGGCAAATCTGAGGATCCGGACAAATATATCGAATCCTCTAATTACTATCGTCAAGCCGTTTTCGATTGTCAGATTGTTTGCCTGTGGACATTTTCTGTTCATATCGACGGGCATCAGCCTCCTCTCTGGCACTTGGTTGAAGGTGAAGTCACGGTCACTGATTGGAAGTGGAACGGAGATCTGAGAGAACGATAGAGCGAAGTGTTGCCGAGCACCCGAACTCAGCTCACAGTCCTGCGCGAAGCAGCACCAATATGTACGAACGAGCTGCTCGTATTGTGTTTGTGATGCATGGAATTCATGTGGACTGTGCTCCATACTGTCATCTGCCATCTTGAGAAGTGACTGAATCATGTATGTGGCCATTCCTAGAGAAGTCAGAATCCCACCCGACAAATTTTAGACATGTCCCTATCTTCTATACATACCGCTATACATCCAGGCCTGATACGGCCTGCCAGTACCCCACTCATAGAATGAAATCATGACCAAGGACTGGGCGAGATAGAGCGAAGGAGCCTCCATAACACGGTGCGCAAGATGTTTCTGTGCATACCCCGCATACGTCTCCTCATCTTCCAAACCATCATCACTCATAAATCGAACGCATAGCGAGAGAAGAGACGCAATGAAAACAGAATCAACTGACTCAAAATTCGACGAGACATCCGAGATCAACGAAGGATAATGCAAAAAGTTCGCAATCGGGAATTTCTTCCGATAAGTCTCGATCGCGCTGATAATAGTCGATGCAGACAAAGACGAGATTGGGTCCTCCTGGATATCTTTGATAATGCGAGACCTTCGACGACTTGTATCGTGGTCACTATGGAGCGCGGGTGATAGAATAGCTGGGGCTTTTCGCTTTCGCGAGGGCCCTGATCCAACTACGCTGCCGCCTTTCCTTGGCCTTGATTCCCGAGGGTCTGTCAAAGCGCAGTCATCGGTCTTGGTCTTTTGACATCTTCGACAAGGAGGGGTTCCTTCATGCACACATTTGACCTTGGCCCGCCTGTCACTGTCAGATAAAGGTGTTGATTCCTTCTGGGCAAACATACCGGCAAGCATCACATGATATGGATAGCCTCATTGGATGGTTTGGGGTCTATTGTGAGCAAGCGTTGGTCTGCAAGTCACGCCAGATCCATCAGGCAGGTTCAAAGGTATTTAAGAAGATCAATCGCGATGGAGGTCTGCTTTCAATGGGTTATTGCCGTGAGGGGCGAGTAAGAAGGAGAGAAGCACCAGGGAGGATACCCGAGAATTCAGGTGTCGAGATTACCCGATACCAGTGCAATGTGAGCCGGTCATGTGATATGTCCACTGTCCGAAAGACTAGACTACCTTACGTAAACCAAAAACGCATTTCATGGGGAATTTAGTAAGAGTGAGATCTGAATTAGTCTCTATTAGGTATGCTTAGGTATCTATATGCAACGCTTCTAATCAAAGCCGACATCCTTGTTCGTCACCGTCCACTGTAGCACCGACGCATTAAACTTGTCGACCTGCGACTCGTCCGTAGCCCAAGAAGTGACAATCCTCACCACGACTCGTCCATCATCCAAATGCTCCCAACTATAGAATCGGAATCTGTCCTGCAAGGTCCGGATCAACCGTTGCGGAAGAATGACGAACACTTGATTGGTCTCCGTCTCCGCAGCCAATTCATACCCCAAAGTCTCGAAGTTGGCCGAGATCTTCTCCGACATGGCATTGGCATGAGTAGCCAGAGTGAAAAATAGATCATCCCGGAACAGCTCCATGAATTGAACACCCAGGATACGGCCCTTTGCCAGCAAAGCACCATGCTGTTTGAGATGGAAGACAAATCCCTCGGCGAGAGCTTTCTTCACGATGATGGCTTCGCCCATAAGCGCACCAGCCTTGGTTCCACCAATCCAAAAGATATCGGCGAATTCAAAAATATCTCGGAGAACCATATCGTTCTTCTTCGAGCACAAAGCGGTTCCGATTCGGGCTCCATCCACCAAAAGCAAAAGATTCATTTCTTTGCATAGCGCCGAAAGAGTGCTCATTTCGCGCTTGCTGTAGACAGTCCCGGTCTCCGAGGCATTAGAGATATAAAGCAATCGAGGCTTCGCCATGTGTGGGAAGAACTGATTTTGCTGGATAGCTTTTCGGAGATTTGTCGGCGTCATCTTTCCATCGACTGCGGGGACAAGGATGAGTTTGTGTCCGGTTGCTTCAATCGCACCAGCCTCTTTAGACGCGATGTGGCCAGAATCCAGAGTAATTACGGCCTCATATGGGCGGAGACAGCTGGCGATTGAGATAAGATTGGCGGATGTTCCACTAGGGACGAAGAAAATATCTGCCTCGTCTTCGGTACAATTAATCCTTTGGCGGATCAATTGTCTGGCCTGGTTGGAGTAATCATCATTTCCGTAGGAGACTTGTTGTGTTGAATTTGTCCGAAGAAGAGCCTCCAGAATTTGTGGATGAGCTCCCTCGCTATAATCATCCATGAGGCTGTATGGAGGGCATGCCTCGTCTTGGCAAAGACTGGTTGAGGGCATCGTTTGCTGCCACTGTTCCCCGTTTGAAAATAATTAAATTTCGAGAACAAAGCTTGTATGTGGAAAAGTGATGCGACTGGATTTTTGCTGGAAATCAAAATCCTCTTTGGTGGCGATTTGAGTCACCCAAAAGACCTAAATAGAATCGGCGGGAATAAAAAAAAGAGGGAAGGAGCCGGGAATAGGATCTCGGGAATGACAACCGTGTTATTCCCGAGACCCGCGATCCGGAAATCCCTTGCAACCCTCTCCAGGTTATTCTCATGTAATCGGTGGGCCAGAACCAGCAAGTGCATTTTTCAACCCAACAAAGTTGGACCTCCTGATCAAGCTTGCATGCTAGGCAGGTGTAGGTTTCATTGAAGACTAATGGAATCATCAAACCGGGTGGGTTACCGGAAATCCGGCGGCTGCGTTGACGCCTTCCTGTGTAGCTCTGCAGTGGTCTCCTCACGGAAGACCTGGAATGAAGCGTTAGTACAACATCGAGGGGCATGGATCCCTTGATCAATAGATGCCCCGCAGCGGGCAAAGCGGGCAAGTAGGTCCACTAAGGTTATTCTCGGGGTTGCGTGGGCGCAACTATCCCCCTCAATGGGTCCAAAACAAACGTGGGAATCAATATCAAATTGTTGACACGCAAAGAAATCCAACTGAAACGCTGTATGGATCAGCTGAGACACATGACCATATTGGAGGCTATATACCGATGAATAAAAAGCACGCCATACCAGTGTCAACCACTAATGTACAATAAACTCCCGCAACCAATGCATGCACGATAGTAAGTCAAGGCAACAAATCACCGCAAGAAATTCAATCAGCTGTTTCTGGTCGAAAATGAGCCTCTTAATCAGGATATCTTGCCTCCATGGGAACACGCTGGTATAGCCGGACCCGCCAGCCACGAATCAGCATAAAGCTCGCCATGATACCGCTCATCAAGGCCAGAAGCAGGACCAGGGCGAAGAGGCCTCCAATACTTCGCATGGTCTCGTATGTATTCATCAACATCAACGTGGCCTTGCGAATCTGAGCATCCGCTGGATCGTCCGCGGTCGGGAGAAGATCCTCATCACTGGTCCAACCATCTGCCGTGGTACTACTGTCATCCTGGTGGATGGTTGCTGGATTATTTGGTCGAGGACTGGAAGAATACCCGTTCCATCCGGAGGTCTCCCAGTTGGGGAAGCTAGTGCGGTGCACTTTGGATATACCGAAAGCCTTGCCATCTCGGTCGACAGCCTCGACGGTAACCCAGTCGAGATATCCCTTCGCGATGAACATGGTCTCGAACTCAGTCTTCGAAACATTCCCGACGAAGACAGGCTTGTCGAATTGGGATGCCTGGGCGTAGAAGTTCCAGTAAGCGATATCAGTTGCACCATTCCAGCTGACCCAGAATGTAGTGACCAAATTCGACTCGTCAGTACCGATCACGGAAGAGACAACGTCGGGTGGAGTGTGAGGGCGACCAGTAAACTCAAACTTATAGGCACGGTAGTTCGAGTAGCGAGGAGAGGTGAATCGGGCACTCATTAGGGGATCGCCCTCGACCGAGAACTCCGAGATATAACCACCTTGGCTCCAGCACACAAACATGTTCTGGTTCGGGAGCACTTGAGAATTGCCACGAAGTCGAGTGAGATCGCCATCCGGGCGATTATAGCGACGAAGCACTCGAGCGGTCATGGGGAACGTGCCCGATTCCACCTCGATGATCAGAGCGGAGGAAACCTCCTCCTCGGCATATTCCTCGTCGGATGCATTGTTTAGGAAAGAAATGATGTGGCGAGTGCCCTGGGATTCCAAAAATTTGGCGTCGTGTTGTTTCGAAAAGGTGAAGTCCTGCTCGAAGTCGCCGTTATGCTGGCCATTTAATCGCCATATAATACGGCCGTCCACACCGGAAATTAGGTAGAGAGTATTGGTGAAGCGCATAGAAATCAGGTAGTCGCCGTTGTCGTTCTTATCGACTGAGTTGATATGCACGTAATCCCAACCAGGTGGACCCTCCACCGCCGAGGAAGGACCATAATGAACGGTCTCTGCCAAGGGAATTTGGTTGTACGATCTCCACTCATAAGTCACCTCGGCGGTATTCAGATCGATCTCTGCGAAACCGCCAGTCTCCAGCCATGTCTGTTCCTCGGGACGACCGAATTCAGCCAGGGAAATCTCCTCATTGAGATAGACCGTCGCCAGGGCAGTCTTTCCGTCTTTGAGGACGTTGAACTCATGGATGTCGAAGAGGCCTAGGTCTTGCCGGAGAGGGACCTTTTTGAAGACCTCGTAGTTCTTATCCAGAATCATTCCATATCCACGTTCGCTTCCGTCGATTGTATACTGCAAGATTAAGGAGATATGTGGTTCATTGCCGATGCTGTGAATAACCTTGAAATCGAAGACATTGCGGTTATCGAACACCGGCGATCCGGTCCAGATGAGGTGCTGTCAGAGGGAGAAATGGAGTCAGTCGAATCCTCATGCGGTGATCACGCGACCAGACAATCTGTTCACCGACAACATACCCCATCTTGATCGTAGATATGCGGGCCAACCTGGTACTGCTCGTACAGGCTGGTCGGCTCATCCGGGGAGATGTGCAAATATGGCGAGACAAACCAGTAGCCCGGCGCGACACGATTGCGGTCCTGGTAGGTGATGTCGAATTTGACGGCCCTCACATCCGGAAGCTGGACAAGAATACGAAGATTAGCCGATCCACCATCCAATTCTGGGCACAAACACGAAGGGCCAGCGCCACTCACGGTCACAAAGGACATCAAATCATCGTCGGAGTACCAGGCAGCGACATTTTGCAGGCACAACAACAACAACAGACCGAACCCGAGCATGGTGGTTCAAAGGAGGGACGTAGTTAAAACAGAATTGGCCATGAAGGAGAGTAGGAATGGCCAAGGGAGGAGGGCCCGGTCGCCAAGCAGATAGAAGAAACCGAGGGGGCCTGCGGTAGGCGAGGGAGGCGGGTTGAAGGCCAGCGGGACTTTGGGGGCTCGGGAGTTGGGAGTGGTTGGTGGACAATAATTGGAGACCCCTGGACCCTCATGGGTCCGGTCCAATCAGGGGGTCTCGACAAGCATTGGCTTTGGCCCTGATGACGCAGCCTTCACCATTGGTACCTGAAGGTGTGAGATCTTGGTTATGAAGGAACTATGGACTGTTCAAAGCCTGGTCATAGCAACACGGCAGCAACACGGCATCTCATAGTCCACAAAAACATAGGCCACGAGCAAACCAAGGCCTTGTCAGTCCCGCGTCGCAGGTTTCCCTACGCGTAACCCCCTTAACTCGTGTATGCAATCATTGCCCCCTTTGGTTAGATTCACGCGATACTGTATATGCACCAATATACACAGGATAATGTCCGCCGGGTGGGGCTTTCCTGTCTGGGCTGCCGCCGCTTTTATAGGGGCGATCAGGCGCAGGATCAGTGCAGGATCACTGAGTAAATGTCAGCACGAGCTCATGCTCAGTAAGCTGTTCAGTGCAGTCATGTGATCGATCAATGATTTTCTTCCAGCCCATGTCAGACTATGTCCAAAAAGGACATGCCCCCGCAGGGTCATCTATTCTGTGAAAACTAGCGCGTAATGGTACGTGTGAGGTCCCCCCATTCTGGAGGTCTCCTTTAGTCAAAAAACTGCGCCATTAACCCCTAACCAAATTACAAGTGAGGTAGACCGTACTATAAAATCAATCGGGCAGCGATTTAATACTTCTACGTGGATTCTCTAAAGGTCACTGAGTTCTGGCTTACGTTAATCATAACCTGGTTCTAGAGCAAAGACGGGAGCTTCCGGTATAAATCGCGCTTGCGGAGCTCTGCTGGCTGATCCAATTGTTCTGCTAGGTAGGTGAATTCTGCAAGGAAATCGCCGAAATCTTGCTGAGGGTCTATCTTGAGAGCGAGGTACTTGTCGCGGGCTATCTGCTACTAGTTCGGGTCATGGAACGGACTCTGTAGGTAGTCGAAAACGTCCTGGACGGTCTAGGAGACAGAAACCGCGTCTTCCTGCATGCGAAGATAAATGTATCTTAGAGCTTTTCTTTCGTAGCGACTGCTCACGTACGCGAACTGATGCGCAGCAGTCGGATAGTGGTCCTCATTCAATAGCAGCCTGCGCTTCACTTTGGCCTTCTAGTCTTTGAACTTTACTTCTTTGCCGTCACTAAACATCGGGGGATCGGGCATCTTTGTTGAATTCCTGGGGCTAGTCTGGAGAGATGGAGCTAGGGGTCCGCGGTCGTCTACTCTCTGATTTGTATTAGTAGCTGATAGGCCCATTAGGCGCATAACGGTCATAAGACTATCCCGCTCACTGCGAAGAGTAGTTACTTCCTTACGAGTATCATCTAGTTCAGTACACAGGTGAGCATTCTCTTCCTCCATCTGCTGGTCTTAGGCGGATGGGGTCACCCAGCTCTCCAACGTAGTCAGTCGCGCTCACGTAGGTGGATAACTTCTTCAGCATGCTCCAAGTCCTTTTATTCCTGAAGCAGTCTTCAGCTCATCGATCTGTCTCTGTCGCTGTGTACCAATAAAATCTCAGTAACATCGAAAAAGTCGTTGCTATGGTCGCGCCATACTCAGAAAAGGCGAGTTGTGAATCTCAGCCCAGGGAACTTCTTACACGGCCGACCTATGTTCTGGTTAAGTGGAAAGATATCCTTCCCCAACATCTGAAGCACTCTTCTCTAATGGGAGATTCTGAAAGCTCCATTTTGAAGAGCAAGCTTCTGGGTGCCGTTCCAAAAAGGAATAGAGTTACTCTGAGGGATTGGATTGAAGGATTCCGCGGCCAAAATGAAAGTAGATAATCTGAAGCGTTGGGGACGAGGATGAGCGCGGCAAACTTCGATAATATCGACCGGCCATGGTAATTTGGGAATAACTGTAAAGTAACATGAAACAGGCGATGGTTTTGCCTCCTGTTACGGCATCAGAGGGTTTGAACGATTCTAGCAAATCTTAACCATCGGCTTTTGGGTACAGTAACTCCCAGCATAATTAAAATCAATTTGTAGTGTACCAACTGTCTGTTCCTCAAGGAGATATAGTGTCCTGTAGTGATCCTCTACTGAAGTGTAGCCACACATAAATGTGAAATACGTTGCTATGTTGCCATCCCCTGCAATGATATCAATGATGGCGGATTGACCAAAATCAGTTTCCCACTACTCTCGCCAATTATTTCTTGACCCCTGTATTATTCGAAATCTCTTTTGGAGAAGACAAGAGTTGGACTAGCGGCTTGCCCAAACAAGATCAATTGGCGAGAATCCTCCAGGTGCAAGTGCGACTTCGGCAATCAGACTATCAAGCATATCTTACTTGAATGTCCGCTCCTAGATAAGAAGCCTATGGTGATGCGCAACGACCTAGCCAAGAGAGATATATCCATGACCGTTGGCTGTGATGAGCTGGTCCGACAGGTTGCTGTACCCCCGATTGTCGCGGATTTAATGATCCAAACATGGCTCCTAGAACAGTTCCAGAACGTGGACTCAGTTGCCACAAGCGAAGAAGTTGGGGAAGATGACGATGGACAAGCCGAATCCACTAGGGCAGTGTGACGGGAGGAGAATAATGATGGCCGAAAACAGAGGCACAAATCCCAGGTCGATCGTACCTCCTTGACATCCAACGAATTCGCAAGTGGCTGATGCAGATGAGAAAGTGGCTGGCGTGATATGTGGTGAGGAGATTCACATAAGTGTGATGAAATCTGGGAAGATCGGGCGTCTACACAAAGACAACCAAAGATCAAGTATCGTGGCAAACAGAGGCGCCACTATTATTCTAAGCAACTCGCAGGAGAATGGCCGCAAGACGTGGTCATATTTCGATGAGTCGGCGTGCTATGTATCCAGCGCTTCCTTCCTTCGGAAAAGGATTATCCTACGGCCAATTGTTATGTAATCCGTCCTGAATCTGTCCTGGATCAGGACGGATAAAGGAACAGTAAGGCAATGGTTTCCCATTCGCGTGGTTCACTCTATGCCCTCCCGGGAGAATCACAGCTTCATCGAGTAGGATTTAGAAACTTGACTATAGACCCCTAATCCAACGTCCAATGCTTCTTTAGATATTCCGATGTTGACATTGGCCTAGGATCAGGAAACAATGGGTTCGTAAGATGGTCAAAATCCATCCGACCAAGGGCTGCAGACAGGAGCAGCTGATAGTAGAATCTTTCACCAACTTCAAGATTGCCTCCTAGCAATTCCTCCAACTCCTCGACGTGTATTTCTGTCACGCGAAGCTGCTTGCCACATACCTCGTTGGCTAATCCGACAACCTCCGCAAAACTCAACCTGTCCCCCACAATATGACTCTCAGCTTCCCAGATAGGCAGATCCAGGGTAGCAGCGACAAATCGACCAACATCTTGAGTCCGTGTAACAACAACTTTTTGAGATGAATCGCCAGGGATGATCGCTGTGCCGGCTCTGAGATCAATAGCAAAAGCTGGACGACCTTTATAAGCTCCAATGGCTTCTTCTTCATCCCGGATGCAGCCGGGCCCCCACACGTTCATCCAGAGGCCATTGATGAAACGAGTATATTCAAGTCCCGAGCCTTGCACAGCATTCCAAACAATCTCCTTGCCAGCATATAGGTCAACGATATCATTACAGGCGCTGTTCCATTCCGATGGCACGAAACGCAGCACACCTGCCCGTTTTGCCCCTTCCAAAAGGGCTAATTCGGCCGCAGTCGTATTGTCTCCGTATGCAGGGATGCAGCTGATGACTGTATGAATACCCCGTAGTGCGTCTGCAAGTTGCTCGACAGAACTGTAATCGACGACCTTGATATTGACTCCTTCAGAAGCGAGGGAGGTCTGATTTGATCGTGATATAACCGTGAGATCGTGTTTCTTTGTCGCCAGAATCGCCCGAACGATATCGAGTCCTATCCCAGTTCCCCCTCCAGCGACCGCAACAGTGACCATGTTGATTCGTTTGGTTGACGGTGGACATTTCCGACGGCCTCAAGGACCTTGCCTATTTATGCCACCGGGCATGCATTCTTTTTTGACTTTTATTGCATCAGCATAATAATCCGTCTCGAAAATCAAACTCCATCGTGACAGTCGACTACCGTGAATTTCTGGATTTGAGTTCTTACAATACGTTACATGGTCTTGGCAAACTATAATCTGTTCCTAATCAGGAAATGTGGACAGTGGCTGACGCGAGCACATAAGCCACGGTAGCTATTGTATCTACCAATTATTCCAGATTTCCACCTTCATAATAGCAGCAATCAGTCGGATGAACCTGCTGTCTCACTAGATATGAGCGGAGAATAATTTACATTAATGTCAATTTACCATGGGAACGAGGAGCGTTCTCCCCTCAACTCACACCACCATCGACTATGCTGATACATTTCGCCATCTGGGCCATCAAACAATATCCACCACTTTTGCAGAAACCACGGCCGTACCTCCCAGCTTCGAATGTCCCAGGGAACTCCCGAGCCAATCGGGTCTCTTTTGTTTCTCCTAGTCGAGCCCCAACAGATGATTCCGTCATTTTTCAAATCCTGACAGAGCTGAGCGGGATCGAATGGTGGAGGCTGGATTTGTAATAGTTGAATTGTTCGATTTCGGAAAGATGGAAATGGAAGGACATCAAGATACGGATGGTGAGGATTCTCGAGTTGCGTGGAAGAAGGTTGAAGTAAGGGTTTCACATGGGCAAGCCTTCCAGACTTTGTCGTTCGCATCTGGTAAAAAGGTGATTGTGATGTCGAGTCAAACAGGGCTTCGGGTGACAGGTCAATCATTGCCGCGTTGGCGAGGCATGCTGCGACAAATGACATCGTTGTAAGTTGAATCGTGTTCATATGTATCTCCGCGAGTGGGGTTTGTTCCAAAGACGTTGTGTAGGAGGAAAATCGACTTTGTTGAGGATTGCCTTCCAAGTTAAGTGGTGAGGCAGAGCTTGACATTTCCTCTTTTTGGTGTTGGTTTTCTTCGGAAAGAGCGCGGATCCCTGCAACCAGAATATCTTGAAGACTGAGCCGTTGGTTCATAAGATCTTTAGACGTCAACACATTGTCCAGTTTACTGGAACTGGAATGAGTCTGGTTGATGGTAGATGCCGAGTCCTGCAGATTCACCTCATGATTACGTGAAGGCCTGGTCTCCATGAATCTGTTCGTATTTTGATGTGTCATTTCTGGTTGCCCAGGGACGGCGTTTAGATCGGCTTCGAGAGGAGGATTGAGTGCCGGAAAGATTGAAGAGATATCATTCCAACAATCAGCTCCAGGCTGCCCTTCAATAACTGAAGTAGTCGTCATAGGATCAAACGGATCCAGCCCCGGCAAATAGCTGGATAGTCCCATCTCATCTTCAGCTTCTCGCTCTGAGGCGGAACCGTGAGGGAAAGGAGGACCGAGAAGGGTACTATCCGCATGCGTATCATGATTGATAAAGTCCAGCCCAACACCACTGCTCTGATCTCCCAAGTTATCGTTATAACGGGACTCGTCACTACACGTAGATGGAGGAGTGGGAGCAGCTCTTGTTCCTCTAGCGATTGTCTCGAGCTGCTTTAAGTAGCTCCTCTTTTTGTCTCCTGATCACTCGTGAATAACCATTAGATCTGCAAACTTCATAAAGGCAGACAGTTGAGTTCCGGTTTATTCAAATAACGTACGGTAAGTCTTTTGCGCGATTCGATTCTGCTCACGTCTCCGGTCGGATATTGTGCGAGCGGGACGCGGCTTTTCCGACCTCCTATGGCCTGAGGCAAATGAAAGAATGTCGAACGGCATTCTGAGGTCCTTATACGTTGTGTTTTGCAGCGATATGATGCCAAGGCAAATCCGTACATGCCATAGAGAATGAGGAGTGCCTGGAGATGAATGTGACCTCATGTGGTGGGTACAGTGGCGGGACGCGGCCTAACTTTGGCCCGTTGCACGTTGAATCGAGGCGATCCCGTTACAATTACGCTATGAAACGTCTGTCGTTCTACTGTAGACGGATCCCACTTTGAGTGATATGAAAAGTATCCTTGGCCGTGGTGAATCGCCGCGCGAAGCAGGTTTATACCATATTCTATGTACTATGGATATAGCCAGGATGGCAGTAAGCACACAGGGCTTTCAAGGGCTTTGAAACCGGCATTAAGGACGCGTAGTGTTCCATTACGAAGTCCGGTTTCAGAGAAATTTGCCTTTTCACTTAATTACGAAGACTTTTTTAGAAATAAATCTCGAGGCTGGATAGGTATATTTTCTGCCCAGAAGAATTTTAAGCAGTCTTCCACTGAATTACAACCCGTATCTATGACGTTATCTGTGGCCTCGGGTAGATGAAAGCATCCATAACAGACCTCAGCTGAACCACTCCCCATCGACTATCCGCAGTTGCTTCCCTAAAGGGTAGATGCTAACTTCCCAAAGAAGTTCAGTTAATTGGCCATTGCGATCTGCAACCACCTGATTTTTCGATGAACTTCAGAACTAGGTAATATAGCTGATGACAAGAAACTTTCGGGCCAGTGTGCCAGTACTGAAGCGTATGCTGTTCTGTAGTATCCACATTGAACCGCATAGAAACTAAAGGCTACTAAGTGTTTACCTCATGAAAGCCAATGTTTCCAGCAAAATTATGCCGGGAATGTAAATCATGTTTGAGGGTGGGATGCAACTGTGCATTACCACAGCCCCACTCTACCAATCTCTTTCCTGGCTGTCCCTTTCACCACTTTTTCACCAGGCGATATTTCTCCCGGCACAGCGACAAAATCCGATTTCCGCAGCCGCCGGGTGACAATTTCGGACCATTCGACGGGAGAGAAAAAATGACTTCGTCCTTGGGGCCTGAATTTCTGCCTGACGGTTCACCACTTTCACACCCTCACCAAGCTCAACTCCAAGGCAACCCGTCCTACAAGCGGGGGAGCTCACTCTCTCACTCCGTGACTGACATACTTAGTGCAATACCTGGCACGTCTTGCAAGATACACACTATGACCCGAGTTCGTGTAAGACTTCGCACAGCAACAACGATACGGTTGCGAGCTACTCTTGGGATCCGCAGTAGGAACCCCGTACATATAACCCTAAGACGTTCTACTCACAGTGACCAGTTGGCAGCGCGTATCGCAACTCGCTTGGGAAATACGCTAAATAATCCCGAAAAGGATTCAATGGCTCATCCTGGTCTAAACTTATGTCTCATTGACGTTTTCGCAAGCCAAATTTGACTAAATAACTTGGTGAAATCGAAAACAAGTAGGTACAAAACCTAGCTCTCGGTGAAAGGAAGGATTGAACAGTAACAAAATAACATCTTAGAAACAGAAAGCCCTCAGCTATTTCGTTTGATGGTCACACAATACTCGTGCATTTCACTAATAAATGCATGGACGGGTAAAACTAAGTGGACTGACAACATCATCTGTGGATTTCCGTTTAGCGAAGATACAGATAATGAATGAAGTTTCGAGAATTTGAGGCTTAGGGATATCAGTGTCAGACTAGGAGCCAGCACATTATACCCAATTTGTCTTGTCGGCTAGAGGTCCGGATCGCTCATTGGTTTTCTTTTACAGCTCGGGTGTATCAGCGAATGAATCATCCCACCTATCAATTCAGCAATGTTAATGTAGAAAGAGGAGAGATTCAGTTCCAGGAGCACTTACGCAGCGTGGTATCTCCCACCAGAGACTCTAGCAGCTTCCACAAGTTCTCTAATCCTTCTGTTTTCTTCTGGAGCAAGCGTAATTGATAAAGCCTGAACGTTGGTATCCAGGTTCTTGGTCTTTGTTGTTCCAGGGATTGGGATGATATCCTCTCCCTGAGCCAAAAGCCACGCAAGAGTCAGTGTGCTAACACTAACACCCTTGGCTCTAGCAATATCCGCTAGTGCATCCACAATTTTGAGGTTCCGAGGGAAGTTTTCTGGAGAGAACCGCGGTAGAAAACGACGGATATCACCTTCGGGGAAATCATCGGGCGATTTAATTTGTCCAGTCAGGAAGCCCCGTCCAAGAGGTGCGTAGCAGACTACTGCCACGCCAAGTTCACGACACGCGGTCAACAGGCCATTTTGCTCAATGTCGAGGCTAAAAGGGTTGTATTCGATTTGGACTGCTGCAATATGATGAACCATACAACTGAAGTCATACTATGGTCAAAAAAGTCCGGAGATTTGCGAAACTTGAGTTGCTTTCTGACTTACGCGCGACGGAGAGTGTTTGCAGAGCACTCTGACAGTCCTAAGTACTTGATCTTGCCCTGGTTCTTGAGCTCCACCATAGCAGCGACTGTCTTCTCGATCGGAGTGACCTTATCCAAGCGGTGAATGTAATACAGATCAACAGAGTCAAGACCCAGTCTCTCCAGACTTTTAACACAAGCCTTCTTGATATATTCAGGGTCGCTCCGGACGAGAGCTTTACCTTCTTCGTCGACGCCGGCACCGCCCTTTGTCGCAAGAAAGATCTCACTCCGTTTCCCGGTTTTGGTGAACCATTTCCCAAGGAGATTCTCGCTATCTCCATACACGTCTGAAGTATCCCAGCTGAGTATGCCGCTGTTGTAGACATAGTCTAGGAATTTCAGGCGTTCCTCATCGGGTGCAGCGGGTGCATAGTAAGCTGAGAGTCCCATAGTGCCGTATCCGAGAGCTGTGACCTGGGGACCATTTTTGCCAAGTTGACGAGTGGGAAGCTTAGGAGCCATGTTGGTACAGGAAACGGGAAGAGGTCAAGCACCGGTTGATTCGGAATAGTCTGGTTGCAGGCAGATTTATATGTTCAGCCAAGTGTCCCGGGAATTTTTTAGGTGCAACCTAGACTCATCTATGATCTTTTCATTGCGTCAGCATATTGATCCCTCTGAATTCTTAACGCTAGTTACGGTAATTTGGATGCCACAGATTCACAGATCTCTGAGTATTCCGGTAGCAGTCTTCGCAAACCATAGTTATTCTGCACCTAGTTAGGCAATGTGGATAGTGGCTTACGCGAGCGTATAAGCAACAGCAACAGTTGCTAGTTACCTGATGTCTGAGCTAGCTAGGACAATATAGGCTAGTAATCTAATCGGACGAATAAGATCGAGGATGAGGTCAAGCGGAACCAACCTTGAATGAGGTTGGTTGATTGAAGGGAAAGAATAATTGCACTGGGGCAGAGTGGAATACCCAAAGATGGCTTCGATACTTGGTGGTACGCTAGCCAAAATGCCAACAGTATAGCCCCTGTCTAGGCGGTAAGTTACCGCTCCATGTTTCGACACCTGATTAGTTAACTGCGGTGTGGCTGACCTCAGCTTTGTGAATTACCACAAATCCCTCAACCGACCGTCCAAAAAAAAGGCGGTGACCTTGGCAGCCAACGTCTTGCTGTCCTCAGCGACGCTGACACAACTTTTATTGGTTCGGTTTGGGGGAAGTCCAGCGTGTATGAACGTCCTGGATCGGAGTAACGCCAGGCTCTTAGCTTTCCGGATGAGACCGATTTATTAGAGGCAACGGTTAACCACCCTAGTAGGGAGTAAAAGAAGCATCGACATATCAGTATCAGCTCCCGCGGCAAATAATGGAATCTGTGCTATCTTGGGATTCACTGGCCATGCAAATGTATAGGTATACCCTTGTTTGTCGAAATCCATGAAATTCATCAAACTGTTCGACATGAACACTGCTAGAGGCATAAATGCAGCTAGAATATTGCTATTGCAGATGTATTGCTCAATTTCTGCCTTGCTGTCGAAATGGTAGGTCACGGTAATGCCTCTCAATTTATGCGTATAGCTTCCCTTGTAGTCAATGAAGCTCAGGCAAGAGCATTCCTAAGAAGCTATAGGGTATCTCCCTAAAATATATGTCAAGCTGAGAGATGGTAACGTAATTCCCAGTCGACCCGATCACCCGGCCATCCCGATCACCCCAAAACACATAGTAAATGAGATGATTTTATTCCACTATAATTCAACCACAGAGCACTATTTCTCTTTCAAATTTTGGAAGATAGGCTATTTTAAGCGTATAGAATAATATAATCAAATCTTAATTCATTTCCAGGACTATTTTAATAGCTTACTGTAAAATACAGCGTAATTTTGACATATCAGATTTAAATATATATCTCTCTACTAATACTTAATGAAAATTTCCTACACTATACTAGCAGGCTAGAAACACTACTTAGATCATATATACGTAATATTTTCTCCTAATTAGATACGGTTGTTAAGATATGAAGTTGTAATTTATCGCATTTACTATGTGTTTTGGGGTGATCAGGATGGCCGGGTGATCGGGTCGACTGGGAACTACGTTAACTTGGCAAAGCCCTGTGCTCGCTTAGTAATCAACGGGGCCGATCATCTTTATCCTGAATCTTCCTTCTTCTTCTCCGCATATCGCCACAGGAATCATTAGCCAAGTAGACAAGGGCTAAATATTCGACCATGACGTTTGAACGGCCTCCAAAACGCACTCTATCCAATGATTTCCCCCGTTGTTCTGACCAGAATCTGTCGGAAAACAGAAGCCAATATCATTGTTCCCGGTTCTCGGTTACCAGCTCTCAAACCACGACCTCTATAGCCCATGCTACAAGGTGTAAAACCGACCGAAAGAAAAGATCCTGTGAGCCTTGTCGCCAACGAAAAATAAAATGTGACAGAGGCAATCCATGCAGCCAATGCGCATCATCATTCCATGGTACGCTTGGAGATTCGGTCCGTGAGCAAGTTGGGTGCATTTAATAAGATGCTGATCTCCTAAGATTGCCTATACTCTGAGCCTCCTCAGAAACGGAAGACAGGAAGCTCTTCCGACCCAATTGGCTTGCTCGAAAACAGAGTGAAGGCAATGCGGTACTCTCTGCCGCTAGCACCAGCAACGTCTACAGCGGTCTCTGCCCCAACAGTCACAGTGCCTCTTGTTTCGCACAGTGGTAGTCTCGATCAATATCACGGTACAGTCTCTAGATCAAGTAACCACGCCACTGCTGCAGAGCTTGCAAAGAGCAGAACAGCATACCACACTATCGAACAGGGTGAAATTGAGTTCCAGGGCCAATCTGCAGACCGAACCTTTATTCAAGACCTCAAGGAAAAGCTAGGTGACTGGCCTGGCGGTGACACAACGCTCAGTCAACTCCCTCCCGATATGCCTTTGCCAGGATTCTTTGAGGGTGATCGTCAGTTGTGTGATGAAGTCGCTTTGCCCACGAAAGACTTAGCAACAAAATTGGTAAATGCAGCTTTGGATGCGCAAATATTGCTTCCTATTATACATCGACCAAACTTTGATGCTTTCTTCAATTTGATCTATTCCCTTGACAAATCGGAATACAGTACAAGGGAAGTGAGGTTCTTGCCATTGCTTTATGCAGTACTCGCCTATGGCTGTTTGCACGTTGAATCGGACGCGAGGAACCGAGGAAGCCCCGAGATGATTTCACAAGGGTATTTTCTATCAGTGTGCCAGCAACGTCCTCTTGACCAAGCACTTACCGTCAGACAGGTCAAAATATTTTACTAAAGCCAGACAACTGCAGGATATCGCAAATTGTCGGGATCTTGTCTGTCTTCAAGCGATCGTCTTCATGAATCTCTTTCTTCTCGCCACGAAGCGCAGCTCAACGTGTTATATATATCTCACTACTTCGCTGTCGATCGCCCTACGAATGGGCCTCCACCGGTCTCTCAAGGTGGACCAGGACTTGATCTCTCAAGAAATCAGCAAGAGACTATTTTGGGCTTTATGGTTGCTTGTCAATGATGTTGCTTCCTGCTGTGGAATGCCAAGGCTTTTAGGTGATGAAGATATAGACCAGGAGCTTCCAAAAGAGGTCAATGACGCTTACATCGGAAGGGAGAAAATATCGATGCAGCCACAAAGTGAGATCTGCTATATTTCCGGCGCAAATGCCTCCTACCGGCTTCACATGATTCGGGATAAAGTGACAAGGCAAATATATCCTGTGAAGCGCCTGGGAGATGCACAGTCTAGTGGTTCGATGGCATATGCTGCCAATCTTGAAACAGTACGTGAAATTGAAGGAGACCTCAATATATGGGCGAATAGTATACCTTGGGGGTACCGACTAGGCACATGTTACGGAGAATCGAGATTGATAAGGTAGGGAATTTCATCGTTACAGCAAGCCCATCACTAACGTTCTCCAGAGCCCAGTATATGCTTTGTATATCTTACGCTCACGTTCATCTCTATCTTTATCGGCCGGCTTTACATTATGCGATCAGACCTCTCAAACAACGACTTTTTCTCGACGACCTTTCGTCTTATGCCACCTTGTGCATCCAGGCCAGCCAAAATATCGTAGCACTATGTAACGACATGTGCAAACGAGGCCTTCTTACTGGGGGTAATTGGCCAGCTATACGAATGCTGTGCAGTTCCATTCTGACACTCTTTTACATTATACTTGTTTCACGAGGCTCCTATGAACCAGAGCCCATGTTCAAAAGCTTGGCCACTGGGAGGAAGGTCTTGAACCATGTAGCGAAGGAAAGCTTTCCTAGCAATCGGTGCAGAGTCATGCTAGTGGTGAGAGTCAAATCCTATTTCTCGTGTATATACCTATGCGTTATCTGACGAACTCACCAAAGATCATGACCTCCACTCTCCCCAGGGATCTCCAGAACGTTCGTGACAGGTTATCCAAATTTGATTCTGAGGTCCCAGATATATTTCCAAATGAGAGAACGCAAAACAATTATCGTCCTCATGACGATTCATACACTGCTTCACTAGCAGAGAGGATCCTTTCAGCGGGGCTTAATTCTCGTTCGAGGAGCTCCAGCCTCGTTTTATCTGCTGCTGGCGGCACGCAAAACCCTGGTGAGATCTTCCATTTACCAGAAATCTTAAGGACTGAGCATCGAAATCGTGTCCAACCATAGGCGCCGTCTCCGACGACAAATTCCACTGCTAACCGGGCTACAGTTGAAGCGATGACACAAGCCGCAGATAGCGATATTTTCAGAAACCAAAGTCAGCTGTCAACTTGTCGAAGCCCTGACCTCCCCTCCCTGACTGGTATGGGAGTCACCAAGTTCTCACAGGTGCCCAACGCGACGGCCATGGAGGTTACTGACCGCCTTTTGGAATCCCAGCCCTTGAATTGCCGACAAGATGACTTGGCTGAGATCCAGGCGAATGCTTTTGATGACTGCGACACCAACCTTTTAGGATTCAACGAGGAACTGTTGACGGGTTTATCCAATACAGGAGCAATTGGTCTCGGAGATATGGAAGACTTCTTCGATCTTCGAAGCTGGTTGTAAATTAGAATCTAACCGAATTAATAGCACATGTATTAACAGTCTGCCAGATGGGAACTGACTGGGTCAGGATCAATTTCTTATCGTCCCCCAACTAGGAGAGGATCAGCAACAGCACCGGAGGTGCTGACCCAATAAAGGGTACTGTGGACTGTGGGTCTTTGGAACCATCCACGCGATAGGGGGTCCGTCTTATGTGGCCCGTCTCAGAACCTGTTGCTTCGAGCAGGCCTTGTCATCCGCGGCACAGGAAAGATAGATCGAACTCAGCCGGTCCAGCACCAGCTATCTGGCGCTTTGAAGAGTGCTGCGATCGGAGTCCGGCGTGCCGCGTAGAACTTTGGGCCTTGGGTCCCTCGACTGTGAAATTTGTGGGATATTTACTCTAAACAAGACACCAATTCCCCACATCCTCACATTCTATATGTAATGAGAAAGGCTATACAAGGACGCGGTTTCGTCAAATAAACAAGATTCTGTCTTGTCTTGTCAGTCCATATTCATTTCAAGTCCAGCGTCACACTTTTCCTCAGCGAGGCCCCGACACGATTGAAAATAATCGGCATGAGAAGCATTGCCAGCGTTATAAATCCAAGCAATGAATTCCCCCAGCCATACCCAAGTGCCCGGTACATGGTAGGTCCAGCAAGGGGCAAAAGTGCGCCAACAAGGGACCGAGAGACGGTTATCGCTGCTATGCCTGAAGCAGCATATCGCGGATACGAGTCAATGATGTACGTCTGCAATGTTCCGAATATGCCAACCAGGCCGAAGGCAAAAGGGAAGAGACCGATTATGGGCACAATCCAGTGTGCTTTGGCCTGTAATGACCAGCCATACCAGAAAAATGAGACTGGGACAAACAGGGCGAAAAATATGCAGAGTGGTAGGCGCATTTCGGGCTCGAAGACATCTCCGTTCTGAGCTTTGAGTCGAATGACGACTCTATCGCTCAGCATGCCGAAAACAAGCTGTCCGAATATGAACCCTATACCGAGACCAAGGTAGGCCAGCCCACTGCTCTCTATACTCCAGTTATAGGTATCTTTGAAGGCGGTTGTTATGGTCGTCAAAAGAAGGTAAAGGCAGCCATACACCGTGGCAATATACATAGCGATAATTGACACTATGGGAGAGCGAAACAAAAGTTGAAATGGGGTGCTCAGGCTGCGTAGGAAATGAGTTGCTTTGGCTTTCCCTTTCTCAGCATCGCCCTCTCCTGCTTTCTCGTAGCAGCTGCGAAGATCAGAACGGCCAAGTTCCTTCCGCAGGAGCACTGTTTTGCGTCGTACGAGAATAACTGGGTTTGTCTCGCGGTTGAATATCATAACAAAAAGTGTAAATGAGCCACCTGCGATTACAAGAACCCAGAACACCTAATTCTCGTTAGTTATTTGACATTAGTCTACGGAGCGAAGTTGGAGTGTTCCTGCTCACCCATCTCCACCCAGCTCTTTGCGCTATAAATCCACCGCAAATAGGTCCAAGGACGGGCCCAAATAGAGGCCCAGCGCCGAAGATCGACATGGCCATACCACGTTGTTCCGGTTCAAACAAGTCGGATACAACGCCACCCCCAATGGTTAAGCATGCAGACCCTCCTATTCCAGTTAGAAGCCTAAAGACGATCAACGCGGAGAGATTCGGTGCAAGTGCACATCCAATTTGGAATAGGACGAAGAAAGACGTTGAAATGTTGAGGATTATTCTCCGTCCGTACATTTCACTCAAAGGCGACAGGAACAACGGACCAAACTTGGATAATTTATCAGGCCATTGGATCGTGGATTGTGGATTGGAGCTTCGCTTACACCGTAGCCAAATAAATAGGATGTCACTGTAAGGGACCCCAGTATAGACGAGGTGTTATCGAATGTTCGATCAGCATCTGCCGCAGCAGGTGCAAAAACTGAGGATGCGAAGGGACTAACGGGAGAATATTAACCAGTTAGGTCGTTGCTTTCTCTTAAAGTCTGAAAATAAAGGGTGCCAACCTGATTAAAGTGATCATGCTAACAAGGGCAAGAAGAAACCATTTCCGGGTTGCAGGATAATTCCTGGTGATACATCATATAAGTAACAAGCTCACGAGCCAAGCATTCACATTCACTAACCTTGGGTTCAAAGGATCGCTCTGATCATCCCATCCCACTATGCCTCTACCCAAGTCTGTGACAGGATAATTTTCACGTATTGCGACACGTGGCACCTATGCGTTATGTTAGCACAAAATTAACCTTTAATATAGGGCAGCTTGCTCACGTCTTCTGGCTTTTCTTCGTCTCTCTGTACCATTTTAATTCAGCAGGAATGGCAGCGATAAGGTCAAAGCAAATGGCATAAACTCCACTCGTGAAGCAAGAACTATGGTGGTGAAGAGAGGAGAAAAAAAGGAAAGTTTGAAGATGAAGGAATAATAACCTTCTATTCATGATGCATCGTTTTCCCTGTAGAAATAGATACAACCAACGAAACCCACGTAGTTCCGGACTTGGGGTTAGTGTAGTTCTAGAATAATGAAAAATCTATAAAATCCGAGGCTAACCTGGATTTCGGACTGCTACACCAATCAGGGTGGCCCAGACGGAGTTTTCCTTATCTCCGACATATCTCAACTACTCCGTACCGACAACGGAGTAATTCCACTCGGGACTTGGGGTTACTTATATATACCTACAATATTGCCCAGCAAAAGAAAAAGAAAAGTCTTGTAAAATTGGTACATATTGGTTTTTCAACATCCTTCAGGACCAGTCTGTACCGGGCACAATGGCAAGTCAAGCATGCTGTAACGTTCCTCCCAAAGGAGGGCCAGCAGTCGTATCTGAAGATCAAATCGACCAAGCGGCGGGAGTGAATCTGTGTGCGTACTGCCTTTGCCTTTTCATGTCAGAGCTCTAACTGAGGTTTCTATGCAGACGTGTTCGGCGATCGGTCGGCCAAGCGAGGTGTGGTGCTTGTGTATGATATTTTTGGACTCTACCAACAGACCAAACAAGGAGCGGCACTCCTTGCAAAGGAGCTGGATTGTCTGGTTATTATCCCAGATTTTTTCAATGGAGAAGCAGCCAACCTGGAATGGGTGGGGATGGATACCGATGAAAAAAGGAACAAAATGATGGGATTCTTTGTGGAGAAAGCAAACCCTGAAAAGAATCTCGCGACCCTCATCTCCGTCACCAATGAAGCCAAGAGCCTCTATACCACTGTTGAAAAATGGGCTGTCCTGGGACTTTGCTGGGGTGGAAAGGTATGAGTTGTCCCTAAACCTAGCAACAGACGAGGAGCTCGGGACGCAGGAATTTAACTGACACCTACTACCTAGCTTGCTGCATTGGCCTCCGCTGGACCGACCCTATTTGTTGCCTCTGGTCAAGCCCATCCTTCGTAAGTGCCTTTTTTGTCTCATGGTCCAGTGGCCGTACTATCGCTTAACACCGTATTTAGGCTTCTCGAGGTGGCAGATGCTAAGGCCATGAGCATCCCGCACATTTGCCTGGTTTCCCCAGATGAACCTGTAGACATTTTGAAACCATATGAGGAAGCATTGCCAGCCAACTCCGAGTTGGAACTATACGGTACGATGTTCCACGGATGGATGGGAGCACGAGCAAATTTGGAGGACGAGGAGAACACTCGCGAGTTTATCAGAGGGTAAGTAAATGCACGATGACACATATATTCCCTGCTCATGATGTACAGGTATAAGCAGGTCGCCGCCTTTTTTAAACCCTTGCTATGAGACACACTGTCTTTAATAGACCCGCTTATTGAGCCCCGTTCCGCTAAGTGCGTGACAGGATATGTTGGTTCAGTATCCAGAATGGGGATGGGAAGACCGAAGCAAAGAGGATATTTGTTTCTCAATCGAGGGATACAAGCAGTCCTATGCTCCTTAGCCAGCAAACTACAAAACTCCCATGTTGGATTCACTACGGATAAAATGTCGGAGTAAGCTAGAACCGTATGAGCTTGTGTGCAGCTATAGCGAATGATATCAAATGGAACCAATTTAAAATGAAGTCCGTGGAGTAGACAGGACCCCCGTGGATTGGCGGTTTCAATAGTGTTTCATTACCGTAAGCCGGGTACACTCCCACCCACCCACCCCGCTTCCGCTTGTGAATGCACTACTCGTTACCATTAGTCACATATCACCGTCATCTATTTTGTTAAATACAGGATTTGAAGAACAAAAAGGGCCCGAATCAAAGAAAAGACCTCCCCATTCTCTCGAGCGATCATTTCTGCCTCGGTTTCTGCCTGGTCTGGTTGTTTTGGCGGTGGTGGTGCCAGATGGAGAAACCTGCTCCAGGGATGCGGGTACATCCACGGTTGATATCTACTTGACATCTACTGCCTACACAGGTGGAAATAATGCTGCATCGACTTTCTCTGCCAATATCGTGTCGTCTATCTATACGTGGTCAGCTGCATCCGCGACGTCGGAATCAAGTGACAATACAGGAAGCGGCGATGGCGGAAGTGCATCCTCGGCCTCACCCTCCTCTGTGGCGTCAGCGTCCGCATCCATCTCAGTGCATAATTCTCAGGCTTCAAGATTGAACTGCAAACGGCAACTTTTTACTATTGCCCTGATGACTTCTGCCCATGCTTTGTTCTTGGAATAGGAATTATTTCTGCATTCTTAATGTGTGCCCCGTTTGGGTTATTGGTTCCTTCCGTGATATTTCGGAACAAGTTCAAATTGAGAGATGTTCCTAAAATGTTTTTGTTAAGTATATGGGTCCAATTACGTTGCCATCTCTGCCAAACAATTCGAGATAAAGACTCAGAAGACTTAAAGAGAGAAGAAGTAAAGAGAGAAGAAATAAAGAGAGAAGAAATAAAGAGAGAAGAAATAAAGAGAGGTTAGGTCCTACACTCTAACTGGACAGAGGAGAGAAATAAGGGTTCTAAAGGTGCCAGATTGATGACCGTGGGCGGGCGAGAGAGATAGAGGTTCCACACGAAGAACAACACACATACACCTCACGAGATCCGGATAATTTAGAATATCACGGTCACATTCATATTAGATACATAATTCTGGTTTCTTTGTAGACATTTTTTCTTCTTGTATCCTCTCAAGTGTTACGCACGACCGACTGGTCACTGTGAGTAGAACTGATGAGGATTATACGTACCGGGTTCCTACTGCGGATCCCAAGAATATCTCGCAACAGTGCCGTTGCTGTGCTAAGCCTTACAAGGATTCGGGTCCTCTGAGTGTCTTTCAGGACGTGCCAGGAGGTGTGCGCCAAGTAGGTCAGTCACGAAGTGGTATTACTAAGTAAGCTCCCCTGATTGTAGGATGAGTTGTCTTGAAGGCCAACTGTGAGTAGTATCCAAGTCACAATGTGTAATGTTAGTGACCTAGTAACAGGAGTAATTGATCGCGAAAAACTAAATACATGCGTGCTAAGTGAGTGTCCTTCTATATCCAGTCCTTTGCGCTGCGGCCTACAACTGGGTAGTCGTGATGGTATACTGGACTGTTGATGTTTGTAGGCCCTTCGGTAGACTTACAGGTAAGATAACCCCTGAGGGATTCGGGAACACGGTGACGCTCCCAGGAATAGTTTTTTAAGCATATACGGCTAGCAGGTCTAACGTTCCGGTTGTGTCCATTCAATATGGCGACAATGGCATAACGTCGAAACCCGGGAAGGTCTTTAGCTAAGTAGTAGCTGACTGTAGAAGAGTATGTAAATTTCCATATAGAGCCTTGCAAAGTTGCTTGTAAAAAGGCAGACATTCGTAGTCCATCTAATACAACCCCATCATACTTCCCTCAGTAGTTCTCCCAAATCTGGCCAATGTATTAGGGAAAACGGAGAATGCTCCTAGGAGCGTCTAATGTAAGATAGGGCAAATTCTCCAATGAAACAAGGTTACTACGAACATCCTGCTTATGAAAGGAAAACTCGCCAAATCAGTGGAAAATTTACGACGCCAACTCTTTGTTGGTGGGATAGGAGAGGTTAACTGAAAGGGTATAGAAATCGCGCTAGCGTGTCGCGTTTTATTGAGCCTGTTTACTCAGGTCACTGCTTGGCGAAATTAGTAATCAAATCGCGATGCTCAAGTCCTGGTCAGCAGAAGTCATTGATCAGGCTCAGTGAGTGGATCAGTTTGATTAATGATCACTGAGCAACTCAGGTGATCAGGGGCGTGCTCAATTCTACTCAGTGAGCAAAAGCGGCGAGAGGGTGAGCACGAGAACGGAAGGGGAGCGCCAAGAGTTACCAGGCAAAATCCGGTATATATGTTGTAACTACCGAGTCGCAACGGGTCTTGTCCAATGGCAAATGATGGTCGAATTTTAAATGGGGATTCTGCTACATATCAGAATCCGTACAGTGCACCCTTATCCACCACATGGGTATCTTTGCGCAAAGGCGTCAATCTCTAATTAACAGCCTTTTGCAACTTTATCAATCTGTACTGTGTACGAGAAGTCTCCTTAGAGGGAAGTAGCCAAAAAATGAACGAATCAGGTGACTCCGCCGATCCTCGCTTAGGCATGTTTGTTGGCCTTAGGCCTAGCCTTCAGCCGGACACCGAGCTCCAGCATTGATTTCCACCTCCTCTCAGCTACTTTGGAAAGGCGTACAGAGGTTGAATATTTAAATATATAAGCTTCGCTACGCCCCACAATGGATATAGAAAATATAGAAAGACAAGGCTGAATCTGACATAAGCACAGTGTGGGGTGTCAGTCACAGATCAATGCTTATTTAGACCATCCTATCGAATTAGAGTCAGAAGCGGGGGCGTTGAGTATAGCTTACACTACTCATGGCACTGGGAGATGACAGGCTCTCGAGCAAACAACTCAGTTCTAAACCATCCGATCACCCGTGTCCACGGCATAGACATCACTAGTCTCAAAATGATTCGATGATGATCGAACGTGCTTCTTATGGACTGTGTATAGCTGGATACCTCGCTTCTCAAAATACCCCATCATAATTACATCTACCAAATTCCTGGATATACAGCACATGATAGGAAATCTCTACTACTTTTCTCGGGAATATTCCCCAGGGCGGATGCTTGTATTTTTTTTTTCTCTTTCTCATATGGGTATTAATACCAAGCGATCGCAAGCAAATTCCATCATGACCAACGGAACCTCTCCTCTCCTCTCCAGCTCATATCAGTTAGCCTTCAGCACATTGATATTTCGCAGTTAGAGCACCACCTGAATATGCTGGAACCCCAACTCCTTCTGCTGAGACCAGGCCAGCAAGCTGGCAGTCTTGATCGTATTCTTGACCTGTCGCCCATTTAGCTGCGGCACAGCCAGCTGATCAAGCTCTTCATCCGAGAACGCAGTCGTGTTAGGAGAGCGGCCCAAGAACTGGCGCCAAATATGCCGTCGGGAAGTAGAGTCCAGTTCCTTGTAATTCAGTGACAGGTGGATCCGAGACTCGAATGCCGGATCGATCTGCTCTGCACGGTTGGTCGTCAGGAATAGAATGCCCTCGTAGTACTCTAGCATCCGTAGGAAAATAGACACCAGTTCGTTGCGTTCCAGATCAGTTGAAGAGCGAGTTTCCATGAAGACGTCGGCTTCGTCAAGGAGGAGAACTGCACCCCATTTGGGAACCATGCGGAGAATGTTCTTTAGGTTGTGTTCGACTGCATCTGCATGAGTGCCTAGGTCGCCTGCGCTCATGGCGTACAGCGGAACCTTCATCACCTCGGCCACACTCTCTGCAGTCAAAGTTTTACCCACACCTGGCGGGCCACGGAGTTGTAGGATAATTCCACGACCTTTGCCGCGGACAACATCGTCAAAGTTGTCCAGCTGTTGGGACTGAGCTCTGGCAACTGCCAAAAGCAGATCCTTCAGGTCTTGCTGTTCCCGAGGGAGGACGAGAGATTCAAAGGCGTGAGAGTCCCATTCGATCTCCGACACACTGCGAAGATAGAATTGCAGCCACTCCTTATCAATCAAAGAGTATCCATACACCATATCCGAAGTGATCATCCGCTGCTCGTCGGTCAGCTCCTCGGCAATATCCTTGCCAAAGACATGGATAGAACCATCCGAATCAAAGACACCAAATGCCTCAGCGTCGATAATGATGCGGCTTTTGACGTGGAACTGTTTGGCCTGTCCGTACTCGGATAATCCAAGAGCCAAGCCTTCGTATTGCATGTAATGGTACCCTTTGTGCTCCTCCCAGCACTTGCCCTGGGAAATAAGCGTCTTACGCACTGTGTCCCTCTTCGAATGATACTTCAGAGGATAGATTGGCAGAGACGTGATGGGTTTGGTTCCAATGAAATCATCCACAAGGACCTCCTGCTCACTGTAACCGAACTTTTTGCCGTCGAAGTCAATGTATTTGCAAGTAAGGACCCAATCATTTGTCTGGCTCTTAATTGAAGCCTTAGAAAAGAGATACCCCCGCGGAAAGTCACTATTGCTAATGACTATGTCGTCGGGCTCGAAGAGAGTCCATAGGAGGGGGCTTGTGATGACAGCGTTTTGAATCAGGTCCTTCTTGCGCGCAAGCGTGCCCCTCAGTTCTTCTTCGAAAAATTTGTAGAAGAGCTCGACATGTTCTTTGGTAGTTGAATCCAGCTCCTCCTCATCTCGGACCTTGATGAAGTTCTCCCATCGATGGACGAGCGGTCTGAATGGCGTGTGGAATTCAAGGCGCTCAAGGGAAGTGGTCACTCCGGGGTAACCATGGAGGACTTTCCCCAAGAAGGTCTTTAGAGGCTCGCTTTGCACGATGACCGAGTGAATGGACAGGCTCTTCCGTCCATCATAACACTTGACGTTCCGGACAATGAGTACATATTGTGCAGATTCGTCGTTCTCGACGGGCTTGATCAATGTCTCAGGCAGGTACCTGGTCCATGATGTCTCTCCATCCTCGCCGAGCCGAGTTTGATAAAGATTTCGGACGGCGCAGATAGACCCACGCGGGGCATACTTGATGTCGAGTTCCCCTGTACTCTCTTGAATGGTCGTCAGTTGAAGCGGTCTTGTATTGAGATACCCCGAAATAGATCACTTACCCGATTCAGACTGGGTGGAGTTGCTGATGGTTTCTTTCGCCATCGTAGAGGTGCGAATCAGTTTGAACCTAGGATGGAAGGACTTTTCTTGTTAGAAGGGGCAAGTAAAGGGAGAAGAGAGAGGGAGAAAGAAGGCGGATGAAAAAGGAAGTTCGAGGCTTGGAAAGAAGCGAGGTGTGTTTGTGTGTGCATGAAAAAGAGAAGGTTATTCTTAGCTATTGCTCCCAGGAAAGCTATGAAGCAGGACGGAACGATGCAGTAAAGGGAAGAGAGGTCGGAGAGAAATCTCACTAATTTATCTACATAGCCAAGATCAGAATCTCCATCAAATAGAATCTCATTGCTGCATCATTTGACCAGACAAGTAACTCTGGAGGGGGCTACGCGTTGTACAGCCTGGCTGAACTGGATCCATTTCAAGACCTGAGATCTAGGTGTTATCTTTTTACAACCAGGAACTTATGTGCCCTCTTTTAAATAGGGAAGTAGCGCTGGAAGGATGTCTTTCTTCTGTCACGAAGGTGGTGCTCCAGAGACATAGCCACGGCATGATCTCTATACGAAAAAAGCCTCAGTACTGCTCCACTCTGTACGACAACAACCTCGGAAAGTCTATGCACCAACGTGTAATATCCATACCCCAGGTTATCGAATCTAAGCAAATTATTTCAAGCAGAGCTTGAGGCTTGGCTTTACACCATGCAAGGAGCCCGTATGGTTGATTATCTTTGACAATAGGAAGAAATAACGTATTGAACTGGTCATCATTCATCACTTTCAAGCTGTATATCACCGAAAGAAAACATCTGTATATCTGTATCTACCACCACTCCGCTTTATGCTAGGGACATGCGCCTGTTTCGCCCCAAAGATGTTCAATCTGTTGAAAGGGTATTTCCTCAAGAGAATATTTAAGCCTCGGTCTTGAAAGCCACCAACCGAGCCTTGATAGCCTCGTCCGAGTCGGAAGTGTCCAACTCACGCAGAACACCAGAACCAACGTCATAGATCAAGCCGTGGACCTGGAGACCACGCTCGTGGATGGCCTCCAGCACGACACTCTTTTGAGTCACAACGTTCAGGCTCTCGCGAACATTAAGCTCAACCAACTTCTCGGCAGCCTCGTCGGGCGACAACTTCTGCAGAGTGACGAGGTTGCGCTCGCGCACCTGACGCAGAGGCAGCAACCAGGGATCCAGAATTCCGAGTTGCTTGTTGCCCATGGCGGCAGCAACACCACCGCAGGATGTGTGGCCGCAGACCACGACGTGCTTGACACGCAGGTGCTTGACGGCGTATTCGATGACGGCACCTGAGCTCAGGTCACCAGGGTGAAGGATGTTGGCGATATTACGGTGCACAAAGACGTCGCCAGGGAGCAGGCCGAGCATGGAGGTCTCGGCACAACGTGAGTCAGAGCAGCCGAGCCACAGGATCTGGGGCTGCTGGCCATTGGCGAGGGTAGGGAAGAGGTCGGGGTGTTCACGCGCGGTCTGGGCAGCCCAGTCCTTGTTCTTGCGCAGACCAGCGGCGTACTTGTCTGTGGAGTCGGATTTGGTGGCATTAGCTTGTGTGGTCGTTGCGGAGGGCTTGTGATTCGCGCAGTAGGACGGGGCGGAGGTCGAGAAAGGAGAGGCACGAGGCACGGCAGTGATCAAGGGGGAGGAAAAGAAAGTCAAAGGCTGGCGACCCGCGATCTGATGGGAAGCCTCGCTGGCGCGAGCGAGAAAGCGAGATCGCATTGCGAGTCCTGCAGCGCTCATGACGAACGGTGGGGTGTTCGGGGTAAGACCAATGAGAAGGAAGGAAAATGAAACACCGGACACCAAGCAGAAGTACAGGGCAAGCGTAGGACAAATATAATCACAAGCCCTGCCGCCAACTTGCCCCGGACTTGACTTGAAGAGGGTGCGCCGCGAGTATCCGACGACGGCGGAGGGAACTGAGATGTTGGGGGAAAGAATTGGGGAAGGAGGAAAATCCCGCCAAGAATCGATCAGAAAGGTTGACCGGCCGTGCACGTACCTTCAGACATAGCGATGAATTTTCTCGATGCGAAGGGAGATGAGGAAGTGAAAAAGGCGAGAAGAATCAGGAGACTTGACTGTTTATCAATAAAGGTTGTAGCAGTAATAGGAGAGGAAGAAGCTGAAGCAAGGGGAAAGAGAGTCTGTGCCTTGGCGGGTTGGTGGGTTGGTGGTTTGGAGGGGCGATTCTTTCCGAGGAGAAAGGTCCGGATGACGGGATCGGCGGCTTGCGGTTTTGGTTGACTGGGCACGATCGATCTATACAGCTCAGGACTCCTCGATCAATTGGACACTTGCCAGGGATACATGGCACACCACCCACAGCTGATTCTATACGAGAATAATAGCGGGTGACTTTGAATTCATTCATTCGCATATAAATTCCTAGGACTTTTCTACATAACTAAAATCATGCCACCATTGGCTAGCAGGGGAAAAAGGAATATATAGATCACACCACCCGATTTTAGGGGGCACCACCACGGCCGCCGACGTTGAGAACCATCTTCTTTTGTTCCTCGGTGATGGGCACGGGTGGCAGGGGTCGGGCACCAGCGAGGGTGGGCGCAGGCAGGAACCCAATGGCTACCAGATAGGAGGCATACAACCCAATCAACTCGACGGTGATACCGGCACCGGCAGAGGCGTCCACGCCAGACCAGGCTGCATCAGCCTTCAACCCGGCAGAGGCGTACGTGTTATCCAACTCGGGGGCCTTGCTGTTGGAAGGCAAGTCGGAAACCACGAAATGGTAGAGTGGCATCCTAGATGGCCGGTTAGTCGGTCGTCCGAAACAATAGAGACATCATTTAGTTACTTACAGGGCATGCTGAGACTCCTTATCGTTGTGCTGGCCGTCATTAACATAATTTTCGAGAGAAGACGCCCATGGGATATAATCAATCTGCTTGACGGCGTATCCATAGGTCTCCAGGGCTCCGAGGAACTCATTGAGGCGGAGACGCGGCTGTCCAGTAACGTGGACAACACCGGTGGAGTTGTTAGGAGGATGGAAGGCAGCGGAAATGACAACCCGTACGACGTAGTCTGACGGGCAAGCGTTGACGGAGTTGCCGATGTTGGGGCGCGAACCCAACTGAACGCAACCCTTCCAGAAGCGAGTAAGGAAGTCATCGGTCACACAGACACCAGAGGTGGAGTCACCCTATTTGAAACAATGAGTATCCTGATACCGACGGATCGAGCGGCACCGAAAACTTACCAAGATATACCCAGATCGAATGATGCCGGCCTTGAGACCGCGGGCACGGGCTGCGCGAACTAGATGCTCACCAGCCCACTTGCTCTGACCATAACCTGTTCCAAGACCAACGGCACTGCCTTCCATATCATCGTCCTCGCTCACACCATTGCCACCAGCGGCAAGGCTACGCTCAGATTCTTGCACGTAGTGGTCGTTGTCCAGTGCACTGGTAGAGCTGACAAAGGCGAAATGCTTAGCTTTGCCCGTAGCGCACAGCTTCAAAGCATCGATAGTACCCAGAACGTTAGGGCCTCGGAGAGTAGAGTAGGGGTAGACCCAGTGAACGAGGGCACCATTGTGGATGACCACATCGATACGGGTGGTCAGATCATCCCAGACAGACTGGGACAGACCAAAGAGAGGCTTGCCAAGGTCACCGCAGGGTGTTTCCAGACGGTTAACCCACTCCTCGTCCCAGAAGCCGTAGGCGCGGCAGGTGGAGCGAAGACGCTCCAGAGCCTGCTCCTCGTTCTTGGCCCGGACAAGGGCGACGACCTTGGTAGAGGGAGACTTGCGAGTGAGGAGGTCACGGAGAATATGAGCACCCAAGAATCCAGTAGCACCGGTAAGGAAGACAGTCGGCTGAGTAGCAAGCAAGTCCTCCGTCCTGGTGGGGAACGTCGCAGGAAGCTCATTGACCAGCTGACGTGCATCCTTCGAGTACCCGTCGTCGGGTTCGTTAGAACCCTGGTCGGCCTTGTCGCTAGTCGCAAAGGCCTCCACGTCAAGGAGACGGTCAATCTCGCCTGCAAAGCCCTTGAGGGTTGGGCTGCGGAAAATGGCACTCATGCTGATATCAACTGTGCGCCACTTGCGGCGCAGTTCGAAGAACATCTGCTGAGCAAGGATACTATGTCCACCAAGATCGAAGAAAGAATCATCGGGTCCGATCATGCGGGCAGTCACGTTAGGGATCAGCTTAGCCCAAATCTGGGCTAGGGCTTGCTCAGTCTCAGACAGCGCCTGGATCGCAGAGGAGCGACGACGAGGCGCAGCAGCGCTGAGTTCCGCGGTGTCGGGGAATGGAAGAGCAGGCTTGTCGATTTTTCCATTGGGGTTGAGAGGCATGCGCTTCAGCGGGATAATCACCGTGGGCACCGCATAAGCAGGGAGCTTGCTGCGAAGGTGATCACGGGCGTCATTGCGGAGGGGAAGGAATCGACGGAGCATGCCAACCATTCCCTCACCCGAGTCATCGTCCGTGAGCCCCTTAGACTCAAGCCACTCTGACCACTTGCTCATATCGGGGACGAAGTAGCTGACAAGAGTAGGCTCCTCGAACTTGTCACGACGAACAAGAGTAACATTCTCGCGAACCAAAGGATGGCGAGACAAGTGAGTGTCAATTTCGCCCACTAGTGGAAGTCAGCTTCAATAATCCTCGCCATTACCACACACAATTGCCAGGGAATTTGACATACATTCAATACGGAAGCCACGGATCTTGACCTGAGAGTCGATACGGCCAGAAACCTCGACATCTCCAGAGGGAGTGTAACGGCCGAGATCACCGCTACGATACAAGCGATCTCTGGGTCCAACGTAGAATTCCCGCCACGGCTCATTTCCGCCCTTATCCTTTTCGGTCCAGACCTCGGGCTTCACGAACCAGTTGGTCAAGAACTTCTTGGCGTTCATATCAGGAGAGCCAAGATAGCCCTCGGCCAGGCCAGCAGCGCGAACATAAACCTCACCAACCTCACCGATGGCACACATACGGGTAGGGTCGAAGGGGTTTACAACGAGCATCTGCACATCCAGCATACCACGACCAGCAGGGATGATGTCCTTCATGGTGTCAAGGAACCCTTCCTGGCTCGAGTAGCTAGGAATTTCGTAGTAGCTGACGGCACGTTGAGTCTAATTCTAGTTAGCCTTCAAAGAACTCCCAGATCGTAGCGTGGTCATGTTCTTACCTCAGTTGTGCCGTACATGTTGACAATGGAGACATTGGGAGCAAGACCTTGAAGCGACCGGCAATCACGCTTGATCAAAATATCTCCGACGAAGAAAGCGTGGTGCAGGGCCGGGAATTGCGCCGACGCACCACCCACAAGAATCTGACCCATGGCCGGAGTGAGATGGGTAACAGTAGCACCGTAGTTTCGCATCCACTCGGCCAGCTTCTCATTCTGAATATCTTCTTTGGCTGGAACCAACAGCTGGGCGCCCAAGAACAACGGAGTAAAGATATCACGCTGGATTGGATCATGGGCAATTCCAGACAACATAGCTTCACAGATGATACACGTTAGAGTCAGATTAGTGGATCTAGTTAAGGGAGGTACTCACAGAATTTGTCATTTTCAGACAGCTTGAAAGTCTCAGACATCCACGGGAAGTAATATGCCAGACTGAAGTGACGACCACGAACGCCCTTGGGCCGGCCTTCCGAGCCAGAGGTGAAGGAAAGAGTAGGGATTGAGTCGGGACCCACAACGACACCAACAGACTGAGACTTCAAGTCGATCTGCTTAGTGAAAACATCCTGACCCTCTTCAGACCCACCAGTCAGACTGCCGTCGTCGTGAAGGGCGAGGGCTGGAATCTCGGTGCGGAGCTCCAGATTCTCGTTAATAAACGACCGGACAATGCCTGACAGTTCACCAGCATCTGTAGTAGCCTTTGCAATGTTGATCAAAGCACGGGGGCGAGCAACATCGAGATAAATATTCTGGCGCTCGGGTGGGTAGGCGGGATCGATGACGGAGAATGTAGCACCAGCCTTCAGAATACCCATCACAGCCACCACCAAATCCACACCACGGTAGGCGTACACCATGACAACCTCCCCTCTCTGGATGCCGGACTGAACCAAGTGGTGTCCGAGGATGTTTGAAGCCTCGTTAATTTGCTTGTATGTAAACTCACGGTGAGGGGAGCTGCTCGACTTGGTCTCCACGACACAAAGCTTCTCCGGGTGCATCTGAGCATTTTCAGCGAAGATATCGTGAATGGCACCACGGAACTTGGACCAGTTGAGGTCAGCAGTGGGATCGGGGAGAAGCGCAAGCTGGTCCTCGGTTGTCATGTCGATACGGCCTACAGCCTCCTCTGGGTTCGCAGCAGCATTGGTAGCGATGCGAACCAACTGCTTGAGAATGGTGGCAATCCGTGCACTGGAAAAGAGACGCTGGTTATAGTAAGCGCCGAGCTCAGATGAAACATTTATGACCAAATCAGTGCTATCGAATGTGTTGGCGGGGTATTCTTGCGAGGCGGCCGGGGCGTCGTAGGCAGCGAATCGGAAAAGGATGGGAGTACGTTCGGACTTGGACTTGTCTTGAATGTACGAGCGGAGGCTACCCAAGGGCACTATATCGGCGGCACACTCATTGAAAGTCTAATATGTCGAGAAATTCAGTCAGAACCGAACTATGCGGCGAAACGTATGAAGTGGAGGCCATAGATAGGATAGGAGGTATATAGATGGCGCACCTTGTCAACCTTGGCAAAGAGCTGAGTGAAAGTTTCGGAAGGATCATAGAAGATGCGAAGCACGAAGGGACGGGAGTCTTCAGCCAAATTTGTGGCAATTGCAATACTATAGGGAATTATCAGCTGCCAATTTCCACGCAGAGCTATCGAGCAGCAATGACGCACTCCTCGTCACCAGTCAAACGAGCAACCAGCAGCACGAAAGCCGTTAGGAAAACAGTGAACTCTGATGATGAAGATCCGGAGAGCTTCTTCAGGGCCAATTGAGTTTCCTGGGGGAGATTGAGGGTCTCAAAGGCCTCGATGGTTCGCTTGTTATCGGCTTGCGTATCATAATCTCTCGAAAGAGGGGAGACGGTGAGGTTATTCAGGCGTTGCGCCCACCTCTCCAGGCGGTCCTGTAGCGAAGCTGATCCCACAGCCATGGTGCTGTGCAATTGCTTCGCGATATGTTTTTGGAAAGAATGGAGAAGGCGAGATGAGTCAATCCACCGTCCTTGCGGAGGGGCACAAAAAAAGGGCCGATTTCGCCGTGGGTGCCTCGCGGTCATTGGCCCCGAGTCGCCCCCCACACACCTCGTGAGGGTTCACCGCCTTGACATGTATGCTCTCGACTTCACGATTTAGCCTAATAAAAAATAGATTAGTACTATCACTGCGTTAACGCCACTAAAGCCACCTGATAACTTCGTCACAAATTACTCGATTGGTCTTTACAAATCCCAGCAGCAGTTTACGAAGCTGTATCCTACTGGAGTACAGTATGGTAAAGGGCTAGGCCCAGGTAGTTAACTACAGTAACGTTAGTTAGTTAGTTAGTTAGGTTAGGTGGTGATGTAATCTGATGAGTCAGCCCGTGTTTTGATGCCCCAGGCATTCAGGAAGCTCCTGAGAGACCCCAAAGAGTCTTGGCTCCTCCAGGAGAAGTGAATTGTACTTTTTGTCTATCTGACATCATTGGAGGCAACGGCGTGGCAGCATCTCCGTCGCATTGGCTTCATCCGATGGAATAATTCGTCCACTCTTCCAGATACCCCGTACCTCCCGCTAAGCCTGGACCTGGTTTGACCTGCCGGATCCGGTGTGGTCGAGTTCAGATCTCCAGGAGAACAACAGCATCGCGGCTGGGATTTATTGCACTGCCTCTGTCCGAGTACTCACCTCTCAACCGGCTCCCACTCTCTGAGCAGAGGTTGTAAAAGATGATTCCTCATAGGAGCACGGGCCTGTTGGCTATCATTGTCTTTGTCGCGCTCCTCCTTTTCATCTTCTCGTCCTCGCCTATCCCTGAACCGACGATTGAAGGAGAGGAGGGCCAAGAGCCCGCGAAGTATCATGTCCCGATTCCAAAGCTCCCATCGCTGAGCAATTTCCACCTACCGTCCTTCCGTCCTCCATCTCACGAACCCCCAGCGGAGCAAACAAACAGCACAAGTGGCGAGTCGAAATGGTTCAGCACCTGGGAATGGAAGAATCCCTTCTCATCTGCCATTACCCTGGATGAGAACCGCTCCGTCCTTCCTCCGCTGCCGGAACGGCGTCGAATCTACACCTACTACAATCCTAAATATAACCTGAAGAAGCACACTGGCAAGGACTTGAAGGACGATCATGACGCTGATGATCAACTTCTGCTCGCCTGGCGACGGGCCTGGTTCGCGCAGGGATTCCGGCCTGTCGTCCTCACCCCGGGCGACGCTATGAAGAACCCGTACTACGAGGTCGTGCAGAAATTAAAGCTGAACGCGGATTTGGAGAACGAGGTCTTCCGTTGGTTGGCTTGGGGCCACATGGGAGCTGGAATACTCGCCGATTTCGAATGCTTCCCCATGGCACGATACGATGATAATCTCCTGACCGCTTTGCGACGAGGAATGATACCCGAATTCATCACACGTTTTGATAATTTCCAAGGCGGGCTCTATTCTGCAGAGAAACAGCGCATCAACCAGGCCATCGAAGGTGCCGTCAAGAAGCTGGATGACAAATCTACCTCGTTCTCCGACCTGATCGATCCTGCATTGTTCAAGGTCGAACAGCCAACTGCATTGGCATACTACAGATCTTCCAGTATCACTTCGCGCTACCCGAGTGTCCATGAGAAGATTAGCCAAAGCCCTGCGGCTGGCCGACTACAGCTAGTGGAACTCATCAACGGGCACCTTCACAACACCTTCCAGAACGCCTTCCCAGCTGGCCTGGCCGTGCTGAAGCCCTTCCCTCAGCATACTACGGCGCTGGTAGAGCCGGCACTACGTTTAGCCAAGGCTCTCATTAAATGCCCGGAGTCTCCCATGCCCAACTCCTGCCCTCCCAACATTCCTGAATGCCGGCCCTGCGGCTCCGCTAAGTCGCCCATGCGTATCAGTCAGCCAGCAAGCTTCAAGAACACCTCCTTCCTATTCACGATTGGTACTCTGCCTCATCCGTATACCCTCATCAGTCTGCAAAAGAGCTCCGATCTTGTGACCACGCCCCAGATCCGTCGTGAGACTGAGCGTGATTCGTGGTTGGCCGAGGTAACCAAGGAACACCTTGGAGAGGAGCTGGGTAGCTCGTCCAGGGGGACGGTGTTTAAGCAGGTTGTCGCCGGCGAGCAGGCTGTTGCTAACTCATTGTGGATGACCGTCGAGTCTCTACCTGCGGCGGCTGGACAAAGTCTCCCCGCTGAACTTTTGGATGAGTTCGAGTGGCAACTCGGATTCAAGATTCCCCGCAGTGGCACTATCGACCCGAATACGGCTGGGGATAAGGAGAGTGTGCAGAACAAGAACCCAAGCCAGCAGGGCGTCGGCCAAGAGTACGAATTGATCAGGAAGGCCCGCGAGGTCATGAAGAGCAAGGATACCAATGTGAACAAAATCAAGGCCGTCGCCGAAGCCTGGAACCTGGCGGACACCGAAGTGTGGCGATTCGTGAAAGCTTATCGGTGAGTTTCAACAGGTCATTTTCGTGCAGGATGCAAAAGCAGCTTGGGGTTTGATTGCTAATTGCTGATGACTTTTACAATAGGGCTCGAAGTGCCGTTGAGCGCCAGCAGTGGGAAGAAGAGGAGAAGGCCTTTTCTAGCCCCTCGCAGTAGGCCCGGGGGCTGTTTCTTAAATATTTGCATGTTTTCTCTATCTTCAACTGTAATATGGTTCATTGTACTCCAGCATTTTCGGCGCACTATGGGAAATTTGATAGAATTGACTGGTACAACTACATAATCTGCCATCCTTACAGTACGAACCTTGTTGAGGCCCGTTAGTAATCAAGCGGACTGTGATAGGCGTCCGATTGTGCGGCGTGTGGCGATCCCCGCAGTCCGCGGTGGAGCCCAGTGGGGGGTGCGGGCGAGTTGCCCTATCTCGTCCCTGGATCTTTTGCCATCTGCCTCTCGGTTCTGTTGGACTTCCCCTCTTCACTTTCGGCCTGAATTGCACTCTGGTGGCCTCCGTGAGAGTGTGAATCCCGTGACAGCTTTAGGAAGGTCTTTGCGATCCCCCCGAAATATACTAAATACTCCCAGCGTCCAGCATGAACTTTGAAGGCTGCTCGTGAACGCCGTCCCTACGTATCGCGTCTTGCCACTGCTTCTCTCTCTACGCTTATCGCAATGGCGCCTGCTAGCAGTACGGACTCTGACTCGGTCGGCGAAGTTGAGCAGGAGATGGCGAAGGTGACTTCGCTTGCTCAACTGACTGAGAAGTGGGACGATACTATTCGGTTCTATCTTAACGGCACGAAGGTCGCTGTCGACACCGTTAACCCAGAACTGACCTTGTTGGAATACCTGCGAGGTGTTGGCTTGACTGGGACTAAGCTCGGGTGTGCTGAAGGAGGTTGTGGTGCTTGCACAGTGGTAGGTAACCTTTCGAAGGGGGCTGGGTTCGAACATTCCACTAACCGCGGAGGAAACACATAGGTCGTTTCCCACCTTAACCAAACAACGACGAAGATCTACCATGCTTCAGTCAACGCCTGCCTTGCTCCCCTCGTATCGATCGACGGCAAGCATGTTATAACGGTTGAAGGACTGGGTGATGTGAAGAAGCCCCACGCGGTTCAGCAACGGATCGCGGTCGGTAATGGCAGCCAGTGCGGCTTCTGTACACCTGGAATTGTTATGGTATGTACTCGGAGTTGTCCCGGCACTCGGACCTACGGATAAATTGGTTTAAACTAATGTCTTGAAGAGTCTGTACGCATTGCTACGAAATGATCCAACTCCCTCAGAACACGCAGTCGAAGAAGCGTTCGATGGCAACTTGTGTCGTTGCACTGGATACCGACCGATCCTGGATGCTGCGCAGAGCTTCAACTCGCGCAACAACTGTGGCATGTCCAAAGCCAACGGAGGATCCGGTTGCTGTATGGAGAAGAAGGACGGTGGTTGCTGCAAGGATTCTTCAGCTACTGAGGAGAATGAGGTGGTGGAACCCATCTTCCCCGCGCCTGAGTTCAAGAAGTACAGTCCCGACACAGAACTGATTTTCCCGGCGGCCCTACGAAAGCATGAATTCCAGCCACTGGTCTTTGGTAACAAGAGAAAGAAGTGGTACCGGCCTGTGACTGTGGAGCAGCTGTTGCAGATCAAGCATATCCACCCCGAGGCGAAGTTGATCGGTGGAAGCACAGAGACCCAGATCGAGATCAAATTCAAGGCTATGCGCTATTCCGCCTCTGTCTACTTGGGCGACATTCCCGAACTGCGACAGTTCACCTTCCACGATGACTGCCTGGAAATTGGCGCCAACGTATCGCTAACCGACCTGGAGCATGTCTGTGAACAGGCCGTAGAACGCTACGGGCCGACTCGCAGCCAGCCATTCAAGGCAATCAAGAAGCAGCTTCAGTACTTTGCGGGACGTCAAATCCGAAATGTCGCGTCGCCTGCTGGTAACTTGGCTACTGCCTCTCCAATCTCTGATCTCAACCCTGTACTCGTGGCGACAAATACTATCCTGATTGCCAAGTCACTTGAAGGAGAGAAAGAAATTCCCATGACCGAGTTCTTCCAAGGCTACCGTAAAACGGCTTTGGCTCCCGACTCCATCATCGCCAGGTTGCGGATCCCGGTTGCCCAGGAAAAGGGAGAGCACATTCGCTCCTACAAGCAGGCTAAGCGAAAGGACGACGACATTGCGATCGTCAACGCTACGCTTCGTGTGTCGCTGTCCGAGACAAATGAAGTAAGCAGCTGCAATCTCGTTTTCGGTGGCATGGCTGCCATGACGGTCTCGGCGAAGAACGCGCAGGAAGCGCTTATCGGCAAGAAGTTCACCAATCCTGAAACACTCGAGGATGTGATGACCGCCCTTGAGAAAGACTTCAGTCTGCCCTATGGCGTGCCTGGTGGAATGGCCACCTATCGAAAGTCTTTGGCAATGGGCTTCTTCTACCGATTCTATCACGACGTCCTCTCGGGGCTCGAAGTTAGGGCATCCGACCTAGATGCAGACGTAGTCGCTGAAATTGAAAGAGCGATTTCCACTGGGTCAAAGGACCATGAAGCGTCCGTTGCCTATCAACAAAAGATCCTAGGCAAAGCTACCCCTCACGTCGCAGCTCTCAAGCAGTCTACCGGTCAAGCCCAGTACACTGACGACATCCCCGTTCAACAAAACGAGCTTTTCGCCTGCATGGTCCTTTCTACCAAAGCACATGCAAAGATCCTGAGTGTTGACGCCTCCGCAGCACTTGAGATCCCCGGAGTTGTCGACTATGTTGACCACACAGACCTGCCCAACCCACAAGCAAACTGGTGGGGAGCACCCGTTTGTGATGAGCTTTTCTTTGCTGTTGACGAGGTTAATACTGCTGGTCAGCCAATCGGTGTGATTGTAGCACAGACCGCCAAGATTGCCGAGGAAGGTATGAGAGCTGTCAAGGTTGAATATGAGGACCTTCCTGTCATCTTGAGCATGGAAGAGGCCATTGAGGCAGAGTCTTTCTTCGGTCATTATCGCTTCATCAAGAATGGTGACACGGAAGAGGGTTTCAAGCAGGCTGACCATATCTTTACTGGTGTCTCTCGCATGGGTGGTCAAGAGCACTTCTACTTGGAGACTCAAGCTTGTGTTGCCATCCCCAAGCCCGAAGATGGTGAGATTGAGGTCTGGAGTGGCACTCAGAATCCCACAGAGACGTAAGTTTCATATTTATTTCATCTTAACTCCTTCAGCTCATGCTAATGTATCAAATAGTCAAGCATATATTGCTCAGGTATGCGGGGTAGCCGCTAACAAGGTTGTCTCTCGCGTTAAGCGACTTGGAGGTGGATTCGGCGGCAAGGAAACGCGCTCTGTCCAGCTGGCTGGAATTTGTGCCACTGCCGCGAAGAAGCTTAACCGACCGGTGCGATGCATGCTAAACCGTGACGAGGATATCTTGACGTCGGGTCAGCGCCATCCCTTCCTCTGTCATTGGAAGGTTGGTGTCACCAAGGAGGGAAAGATCCTTGCTCTCGATGCGGACGTATTCGCCAACGGTGGCCACACTCAAGACTTGTCGGGTGCGGTCGTCGAACGAAGCTTGTCTCACATTGATGGTGTCTATAAGATCCCCAATATCTATGTTCGGGGTCGAATTTGCAAGACAAACACCGTGTCCAACACGGCGTTCCGTGGCTTCGGTGGACCGCAGGGTCTGTTCTTCGCGGAGTGCTATATCTCCGAGATTGCCGATCATCTCGGAATTTCACCAGAGCATATGCGTGCTATCAACATGTACAAGCCTGGTGAAACCACACACTTCAATCAGGAGCTCAAGGATTGGTATGTGCCTCTGATGTACAACCAAGTCCTGGAGGAGAGCAACTACATGGAGCGCCGCAAGGCTGTTGAGGAGTACAACAAGGAGCACAAGTGGTCCAAACGCGGCATGGCTATTGTGCCGACCAAATTCGGTATTTCTTTCACGGCGCTGTTCTTGAACCAGGCTGGTGCTCTGGTCCACATCTATCATGACGGCAGTGTCCTTGTGGCTCACGGAGGTGTCGAGATGGGCCAGGGACTCCACACCAAGATGACTATGATCGCCGCCGAGGCTTTGAGTGTGCCACAAGATAACGTCTTCATTGCTGAGACAGCAACGAACACCGTTGCCAACACCTCCTCCACAGCAGCATCTGCCAGTTCCGATCTGAATGGTTACGCCATTTTCAATGCCTGCGAGCAGTTGAATGAGCGACTCCGTCCCTTCCGTGAGAAGATGCCCAATGCGACTATGAAAGAGCTCGCGCACGCAGCATACTTTGCCCGTGTCAACCTCTCCGCACAGGGTTACTACCGCACTCCCGACATCGGTTACGTGTGGGGTGAGAACTCGGGCCAGATGTTCTTCTACTTCACGCAGGGTATCACCGCAGCTGAAGTCCAGATTGACACTTTGACTGGAGATTGGACTCCCCTGCGCGCCGATATCAAGATGGACGTTGGTCGCACCATCAACCCATCCATTGACTATGGCCAGATCGAAGGCGCCTACGTCCAGGGTCAGGGCCTCTTTACTACCGAAGAAAGTTTGTGGCACCGCGCCTCGGGCCAAATCTTCACCCGTGGCCCGGGTAACTACAAGATTCCCGGCTTCCGCGATATCCCTCAGGTTTTCAATGTTAGCCTGCTGAAGGATGTGGAGTGGGAGAATCTGCGCACAATCCAGCGTTCCCGTGGTATCGGTGAACCGCCCCTTTTCATGGGCAGCGCTGTGTTCTTCGCTATTCGTGATGCACTGAAGGCAGCTCGCAAGCAGTGGGGAGTTGAGGAGGTACTGAGCTTGGTTAGCCCTGCTACACCAGAGCGTATTCGTATTAGCTGTGCTGATCCGATTGTTGAGAGGGCACGGGTGACTCCTAAGGAGGGCGAGAAGAGTTTCTTTGTTGCTATTTAGTATGAACACGATATGTTATATACGAGTTACGGCATGACATATACGACATCGATGTCATTTAGAATTTTACTCATCAGCTTGTTCAAAAATCAGTACAGTCAGTACTCTGCAATGTAAAACTCCTTGAAAATTCCCACTATAGTATACATACAACCATACGGTGTGGGAGAACAACGCTTCCCGTCCGCTCAGCCTGTCCGCTCAGCCGTCCTCAAGCTCCATGCCAAATGGCCACGTTAACCAGTCCTTCGGTCTAGCTTTATGGAGTAAGAACTGATCCGCTGGTTGAGTTTGCGCGGCGCTAGTTATGCACTTGCTCAGCTGGAGTTCTTCCGCCCGCTAGAGCCCATCGCAACGTGCCAAGCAGAAGCTGCTCTATCCTCTAACTCTCGTGCCAGGTCTCTGGCCCTAGTAACTCTACAGACTGTGCAACTTGTACAAGGGTTTTGAGCAATTACCGAGCTCAAATCAATGCAACGAATGATAAGGAAACGATCGAGGTGCTTACTCAAGATTTTACCAGTGAGATACCAGATCAAGTATTCAGCCCAGTAGAAGCTCTGTAGTTTCTTTCAGCACGCACAATGTTGCCAATAGATGCTATTTCGTGCATGGAAAGCTAGGTAGCGAAATTAAAGTATTGAAGAGAGGGAAGGGGTGGAAGAAACAGGGGCTAGGGACAACTGAAAGTTAGAGCCTTAGGGATTTAGCCAAGGAAGCCGTATTGAGAGAATTGATGTTTGACGGTGCCAATTAATTAGTATTACCAGAGCTTTCATCACATATGTTAAGAATAGACAGTAGCCTCGGATCTCCATAAATTGTTCTTTGTGACCATTAGCGGATCGTGCGATCGTTCATCAGCGAAACATCTCATGTCCACACAGGTAGAAAATCTGCCCGGTGGTCCGAAATTCAGAGCATACTTCCTCACGCCTCGTTATCGGAAGGCGTAAACATGAATGTGGATAGTGAGGCGTACGAAACACAAAAATCCTTCCTCAGTGTATCCCTTAAGGCTGTGCGCGAAGTCTCCAGGCTTAAGGAACAAAGGGGCTATTAGGGCAAGGTGGCACAAACAAGTTCAAGTCCTGTGGATACGTGGTGCCATTAGGCTCAGTTATGGTAACCTGAGTCTTAGCCGGCCCATATCCATTGACGTAAATGAAAGTAATGGGGAAGAATTCTCCAGCCACCAAATCGTAGTCAAAGGTAGTAGGCAGACCTGCTGGCTGAGTATAGCTAACACCGCCATCCACGTTGCCATTTGCATAGGATGAGTACGCCTTCTGTCCACCCCAAAAGAAGAGCGCATTATCCGTGACTGAGTAAGGGGCAACAGTATACTTGCCGGTCTGGGTGGCATGGAGGAATCCTTGGAAGACAACAGTCCACTGGCTGCAGTCTGTTGCTGAGGCCTGGCCAGGCAGTTGGCAAAAGATGGTGTTCCAGTCGAGATAGTTCTCAGACTCAAGGTTGATGTTTTGAGTAAGTCCGCTGGTATAGTAACTGTAGTTACCATTCCAGTCGGAGGTTTCGTAGCCACCGCCGCCGAAGCCACAGTCTGCACAACCTCCTGCGCCGTAAGGATAGACATACTTGTTAAGGTATTGGTAGTAGTTCACCCCTGATTAGTCACATAAGCTAGGGCTTTGTGTCAGTCAAATGAGAACATACCTTTATACGCAGTAGGAGTTGGCAAAATCCAGGTTTCAGTGACAGTGATGGTGCTAACTGGAGTAGTAGTGGTTGTAGACACTCCAGTCTTAGTCGTTGTCACGGTATCAGTACTACAATTAATTATTAGCAAGATATCCAACCTTGTTATGACGCGCCTCTGACGTACATAACATCGAAAGAACCGCTTAGGCATGTGCAAGGCCCGGGTGTAACTGAAGGCGGAATGATTGTCACTGTTGGCAGCGTCGGGCAATTACTGGCTGCTGTCTCAGCCGATGCTGCATCTGCGCGGGCTCCTAGGGTGATGAGGGGAGCTGGGTAGGGTCCAAGTGTCTTTGCAGTGCTCATACAGCTGATGGCTGTAGGCGAGTAGACTGTAGTGTTGACTCTTTCAACAGTCACCTATAAAGAAAGTCAGGCTGAGTTCAAACATAGAAGACTGAAGCTACATACAGAGGGAAGTGCCGTGCGTGTGACTACACTGGTGACCTAGAAGAACGGTCAGAGTCATTCAACATTTGATCTCCTCTAGATAAGACATGGCCATACCGAGTTCACTGTGCTCGTAGATGTTACAGTGAAAGTACCAGACAGAGTTACAGTTGTGGTAGAAGCACAGAACGGAAAAGGAAACGGAAGCCCTCCTATATCAGACCCCGCGGGTGCGCCTTTAACAGCAAGAAAGAGAGTAGAAAGAAATGCAAGCCTAATCATATTTGAGGCCATTGTAAAATCGCTGGAGGAATTGTTGGTAGTGTAATCTTGATTGTTCGAATATGAACTTCTAAATTTTCAAACGGGAGGCTCCTAGCTTCCTTTTATATTCATATTTTCTTCATAGTCGCTCGAATTGGGTTGCAGTCAGGTCGGATATGAAAAATACTCACTTCGGTCTTGTATAGCTCGACTCATGCACGTTTGTCATGAGACTAAGACATCCTAAGGGTCTGGTAAGCCCTAAACAGGGTAAGATCCAATTGTAATGTCCTGCGCATGCAGTGCCTTGCTAGCTGGCAGATGATCAACCATCATGAGTAGAAGGCTGGCTGAATACAACTGACAAGGGAGTTAGTGTATCCCTTGAGGTTGGATCTAATGGAAGGCTAGTCCATTTCTATAGGTTTATGATTTGTGCGTTTTCTGTTCTTTAGTTAGCAAGCGGCTTATTTGGGTCACAATCTTGGCCAGGATTCTTTTAGCCTGACAGAGTGATCTTCATGACACTGACTTTAAAAGCCATGTCAGATTCTGTCAAAGAATCTGCTTTAAGTGTCTAGATTTAACGATGGACAGTTGCCAAGGGTTTATAGTACATAATGTTGTGATCTTGCTTGTTGAGAATATCAGGAAATGATTAGCACTGGAAGCCTCCATGCTTATGCTTACAATCTATGTACTGTATTCAATAAGGTTAACTTTTCCACCACTTTGTCTTAGGCGGCCCGGGGATGATCGACGTGCCACACTAGGCATGCAAGCCTCAGGATCCTATCACTTTGAATTGGGCAGTTCCCGGGATGATCGACATGCCACATGCCACACACTAGGCATGCAAGCCTCAGGATCCCATCACTTCGTGTTAGGCAGTCAAGAAATGGCCCGTATTTGAGCCATACTGTTTCCCGGTACCTAGAGAGTGTTCGAACACGTGTTAAAAGTTAGGTTGTTCGAAAAGAATTACTATATCAATATGAACGGCATAATTTTTGTACAAACCAATAGGAAAGCTTTTTAGCACGTAAGTGATGCTCCGGTAGTTTACGTGCCAAATTATCGTGATTTGCGATCATCCTCCGCGCACGAGCAGTGTTCGTGTGAAAATGGCGCTAGAGCACCGCAGAGGTGATCTAAAAGACGAAGAAGTGCAACTAGTGAGATCCTAGTGACAGTGCCACTTTGAGTACTACATTATCATTATCCGGGGGGTGTGACAGAAATGCAATTTCAGCCAGCCCTTGGAACGGCTTTTAGTGGATCATAACACGGGGAAAGCGGGGTTCGCCGACATTGAATTATGCTGCTCAAATTCAATTCTTTTTTGGGGACCTCGCGCAGCCAAGAGGGACAAGGAGAATACTGTAGTTTACCAAAACCCAGTCACCTGTCGCTGCGGCCTTAGACCGTAGCGTCAGATAAGGCCCGTCCGCGCTGGCTTGTAAGATGGCAATGTGTCCGTATTGCAGTAGTTTCAACATACAGAGGGCAGGATGGATGGGCAAAATCGAGTCTTGACTGCGTGAATGTTGACGAGCTAGCTGCAGAGCTAAGCAACTGACTATCGTGAGGCAACCCCAATGAAACTACTGTCATTATGACAAGCATCCATTCTCCTATATGTGTGCCTGATTATTCTCCGTGATAAGATATGCTCTTTGAATGCCCTTGGGGTTGAAAGTCTCTAGGAATGTTGCATTGAACCCACCAATAGCAAATTTTGATATTATTCTGTAAAAGGAACCCCAACGGAGGAACTTTAAGGGCACTGACGTTGAAGATACCAAAGAAGCCCGAGTGCATGTCGCTTGCCGTTCGCCGAGAGGAGCTCATCTTTAAGTTAAACCCAGGGATTCGGGCTAGACTATTAAAAAGGCCCCAGCTAGACAAACATGGCGCACTATTTGCGGGATTTTAAGCAAGTGGACAAGAGTACTGTTTCCAATCAGATTTAGAATGGCGGGCAGCTATTCCTTCCCAGCTGAGGTCTCCCGCTGCAGGCCCAAGAGGAACGAGACATTACCCCCAGGCTCCATGCTCGGTCCTCTGGTCCTGATTGCGCGATATTGGGTCGACGTGGCAGATAATCAACTGAAGTGATGTACTTACACTTCGACAGAAATTCCCTCCCTAGTCTCGCTCAACTCGGGCCTCATGCAACCCTGTTCACAGAAGAGACTCTCATCACAACGCCAGTCTTTCCTTGACTGTCGAACCCTCTGCCTAGTTTCATTCTGTATAACATTGGCATGAAGAAATATATCCGCGAAAAAGTTCATGTGGATGTGATCCCCGCCCGCCTGTCCATACGGCCAACCTGCTTCTGACAACATCTTTCAACGTGTGAATTCTACACCAATAACATACAAAATGTTACAGATCAGGCAGGAAGAAGGAAATAAGGAGAGACGGCGAGAGGAGATCTAAATACAAGTTGGATGCCCACCGCGGGCATAAGACCAGGCATTAGTACCTGGCTGTTGTATGTTCTTATTTGTATTGTTTTTCAGATAACGAATAGATGCACATGGTTCATAAATTCCCAAAATCTGAGGCTTCTAAAAAACTTCCCATCAGCACCTTCAAATGCAAAAAGACGATACAGAAAAAGGGAAATAGAACGCTTGAGTATCAAGGATAAATCAACCCCTCTTCATATCATACTCCACATAATTACTTTTCCGCGCTGCCAGATCTGTATCAACCTTGAGCGCAGAGTCATAATTCCTCTGTCCTGCAAACCCACGCTTCTCATCACTCGATGACGCCTCGGCTCTAGCCTGTGCTGAGCTCGCGACATGCGTCTCATACCGAGGCACGGCCTGAATGAAGCCCAGCTCATTCCTCGGAATAGCAGTCAAAGGTACGTCTGTGAACTCTCTGGTGTCTCTCGTGGCACCCGAGTTGCTCGGGCCCATGTTATTGGGAACCGGATCCATGGCATGACCGCCTCCATCGCCGCGATTCCGGTCACGATCCCAGAAGAGAGTCATTGCGCGGAGGATACCGACCAAGGCGATGAAGACCCAGAGTAACAGGATGGCAGTGGCGATGAGTGTCTCCGTTCGTAGACCGTCTTTCATTTTGTCGACGACTCGTTGAACTACCTCTGTGATCTTGTTGGAGGTAGTATCGCCCGCGTCAGCGAGGAAGCTATCAGAGGGACTCGTGTCGTTCGAGATACTAGCTTGTGCGCCACGAGAGAATGTGTCATTTGGAAGGTGGGGGAAGTCAATATGGGCATTGTCGTGGACCCATGTGAGACCTTTCTGGACGCTCTCAATTTTAAGGCCGATGAGACATTCGAAGAGCTCCTGAATAGGTTCTTCGAGCAAGGTGCCACCGAAGGTTTCATTCAGAACATTTTGAGTCTTCTCTACAAAGGTTTCAAGGGTGTTATTGACGGCAGTCGTACTGGTGTTCACCCATCCAAAGATTTTCTGGTTCAGATCTGCGTCCATAGAGTCGATCGCCTTGTTTGCGTCGGTAGCCCAGGCCACGGACGCATTTTGTAGCGCACCAACGACTTTGTCAGCGTAAGCGCCTACTTCATTGCTGAGCTCGGGGACGGCCTTTTCGACACTTTTAAGTAGTATGTATTGGCAGAGACATGAAAGCAGTGCCGCGATGGCGATGGCAAGCACGAACAGAGCAGGCATGGAGGTTGCATACGCAATAGCCCAACGCACTAGGATCTGGCGACGACTGTTGCTGAAGTGGCTCGCGGCCTTGATACCTGCTGCAGCGGTGTATGGCCGGGAGACGATGTAGACGACGTCCATTGGATCGTGAGCCTCTTTTCGAACTAGTTGGGCGCGCTCCTTCATCTGGCGCCAGCGGCGAATTTCCTGCCACGCGACAGGGATACAAGCCAGAATAGCTGCAAGTAGGATCACGGCAATGAAAATCTTTCGTGCCGTGAGGGCAATATCAGTCACCCCGTTGAAAAAGCTGTTGATGCCATCATTGTCGTCGCAGAAAGTGAGTTGCTGCTTTTGTGGGACGGGCAGAACACTGCGGTCGAAAATGTATGTCCCCAGAGAGCCATTCACGAGTTTTTTGACTTCCTCAAATGGTAGGCGAATAACGTTCTCAGTGAAGTTCTGTACCTCATCAAACGAAGGAATGTCGTTGTTCAGTTTGTCGAGGGTGGTGTTGATCGAGGACGGGATGGAGAGATCGTCCAACGCACTGAGGGAATCGTTCAGATTCAGCGTCGGCAAAGAAGCGCCCAAGGCGCTTGCAGCAGTATTGACCAGGCCAGCAAACTCATCGAGCGCATGTTCGAAGGTGCTCACCGTTTTCTGGATATCCTTCGCAGCCGCTTTAATTGTTGTGTTCAAGAAGCCCGCCACATCCTCGATCAGCGCAGTTGCAACGTGAATGCTACTTCGGACAGCCATCGTGGCGAGACAGAGATAGGTCTGGTACATAATCTTGATGATGAACAGGATGATCTCCTCCACACCAGTGATTGTGAGCATAAGCATAGAGTTCAGACCATTCACAGCATGCTCGACCCCAGAAGCAGTCAACTCGTTGACGCCCGAGCTTAGATAGTATGGCATAGAGGCCATCGCACTCCCCATGGACTCCACGGAGGTACACGCAGACAAGGCCTCGCGCTTAGCAGAGGCCATGTCACTCCGAACATCTCCTATAGCAATCAAAACCCGGACTAGGACCAGGACCAGCAATATCGTCCAGCGATTGATCCATACTTGTGATAGTCGGGCTCGCAGGCCAAGATATGGTGTGAGGCCATCCGGATGAAGGGGAATAATTCGCCCGTTGGAAGGGTCGTGTGCTCCGTATGGAGGGAGTAAAGGGAAAACCGATCGCGCGGATCTTGAGAATATCATGGTGGTGCCGTAGAAGGGATTGTGTTTCGACGTCCAGCGAGAAACAAAGCAAGGCGAGTAAGTAGTCGCAATGCGATCGGTACGGTAGGGAGAAGGAGAGTTGGATATTTCACAGGAGGAATTATAGGAAGAAGTCAAGGGTCGAAGGCTCTAGCCCAGAAACATAGTGTATAGAGCGAATGGTAGGCAGTGAAGAAGGGAGATGTCAGTCAACCGAGGATGCAGCCTAGAAAAGAGAAGAACAATCAAAGTAATAAGTGTCAAGGCAACCACCACAGCAAATGAGGGAAACGGTGACAAAAATAGAAGGCCATGGATTGAAGATCAAACAAATTCCCTAGCCAATGCTCAAACATTATATCTAGTGGCCAGCGCCAATCTACTACATCAGGAGCTGGGTCTGTTTATAAAGAGGCTCCATTTGAAGCAGTTTAGCGATCACCGCGACGATGACATGACCAGTTAGAGGGTGTCACGCCCAAGTCGAAACAAAGAGAGGCATAAAAATAAAGCCAGTTGACGAGTGATCGGAGCTAGGATTTGTTTCATCCTGCATCACAGCGCGTACGCGATTCGGCTAATCCTGAAGAATACCAAGGTCAGTCAAATATAGACCCTGGAAAGCCCCATCTTCGCCGTGAGCGCTTAGCGCCCGCTCGCTGGGAGCCAATCACCGGTGGACCAGAGTATACAACTCGAACGCGACGGTCTTTCATGACCCGCTCTTGTGTTTCTGGTGTCATGTGTCGCTGACAAAGAGGCTTTGTTTGGATGTCGCTGTCTGGTGGCCTTCTTTGTTCCGGGGGTTCGCTGGAGAGGGTTGGGGTGTCTCGAATAACGCGAGAACCAAAAAAGAACTAAATCAACTGTCTACTGAAGCTCTGGAGGTGATTGGAGGCCTCTGCCACCTCATTGGACCCACTTTTGGTGTGTCCGAACTCCCCCATCAGACTATCAGACTGTCAGTAGTAAACAATCGAGAAGTCGATACCTCCATTCAATCAAAACCCACTGAGGAAGATTCCAGGTCTGCAGAATACAGACAAGAACAGAACACACAGATATGGAGAGATAGGGAGAGCTCTTGCAGTGCAGGCTGCAACCTGCGAGGCAACGACGCCGATTCGGTCTCAATGGTAGGCTCTCGCTGGACCACTAAGCGCCTGGCAGAATCGTCCCACGTCCTCAGCCCGTAAAAGGCAAGCGGTGTGAGTAGACCTACCAAGTGTCACGTGGCACTATATACCCTAGGTGATGACCTACCCTGAGTCCAATCTTAATAACGGAGACACAGGAAGTTCATTTAAGCTTAAATCCATATACATGACGTCTTTCTGTCCTCTAAAGGTTTTCATTTGATCGCCAATAACATTCTTCTGATATTTTCGTTACTGCGTTTCCAAACACCGACTGTATATTTCTCGATCAGCGTACGCTTTACTCTCCCAGTTCCCAGGTTCCCTGTAACGCAAAACAAGTAAAAGGAGTAAACCAGACGGGATTTGGTACGACTTGATATCCCAAGATATCTAGTAACAATGGATCAAATTCTGTTTTTACTATACCCGTTCAGCGCGAGGCTAGTGACGAGTTTGTGAACAAAACTATTGTGGCTGTCGCGCCATTTCGTCTCCACATTGTATCCACGTATACGTGCGGAGTGCCTGCACGTTGGTGTGTTCCCTGGACGCACGCATTTAGGACAATATAGTCGAATCGCTCATCGCTGTGCTGTATTGATTCCCATTCTCATTTGGTTTCCAATATTTCAGACAATCAATTGCGTTACCTTGACATTTCCAGAAAGTACAGGGGCAAACGAGGTGTTCCTGTAGATGGCCTTAATATCAACATGAAATTGATGAGCTGCATTGTCGTTGTCATGACTGTAGAATTCCAGTCGACTAGTTTCCCATGCTTAGGCGTCCAGAGATCGTTACCTAGGATGCTTCTTTTGCATCCTGAAGATGTAGGAATCGCAAAGAAGACCCAGGCATCGCCGAGTCCTGACTCGCTTAGTCGTCGCTCGTCGATGAATCGCCAACTTAGGACGATGCGATTGCCTGTTCCCACAATGTGACAACACGAAACGGTTCATCTCTTTCCTTTCTCCTTCTTCATCCTTTCTTCTTTTCCACATCTCCAACGCGTTTCTTCTCTTGGCCATCCATCTTGGAAGGCTATCTTCGCTCAAGTAACACCAGCCTGCTTCATTGAGGTCTTCCATAGTTACGTCTTGCCTTTGCTTGCTGTCGCCTGCTGCAGGTGCAAGGTCCGAGTATCAGTTGTTTGCGAGTCGAAGGCATCAGCTTCGACACTCGCTAAGCTTCAATCTCGACTGCGGGGTCCTGATCAATCTTCTCTTTCATCTCGCTCCCCATCCTGCTTTCCTCTCTCCCTCTCTCAACCTCGTTCTCTTTCTTCCCCTCGTCGATAGCAACGACGAGCACTCCCAACTTGTGACGGCACTTTCCCGTCACTTCACGTCACTTCACACCTCCCTTTGACCCTCGAACGCGTGAGCGTTCTCTCATCAACAACATCTCTTGAGCATCACAGCTCATCGCCAACCTGACAACACCCATCAGGCAAGTCACAGTGAGACAGACCACGCATCAGACCCCGATAGTCAAGGCTGACAGAGTGCCTTTGCAGGTTCCAAGATCGGTTGGTGTGACGACTGCTTGTCGGCATCATCGACAAACATAATTTGTAAGTCGTCGAGTGCTCAGCAGTCTGGTCTGGATCAAAGAGAGCCGTACTGATATGTCCTCATCATAGCCTGTCTCCGGACACCTTGACCTCGACTTCGTGTCCAGGTCCTCACGAAGCTCCCTTTCCGGCGAGATAGTCTTGACTCTCGTAAGTAATGTAATTCACTCATTCCATGTTCTGTTGCTGACAAGTATCTTGCAGGCTTTTTCTTCATACTCGTCCCTGTCAGCTTCAAAGGGTCCTCACAAACATGGGCATCCAAGGAAGTAGACTCGCCGATCAGGCCACTCAGCTCGATGGCAAAGTCGCCCTGGTGTTGGATTCTGAGAAGAACATCCACCACTCCGCAGGTCTTGAAGGAGCAAACCACGATTCTGCTGATAACTGGATGGAACTCCAGATCTTCCAGTGGCGGGAGGATCCTCCAACTCTTGTCCTGAAGATGGGTCATGCATCTTCAAATACCGAATTCAAGGACAATCTGGACCAGTTGACCGATGTCTTGCAGTTCACCTTTAAACTGCCGGCCAAGTACCCAGGAGGCCAAGTTGGTCTTCTTCAAAACATTCGGGGTCTGCTGGATGGCACCAACCCTCACGGCATCGTGGAAACACATGTCGGAAGGAAGGAGACCGCCAGATTCCTGAACAAGAAAAAATGGGCCCGCCAGCATGAGAAGGACCATTGGTGGACTAACACCCCAAAGTCCTACGAATGCAAGGTCGGTTGGACGCAGTTTTCGTCCCAGTACTTCTTCAAGTTCCGGGTAAACACAGGAGAAGCGGCACTCCTGGTGGTAGACAGACATGCCGACGAGTACAAGTCTGCAGTGGGTCAGCATCGAGTAAGTGATATGTCCTACCAGCATCGGAAAGGGGGGTTGAAGCTAACTTATCGCAGCCACCGCAGCAACAGCTGTATTTCACGCAGCTGATCACCCTGCCCGTTCGGGTCTGGATGTGTGTTCAGTACCGCCGACACCTGAGTTGCGGGGATGCCAGTCAAGAGCGCGAATCTCAGGTTGCCCAACCTGGCGCCGAGGCCATCCATGATGCATCTCCTCTCGATATCAATGAGGGATCGCCAACCGGTATCTCGGGTATGATGAAGAAACTCACTGAGAACTTGACCCAGCAAGCTACCCGCAAAGCTGCTGACATGGACGAGATCAATGAGTCGGTGACTGAAGAGCAACCAGGCCTCGGCAGTCAGGGCCCAGAACAGAGTGTGGTCTCGCCCAGTGAAGGGAACACAGAGGAGGAGAAGGAAACGTCAAACGCGCCGGTTGACCAGAAAACCCCGGCAGCTGAGAATTTGGCGATGGGAGAGAAGAGGCGGACGAAGAATAAGCGCAAGAAGCTGCAAAGGAAAAGAAAGAGAGCTTTTCTAAAGGCAACAGAAGAAGTGCACGCAGATGCACAGCCGCAACAAACCCAACAAAACGACGAACAGTCAGCGTCCGCGGCTGGTCAACCCCCCGCTGCCTGGTCACCTTTGGTACCAGGCCCTGTCGTTGAAAATGTCGACCTCACTGAGGACGACTTGCGGTCCCCAACATCTGCCACTGCCTCCTTCTGGACTGCGCATTCGCCGTCCTCGAGAATCTCCACAAATTCTCGAAATTTCCATACTCCCCCTCCGGTCCCCAATATTTGCTTCACTGGGGAGTCTGATGAAGAAGGTGTTTCAGGTACGAAAATCCCAATTGCCCAATTGAACAGGCTATAGTCCCTATCTATAGCCGCGCCTGCAAAATTGAACATAGATCTAACAGAAGAATTATAGAGCACCAGGAAAGCAGAGTCGGATCAGACTCTGAGGCCACACTTCTGCCCAGGGTCTCTCGAGAGCCTAGTCAAGAAAGTAAGTCCTAATCCCCCGCAATTCACTTGTCATCATTGGCACTCCCATCTTGATCTGACTATTTTGCTAACACTCATAGTAGAAATGATCTCTTTGGAGACCATGGCCGGCGCTCTGCGAGAGCTTAGTTTGCGGCGGTCGTCTGCAACAGGTAAGCCATTATGCCAATTTATTGGTCCTTGATAGTTGATAATTTCTGACATACTTCTTTTGTATAGCAACTCCCGCAAATCCCACCACCCATCTGACGGGAATTTCACCGCGTTCAGAGCGCGAATCCCCTAGTCCGACTTCCAAGTCTGAACCGGTACTTGGAGCAACATCTCAGCTGCTTGCTGTCGGGGGCAAGCAGATGATGTGGAGCTCCGAGGAGCCAAATAGCGGCCAGGACTCTGTGAAGTTGGAGGATGGACTGGACGACACATGTGCAGCAACAGCTCATGTCGAAGCTCGTCAGCAAGAGGTTTCGCCACAGGGCGTGTTTGGCATCACTGGCCTGCCCCTGCACCCTCATGCTGATCCCGTATTCGGGCCTGCGACTCGTTATCAGTCGCCAAAGAAGGACCAGGGACAACAACGAGCTGGCGACATCCCGACCTTGGCCGAAGCCCTCCAGCCGCTCGATAACAGCCAAGCATCCACTTCATACGCACAGGATGTATCGAGCATCTCGGCATCAATGACTCCGCAAGCGTTCAGCCGTCAATTGCTGGCCGCCAGTCTGGAGTCGGCTGAAATTTGGCCATCGTCGGCTGCTGCCATGTCCGCAAGCCACCCACAGCGAGACGAATCCTCATCGGCGACCAGCCCGACCAGGACGCCCGGGCTATCTCCAAAACCCGTGGTAACAGTTGGGCACCCGACTCAACGAGGGGCACCTATCACGCCTGTACTGCCTGCCATTACGCCCGACCTCTCCGCAATGGTCTTGATACCAGCAGGAAGTGTGTGCACAGGTGCATCACCGACCTATGCTCATCCATTCACGACACCCGGTTTCCATGCCGCGGTATCAGCAGGGTATGATATCGGCGGTGAATTTGTTTCTGGGGTTAACCCAGCCATGACGCCCGGTCCTATGATGGCCGCGGTACCAGCGGGACCCCATGGGGGCTTTGCTCCATCTCCCACCGTAGCACCTGGCTACGGTGCCTACCAACAAAGACCTTCTCAAGGGCACCAGGCGTCCACACCCGCCGCAACGTTCAGGGAAACAGGGAACCCAGCATCTAGTTCCCTCTTCTCTCGGGGAGTTCCCTCTCTGACGTCCGGTGGAGGTGCATATCCAACGCCTCCGACATTCATGGCTCCACGCTCTTCCAGCGCATCTGGAACAGATGAGGTATGCTTGGAAAGTAAACCAGAGACCAGCAGATTCTTCTGGGACTTGACATACCACACGTTCCAGTGTGCAATGGATGGGTGTGAGAAGCGGTGCAATATGTGGGATTGTGAATCCGTCATTTGCCCGTTCTGTGGACCTCTCTCGCATATTATGTATTGCGGAAAGGAACACCTCCGGAAAGATGTCCGGACCCACTGGTTGTACTGTGAAAAAGCATCGTTGCAAGAGCCATGTTTGGATCATACGGTGCCCGTGGATATTCGAATCGGACCTCCCGCAATCCCATGCAAGAATGGCTGGGATAGCCCCGAGCGTCACCAGCAGGCATTGTGGTTCAGTACGGCACGTCAGGAAGGTGACTACTTCATCTTCGCCGCCTGGAGAGACTGCATTGCCACAGGGCTGCCTCCAGGTTCTTTGGAAGGCCGGTGCTCGCCTCGTGTGGCTCAGGTTGTGCGTTTCGACGATCCCATTGAGAAGGACCGTTTCCGACGGATCCTTGCAGTGTGTTTGCTGGAATCAGTTGAGGTCCAGCCACTGGTTGCGTACATGTTTCGTTTACTACGGGACAAGCTCCAATCAACTAACCATTGGTCGCCTCAACTGGACATGGAGCTCCGGGACCAGCTGTACTGGGAGCTGGGTGTCTCAATTGGCCTGGACTTCGTGGGTTTGCGGCACGCTTGCGAGACCGAATGGAGCGGTCGACCACCTCGCCATTGTCGGGACGGTATCTGCGTCACTGAGCGGCCGCACCTCTTGGGGGGCACAAGATGGGAAAATTGGTTCGAACGCCTTGTCTACAATGAGGAATGCAGTCACTGGATTCTTCGTGCGAATCGAACCACCCATCCCTTCGTCAAGAGCGTGAACGCTCGGATATGCGGAGTGGGATTCGACGTTGTTCAAGAAGAAAGACGTCCTTTTCGACGTGGCGAGGGTTGGGATGGGGTGGGGACAGGTCTTATGGAGATGGAAGGTCCAGAAGTGCTCTCAGCTGACCCTTAGCAGTTGAGAATGTGGTGGTGTGAACGGCGTGTGTTGGTGTGGATTTCCAAAGGCAAGGGACAAAGGCGTCATATTTGCCTCCCCGTCTCAGGCTGCTTTCCCAGAGCAGTTGATCGAGACAGTGCCCTGGTCATCCTTCAGATTCCCATCAGCATGCGGCCGTCTATTTGATTATCTTGTGATGGTGGTGATGGCTTCACTTGCCATATGTTCGATGTATCTGTACGGGGTATGGGGTCTAGTGGCCACATTTTTTCTGGCAGCTGTTTTTGTTGTTTCGCACATCCTTTTCTAGGCCCGATCTCTTCGGTTGTTTGAGTAGTGGGGTTCTCTCATCAAAGAATCGCAACGGACGATCACTCGCCGTCGTGACTCGTGGTGATGAGCAGATAACATTTCCTAGAGAATGACATTTCTCTTACCGGACTACCGAAAAGAAGTTCGAGTTCACGTCTATACCTTTATGATCACCTAGATAAGCAGCTGTCCAGTCATCATTATAACAAACTTCCAAATAGAACGAGAACCACTGGATAAAAGCTCTATTCATCAAGTCCCTAGTGCCCGTGGGTGGATCTGCAATAATCTAATGATGGACCGTGTCAAGAGTTGCAGGGTCTTTAGTATAAACAGCTGTCCGGCCTCTTTGTATTTTGGGAATCTATGGATGAGTATAATGGACTGGGGGCTTATTTACTTTGTAATGTACTTCTTCAAGCCGCGCAGCCTCTCCTTTGCAGTCTCCAAAACATCATCGTTCTTGCAGACAGCGAAGCGGAGATAATCTTCAGCGATATGGGCATTGGCATCGGTGTAGAACTCCGTAGGTGGAATGGCAGCGACGCCAACCTCGTGAATCAGGAACCAACAGAGCTTGAAGTCACGGGGACGGTTGGCCACAATGGGTGGGAAGGGATAGTCCGCTGGCAACTTGACAGATGCCATGTTGGCCAGGACAAAGTATCCACCTTCAGGCTCGGAGTACTATTAAGAGATAATTAAAAGAGCGGAACAGACCACAAGAAGGGAGGGAATTTTCAACATACCGGGATACCAAGCTCATCAAAGACCTCGCAGAACAGCTTCATCTTCTGCTGCATCTCATTTCGGCTCTCATCCCAGAAGCCAACCTTGTCTGCTTGCTCAAAGGCCACGGCAGCGGCCTCCTGCAGGGGAGACACACTGCTGTAGCAGATACGGGTGTGTGCGCCGGCAACGTACTTGATCAGATGCTCCGGTCCAATCAGATATCCAACACGCCAGCCAGTGGCGTAGAAAGCCTTGCCAGCAGAACCCACAGTGATGGTGCGTTCGTAAAGCTCCGGGGACAAAGTGGCGATTCGGGTAAACGGAACATAGTACAGACGGTCGTAAACTTCGTCAGAAAGGATGATAAGATTGTGCTTGACACAGAGGTCACCGATACGCTGGAGCTCCTCCTTTGAGAAGACCTTGCCAACAGGGTTGTGGCTATAAAAGTGGTCAGCATACAACACGTGGGACTAGTTGGGCGGGTAGGCTTACGGAGAGTTCAGAACCTAGCATAGAAGTGTTAATAGCCGATTTTTCACTTCCAAATTGCGCTGGGAGACTTACAATCATCTTAGTCTTGGAGTTGATGGTGTTCTCAAGCTCTTGGAAATCAACAGTCCACTCCGATGCAGGCGAGGTTCTGGTTGCGCCATCCTTCGGCGGGTGTAGAGGCACATATCGGATGATGCCACCGGGCATCTCAATATTGCTGATATATCTATCTCCATGTTTTAGTGATCTGATAGAATAAAGTGAAGAACCGGCGCATGGACAGCTTACTGGTCAAAGAATGGCTCGAAAATAATGACCTCGTCGCCGGGTTCAATGAAACCCATAAAGGCACTGAGCATGCCTAGATAGTATCCTCTGGATCAGTTCTGTCTTTTTCTACGCATCCTGGCTTTGAACCACTGCTCACCCTCATTTGCGCCAGTGGTGATTGTGACTTCGGTCTCGGGGTTCAAGGTTCGACCAAAGGACGATGAGTATGCATCCGCAATCGCCTTCTTCAGACGAGGACGACCCTAGAAAACGATTGGTTAGAATTCCAACACGGCGCTTGTATATTTGAGATGCGCCTACCTTGGTCGGGGAGTACTGGTTGCATTCCACACGGTCCAGGGCTTCCTTCGCAGCATCAATTGCGAACTGAGGGGGATTATAACCGCTGCGCAACGAATAATCGAGGTAAGCAATTGTGCATCGGAAGCGATAAAACTCCTCATAGAGCGGGACTACTCACAAGAACCCTTGGCCCATGTTCACAATCGGCTGCACAGGCGAAGCGGCAGCGGCTTCGTTGACAATCGACCTAATTTCCCGTATCAGAGACCCCTCCAAACACGTCCTTGCAAAGGCTAAATATGCGCCTCACCAGACATCCTGCCGCTGACCAGCGACTCTCTTTGCCGGCCGAAAAGGGTCGGGCCGCGCAGCTGTTGCGGACATTGCTCTGATGCCGAGAGTAGGAAGGCGGGGTACGACCGAGGAAACGAGGGGCGCGGGCAGCTTGGAAGCAGAAGGCTTGGATCGGACGAGCGTGGCGAGAAGATGCGGGCGACCAACAACCATGAGGGAAGAAGTGTGGAGGGACGATGAGGAGAAATTGCGGAGTCAAGAGTCATGCAGGGCTTCCGAATGGCGTGCTTCGCGGTTCCGAGCTCAGGCAGACCGTTACAGCGACATTCTCAATCGAGAACAATAGTAATTTTTTACTATTGTTGCATAGTTGCACAGACTTGAGCGTGATTTGTACTTTTAATCAAAGCTTTTTTATACGTCAATAGTGCTCCTTCCACCAACTTTTCCTTTTCAATCCCATTTTCCACCCAGCACTGCTAACTATGCCAGGCACCAAGGCCGTCATCCTCGGAGCTGTCGCCGATGGTGGATTACTCAGCAGCTATCGCGCTCCATCGACGCGTCTCCCATACATCAGCTGCATCTGCGTGACGGTCGATTGAGTCAGTGACAACTCTTTCTCACGGGGTCAAATCACGATGGTCCTCTGTCCGATCTGTGAGAAGTCTGTCTCACAGCTCAAAATCAACGACCACATCGATTCAGGCTGTCAGAGCTTCGTGGAAGAACCCTCTTCTTCCCCGAATGATCTACCATCATCTCAAAAGGGTCCAGTACCCAGTATCTTCCAGCCACCGTCCGCACGAAAAGCCCACAGCCATCAAAGCAGAGAATTCGCCTCGCGTCCAAATGTATCGACTCCACGACCTCTCAATGGCAAAAGGTCATTCACACAAGATTCCCCGCTGTCTCAAGAACATAATGGAGTGAAACAACCGAACGAGGAGAGAGTCGAACCGCAAGCCAAGCGGTCAAAAGCCAATGCGTTCCAAAGGGCTGCTCCACTGGCGGAGCGAATGCGCCCAAAGAGTCTGGACGAGGTGTGTGGCCAGGAGCTTGTCGGCGAGAATGGCGTTCTCCGAGGCCTTATTGAACAAGACCGGGTACCGAGCATGATTTTGTGGGGAAGTGCTGGAACGGGCAAGACAACCATTGCTCGCGTGGTAGCCTCGATGGTTGGAAGCCGATTTGTGGAGATTAACAGTACAAGCTCCGGCGTCGCAGAGTGCAAGAAGATATTCGCCGAGGCTCGCAGCGAGCTTGGTCTCACGGGAAGAAAGACAATCATCTTCTGCGATGAAATCCATCGGTTCTCCAAATCCCAGCAGGACGTGTTTCTTGGGCCTGTGGAAAGCGGCCAGGTTACCTTGATTGGCGCAACCACGGAGAATCCATCGTTCAAGGTGCAAAATGCGCTCCTTTCACGGTGCAGGACATTCACATTGTCCAAGCTCACAGACGAAGACATTGTCTCTATCCTCCAACGAGCACTTAGAATCGAAGGTCCAAATTATTCTCCGTCGGAATTGGTCAATGACGAGCTCATCCAATACCTGGCTCGATTCGCTGATGGCGACGCTCGAACCTCACTCAATTTGCTCGAACTTGCCATGGACCTGTCTAAACGACCAGCCATTACCATGGAAGACATCAAGCAAGCCTTGACCAAAACCCTTGTTTATGATCGCGCCGGTGATCAACACTACGACACGATATCAGCATTCCACAAGTCGATTCGTGGTAGTGACCCGGACGCGGCGCTGTACTATCTTGCTCGCATGATCCAGTCAGGCGAAGACCCTCTTTATATTGCCCGACGACTGATAGTTGTCGCTTCTGAGGATATCGGTCTGGCCGACAACAGCATGTTAACCCTTGCGATCTCCACCCATTCCGCCGTGGAGAAGATTGGCTTGCCAGAGGCACGTATCAACCTTGCACATGCCACTGTGGCAATGGCCCTGTCGAAGAAGAGTACACGGGCGTACAGGGCACTGAACAACGCCGTTGCTGCATTGAATGAACCAGGTGTTGCAGGGCTGCCTATTCCCATTCACTTGCGGAATGCCCCTACGAAACTGATGAAGGAACTCGGCTACGGCCACGCGTACAAGTACAATCCGAACTATATCGATGGTCGAGTGCAGCAAGATTACCTACCAGAGCAAATTATGGACCGCACCTTCCTGGAAGATCTGGATATGGGGACGCAACGAGACCCCGACTTGCCCGACAGCCCATACCACCCCAGAATTGCTTTCTAATCCTTTGGTTGGCTATCACCCACCCCATTTAGGGAAGGTCTGAAATGCTCTCAATGCACCCAGGATATAATGAGCATGCGCAAGACTGCCGTCACAAGCCTTCACTGCTAAACTTGACTGGGCAGGAGTGCCATCCGTACTTGCCCTATTCAAGTAATGGTCCCTTCATGGGCAACCATATTTCATCACCAGTTACCTAAGCGGGCAAGTAGGGCTGTTCCTGCACCACCTACACCTCCAACTCATCTCCATTCACATCCAAGCCCAGTTTGAAGCTGCTGCGCTTCATTTCACTACAATATATCTATCAAACTTATTTATACACCCTCATCTCAAGTGCAGACAGAGTCCGAACACGATGGATCCGGGCCGGCGCCCAGTACTGAGGTATGACGAATCTGCACGGCCCAATGCCAACGAAAGACGACTACCAGTTCCTGTCAATCACTTTAACACCCTTCGATCTTCACCTCTGGCCCCTCCCAGCTCATGGGGCTCCCTGCCTACCATATTCTGCCCGGGAGCTTCTTCGGAGGCACCGTTGAAAATCGTTCTTGAAGATCCCAGCAGTGGACAGCAGTACCGGGAAAAACGAATCCGGAGCCAAGAGGAGCTTGACAGCCAGAAAGAAGGCATGCGGATCTTGAAGGACTACGGCGGAGCATGTGCGGCCTGCTACAGGAGCAAGAAACGGTGTGGACCTGGTGACCCATGCCCCCCATGTGCTGCACGCGATCGGGAATGCGTTAGACTCAATCGATACGATGGTGAGACTGTGTCTGCTGGTGGTCAGCCTGTGCCCACGCCTACGCAACCTATATCTACATCTTCACAATCTGTCTCAACATCGTTTCAATCTGTCCCTCCACCTACTCAGCCTGTCTCTGCCCCCGTCCTCCCTCCATCCCCTACTGTCAGGTCCGAGACTCTAACCTTAGACCAGATGGATCCTCCGAACGATCGTCCCAGTCTTCCCGAGAGCACGCTGTCGGAGCCAGCCTTGGATGAGGACCTGCCGTCTTTGGGCCTTGACCCGCCGGAGGATTACTTCGACCCCTTCCGTATCGATTTATGGGAAGACGGCATGGACTGCATCAATAGCGCTTGGGAAAACCCTAGCTTTACATTGATCGGAAACGAAGGGGGTCATTTAACAACCTGAGAGTGTATATCCAGCATCCCTTCCTGGGTCGAGGTCCCCTGCACAAAACGGGGCTGGTACCTCTATGTTGATCCTGCCTATACCGTGTTTACCGACGAAGTGTGTTTGATATATGCTTGTTTGGGGGAAAGGCATGGGAGATGATTATTCTTATTAGCAATCGCGCCTTTTGTTTTTACCTTCGTTTGGGATTGGGTAGATACCCATTTGCTATGCGCCTGTCCACTGTCCCTGTTATTAGCTAAATCCCCCCGGCGTACTTTGCTTTCCGAAATGGAATGAAATAAATATCCATTCAGAAAGACTTTTAGCCTTAACTTTAAGAAGAAAGCCATAAATCAGACTACGAAAAAGGTAAAACGTTACTACTCCGCAGCCCGCGGCATCCCAAAAGTGTGGCTGATTTCTCCCGCGTCGGCGCGCGTCTCTAGAATCCTCTTCTCTTCTCCACCGCCAAACATCGCCAGCCCCAACTTACCTCCACACCACGTCGGGCCACGAGGCTTAGTCCCTTCAAACGTGCGTCAATTGACATCCCCCAGCCGAAAGTTCCATCTCAACTAGTTGGAATCCCGCATTTCTATACCCGCACAGGTCGACCGCCATGGCCTCCGGCCAACCCTTCGCGTCGCGCTCGTACGCGGGCGCAAAGATGCCAGACCGCTCTGTCAATACAAACGCCATGCCCTTCAGCGCTTCGTCGTTCTCAAGGCATCGTGGACTAGGCAACACGGCTCCTACAGACTTTGGCGGTCCCGAGGGCCCCAAGCAAACGCAGCAGCCTCCATCCGCGCCTGCAGCGACGCAGTCCCACGGCCCGGGGCAGGATGCGAACCCGCTGAGTCGGTTGACCGAAGAGCAAAGAGAGGAGATTAACGAAGCTGTAAGGACCAAGTCCCACACGCCACCCCTTCTTCCTGCGTCTGCTATCACTCTTCACTCCGGGGGTGATGTGCCAATCAGCACCATACCTACCCAACGAGTGTACCACCCGACACAAAAACGAAGCAAAACGAAAAACACAACGGGCTAACCCGATCTACACCTATCTAGTTCACCCTGTTCGATCTCGATCGCGACCGCCACCTAGACTACCACGAACTCCGCGTCGCCTTCCGCGCCCTAGGCTTCACCCTCACAAAACAAGAACTCATCTCCCTCTTAACAACCTACGGCGTGCCCCGCCCCCAAGTCCAACAACAATCCTCCTCCAACCCACAACAACAGCCCAAGCCCAACACCGGCTCTAACCCGCAACACCCCTCCAACCTCCTCATGCCTCTATCCTCCTTCCAAGCCGTGACAGCGCTGAAGATCCTGGAGCGAGACCCGCGCGACGAGATCCTCCGCGCGTTTGAACTGTTCGATGAGGGCGGCAAGGGATTTATCGATTTGGAGGATTTGCGGCGTGTGGCGAGGGAGTTGGGGGAGACTGGGTTGGAGGAGGAGGAGTTGAGGGCTATGATTGAGGAGTTTGATCTTGAGGGTGTTGGGGGTGTGACGAGGGAGGCTTTTGTGGGGATTTGTTGGCAGTGAATTGGATGAATTGGAGGTTCTGGGGCGCCTCGCTTTGAGTATTTGGTTTTATTGTTGGAAGGGGGAGGGTCGTGTTGTGCGTTGCATGAGGGGGTTTTTGGTGTTGGGTTTATATCTATTTTTTTTTTTGGGTCTCTTCCCTACTTTGTTGTTTTAGTTTGGGTGTTACTTGTTCAATCGAATTTCTTGTTTTCCATTGCTATCTTGCCGTGGTAATAGACCTCGATGAGTTGCTTGGACGAGTCGATTACGGGCGTGTTGTAGTAACTACAACCCAAGTACAACCTTCCGAGGCGCTATGGATAATACAGCTGTATCAGAGGTCAATTCATGGCTGTGGCCGGTGTTCATTCCCCTTTAGATACAGATATACGGCGCAGAGAAATTATCACTTAGACATTCACAGGAAGGTGAAAACACGTGTACCCCGTAGATCCCAAAGGGTGGTCAATCCATTTGCACAGATGACTTCCAATATCGACGCCAAAAAAAAAGAAGAAAACAACATTAAGCCCAAGGGTTTCCCAAAACTTAAACCCAATGAATGTAGCCTGTAACCGAGAACACGCAATGCATAAAAGGGGAGAAATCCCATGAATACTAATAACGATCAAGGAAGGCATGTAAAGGAAAGAAAGAGTCATCATTAGGCGTATCGAGGCGGGGGCGGGGGCATATTGTGATACCCAGGATTGGGATACCCATCGTTAGGATAGCCATACCACTGGTTCCCAGGAGGACCAGGCGGAGGCCCATGAGGGGGCCCTCGACCAGGCATTGGACCCGGCATTGGACCAGGATAACGGCCCATGGGAGGTGGGGGACGAACGTTCTTGGCCATACGACGCCTTGCAGCGGCCATACGGCATCGGTTGATGAGACAATAAAGTATGAAGAGGACGATAAGACTGCCCACGCCGGCACAAAGGCCAATGACAAGCGTTTTGTGGTCGCGAATCCATCCTCCGACGGAAGAACCCTTGCACTGGCCGCTATAGCATTTACCGCCGGCGTCACACGGCGTACCATCCAGATAATTCTGGAACACAGAGATACAGGTGCCAGCGGGATACCCCATGACACTGCTAGCCGTGCCACAGACCAGGCTGCAGGACGGGTCTAACGTATTATCACAAGCCCAAGTATGATTGGTGTTGAGCAGGCTGCCCATCACGGTACGGCACTGATAATCGCGACTGGTACATTGGCCGCTGGCACAGGTGAGGCCACTACCACACGACGATCCGTCGTCCTTGAACTTATCCGAGGGGCAGGCGCTGGAGTTTCCAGTACAGGTCTCGGCAATGTCACAGACACTTGTACTCGCTCGGCAAACTGTGTTTGCGGCCGTAAACTGGCATTTTGTGCAACAGCTGTCATTGGAGTCGTCGCAGACGGCATTGTCCTTGAACTTGCATGTCTTTGCGTCGCAGCAAGCATTGGCACCGCAGCTTTCCTCGCCGCCACAGTCGCAGTCTTCGCCAGCTTCGACGATGCCGTTGCCGCAAGTGCTGCCGCTCATCGTTACGACTCCGCGATTGTCGGAGAGACAGGTTGACTTGATACTGTTGCGGCCGATGGCTGAGCAGATATTGCCGATGGTGCATGGAGAAAAGGTTGTCATGCTCGGGTCAGCAAAGGGGTTCATGATGTATTTGGCATTAGCATTGCAAGTGCTCGCTGACAGCGGACAGCACTGGGAAGAGTCTTGCAGATCTTGAGCACATGCACTCGAATCACAATCATGTACAGCACCGAACGTATGTCCGGTCTCGTGAGCGAAAATCTGCCATGTGGAGCCTTGGTTGCCGACGACGACATTCGCGCCCGACACTGAGCTATCTCCCGAGCTGACGAGGTCGGAGCTGCACAGACGGCCCATCCAGGACACGCCAACTTCCTGGCCAGTAGGGCAGCCGGTCATCAAGGTCCAATACGCGTTGCTGTCTGCATTACTCGAACGCCATTTGGAGAACTCGTTCAATCGCCAGGTAATGTTTCCTCCATCGCAGCCAATATTCCACGGAAGAGCCGCAGTGGCCGTCGTAGGACAAGATTGGTCATTCACAGTGAGATTGCGCAACCCAATCGACACATTGAACGACTCTTCGTACAGGCTTGACGCCGTGTTGACCAAGTTGATGACCCAATCCTTTGCCGCGTCTTTCGGCGTAGAGTTGGACTTGAAGTAATTGGTCATTTCACAATCCGTCGCCACACCAATCAGAGCGACCTTCTTGGTCTTGGGGCATCCCGCTGTATCGCCGACAGTGCTCTTCAAATTCACACCGGCCGTATTGCCTGACACGCCTCCCACATCTGATTGGCGCTTGGTGAGCCCAAACAACGAATTCAGTGGCGTGACTCCCCATTGGCTATCCGGCTGCTCGAGACCAAAGGGAAAAATTGAGTTAGTCAAATCTGCATTATAATCGAGTTTGTTCGCCGAGCAGCCCGTAGAGCCTTCCAGCGACCGCTTCAGCTCACTGTGGTGTCGAAGCATATCCGTGTCCCGGTAGACGATCATGTAGTCGCCACTTCGGTGCTCGATGTCAGTATCGATAGGGCGTTTTTTGGCCAGATACGTCGACTGCAGCTCGACATGGTGCTTGTTGCCGTCGATACTGAACGCACCCTCGAATAGAGGCTCGGGGCCGTCCTTTCTTACTGTAATTCGAGCCCAGCCTGCCGGGGTCCATCGTCCCTTGCCGGAACCGACCAGGGATCGACCGCGAAAGACTTTGTGTTCATGTCGGTGGATGGGTTCGCCTTCCCAGAGTCCATCGGCGCCGATGTATTGGACGTAAGCATCGTCGGCAAGAATATCGTGATTTGGCTCGAGCTCCAGCTTGATCCGCTGTCCATCGCGTTGTAGTTCGAATGTGAGATCAAAATGTGATAGGTGGTCTATTTGGTGTGTTTGTGTACGAATCACCGCATTCTCGATCGGCGTGACCTGGCGGATGGCCTCTGACGCTTGGGATCGGCCTGAGAAGGGAAGATGGTTAGCAAACAGGTAAAGCGACCTTGGCCGCCGAGTAGGCAGTAGACAACACACACCTTGAACGAGTGTGAACAGAGCCGACACTGCTCCTATAAAGGGCAGCACACTCCGTGGGAACCTCATTGTCGCGCAATGAGGGTTGAAAGAAAGCAGCAGCGAGGAAATCCGAACGGGCCAGGGTTTCCAGGGACCAGGCAACAGATTCAGGGTCGCAGGGTCCACCCGAAGATCGGCGGAGATTTAGAAATCACCAATCACCATTCCTGGCAGATTCGTGGTGAAGGGCGAAACAATCGCGCAACTGAAGTAGTGCTATCTCCTAAATGATGAGAAAGAGGAAGAAGGCAGACACCGGCGATAATGAATGGAGATGATATCTGACAAGCCAAGCGCCATACCAGACGAAGCGAAGCTCCCAAGACCATTGCCAAGCACGACGGATGCCAATGGGCCAACGGGGGGCTTAGGCTTGGCAGACTGAAACATCACATTTCATGGCATAAACAGGATAGGGCTAGGATCAATGTGGTTGGCTGCAGAAAAGACAGATTACTAAGGCCCAATTTGTGAGGTTGATCCAATTCGTTACTATTCTTGTCGTCGTCATGGTCAACAATCATGGCCTTGCTCCTGTACGGTAGTATAGAATCCCATACTTCTGACTCTGGCGGTGGCTAGGACGTTTGGACCGTACATTATACTGTTGTAGAAGTGGTACTCCGTACATTTTCCACAATCTCGTCTCGTCCCCTCACACAGCCTCAGTCTCGTTCTCGTTCTCCGCCGCATGGAACGTTTGATGTGCCAACAGGGCAAAATGCGGGATGGCGGCTCCACACAGCGAACATTCGACACTCGCTGGACTCACTCGCCACAGCCCATCCGACTCGTCGTCGTCCTGCCACTCCCCGTCCTCCCGATCTGAAACCACAGCACAAACGCCAGGCTGCTGCATTCTTCCCGAGCGCAAAGGGTCTTGGCCTCGGCTTTTATTGGTATCGCCATCCTTGTCATCCTGCTCTCCTCCCTCCGAGTCTGGCTCACGTACCGTCCACTCCCGCAGCACAGCCTCTTGCTGACGGAACATCTTCCCAATGTCTCGCCCACTGCTTTGCTTCTGATCCCCAGCACTCTCCACCAGATGCGTGACCGCAATATTCATCAGTTGCAGGTCCCACCCGGACTTTTCGGGGTGCAGTTTTCGGAACATCGCCATCGCATGGTCCTGGACGAGTCGCTCGGCGATCGCATCGATGTTCTCGTCTACGTGGAAGACGAAGCTTGGCAGTGGCGCCGACCGGGAAATGCGATTCCAATTGTATGACCGCGCCCCATCTGTCTCTGGTGGGTTCCGTGGGCGAGTTGACAAGCGGAAGGTGCGTGGGTGGGCCAGCCACCGGGGCTGAGGCGCAGGGCTGTCAGTCCTATCTAGCAGATCCGTGCGCATTCGCCGGATCAAACTTCTCGCCAGTACTTCCAACTCGCGTCGAACATTTTCGAGACTATCGAGGCGACCGCGCCCGTACGTATCCTCGATGCTGATCTGAGTGGGTAGGTCGCGTGCTTCGAGCACGTCAGTGTTATCGACCCCATGCAAGATGCTCCAGACTTTCATCCCGATTCCTTTGGGTGCACCAGGTCCGCCAAGGGTCTTTTCCAAAGTTGGCGGACCCATTCCAGGAAACAGACGGACATCTCGAACGGTCAGCTTTTCCTCCCCAGTACTTTGGCCCGTCACCTTGAGCCTTAGCTTCTGGGCGAGCCGTGATCCGATTCCCGGGATCTTTCGAATCTCATGGGAATCGATAAACTGGGTGACATTGGTATCTTGGGAACTGGGATCGCCGGATGGCTCGTAGGGAGGGAGTAGTGTAGTCTGGTTGTTGGGTTTGTGTACGCTGCCAACCAACTTGGCCAGCAACTTCGACGTTGACACGCCCCCCGTAGCAGTGAAGCCTTTCTCATGCTCCATGCGGCGTCGTAGATACCCAATGAGATGGGAACCCAGAAGCAGCCTCATGTCCAGCGACGATATATCTGGCGGTTTCGCCGATCCATCTTGCGTGGGCGGATAGGTAGCCCCAAGATAGCGAGTTGCATCGTAGGTGAATCCAACGGTCGGGTCCTTCTGATCCAAATGGAAAAACGAAGTCGTCAAGTCATTCGAGTTTAACAATTGAACATTGTAATCAATCATCTCCGTGACATCCAACGACAGCTCGTCAAAGCCCAGCCTCTCCACACGCCCACCCCAGATGAAGTCGCGCACGAAAGAATAAAGATCTTTGGAAGCATCGCGAAACTTGGTCAAGTCCTCACCTAGGACTATTACCACATCTGGACATATGCGTTTAGCATCCTTGATGAGCTGGAGTTTGTGCAGGCCACGCCGTCGCGCTTCGTAGTTGCACGTCACCACAATTTGCTTCTGTTGGACTGCCAGGGGCAACGACTTGAGCGCTGGTTGTTCTACCTCAAAGACCGAGGCATAAAAACAGTCGTAATCCTATGATTCATGTATTAGCGGCGGGGGAAGTTGAGGAGGATGGTATGGGGGCTTGGTGATGCTCTAGGTACCAGGTGGAGGATGACTCGACGGTCGTTGCGCGTCGGTACTGCAGCCATCGACTCTGAGCCAGCGCAAGCTTCTCCATGAATATCGGAGGGTTAAGCCAAGATACTGCCAGTAGTCGAATTTGTACGGGGAAGCCCGACCAGTCATAGAGCTACATAATTGCGCGTCGACTCTTGTCGGCACGATCCATGTGGCTCACGTGACTGGCGTTGGGGTTATTTGTACCTTTGGGGAGAAAACCTTGGATTGATAAATCTTATTCAATTAAGGAAGAGATCCACCTGTCGTATGGATGGAGTCTTATCGTCCCTTAATCTCATTTGATGATCAGGGTTTCGAGGTTTATAGGGCTTGAGCTGAGTCAGAACATATCGGATAACTAGTTAACGAGGAGCGTCCGTCAGGACGTCATATATATAGCGATATCACGATCGGGCTCAACCGAGAGAAACCCTAGGAAGCCCGTCTGACTTCTCAATACCGCTCAAATCCACGTTGGAAAATGCAGCTTCAATGTACACGTCACACACGGAGAGCCATATAGTTGGGCTAGCTTTGGGAAGATACGGAAGTATGGTTACAAGGTTAATTTCCAAGAACAAAATATAGATCAATCTCAACGTGTGAATGACTCGCCCAGAGAATATATTCGGAAAAGATTCCTCAGATATAGGCTTCACAGACAAAGTAATGGAAGAGATACCGATGGCAGTGTTTTTGGCAAGCAATCGCAGAGAACGGCCTGGCGACTGAATAGATCGGAGCGCAGCACTAAAACAGTCACCTTCCTTCACGTCTGGCCCCCGGCAAACTTCAACCTCTCAAAAAACAGCCCGCTCAAATCATACCCACCTTTTCCTGGAGGATCAAAAGACATTCTCCCCAGCTCAGCGCTTCCGGGACCTTTCAACATCATGTCGCTCCACCTCGACTTTCGATCAGCCTCCGGGCATGCGGTATCCTTACTCTCCACTTTAGATTCGCGGGGCGTAGGATCTCGACCAGTCTATGCGAATGAGGTCCCAACACCACCAGTGCCCCCTCGAGATGAGCTTTTGCCAGTACCTTCATGGTCAGAGCGGCCATCTCCGACTCCTACAAACCTTTTATCTTCCGTTGATCCCCCACGCCGCTGCCATCTGCCATCTGCCATGACAGATCTGAAGCTGGGCATGGACCCCGGATCAGTGCCAATCACACCCTTCTGCTACTTTGTTGCCCCGGAGTTATTCACGTCGCCGAGAGTGTTCCATCGATTTAGGGATTTACCGCTAGAAATTCATCGCATCATCTTTCGCTTCTGTGATACGCCCACGCTGTTCCATCTCATGCACACGTGCTCCTACAGCAGACTGGAATGTTTAGACCTGTTCTGGAAATTTCGTGATGGAAATACTTGGTATCGGATGGATGTTGGAGAGAATGAGTCCTTTGGTCAATATCCGACGGTATACGACTGCCCTGAGTTTGCCTCACGAGTCACGCAAGTGGAGATTTATGTATCCCACTACGTGTGTGGGCGGGAAGCAGAGTTTTGGGAGAGGTTTCAGGACATATTCTCATCAGCGCAAAGAGTGGTCTTTTTTGATCCCTGTCTCGGACAGTGGTCGTTCACTCGAATCATCCAGGACCACAAAGGCGAGAAATACGCAATGTCGGAGCTTATGGCGCTGGTGCCACCGAATATCACTGCTTTCGTTGCAACTCCACGTGAGGGAGAGGGAGCCGGCTTGCGTTCCCGACTATGGAGCATGCAAGACTCTAGGTTGAGCCTTGTACAAGATTCTTGGACACCGATGCGGGTTGTGCTACCTCCAAGAAGAGTCCGTCCTGGTATATTGAACTGCTTCCTGACCAGCGGGCAACTTGGCAGAAAGGCAATTCGCGAAAAATACGGCGCAGAGTGGCTTACTTGGAAGACCTACGTGCTTTATGCGGATGCCAGTGGGATCGACTGTCCGTATCCAGACTGTAACCGCAAATTTCCCAACGAGGGGGAATGGGAATGGCATCTTCCAGAGTATCATGGAAGAACCTCAAGGAATGCTTTAAAACAGGGCAAGCTCACGTATTGTCGAAACACCCCAGCTGAGTTGAAGGCTGTTCTTGACGAGAAACAGCGTCGCATCGACCAAGCAAATCTGATGAGAAGAATCGCGGGCAAGGAATTGATCCAACGGTATCGTCAGCATGGAGAGCAAGGCACACATCGATTTAAAGAAGCCCTTTCTGAGCAATTAAAGGAATATGGATTTTCCTCGTACGCTGGATCACTTCACCAGTGGGAATTATGGCAAAACTTTCCATCAGAATGGCAAGATGGTTGGGACGATGAACCGGGCTACCCCGAAGATTACGAAGTGGATTCAGATCAGGAATGTCCCCTAGAAGAGGATTTGGACTATGATTATGTCGGGGAAGAATATTTTGTTTACCCAGAGTGAGCCGATGACTCAATTCGAATGAGGGTCTCAACGAAGAAGGCTTAGATCATCATAGTGCCTAATAATAAGGGTCTTATCCTGGTACAGCGTTGGGTAATATAAGCGAAATTGAAAAATTTCATATCCGAAATAAGGATCAGTGAGATTGACGCCGAAAATGATAGCCCATGGCGCTAGAAACGGCCGCCTTTCCACCCATAAGTTGCTACTCACAAAGAAGTGCACAAAATACTTTGCAAATATGCAGTTTTATTCGATCAAGTATGTTAAAGGAATACCCTTGATAGCATCAGAAGCAACAACATCATCATCATTAAAAGGGCCTGGCATAGTTTTGGCATGTTCTAAGATTGGATACCTCGTATCAAACTAACGCACGCCGTTAGATTCCGAACTCAATTCGGCCTATTCTGCATTCATTAGCCCACCGTAGCTTAACAAAAACCACATAAAGTCTGTACATACGAAATCTGGAATAAGGTGAGAGGTTTGTGACATCGGTGGATAGGCGAGGGAAGGTCTATATCAGTAATTAGTTTAGTTTTTGATAGTTTCATTTAGGAGAGCCGACATTATTGAGCTCCTGGGACTCGTGCACCACACTGAGATCAAGTAAATAGAAAGGCTGAGAAATATGATTGTATCCGCACTTGGGGCAATTCATCTTGGCAAATAAGATAGCTTTCTGTGGCTTTATGATGGGATGATGATTGCTAGGTTGTGGCCTCAATCTAGAGTATAATACGATGATAGAAGCCACGTAAGCTTATATACCATACACCTCCTGTAGTTTAATCACACGCCACTCTGATCCCTTTGCATATGCGGCGCTTGGACGGGCGGCTATTAGGTCCCGCCCTCCTGGCTGTCTGCTTTGTATCAGCATGGCCTTGCCTTTAAGGGCCTTGGGTGACCGAGCGAGTCGGATAAAAGAGCCTAGTCCGATATTAAACGTCATAACCTCATGCATACTATCTAGAGTCATTCTCTGTTCGCAAGGTAAAAAGCCAGAGGCCAACGAGGGAGGGAGGGGATCTGACGCTAATTCAATGGCGGTCAGTCTGTTGAAATATGAGCTGGAAGGGGCTTTCCGCTTGAAAAATTTCTTACACTTTTCCTTCTAATCCTGAGTCTCTTGCAACAAATTGACCTCCTACAAACTATCCACAATGGGTGAACCGCTTGAGAAAGGTTGTGTCGCATGCGGGTGGACACTTGACAAAGAAAAGCGGTGCCATTACACAAGCCACCTCAAACTCTTCTACGGCGCATCTACACGGGGTGTGTGGTCTATCGGGTCAGATGTAATTCTGAAGGACCGGCCCGATGAAGGTCCAAAAGCAAAAGTTGAAGTCATAACATTGAACTATTTAGCGACCTATACCGACATTCCCGTCCCGAAGGTTTTACGCGACTGGGTCGATCGAGATGGGCGGTACTTCGTTTTGAACGAACGTATAGATGGTCAGACACTTGAGGAGGCATGGACTTCTTTGTCAGGACCCCAAAAATTAGATATTGCGGGTCAAGTCGTGAAAGTGCGAAAGCAGCTTCGATCCGTCATGTCAACATCTATTCAATGTATCGATCAAAGTCCCTGCTATCCAGGCTTATTATTTTTCGATCTCGAGCCCCGTGGACCATTTCACTCTGACCAAGAGCTCTGGGATGCTCTGGCTCTTAACCTTGGCCACCTCCCTCAACAAGTTTTGGAGAACTTAAGGAAGCGCCTACCAAAATGTGAACCGTATGTGCTTACTCATTGCGATCTCAATTTGGGAAACATCATGGTCCAAAACGGAAAGGTTGTCAGTATACTTGACTGGGAATACGCTGCCTTCTTTCCCATCTGGTATGAGTACGTTTCGGCCTCGGTTGGATTTACAGACATGGATGTTGAGTGGGAAAAAGTTGCTCCGGGGGCGCTTAGCCGTACATGGCGAAGCGCACGAAAATGCAAAGGCATTCTGGACTGATATGTGTAATCTAAGACAGTATCCAAATCTGGACGAGAAAGGTCAAGAAACCTTGGAGAGACTATCCTAGACAACCTTGAACTTGTGAAAACACGCGCTCCGCAGAAATCTCTGTTATTTTAGCTATGTCCAGTATTTTGGTCTCGATAACCGCCGAGTTCAATCAACTTAGTTACACTGTGAGTTATTCATTTAGACTTTCCTCGTAATGTGTAAACACAATCGGTATTTACATCATTTCCCTAGGCAAGACGTTTGAATTGGACCGTAATGCTAGAGGTTGCTTTAACTGTTTACGCTTGAGAATCCATCAAAAGTGAAGGTGGTAGTTATATCTGCGTTGGCAAGCAGTATGATAGGGTACCATCAAACAGGTAGGATAGAAACAATAGCTATCTTCGACTGGAAGGGCCGAGAATGGATCACAAACGGTAGGAAACAAAACGCTCTAGTGAAAACAGGCACTTGATCATTTTGACACTGTGGGGGTATGCGCGGAGGAGTTGAATAATATCGGATATGCTGTCTCATCGCCGCCTTAATATTGGTGCGGTGACGGCTATTGCGGAGTTAGTGTAGTGCCACCATAGTCACTGGGCCCCTATAGTTATGCGGCTACTGCGGCCGAGATATGTGGGATGATCATCGGTAATCTCCCCGATATCTCCGTCCATAGGGGGCTTCGCACTATTCCAAGGAGTTAAGTAAGTCCGACTATTCGGGTTGCCTGACTCTTAACGTAATTCCCAGTTGACTCGGCCACCCGGTCGTCCCGGCCACCCCAAAACACCATACAAGATGCTGAATATTAATTCATCTATATTTCAACCACCAGGGATTTATTTCTGTTAAAATTTTAGGATACGCATTTCTCAAAGTACAGGAAGAGCATATATAGATTTTAGACCTTTCAGACTATTATTTTAATACTTTACCATAAAATACAGCGTAATTTTGACGTTTCAGATTAAAATATATATATCTCTGCGAATACTTGAGGTAATCTTCCTATACTATACCAGTAGTTTAGAAACACTATTTAGATTATATATACTTAATATCTTATCTCAAATAGATATAGTTGTTGAGATATGAAGTTGTAATTTATCGCATTTAGTATGGTGTTAAAGGGTGGCCGGGACACCGAGTCGACCGGGAATTACGTTAGTTAATTGATCTGACTCACGTCTTCTGGGGCGAGAATAGCCGCTCGGAATTACTTGTTCGGAATTGCCCAATCCGATCAGGTGTGACTAGGCTGAGATGGAGGGAATAGCATAGGACTAGGGCTCTATAGAGGTATCCAGACTGGGTCATAAAAGTATAAATAGGTAAGCTTTCTCTGCTGCAAGGAAAAAATAACTAGACACCCACAAAGCTCAAACGCCGACGAAAGCTATAACACCTTGACCAGAACTCTTGACAACGATCACACCAATCAATAGCTATACATTCATCATCAATTCAATCTCCAATCCAAGAAGAACCAAAATGCCCGAGTACGCCAAGAACCAGCCCGCTGGCTTCAAGAACGCCGTGGAGAGAGTCGCCATTGTCGGTGTATGTATATCCCTCCAGCAGCACCCCAAGCACAACTAACAACGCCCTCAGGCGGGAGGCACTGTTGGATCCCATATCGTCGACGCTCTCCTTAAGACCGGAAAACACACACTTACGGCCCTCTCCCGCAAAGATAGCAGCAACAAACTCCCCGAGGGCGTCCTCGTCGCCCCCATTGACTATGACAACGAGGCCACCATCATTGCTGCCCTCAAGGGCCAACAATTCTTGATCATCACAATGGCCCCCAATGCGCCCCGAGACACCCACAGCAAGCTCGTCCAGGCGGCTGCTAAGGCCGGTGTTCCCTACATCATGCCCAACCAGTACGGTGCCGACATTGAAAATGTTAAACTCGGAGAGGAGATAATGCTGGGTCCGGTGGGCAAGGCCCAGAGGGACGAGATCGAGAGGCTCGGCATGCAATGGATTACCGTTTGCTGTGGGTTTTGGTATGATTATAGCCTAGCCGGCGGCGAGGCGCGCTTCGGCTTCGACTTCGACAAGCGATCTTTGACGATCTATGACGAAGGAAACATCAAGAACTCGGTGTCAACCTTGTCGCAGGTTGGGTGCGCTGTGGCCAAAGTGCTGAGTCTCAAGGAGCTTCCTGATGACGAGAACGACAAGAGTCTTACCGTGTCGGGGTGGCTTAATAAGGCTCTGTATATTACGAGCTTTGTGGTCAGCCAAAACGAAATGTTTGAGAGTGTCAAACGCGTCATGGGCACCAGTGACGCTGACTGGACAGTTACCCATGAGTCTACCAAGAAGCGATACGAAGATGGCCTGGCGCTGGTAAAGAGTGGTAACATGGCTGGCTTTGGTAAACTGCTCTACGCAAGGGCGTTCTACCCAGAGGATCCAGGTAATTGCTCGGACAAGGCACAGAATGAGCTGCTTGGTTTGTCAGAGGAGAGCTTGGATGAGGCCACTCAAGTCGGAATAAATATGGTCAAGGAACTGCAGCGTCGCCCTGAGCGTATGGCGTCATAGAAGACAGCATCTGCAGCTCTTGAAATCAATTACGAATGCAATTCTATAGTCACTATTTGACACAAGAGGAAAGGAAGAGAAAAGAAACGTTGCAGACGCTAATGTCGGCCACCATGAAGCAACTGAAAATAATGATCAAACCGAAGCCCACCTGTACTACATAAACTGAGACGACTGGTCCGCATACAGGTCGCTAGATCATTCTAGTCGTCTAGGTTATAAAACAAAACCCACCTATGAAGCTGGGACATACAGTTAGTCGCATCGCATATCCCTTGGTGTTAGGTGTTCTATGTTTGAGAGGCCATAGTAGCAAATGTACGGAAGACCAAACGGGCTGAAACTACGCACCGTGCAATTTGCGCCACGACTACCAATATTACATGCCAACATGACAAGTGGCACCAAAGATCGGAGGCAACTAGGCAGATAGAATCCAGATTTTAAATGAGCTCAGATTGTCTTGGGCAGATGATGAGGATTGAATCGTCAAAAATTCCATTTCATAGGTCCTTCGCCTTTTGCGGCCCGGACCGTCCCCCGTCCCACTGTGCCCACTACCATCTGCCCCAACTTCAGGTAGAGTGGTTACTATGGACGGGAGCCCAGAGATATTTCAAACATGCCTAACACGTATCAGAAGCCGTGGGACTATGTAACTAGTCCCTGGATGGACAGAAACGGTACCGTATGATGCCGAAAGTTGGGGTTTCTAGAAAGGTGAAGCGACCAATGGCTGTTGGAGATAAAGTGGCTTGGCAGCTGCATCGTAATATGGCATAGCAGCGATCGGGAGAAACGGAAGATCACGCGATAAAAGAGCCCAGCTTTGACAGGGTCTAGACAGGGTATCGAAAACAAGGAGCCTAACTGATTGGGCTCTTCATTTGGGCGCTGCAACGGTGAAGTGGCTGAAACGGCCCCGCCATCTAAGAGGTGGACAGGTATGAAGGCCTCGTCACACCCTCCAAAAGGCTAATAAAAATTAAAAAAAAAAAAGAGATGATTGATTAAAGTCACGAGTGCAAAGCAAAAGAAGGAAAAACGAGCAAGGTGTTGTCCTACTACTCCCGCTTCTTTCTACTCGAACCCCGAGCCCCTCGCTAGGTTGATGGATACCTCCGCTTCTTGACAGCTGGAGACGCTACAGAGCTCTATTGTCGAGCTCTGCGAAATGTGATCTCGCCAATCTACAAACACCAAGTCATGGCATCTTGGCCAGGAACACAAGGGGCGCGTGTATCGCCGGTAGGCATCGAACGATCGCATGATAACGTGGGTAACCGTGAATGCTCATCCCTGCATTTCACATACAGGCTTCTTTGAAGGGTGTGAGCTGGACAGATACCAGGAGTGAGGGTCATACACCCAGCATTCTTTTTTCAGAGGAGAGCTCGCCGTTCCAGTGGGACTCGCGAGGGACCAGCTATGAACAAGCCATGAGCTCCACGTCCTCGGGCACACTGCAGCCGCCGTATCCGCGTTATACAGGAGCCGTGCCGCCTATCACAACATCCACAGCCCGTATGGTTACGGCTCCTGAAAGAGAAGATGCTGGTCCGAGCGGAGAATCGAAAGATTTCGATAGGCCCAGATCTTCGAATACAGTGCGCCAAGCAGATGTTTCTTCTAGATTATCTCTGCCTGCTCGATCTTGCGATCATGTGCCTGTGCGGACAGGAAAAACCGGTGCTCATCTTGCAAAATTGCTCGAGGAAGTTCGTCGCTTACAGAAAGACGTGTGGAGCAAACGATCGCGAACACGAGATCTTCGCCATGCTTTACGGCAGAAACGCGAGGAAGAGGATTACCTGCGACTCGTGCTAGAGGAGAAACTGAGTTGGCTCTCTCCAGAGTCTATCCACCTGCAAACTCCAGCAATCAGTAAAGCCATCGAAGACTTGAAAGCTGCCACAGGGCTTTACCACACTCTTGAAAGCGACTATCAGAGGATTGAAGATGAGCTTAATAAAGAAGAGACTCTGCTGGACAAACGAACGACAAGATTGAACAAGCTGCTGCGCAGACAAGTCGCCCCATGGAACGAACAGAAGGACTCTGTTAACTCGTTCTCGGATACATATTCAACCTCTTCCTCCGCCTACGATGCCGACAGCGATGCCGACCGGTTTTCGTCCAAGGCCGCAGAATATCTCACTCTCGTTGGGGAGGTGCGCATGCTCCGTGAACAGCTCCGAGAACTCAAATCGGAGTATATGACTTTGTTAGACCAAGAAGATCTTCGTGAGCGAATCGGCCTCTCGCTTGATCCAACGGCTCTGGAATTCCTGGCAGGCTACGAAGATGCAAAGGCAAAGGCGCAGGCTGGACTAGACTTTGCAATCCGTCGAGTGATGAACCACCCCGAACACAAGGATCACCCTGAGGCAGCTACATTCGATGATCAATGGGACCAAGTTGTGAAAGACTTTCAACCCGAGACACCAGACATTCAAGCGCCACGAGACCCATTGCGAGTGACCGAGTTCGAGGACCAGTCGCCGTTCTTTGAAGAGAGACGACCTGTCGCGATGAATAAGTTTACATTTGTGAATCGGTGGCTTCTTCACCGGTTGCGTCATTCTAGTTTTGAGGTTTTGCAATATAAATCGCATCCAGGATTTACTGAGCTCGCGAATGAGGGTTGGGACGGTGATAGCATTAGCCAGATGGCTTTGATGCTGTGGTTCCGGGATGAGACGGCGGGACTGGTGACTGTGAGAGACGAATTTGCAGAATAAAGCTAGATCATTTCATTACATTGCAATTTTTCATCGTTTCGTCCGAAGCCCGTTCATAGTTTGAGTTGTGCACCGTCTGGAGAGATCAATATGTTTAGGTCTGTTGGGTATGATGTTTATACGTTAGGCTCGAATCATGAGCTGTTTTTAGCACCCTGGATATTTCAACTCAAGGTCGAAATCTTGTTGTGTTGGTTCAGAAGGGCACAAGTGCGTATGTTCCGAAAGATTCCTTGTCCCCTCCATCTCGGGAGTCATGGTTATCCTCGGGTGGGCCGATGGCGTCGTTTCCCGAGACCCGGACAAGCGGACATGTGCTTGTGAGAACTAATGATCCAATTGTCAGCAAAGCACAACTTCAAACTCTCTCCTGATCCTGCTTGGGGACTTTTATCCATTCACCATCCTTGTCTTCCTCTATGCCTGGAGGAGATCTGATACGCCTCTCCACACCACCCCGCACCCCGCAATGGCTTCCCTCAAAGAACAATTAGAGACGTTGGCGAACAACTATACAGCTTGCGATGTAAGCATTTAGTTCTCTTACAAGAGTGGCTTGGGAGCTCTTTCTATCATACTACACCACACCTACCAGAACCCTCGCCGGCCTAACATCCCCTTTTCATCCAGATATCAGATGCCCTCCTCAAGCTCCAAAAAGTCCCAGAAGGCGGCACCGCACGCGCGGGCTTCCTCGCAGATCTCAGTAAGAACCCATGCATGAAAGGTCTATCAATCCCCATGATAGGACGCCCTCCAATACAAAAAACCAATCCCCAACACGAACCATCCCCCAACTCCAAATTCTCCAAAACTAACCCTCGACTCCCCCCAAGCCCCCTTCTCTCCGATAATCGGCAGAAACGACCAAGCCAAAAGAGTCGCCGCCCCAGCAACAACATTCAAGTTCCTTTCCAAAAAGGACAACCCACCCGCAATTGCAATCGAGAATCCCGAGAAACACGGCTTCCCGCCGGGAAAGCACTGGGTCGATTTCACGGGCGACTTTGCCGCGGCGGACCCGTCTGGTGCCGGTTCGATTGTGGTGATTGACCAGCCGAGGGATCAGTATTGTGCGGTGACGGGTGGGATTATGGCGACGCGGATGAAAGTGCTTGGGATTCGGGCGACTGTCGTGAATGGGCGGGTAAGAGATTTGAGAGAGTTGCAGGAGACTCAGCTTCCGGTATGTTATTTTTTCTGGGTATGTACAAAGGAAGAAGATTCAGACTAAGATTGGTTGAATTAGATCTGGGCTAGGGGAACATCGACAGTTGGTACTGGGGCCGAAGCAAAGGCTGTTGTACGGGATGTCCCAATTACCATTGAAGGGGTGACTGTTTCTCCTGGAGATATTATTTTCTGCGATCCCATGGAGGGTGTTGTCGCTATTCCACGCGACTTGCTTGAACCGGTGATGGAGTTGATGCCCAAGCTTATTAGCATGGATGATCAAGCCAAGAACGCTGTCGCACAAGGCATGACCGTCGCAGAGGCCTTTAAGACATTTCGGGCCTAGTAATAAAGGTAGGAGAGACCTATCTATGTATCTTGAAATTGGAAAGAGTTGTAGATGGAACAAATCTACCTGTTATATATGGAACAATTTTCACCTCAAAATCCTGGAAATATACATGAAAAAGAATCAATCTCTCGTGGTATCCTCATAGGTGGTCAATACACCAGAATCCGGGGATATAGAAGTAACCCAAAAAAAAGAAAACATCAAAAAGGCGCTGTGCAATGTACAATCGAAGAAGGAATCCCGTTTACTCGGCAACCCAGACGGCAGCCATACCCATACCGGTACCAACGCACATGCTGGTAACACCGATCTTCTTGTTGGTGCGCTTGAGCTCAGTCAACAGGGTGCTGACCTGGCGAGAGCCAGTGCAGCCGAGAGGGTGACCGAAGGCGATAGCACCACCCTTGGGGTTGATCTTCTCCGCGGGCAGGCCAAGCTCGTTGATGCACCACACGCACTGGGAGGCAAAGGCCTCGTTGATCTCGTAGATGTCGACATCATCCTTGTTGATGCCGGCCTTCTCGAGGGCAACGGGGATAGCGGCCCAGGGGCCGATACCCATGAGCAGGGGCTTGACACCGACAACGCTGGCAGTGACGTACTTGCCGATGATCTTCTGGCCCAGGCGCTCGGCAGTGGAGCGCTTCATGAGCAGGACGGCGGCGGCACCGTCGGAGATCTGGGAGGCGTTACCGGCGTGGATGGAGCCGTCCTTGGCGAAGGCAGGGCGGATCTTGCCGAGGGACTCGGCGGTCATGCCCTCGCGGATACCGTCATCGGCCTTGACGGTGATGGTCTTCTCCTCGCCGGTCTTGGGGTCGGTCCACTTGACCTCGAGGGGAGCAATCTCCTCATTGAAGAGGCCAGCCTTCTGGGCCTTAACGGCCTTCTGGTAGGAGGAAGCGGCGAAGGCATCCTGGGAGGCACGGGTGACACCGCGGTCCTTGGCCATGTTCTCGGACAGAACACCCATGGGGACCTTGCAGTTGGCGGACTCGGGGTGGTTCTCGAGGAGCTCGGAGAACTCGGTGACGGCGCCGGGACTGCATCAAACAAAATTATTAGCGACTCTGCTTGAAATGATACATGTGAGTTCATGGTTTGTACTTACCCGTACTGGGAGCTCATGCTCTCAACACCAGCGCCGATACCAACCTCGATCATGCCAGACTTGATGGCGTTGGCAACATCAACAATGGCCTGGAGACCAGAAGAGCACTGACGGTTCAGGGCCTTGACAGCAGTGGTCTCGGGGAAGCCAGCAACGAGGGCAGCAGCACGGAACTCGGTGGCGCCACCACCGGGGGGCAGGACAGAGCCGACGGCAACATCCTCGACGTACTTGGGGTCGATACCACTCTTCTGGATGACAGCCTTGAAGACACCAGCCAGGAGATCAGCAGCAGCAGTGTCCTTGAAACTACCCTTACCACCCTTGGTCAGGGCAGTGCGCAGGGCACAGGTCACGACGATATCATCGGGGTTCTTCTGGGTGAGGGCGGCGGCTCCCTTCTGGCTGCCAGAGCCAAAGTGGGAGGAAACTTGAGTAAGACGCTGCTGGGCTGAGAATGGACAGTTAGTTGGGCTGTGCAGTTTCCAGGGACGCTTGCACGGACTGGCATGTTGCTTGTGCCAAATTCCGTAATGATGATGGAGGGATGCTTACCTGAAGACATGACGTCAATGTGGGAAGAACTCTGGGGGATGGTATGGGGGAAGGAAGATAAAAAGCAATACAAGACAGATGAGAAAAACTTCAAAATTCCGGGCGAAGTTGTTTCTTATAAATCACGTCCGTGGATCCGGTGGTATTTCCCTTGTTCGCAGCTTTGCCCGTTGCTGGCGTCGCAACGAAAGTGCCGAGGTCCCCGCAACATTGTTAATCCGATGGCTTCCCCAGTCACGGGATCTCCGTGGCTCTGCAGCATGTGAACATGTGAAAACGACTTGGATTATGCATTTTGTCCGAGCCACAGGGCGTCTGATGCTGTCCTCACGTCATCCTCGTTCTCTGTCCGCCGATCCGATACAGGCCCGAGTTGTGAGGATTGTCTCGGCTTCTTAGCGGCCAGGCTGAGTCTTTGAATGTGATTATTCGACACGCCCGACCCCGGGTCGTCTATCCTCGGGGCCCCTGATTATTGTGGGGACGCTCTCGGGGGTTACTGTAGTCACCTCGAAGTTCCACCCATGGATTATACTGTATCTTAGTTATCACATGCTACGAAGCGATATTCGAACTGTTATAACTTTAGGTATTAACCTTGATCTGTTCAGAGGCAACAGAGATCATCCATTCGCTTCATACGTTAAATTCAGTCCCATAATTGACCCTCCAAGTGTATGCGCCGATGGGTTATACCCCCAGTATTGGTATTCCAGTCACTCTCCCCCCTCATATGGCCTAGTGGTCTATTGACCTTTGGGTGTGCCCTGGAAAGGGCAAACATGTGATGGGAATAGGTACAGGCCTCCAGTGTCGAGTATAACTCCACGGATGGTCGGGCACATCCCTAGGCGGGGAGAGTGGGCGGGTGGGCATGCGAGCTGGTGGCAGCACCTCCTCGCAGGATAAAGATCTTTTTTATTTTTTTAATGAATTACTTATTATTAAGATACTTTATAGCAGATAATTATTTAATTCTTATAAAGGGCCTTTTTAATAATGTTGTGAGGGTGTAGAGGGGTATTGTATTTTGACTATGGCATCGCGTTGCTCTTGGCGATGTACTCCGGCATCGTGGGGTGGTGATGGAGCATCGTGGCGAGGTTCATAGGGAACGAGAGGGTTGGGGGTTCGATTCATGGAATGGAGGATCATGGTTATTTCGAATTATATGACATTTAGCGTGTGGCCGATTCTTTACCTACACCATTCGCGCCTCCATATGCCCGGTTCCCCCGTCTCTCTCAATGATCGATTTTCCTTTGAAGACTAACTCTTCAATAACCAACGCTCCTTGCGATTTCTGCTTCCTCCGTGCTAGCATTCAACACCATCAACTATTTCTTCCGCTATTCAACACGGTCCTTTCTTCTAATAGACGGGATGGGGACCATCCATCTTATACAGACAACCGGGCATCTTACACCATAGCAGCTTACCTTAATCAGGCGGGAGCAGGGATCCTTTGCCACAAGGATGATCTCAATTGCGCCTACGAGCAGATTCGAGAGAAGGAGGTCAACAAGATTGCAGTCGCTTGAATTCCAATCTGTGAGAGCAGTTCAATTTCATGTTGTAAGATCAATGTTCGAGCACGACAGGGTTATTCCTGCAAGGCTAGAAAGCCCCATATTCAAGTAACATGTCCACCACGTCCTGATTCCCAAGTTCAATGGCCAAGGACAGCGGATTCTTGGACCTGCGGCCACTTTCCGTGCCTCTATGATAGAAAACCTTGGCATTTGGATCTGCGCCAAATTCGAGTAGCATTTTCACCAGCATCGCGTTCTGTTTTCCAATCGCTATGGCTAGTGCATCTCCGTCGTTAGTGATATTGAGAGTACCAAGGCTCTTCAAGCGCAGCAAAATCTTCATCACCAACCGTTCACTCCCAACTCGGAGCGCTCGACTGAGCAGGGGACGATCCTGGAACTTGTAGTTTGGATCCGCCCCGTAGTCCAGCAGCAGTTCGGCAATCCCGTAGTATCCTCGGACTAGAGCAAGTGAGATCAGATTCCTTGGTGCTTTCAGTGTGCCCCAGTGGGTAAGAGAATTGATTCCTGCTCCGCGCCTTAGCAGCTTCTCCACAAGTTCCTCTTCGCCGTGATATACAGCCCACCACATCGGGTGTTCATTTGGTCGACCGAAGTAATGCCATTGCTCTCTGGTCCTGTCACGTATGAAATACAACCGCTCGGTTCCCTGCCTGGTCCTGTCGTAAACGGCTTCGTTGGCTGGGCAGAAACCAAAAAATGAACCTAGGTCTCCAAGTGGGGTGATGCACTGGTCGAGGAAGAAGGTAGACATTGCGAGGAATTGGTACTGGACAGCGTTCAAAAGGGGCTTTTCTGCAAGACGCTTGTTCTGATTTCCATCGTAGCTTGATTCCATCAGTTCTTGAATCTTGGGGATATCGTCCCACCTGTCAGGTCCGGCACGGTATGCAGCCAGAGCCCATCGTCGCCATGGCGTAGTCTTTGGCTCTGGAAACTTGGCTCCATGTTCGATGAGTATCTTCACGGTATCTACCGCGCCAGCCCGAATTGCCCAAAGAAGGGCTGTAGAGTGGTCTCGGGTCTGAGCTTCGCAGTTTGCGCCCCGATCGAGCAATACCTTCGTAGCTTCGCACTGTCCCTCTCGGGCAGCGATCATAAGGGGAGTAAGGCCTACCGGGTTCCTGATCTCGATATCAGCACGGTGGTCAAGCAGAATCTCCACAATTTCCCGATGTCCTCGGCGAGCCGCTAGCCACAGTGGAGACTGACCGTGTTGATTTGTAGCCAGAGTATTGCCTCCGCTGGCAAGAGATAGTCTCGCTGTTTGAGGTTTATTCGTCACAGCAGCCCAGACAAGCGCGAAACTATACCCTTTGTCGACATCGTAGCGATATAAATTCCAACATAATTGGCGGTAGGTTGCGCGACAAGTGCGAGACAGTGCGTAGATACTTTGCAGTGTTTGAGATGGTTGCATTCTACCCTGTCGGTCGTCTGTGATAGAGCGCGCTATCATTTGCAGTAGTTCTGGGGGTAGGCTTGCGAGAGACATGATCATTAGTGAAGGGGTTGGAGGTGCTTGCAGAAAACTGATACACCCGCTCAGACTTTGAAGTGGGCAGTGCTGGCTTTATAAAGGCGGATTCTTGGCCCCCGAAAAGGGTATCGCGTCAGTTGATGGATGAGTCAATCATAGCCAATTATCTCAAGCCTCCGTTGCTAATTCTGGCCGCAGCTTTATGATAGGCAGCCTGAGGCGTGTTGAGGTAGCATAATAATTGTGATAATTTGAGAAATCGACAGAGCCTGCAACAAATTTGGAGGGAGAATAGGGAGCTGTAGTCTGATGGGCGGAGGTACACATTAATGCGGAGCACATGCGGAGACCGGCAGATCAAATTATTTCTCGACCGCGCCAACTTGACCATCCAACCTCGACTCGACCCCAGGTACCCTCGCAACTATACCTCAACAGCCCAGATCCTACATAACCCGGGACCTCTACATCACAATCCACATGATTCGACAATTATTCACAGCCGCCTCCTCGGCGCGCCTCGCGTGCCCTGGCTCGACCGCAACCCTCAAGACCCAATTCACCAGACAACCAACATGGCACATTACCGTACAACAAGATCCCCAGACCCTCAATCCCTCAAATCCCCAAATATCTAACATCATCAATATAGAACACCTCTCCACTACCTCTCCGCACCACCCGCCCCTTCTCCAGCACAATCCCAACACCCTTCACATCCACCGCGCTCAGATCCTCCTCACCCTTCCGCCTCTCCTCCGACAAGCACGATCCCTCCTACCGGAATCCCAATGACGAATACTACAGCCCCTACAAACCTAAGCGCCAATGGCCCCCGGATATGTCAAAGCTCTCGCCAAAGCACCAGTTCCGACTGGAGCGTAAATATCGGCGGCGCGCGGCGCTCAAATATGCCCGGCCGAAGTTTATCAAGACTGTCACGTTGGCGCAGTGGGTTATTATTGGATGTAAGTCATATACTTCTGGCTCTCTGGTGATATCTGTCGGGGATAGGTTAGATTTGTTGGGGGAGTTAGAGCGCTGATGAGTGTTGGTTGTAGTTGTCGTGATCTATGCGGTTCTTTTCATGAACTGGGATACCAAGGATACGCCATTTGACGGGGTAAGTTGTTTCTTTTCTTCTGGGTGTTGTGTGGTATCATGGACTAATGGGCTTTCCAACAGATCCGAGAAAGCGTCTTCTCTGGTGTCAAGGCTGTATTCTCCAGTCCCCCGCCTCCTAGTCCGGTGAAGAGAGCGGACGAGAACAGTGGGAGTGGATCTCAAAAGTAGTTCTCCGAGGAGGATTACCTGATAGTCCCTGTATATGGTAGATCCTTAAGGACTGTACAATACTCATTTGGCATAAATAGTCGCTCAAAATAAAGCACATCGTTCATCTCTTCAAATGTCACCTTGCTATGCTAGCACATTCCTACGGACTTATTACCAGCTACTGCATTTATCTCCCAATTTCTGCTTGTGAAAATTCATTCAATTCTCATATCTGTCATATGTCATTTGTCATGAGCAAATCTAGTCCAAGCAAGCAGGCGTCTCTAATCCGCGAAGAGGAGGGCATAAGACAGAAAAGATGCTCCCATCAACCTACGAGACGGACATCCATTTATCCATGCCAGCCTCTTCCCGCCACCTGCACCATAGCTTGACTTCATCACATCATGTCCGCCAAAAATCTTTGCTGGACATTGAAAATATGCAACTCCCAACAACTCCAGAAATGCCAACGCCTTGAAAGCCTAAAGAGATCAAAGTAGGGAGGGGGAAGCTTCCACAGAGGTAAGCAACAAATCCAACATACACCAGAGCATGTTGGTGCAACCCCTGTAGGCGATATGAACCGTAAAACGCCGAGTCATGAAACGTGAAATCAGAGTGGGAAGGTAGGGAAATGGTAAGAAAAAGACAAGGAAAAAAGAAGAAAAGTTTTCAAGCGGATGTTGTATCCAGTGCTTGACAATTAAAGCCAGCGAGGGAAGTCGCTGGATGGGGTCGTTGGACCCAAGGGAGTGGCGACCCGACTGTCCGAAAAGTCGAGGGCCAGGTTCAGCTGAGGTGGCTTGTCATCAAGTAGACCCTTCTTAGGGCTACTGGGTGCAACCTTCTTGGGGGACTTGGTGGGTGATCCAGGTTCAGTGCGAGGCGGTCCCTCGCGCACCATCAGATAGGGCCAACCATCCTCAACCGCAGCAGCCACCCAGGTGCGGAGACACTCATGAACCGCCGAGTAAAATTTCTCCTTGCAAGTGCGCATAGTACCACCCATGACCTTTTCAAAGCCGGAGGCTCGCAATTCAGACCGAAACTTGTTGCGATCATCCGCTGTGGGCAAACAGGCAATCAGACCATTCAGAAGATCCAAGTGTGCAGCAAGGTAGTTGGTAGCATCCCACTCGACGCCGCCAACGTAAGGAGCAGCAGGGACAGGGGGCCGAGGGGGAGGGAAGTGTCGCTCGCGGTAAGAACGAGTATCCACCGTGCGTTTTCCGGTGAATGGGTCGTCCGACTGAGGGTCTGCTTTGGGGAGAGGAATCACATTGAGATGGTGAAGGAAGATCCAGAAGACTTCTTTGGTCACATTGGTAGCCTCCTTGCACCACACCCGATAAGGTCGTGACTGGTATATGTTGGCAATGAAAGAGACAGGCTGGCTCTCATCTTCCGCAGAAGGATCCCGCAGGTATGAGAGGATCCGTTGAGCGCGAGTGGAAGGCAATTCGTTGGGAGAAGTGGTAGAGATCTGGGTAAACAAGAGGTTGATGATGATTCCTCGCGTAGTGAATTCGCTGGGGCCCTTCTTTTCCTCGTCGAATAGCATCTTCAGCAACGCAGGGAATAATTCACCTTCGATTTTAGTCAGATGCGCCAGCGCGATGGATGTGGTACAAAGAGCCTTCAAGCACAGCAACGCCTCGTGCAGGAGTGTGTCCTCGTGATCCTCCCTAAAAGATGTCAGCCACTATCCGCAAAGAAAATCGAGTCAGTTGAGTTCAACATACCGCCACTCCATCTTCATAATACGGTAGATGAGCTGAACAATTTCAACCATGCCTCCTTCGGAAATGAACCCATTCACCCAGCTAATTGTCTCATTCCGCAGAAGAAGTCGCAGTTTGTGCAACTTGCCCACTTCAACCATCTCCGGCTTCTGGATCTCTCTGAGATAGTGCACAAAGTCAGATGGATCAGCAGCGGTGTCCACAGCCGCCGCTTCAGAAAGCGATGCAGTAGAACCAGCGGCGCTGAGGGTTGTATAAACGCCTACTGGCTGGGACAGGTCCACAGATCTGGGACGATGGAAAGTTCCACTCTCTGGCCGGGGTTTCTTGCCAGGAGATGACGAGCCCCGGCCAAATGCAAACCCGCGGCTCCTGGAGCGAGAGCGAGAGCCCTTACGATCCTGAGAATCCTTCGACTCCTTTCCACGACCACGGCGACTGTCAGAGGTACCAGAGCTGACTGGTGTGCCAAGATCGGTGCGATCCTTCTGAATAAAGTCGGCCTTGATGTTGGTATCAAGGGAGCGCATCTTGTCCCGCATATTATGAGGAATGTTCCGGGCATCCTGCCGTCGTGTTAGTCATGTCAATCCTAGAGCAGTTAACTCGGGGCAAACCAACCAAAAGCTTCTCAAATTCACTTTCGAGATCCTTGGAGCTCAAACGTTTGCGCACATCGGCGTCCCGCTCCTTTCCGTTGAACACCGAGATCGCGGCCTGTACGCGAGAAAGTCTTTTCGCACTCGGCTGCTCCTTTGATGCAGGAACCGGCGACTCTGGGACAGATATCATTCTCGCTCTCTCAAGAGCCTGTCCCTTGGATGACGCACTATCTACTCGATCACTGGCATTACTGCTTCCGGACGGTGCATGCTGCAGTCCCAGAATGTCCTTCATCTTTCTGTTGCCAGCAAGGCAGTCCGACTTGGGACGAGGCTTGCTCTCGCCCTGTCTGGTGAGGGATGGTTGCTGGTAATCACAAAAGTTTCGTTGCTGAGCTGGGCTGTAAGCCTTTGGTGTATAGAGAGACACTTCCTCTGCAACACTTCGCCGTCTATCCGCGGTTGAGTTCTGTCGCGACCGACTGCTGGGAGCTTGGAAGACGGAGCCTTCTTGTGGCCAAACCGGGGATGGCATGTTATCAACCAGATCAACGGGGCTGCGGTTCTCTTTATCACGGCTCTGCTTCGTTCCGTCGGCTTTGCGTCCACGCTGGGATCGCTTGAGGATGGCCGACAAACTGTTCGTCGACTTGGTCTTCTTGGGCTTCAGCTCGTCGACATCGTCGATTTGGGTTTCTTCCGATTTGGTGTCCTTCCGTTCCATGTAGCTCCGGAGTGACTTTAGAGATACTGTACTCTTTGTTTTCTTATGCAAAGGTGCTTTGTTCTCTTTATTTGCTGGCTTCGATACTGGCACGTACGTGTCTCGAGCATCACGATTCGGGACTATCTCTCCCAGAGGAAGATGGCCAGGTTCCGGTGCATGCTTGTCTACCCATGGAAAGGGAACGGTGCCTGTCGGCTTGTTGTTTTTGAATTGCGGTGGCATTGCATCATCCGCAGACTGGTTTCGCTTATGCGGCTTCGACATGATGGCTCGAAAGACCGAGGATCTCGCGGGGGCGCGGTGGGCGTCGTCAAAGATCTGCGGACCGGCAATATTGGGGGCCATTGCTTATCCTCTTTGGCCAGCAACTGCAAGCCTGTTAGCAAAACGTCCAGCACCACGGCGCGGGTAGGAGCAGGGTCGTACTTACGGGATCTGTGAATGCAAACAAACGGGGCAAGAAAGAAATAAGCAATCGCCAGCAAGCTAGCAATATCTTGAGAAGGTAGAGGACAATGGAAAAAAGAGAAAACCCAAATCAAATTAAGCAAGAATCGAAGCAGAAAACAAATGCAATGCGAGATCAGAAGGCGAAGAGAACTTGGATGAGAAGGCGAACAAGCCGGGCAGCCGGGGGGGATGATATGAGAAGAAACGACTTGCTGCCAACGGCAACCTTCAAGGATCAAGACTCCACTTGACGACCGGGACAACAGCTAGCGTTGAGGGGCGATCTCTGAGGATCCCTTGGGGTTGGCTGGATCAATTGGAGGGAGGGTAAACAACGTGCGGGCGAGAAGGTTGCGAGGGGCAACGCAGCGGAGCGGGCGGCGCTGGCGGTGAACGTGGACTCAACGAGGAGGGCTGGTTTGGAGAGTTAGACCTCCTCTTTCTGCTTAGATTGATGACATCTTGCATCTCGAGGCCTTTATCTTTGGATGATCATGCATCAACTCATTTCTTTGGGGCATCCTTGCAGTGCTCACGGTTTGTTATGGTGGGGTATGAATCTAGATTGTTTGTATACCCTGGCCATGCTGTGTATATACTTCCGTCATTGTTATTGCAACCGAAGAGCGTTCTCGCTTCTCCTCAAGCATAAACATTGTCAAGTGATAGGTCAGCATGAGAGAGAAATTCAAGAGATGTGTCCCTGTCTAGATTATCGGTGTATCTACCCGTTGCTTGAAGTATACAACCCCTCTGCCTAGAACATTCAGTGGCTAAGCCGTAGGTCATGCATGATAAAGAGCAGCCAAATAGGTATAACTATCCATCTCCTGCTTCAGCTGGAGGCTTTGGAAATAGATGACATTAGCCAGACTGAAAATGTCCAGGCCTAGGGCCATTATGCCATGTTGACTGATCATGCTTGTTAAGTCCGTGTATCCAACTACAAAGAATAAACTTGTGGCCTAGTCCTCGCGTAGTCTGCGGGGATGACCAGTGCCTGAACCACCAACTTCCATTTTGCCCTCTTCTTTCCTGCACAGCTCACTCAACAAACCTGGATGGGCACCTCCCCTTTCCGACATCTTCTGTGGGATTTTGTCTCACCCATGCATCTAAATATGGTCCCTTCAACTTCTCCCCCAGACTATGTTGACCACCATTTTCCGGGTCTGGTGGAACTGCGCCCGCGATCCACCGACTGCCGTTTGCGACGCCCCTCCTTGATAAGGCGATCATTTCAATCTGATCCAGCCTGCAGCACCTTCAAATCAACAGATTGAGAGACGCATGAGCTTACGCTACTAGCACTGGGCAGGTTCCCTGACGTACTGACGTGCGCAGTCAAGATTTCCAGACACGATCAGACCCGCCCGTCAGAGAGCTATTAATAATATTGGCTCCAGGCGCTCGCCGCCCGTAACCATCACGAAAGTCGGGCAGACCCGGACACGCCCTCAAGGTACTCAGCTCTGACTGTCGTCCCGATCCCTTCGATCAGCGATTCGCACCCGACGCTGCAAGAACCTTATTAAGACTTGCATTCCCCCCCCTCAGCGGCTGAGACAGCAAAATCCAGGTGCCGCACCGCCGTCGCCACCATGAACTGCCCCTCGCGAAACGACGATACCCTCGATCACCCCGGCTGGAACCAGAGCCCGCCTCCCTTCAGCCCAGACACTACGACCCGCAATGATTTCAACGGCCTTGCAAACGCGCGAGTGCACCGCAAGCATGCCGCCGGGACAGGGAGCGCCGCCGGCGACGATACCATGGCAATCGATCCGCGACCGCAGAGTTTGGAAACCCAGGATCCAGCAATAGAGAAGCGGCCGGGCGGCGAAGTGACCGTAGCGGCCTCGGGGTGCGAACCACCCTCGAGGACCTGCGGTTCACCTCGCCGTCCTTTCTCTAACTTTTCATTTTCCGCCTCTGCGCGACATTGTGTCCGCAGCCTGGTCAAATTCGGCCGCTTCATCGGGCCTGGATTCCTCATTGCGGTCGCCTATATCGATCCGGGAAACTATGCCACGGATGTCGGTGCCGGCGCACAATTCAAATACGCTCTGCTGTTTATCGTTCTCTTGTCTAATCTCTTTGCAGTGCTTCTACAGTCTCTGTGCATCAAGTTGGGTTCGGTGACAGGTCTCAACCTGGCGGAGAATTGTCGCGAGCATCTCCCCCGATGGCTGGTCATTATACTGTACATCATGGCTGAAGGGGCGATCATTGCTACTGATATTGCAGAGGTGGTCGGTTCTGCGATTGCGCTGAACTTGCTTCTTCATATCCCCCTTGTGGCTGGATGTGCGATCACTCTCGTGGATGTCTTCTTCCTTTTGCTGTTCTGGCGGCCGAATGGGTCGATGTTGGGCTTGCGCCTGTTTGAGTTTTTCGTGATCGCCCTGGTCCTTGGCGTGGTGATTTGCTTTTGCATTCAGCTGTCCCTCATCAAGGACCAATCCGTGGGGGAGGTCTTCAGGGGCTACCTCCCGTCCTCTGCTATTGTGCAATCGGATGGGTAAGTGAGATCATCTTGATATGAGCCTTAGAAAAGGATCGACAGCAGTTTGAGACTAATCAATTGATAGACTTTACCAAAGTTGTGGTATTCTTGGCGCCACAGTCATGCCGCATTCTCTCTTCCTGGGCAGTGGGGTGGTGCAGGCTCGACTCAAAGACTTTGATGTCACCGCAGGATATGTTGAGTCTACCGTGCCGCTGGGAAGCAATGGCGGTCAGTTAGAGTATCGACCAACCCTCCACGCCATTCGCGGGTGCATGAAGTACTCCATAATTGAGCTGGCATTGTCCCTATTTACATTTGCATTGTTCGTCAACAGTGCGATTCTCATCGTTGCAGGGGCCTCCCTCTACGATGTCCCTGGCGGAAGCAGTGCCGACCTGTTCGGTATCCACGACCTGCTTTCCTCATCCATCTCCCCAGCTGCTGGGCTGGTCTTTGCTTTGGCTCTCCTTCTCTCCGGCATCTCGGCCGGTATTGTCTGCACCATGGCTGGCCAAATGGTCAGTGAGGGCATGCTGAACTGGAGCATTCAGCCCTGGCTGCGAAGACTTATTACTCGATGCATCAGCATCATCCCTAGTATCATCATTGCGGCAGCCGTTGGCAAAGAAGGCCTGGACAAGACCCTAACGGCCAGCCAGGTCTGCCTCAGCGTCATCTTGCCTTTCGTCTCTGCCCCGCTCATTTGGTTCACATGTTTTAGTAAATACATGACTGTTCCGACTGAGCAGACAGCCGAAGGCGAAGGTGAAGATGATGTTCGGGTTGAGCAAGTGTCCATGCGCAACCACTGGTTTACCTCTTTAGTTGCCGGGCTCGTATGGCTTCTCATTGCCGTCATGAATGTGGCCTTGCTAGTGTTGGTGGGCATGGGCAAGGCCTAAGCCGAGGAGCATGGACATCTGGTCATGCCTCATCGGCATCGTGTTTTCAAGCACGATTGTATGAGGGCTCGCTTGTTGAGTCCCCTTCACTATTGCATAGAGTATTCTACATTGCATGACCACATAGATAGTCGATAAACTTAGCGCTGCATATGACATTTATGAATGCGTGATATGAGAAAGCCCATCTCGTCTTGACTGAGATATGAGTCCTTGTACAAACTTGAACGAAAACTAGAGAAACAACTCCAAAAGAAGAAACTCCTGCCCCCATCAACGAGGTCCTTCACGATGGGATCAAACCCCAATTATATTACCCAATTCCACCAGCAGCCTCCTTAACCTTGGCCTGCTCAGGCGGCTCATCAATAAACTGCGGCGGCGCAACCTCATCCTGCAAGAAACTCGGCACCGCATCCGCCCCCATCTCGGCCTCAAACATGGACTCCTCTCCCAACGCCTCCAGCTCCGCATCAAGATCAGCCTCATCCACCTCCTCTGGCAAATCATACGCCCGCGAGATACTCTCCTGAATCTCATTGCCCACCTCCATCAAATCGGCCATTTCATCCTGCATCTGCTCGATCTTATCGATGTCGACCTTGCCGTACTGCTTCTTCAACTCCTTGGTCGTAGTTTTCATGGCGTCGACGGTGGTCATCACGTTCTTGAGGTTATCCTGCATCATGCCGGCTTGCTCCATGTTCCAGGATTGCTGGGAGAGTTGGTCACGCTGGGCTTCGTATTGTTTACGCCGTTGGAGGACTTTGAGGGCCTTTTGGCGGAGGGCGTTTTTGCCCGGGCCGTCGCGCATTTTGGAGAGTTTGGCTTGGTAGGCGGAGAGTTCGGAGTTGAGGGCGGTTAGTTTGACGTCGATGCTGGAGACGCGGTCGTCGAGCTGGGTAGTTGGGGTTAATTTTTGAGGGCATCTTCAAGTGGGGGGTGGCGATATTATCCTAGGTGGAAGTGGTTTTATGTACCTTGGAAATTGCACCGTCTAGAGTGGGCTTGGGAGCCGCACTCTTGGTGCCGAAGAGGCGATTCATGGTGGTTGTAGGCCAGCCCAGGGAGGGGCAAGACGGAGGAGGAAATGATAGTGCTGGTGGGAGAAGCCCTCGTTCTGCTGCCTAGCAGGTGGTCAGAGTGACCAGGCGTCACAGAGAAGTGTGGCTAGTGAGCTATATCGATGGCGTACAGAAGTGAGAGTATGGTCGTTGTCTGGACAGCTAGAACCCGTACACTCCGTGCACAGGCACCAATAATGCGATGATAATGCGGAGACCCGACGTCAGTGGGGCCTTGGGGCCTGAGGAATCAGCTCCATCGAGGAATAGACACGTGATCTGAAGCAGTGCGGGATCTAGTGGCCTTACGAAATGGGGCATCCAAGCTAACGTTAAGTTAGAGATTAATAATGACACGATCACGTTCGAGACGTTAGCTATAAACTCCACGTTCTTATATCCAAGACATGTCTCCGTCATGATGTGGTAACCGTTGAGTTCCCTATTCACATGTTCCTCATGTTTTCTGAGTACAAGTCTCGGTTACATCTAGTTTTAGTGTCTGTCCGCTGATATATACACGCCGTGCGGACACTCCCAATGACTAGATCACGACCAGTCTGCTGGGACCATTCAACATCGTCAGCCGATATGCGGGCGTTCGGGCCATTGGATAATGAAGGATGACGGATTTCCGGGGACTCTGCGCCCTGTGCAGTGCCGCAGATAGCGCCAACGAGCATGTTAGACCGTGTACAGCCCATGGAGTACGGATCTCCCTGCCCATCGAGCCTGACCCAGATGACCGGATGCTGAAACGAGATCGTGGACTGCGACAAAATCCATCCGGCTGGATCTATTGACAATCTCGGCGACTTCCTAGAAACCCCGTCTCTGGTGTCATTTTTAATGAATAGACCTTTCTTGGGGGAGACGAGTATACATTATTTCATGTATTCTGGTCGCGAGATTTCCTTCGAGGCGGCAAGGGATATAGTGGTGTCTCATCAGCTATACTTTAAAAGGCAAGTTGAACAAAATGGCCAGGAATATCTAGAAAGGGGGTTCAAAGGATATTCAGAAAGAGCCGTTAAAAATATAAAATCGAGGCAGATTTAGGTGGCCTTTTTTCTTGGTCCCTGGTCTCCGACTTTGGCACTGTCACTGTACCATCATTCTTGTCTCGGATAATTGATAGTAAACTGTGCAAGGGCTCAAGGGAACAGATCAGACCTGTTCTATATAAGAAAAGACCAAAGTAAATGCATGAAGAATGGCTTTGTGCTTATCGTAGCTGGTCGGCAGTGTGATCCCCCGCCTTGGGGCCTTTTGGGTACACGAGGCATCGTCCTTTTGAGTCCAGGGTAGGGCAACCAAGTCGGGAACCGAGTCGATGACTGATGATGATTACCACCACCCCACGGGACTGTGTGTGATCCCCGACTGTTGTACTCGACTCTGAACCACTCGGTAATAACCCTTCTGCTCCAACTCTCTCTCGATTGGTTCCTCTGATCCTATCCTATTGACTCGCTCTCGTCTCTCCTTGATGGACCGGCGTTGAGTCCTACATTCCCGCCCGCATTTTGGCTCTCTCCCGTTTCTTCTCCTTCCACCATCTTCCCCCCACCCCCCAATCCAACCCACGGGAGGTCCGTTAGCCTGCCCTCTTCCTCTTCGTCACTCTCAGATTCTTGAAGGTACGTGGCCATCCAAACCAGCCTCGACTTCCGCTACCCCCTCCCCACCCGGATCGGGCTTGTTTGCCTATTTGCCAAGGCCTCGTCTCGTGGGGCCCTTATCCCCGTGCAAAAGATCCAGCCGCCTGCCGGTGCACACACCATCAGCTCCGTGATTGATGCCACCAGCCCGTGATCGCTAACCTCCATACTACTCCAGCGCCGGGTTCGCTTCGGCCCAGATTGCGATCCTACTTCAATCTCCTCCCCGGGACCCCGGCGATCGAGATATTCCACCTCTCGACCCCACTGGACCTCACTGCGACCACCTCTTCTGTGTGGACACACTCGGTGTATCGCCCTGCTGGCGGGAACCCCCTCCTCCTCCGTCTCTCCCTTCCACACCCCCTCGTGTACCATAGATCGCTCCGTTACGATATTCCGGAGACCGACGAAACGAGCTATCCCATGAATCGTGTGCCCCGGCTATATACTCCATCATGTTCTGGCGTTTTGGGGGATATGCGAGTATCTCCACCATCGATACACTTCTTGACAAACCCGAAGTCACCCTCGAGGACCTACTGGATGAGCCGGAGATCATCCAGGAACTGAAACAGCATAATACAAAACTCATAGAATACCTGCGCGAGGATCATGTCTTGAAACGGCTTATGGACTATGTCACCGCACCGAGCTTGGTGAATGATGACGAAGAAAATGATGACGACGATTCCCACGAAAAGGATGCCTCTTCGGCTCAAGGCGCCACGGCTGCGCCGACAGAAAAATTAGATGCTGAGGATAAGGACGAAAAGGCCGAGAAGGAGTCTGACCCATTGAAGGATGTTCTGGACCCGGAAGACTTGGAAAAGGTCGAGAAGACTCGTCTGAAGCATGCCTATGTGGCCTGCGAGATTCTTTCCTCGGAGACCTGGTCGATCTTGGAGTCCATGATGGCCAACCCCGCCTACCTGCGCGACTTCTGGGGCTTCCTGCGGAGACCTCCTCCATTGGACTCCCTCCAGGCTAGCTACTTTACCAAAGTGAACGAGACCCTACTTGATAAGAAGACGGAGGAGATGCTAGAGTTTTTGAAGTCGCTGGACGGAATTGTGGCCGCACTGCTACAGCACGTGGATAATCCCATGGTCATGGACCTCCTGCTGAAGATCATCAGCTTGGAGAAGGCCGAGGGCGCCCAAGGCACGGTGGACTGGCTGCAGTCGCAGGACTTGATTCCGAGCCTCCTTTCATTCCTGTCTCCAGAGCATCCAGGTTCTGTGCAAACATCGGCTGGTGACTTCTTGAAGGCGATCATTACCATCTCCGCAAATGCGACTCCAAATGACCAGTCATGCATTGGCCCTAACAGCCTCACCCGCCAACTCGTCTCGCCCGAACGCATGCAGCAACTCATCACTGCGATGCTGAAGGGCGGCAACCCGTTGACCGTGGGTGTAGGCATCGTGATCGAAGTCATTCGGAAGAATAACTCCGACTATGACCCAGAGCAGATGGGTGGCCCTGATTCCATACCCACCCCTTACGATCCAATCTATCTCGGACACCTACTTCGCCTCTTTGCGCAGCATATCCCCGATTTTATGGCTCTTATACAAAGTTCCAAGCATGCTGTACACGACGGTACTTCACTGAAGTCTGTCGACAGGGGTCGCTTGAACTCCGCGTGGGGCGCCAGTATTGAGCCTCTTGGCTTCGACAGGTTCAAGACGTGTGAGCTGATGGCGGAACTGCTGCACTGCAGTAACATGGGTCTTCTGAACGAGCCGGGTAGCGAGGACTATGTCCGGCATCGCAACGAGGAGCGCGACAGGCTGATCCGTGACGGTGTCTTCAACCCTCAGCGGGACGAGCAGTCGGGCATGGATTACAATGATACCACTGCTGATTTCACTAATGGGTCGGTCATGGACTCTGGGTCGCCCGAAGCTCTTAAAGCTCGAGTTGTCGAGGACGAGGGCTTCGAGGACGTTGGTGCCTCTGGTGTTCTTGTTGGCGAGAAGAGCGATGAGAAGGAACCCAACCCGCAATCAGAGCCGCATCAGGCCTCTGAGCCGAAAACTGAGCCCGCTGTAGAAACACCGAAGAGAGAAGCAGACATCCCATCATCGCCAAAGACCCCAACGACCGGTCTGACTGACCAAGTTGGTGGTATGGATCTTGGAGAGCAATCCCCACAGGAGCAGCAAGCATCTAAAGAAAAGGAAGAGGAGGACGTGCCTGTTACTTCGCAGCCAGAAGATGTTCCCCCTCCACTTTTTGCGGCGAAGGAGTTGGAGCCAGAGTCTACTACCGAAGCAGCAGGCGCTGTTGAGACAACTCAAGAAGCCCAACCATCCAATGATGGTGGCGCTGAGGATCCTGCTGAGCAGTACATTCAGTATGACACGGACGGTCGTCCCGTGGTTGGTGATTACTTGAAGATCATGTTTGTCGAGAACAAAGTGGTGCCAACCATTTTGGTATGTTCACCCAATTTTTTTCCTCTTACGGGAGTTTCCTGCTAACAGAGTCTAGGGCTTCTTCTTCCGGTTCCCCTGGAATAACTTCCTTCATAATGTTGTATATGACGTGGTCCAGCAGGTCTTTAACGGCCCTATGGAGCGTGGATACAACCGAGCCTTGGCCATTAATGTTTTTGAGACCGGTCAAATCACGAATGCCATTGTTGAAGGCCAAAGACGCAGCGACGAGGTCCAGCACACCAAGCAGATTCGCCTTGGCTACATGGGCCACTTGACCCTCGTCGCCGAGGAGGTCGTCAAGTTCAGCGAGCGTCACCCGCCAGAGTTGCTCTCACGATCTGTTATGGAGTCTGTCCTGAACCCGGAATGGATTGACTACGTCGAGCAAACCCTTTCCGAAACACGGGAACGTGATAACGCCATCTTGGGCGGTGTACGGCCGGATATGGCCGTTGGGCCTCGCCAGACTGCGATGAGCAATTCCACCTCCAACCAAGGCTTCAGCAACTCCTCCGCACTGGCTGATGCCGGGCTGAATGGCGGAATTGGCGGTTCAGCTTTCCAGGGCTTTGAAATCAACCAGGGTAGCGTTTCCGTGGGAGCGTTTGGCGGTGGTGGTACTTCACTTTTGAGTGGCTTTGCCAGCTCGAGTGACGATGAGGATGAAGAGATGGAAGACCAGGAAGAGCGAGATGCTGGCGGTGCCGACTACGGCGAAATCGAGAATGTGGGTAACAGCCTTTCGGCAGACGAGACATGACCGTCGCACGCGAGCTCCATCTTTCACTTTTGCATCTTCCCTTCTCTTATGATCATGATATGTGATCCGCGGATGAGGCCTGTTCGGGAAGGATGGTGAGAGGTTCGATGAGGAGCAAAGAGTTTGTGCAGCCCTGCAGTGATTGGTTTCGCACTTGGGCTTTGCTACCGAAGATAACTCTTTCTGCCTCCCTTCCCGGCTCTACCTCCTCTGCTTAGTCTGAGAATTCTTTGTCCTGTCTCTGGTCGATGCGAGATCTCCTCGATGTGATATTCTTCCCCTCAGGCCTTGATTCCCCACTCCGGACGTGATACTATTGATCCCCTGTTCCCTTGTACCTGGTTCACTACTGTTACACGCACAGCTTGCTTACATGCCGAGATTGTTATTGAGTCACGGACCCTTGTCATACTACATCGTCTTACAGTATCCTTTTGAATGGTCTATCATTTGCTGACATATACCTTCGCAGGTATCTGAGAACTCTACCAGCCAGCCGATTCCCATTCTCCCTCCACCTCCTGCACCGCTGAGTATGGGTCCCTCTAGAGCTCGGCGTCAGCTGGCAGCACGGCTTGCGGCCCAGAAACAGCAAGCAGCAGAAAATGCAGACGTCGGAGAGGAAGGAAATGCCGAAGGTGAAGGTCGGGAGTGGTCCTCCAACCCCTTTATCATTGCAGGAATTGACGATGATGCCGAAGGTGGCAACTCGGCGTTCCCCAACACCGATTTCGCGTCCAATGCGGACCAGACATTCTCCTCCCCGTTCCCCGAATCCGGATTCAGTCCGCCTGACTCGCTATCCACCAACTCCTCGGACGAGGAAGGTGATCGCGCGGAAGGTGTGCGACGACGCGTTCGTGTCCCCCTCGAAGTCGAGGAAGATGACGACGACGAGATGGGTGAGATGGTTGGACCCAGTGCCAGTGGTTTGGTTGATTCGGATGACGAAGATGAAGCCATCATCAACGAATCACTGGGCTACTCCAACCTCCCCGGCCAGACACGATACAGCGGTTTCCGCCGGCCACGGGCTGTCAGTTCCCACTTCGACGATGACCAAGACGATAGCAGTGACGGTGAAGATGACGGCTTGGTAGAGATCCTTGTCCCTGGCCGCAAATCATCAACCTCGAACTAGGCCGGGCTTCCAATTTTCAAATCTGATTCCCCTTTCGCGTCTCACGTCATTCTGCAGTTTGCACCCATCATTTTTGCTTTTGTTTGTTTCCTGCTGGCATACGCCTGCAACGATGTCCCTTGATAAATGCCCCTTCCATTCAGAAAGAAAAGGATATTTTCCCCTTGGACGAGTTTTTCCTATTCGCGTTTTCTACCTCGTGCTTTTTTCTTCCTCGTTCTGTTTCTTGTTTTTCGCTCGTCCGGGGATGCTTACATCCATGCTGCTCGCCGTGGCATGGCATTTGTATATATGTTTCCATCTTCTGGTTCATCTGGGGGAGGGCTGCATTATGATGATTCATTTTACTTGTTTTCCGAGATCGCAAGTCCGCATGGGGTGAGAGCTTGTATCGTGCTTTTTTTGAGCCGTCGCATGCATTGGCGGGTGGGGGCGAGTCTGATTGTTTTCCGACGGAGGTGGATGATGATGCCCTTGTATGATAGTTGAAATAGAGAAGTCAATTGATGCTTTATTCATGAGATACTGGTTGCATACAATGCTTGTAGTGGTGCCTATCTGCGATTCCATATGGTGCGGTGTCCACATACGGTCAGCAGCTGACAGAATGTAGACAAATTTAATTTCCGACCTCTACAGTGATTGAAGAGCTTCTATTGTTCCCTTACAATCAGATAGCTTGACTTTTTGGGCTGGATACATCTTGCTGGACATACTGCGTGTTGTGGCCCGTCGAGAACTGTATCGGGAAATAAAGTGGGCCCGATCACTCACCATCCCGCCGAATCTTTTTGACAAGCAATGATATCACTGTCTTTCGTCTCAGCCCTATAATCTATCTTATACGTGGTTGACACGTACCTAAGTCGAGAATATTCAACGGCGAGGCCTTGACAGCATGGCGCCATCTACTGAGTAAGCGGTTCAAATTTGCCCATCCCTGGCCTATCACTCCACAGTGGTCTATACCAGAGCCTCCAGCAACACCAGAGTAACCAAGCATCGCAGGCAAGACAGCGGCCACTCTCTGCAAGCCCATATGGAGCTTGTAGACTGGGTCATCAGTCAAGGCGGCTCTCTCAATGACTGCGTCCGCGTTGCGCAGGATGCCTCGCGCGGGGTCCACATTCAAGTCAAAGGCGACTGGCCCCAACCCATCAGCAAGGAAACCAAAGTCCTCAGCACACCCATAGGCGCAACAATGTCCTACTTTAATGCTATTGGATTCCAAACACCGCAGGCGACCTTCTCCAAACATGGCGTTGAGCTGCCCCAGGCGTTTATTGATGCCGTGGCAGTCGAGGAGACGTGCACTTTCTTCCTGATGGGCCAGTTCCTGCGTGGTCCACAGGGCTTTTGGTATCCGTATTTGCGAACTCTGCCGCAGCCTGGTGAGTTGAATACACCGCTTTTCTTTGGAGAGGAGGATGTGGATTGGATTCAAGGGACTGGTATTCCGGAGGCGGCTGTGCAGAGGTATCAGGTTTGGGATGAGAGGTATGAGCAGTGTATGTCTAAGTTGGAGGAGGCTGGGTTTGAGGGACTCGAGGAGTATACGTGGTAAGTTAATATCTGATCTGTGATCGTATGAAGATTGGGTGTTTAATTGGGTCTACTTGAACAGGGATCTGTATTTGTGGGCATCGACCATTATCTCCTCTCGAGCATTTTCGCCCAAGGTTCTCTCTAGTGTCGTTGAGACGTCTAAGCTTGAGGAGGATAGTGGAGTGTCAGTACTGCTGCCACTTATTGATCTCCCCAATCACCGTCCGCTGGCCAAGGTTGAGTGGCGGGCAGGTTCTTCAGATATTGGGATGGTCGTTTTGGAGGAGGTTGGTCCAGGCCACGAGATTTCAAACAACTATGGACCTCGGAACAACGAACAATGTACGTGAATTTTTCTCTTTACGGTTAAAGCCAGCAAGCAGTATGCTGATACAGAACAGTACTGATGAACTATGGCTTCTGTCTCCCCAACAACCCAACGGACTACCGCATCATCAAACTGGGTGTGAAGCCAGATAGCAATCTCAGCAAAGCCAAGAACCACCAAATCGAGCTGTTCCCCGAGGTGGCCAACAACAAGGAAGATCATTACTACATCTTCAATGTCTTCTACCCACTCCTCGGGCCTGATACTGCCATGGAGCACTCTATCTTCTCACCAGCCCTTTTCAACTCCCTGACCATTATGCATGCCAACGAGCGCGAGCGCAAACAGATTCAAATCACCGAATCAGCCATATCAATCCCCCCTAGCCTACGGAAATGGCCACAGCACTCTGGCAGCACTATCTCAGATCAGCTTCGAGTTGATTTCCCACATCATGATGCTGGAAGCCACCGGACAGGACCGCCAGCTACAGCCCGCGAACTTGAAACAGACCTATGCCCAGATATACCGCAACGGCCTGCTTACGCTTGACAAGGCCGCGCTGGTCATCGCGACATGGACTCTTGCCCGGGCGCGTGATCATAACCGTGGTGAAAGCTGGGAGGATATCAAGACTCTATTGAATGAGCATATGTTACAGATTCCGGAGGGACACTTCTCGGTCGAGACACTCTCTAGGATCCGTGTGCGGATCTTGGAGCGGGAATCACTACTCAAAAAGAATGGAGAGCTATTCCGCCTAGGAGAGCTATTCAGTCTACTACCGGCTGATATGCAAGCGGCGAGTCGGGAGTGCTTTAACCATGTGCTTGCACAAGCTGGCCAGCAGGTTTCTTCGTTACAGACCAACCCGGAGGCTCTATTTGCTCTGGTTCTTTGCTTGTTGGTTGCAACTGGGCGATCGGCTCAAGCACGACCAGAGTTGTCGTCTCGTCTGACTCGATGGGTGGACTTCCTAGTTGAGCAGTATCCGATGTTGACTGTCCCATCAGTCGCCAGTGACACTGTTGATCAATTGATCCAATTCGTCCAGAGTGAGCAAGCTCAGACATGGACAGCTCAAGATGGAGTTCATTGGCTGTCTGAAGACAGTGGGTGGCTGGATTCGAATTGGCTAAAATGGGCGTATACTGTGGCAGAGGCGGAGATGGTGTTGATCCCCCACGAGCCGCTGCAAGTGTTAGTGACGGAGAACCCAGGCTTGCCTAAGCTGGGATGTTTGTACGTGCCGCAAGAGTAGTGACCGAAGACTATGACTTAAGAGGAGATTAAGAGTTAATTCAAAAGAGCAATATAAAATGTCCTGAAATGTGCTAAAAAGGAACTTGCGTCATGACCGAATCGGGATGAATCGCTGACTCAGCATCCAGCACGCACCACCACGTGACTGTCTTCCAATCAGCGCTCACATAATGGCGGATCGTTCAGCAAGCGCAGGAATTGCCGTGAGCTCCCCCTTCCCTTCTCTCCAGAGAACCGCTTGATCCTCTCCACGCCATTGTCCCAATCCGCCACCATGATATCTCGAGCGGCGGCTCCCTCCACCTCCACCCTCGCCTCCCTCTCGAGCCGCTCCCTCCGCGCCCAGGGGGCGGCCGCCCGCTCGTTCGCTACGGTGCAGGAGGCTCCTCCCGTCAAGCACTATGGTGGGCTCCGGGACCAGGACCGCATCTTCACCAACCTTTACGGTCACCACAGCCCCGATTTGAAGTCGTCTATGAAGTATGGTGGTGATTGGCACCGGACGAAGGATATCGTGCTCAAGGGCGACGATTGGGTGCGTTTCTGTCTTGCTTGTTTCGGAGGGCGGGTGCGCTCGGCGACGTGGTACTCGGTTTTACTGACATTGTGTGTTTCTTGAAAACAGCTCATCTCCGAGATCAAGGCGTCTGGCCTGCGTGGTCGTGGTGGTGCTGGTTTCCCTTCCGGACTGAAATATGTAAGTGGGATGGATTGAACCCAGACCCAATTGAGGTGCTGGTGATAGTGGGCGTATGATGGCCCTTATGTGGACGTGTTTCTAACCGGATGATTCTCTTCGTTACGATATAGTCGTTCATGAACACCAAGGACTGGGACAAGGACCCCCGCCCCCGCTACCTGGTCGTCAATGCCGACGAGGGCGAGCCTGGTACCTGCAAGGACCGCGAGATTATGCGCAAGGACCCCCACAAGCTCATTGAGGGCTGCTTGGTCGTTGGCCGCTCCATGAACGCTAATGCCGCCTACATCTACATCCGTGGCGAGTTCTACGAGGAGGCCACCGTTCTCCAGCAGGCTATCAACGAGGCCTATGCCGCGGGCTACATCGGCAAGAACGCGTGCGGCACCGGTTACGATTTCGACGTCTACATCCACCGCGGAATGGGTGCCTATATTTGCGGCGAGGAGACCTCGCTCATTGAGTCCATTGAGGGCAAGGCCGGCAAGCCCCGCCTGAAGCCTCCATTCCCCGCCGCCGTCGGTCTGTTCGGCTGCCCCAGTACCGTCACCAACGTCGAGACCGTCGCCGTCGTCCCCACCATCGTTCGCCGCGGTGCCAGCTGGTTCTCGTCCTTCGGCCGTGAGCGCAACGCCGGTACCAAGCTGTTCTGTATCTCCGGCCACGTCAACAACCCCGCTACCGTCGAGGAGGAGATGTCCATCTCACTGCGCGACCTGATTGAGAAGCACTGTGGAGGTGTCCGTGGTGGCTGGGACAACCTGTTGGCTGTCATTCCCGGTGGTTCCTCGACCCCCGTGATTCCCAAGTCCGTCGCCGACAACCAGCTGATGGACTTCGACGCCTTGAAGGACTCCCAGTCCGGTCTGGGTACTGCGGCCGTCATTGTCATGGACAAGTCCACCGATATCGTCCGCGCCATCTCCCGTCTCTCCACCTTCTACAAGCACGAGTCCTGCGGTCAGTGCACCCCCTGCCGTGAGGGTAGCAAGTGGACCATGCAGATGATGCAGCGCATGGAGACCGGTAACGCCCGTGAGCGCGAGATCGATATGCTCCAGGAGCTCACCAAGCAGGTTGAGGGCCACACCATCTGCGCTCTGGGTGAGGCCTTTGCATGGCCCATCCAGGGTTTGATCCGCCACTTCCGTCCCGAGCTGGAGGCTCGCATCCGCCAGTACGAGAAGGAGATTGGTGGTGCTCCCTTCGCTGGTGGCTGGAAGCCTTCTTCCCGTGCTGAGGGCAAGCTCATCTCCCCCGGCATGTAAACTGACCAAAAAAGAACGCAATATCCTCCACCTCTGCCTCTTTCATACCCTCAACCCATCTTGTTTCTCCAAAATGATGCAGGAACGGATCCGGTATTCTTTTCAAAGAACTAGATCTCTTTTTTTTTTTTTGGATCTCTCGCTTCTTTGCTGGCTGGTAAATAGTTCTCATTGTTGAGTACCCGGCTGGTGAAGATTGTGACGAGGTTGTCTCTACTATTTTCCTATATCTCTTCCCTGTTCGATCCCCTTTCTGTCGCGCCTAGGTCTCTTTCCTTCCATGTACAGTCGGTAGCAAATTGATGCATTTTATGTCTTCCCTGTTGTTCGTCAAGTAGTAGAGTGAAGAATTTCATTGAAAAAATTCATTAAAACATGGGTGCTAAGCATACAGATGTAAGCAATATTTGGATAGTTCTGCCCCCAGTAGCATCTCAGACCCGAAGCAAATCCCGCCAGAAAGCAGAGCAAATCAGCAGAGCTTCGAGTCACCGCAGTGACGAGCACTGTGACTTAAACATCTACCCGACAAGAATTCTCACTTGTCTTCCGCATTGAGCTCGACATTCTTATCCTCACCTCGTGTCCCCATCTCTATGCCAGCCTGGGCCTCGAGATCGGCCTGCTCAGTTTGCGGAGTCTTCTTTCGCTCATTGTCATCAAGCCGAGTTTGTCTCCAGCGCATGCCATACAGATACTCGACCCAAAGCAAGGCCATAGACACAGCCATGCACAAGCCTAGGAAGGTAAAAGTCCACCCCCAACCCATACCCTCCAACATCTGATCAATCACCGCCGCCCCGATAGCCCCCAGCCAGCAGCGCACGAGGTTGCAGGCCGCAGCGGCGGTAGCAGCACGGTCTGGGAACAGGTCTACCAGCAAGGTGTTGAGGGTATTCAGGGAGGCGATGAAGCAGAAGCCGATTATGAATTGTAGGACGAGGGGGGCTGCTAGGCTGGTTTGTTGTTGTAGGGTCCATCCGTATGGAATGAACGCTGCACATCCGACGGCCATGAGTGGGAAGACGCATTGAAGACGAGCCCGCTCGATAGGGTAGTTGCGGAGATCGTCGCCTCTCCTGCGGTTGACAGGGAACCGGAGCTTGCGGGCAATACGCTTGTAGTTGTAGTCGACTAGTTTGCCATTTAGAATGGCACTGATACAGGCGCTGATGCCGAGAGGACTATAATATATACACGTCAAGTTAGTTTTGGGTCTTCATAGTCATGTAATCAGATGGGATCGAACTGACAGGAAACAAAGGCCAACCTGAAGCTCATTGAAACCGTAAAGCCGGGGGAACAGATTGGGCGTGCTAGTGAGCAGGGCGACATTGCCGAACATGACCAGTCCAACATAAGAAATGATGATCAAGGCATCTTTCTCCAACAAGATAGCAAATGAGGCGAGCGGATTCGGGAATTTGAGCTTTGACGAGCGCGGCCGATGCTCAGATTGCTCTTGATTTGTCCGATTTGCTCTCCTCCGTCTGAATTGTCGAGTAGACAGATACTGGACCAATGACATCCGCCACCACTCCCTTGGTGGGAGGCTGCCATCTCCAACGATTGTCCGCGCTGTCTCCGGCATAGCAATCATGTAAATGAGAAGATATCCTCCGCTCACGATGACAAGGAACCAGAACACGCTGCGCCAGCCGAGGAATCGAGATAGTAGACCGCCGATGACAGGACCAAGTGCCGGCGCAACCATGACTCCTGCAGACATGGGCCCGATGTACTTTCCACGCTCGGCGGGAGTCGCAATGTCGGCGATGACCCCATATCCAAAGGCGACAGTACCGCTGCTGCCGGCGCTCTGAATGCAGCGAAGCACCAATAACGCGGCGAAACTGTTTTGTACCGCGAGACCGATGTTGGCAGCTGTGTAGATGGCGAAGGCGATGATGTATGCCGGGCGACGACCGCCATTGTCTGCAAAGGTACCCATGAAGCTAGGCGCAAGGCCTTGGAGGATCATGTAGGTGGTGATAGTCAGATTGACCAGTGCAGTGGTGAGGTGGTAGTTCTTGATGAGGGTGGGCATGACGGGATAGTAGATTTGACCAGAGAGAGGAGAGAAGAACGATGCCAGAGTTACCATCACGACAATGAAGATCTTCTGGTACTTGCCAAACGCTGAATGAGCTGCCCCATCGTCTTGTCCTGCCCCAGACATCTCCAGATGAGCTCCTATGTCCGTGTGGTCTCCATCACTGGCGGCGGCCGTTCGGTTAGGCCGATTGTTGTTGGGTCGACCGAACAGGGACTCCATTGACCTCGATCTATGGCGCGCATAAGCACTGGGTAGGCGAGGCTGGGGAAGATGAGCATTGGAGGGATGATACCGGGCATGAGTGGGTACATGAAAGCGCAGAGTCCGTTTCGAAGCGATCTTGTCCATGATGCTCTCGAGTCCCGAAGGGCTCAATCGCGGAATACACCGATGGAAGGCACAGGAAATGAGATATGACAGCGTCTCAGTGTAGGGGAAGATTTATTAACACGAATGACGAAGAAATAAAACGTTGGAATGAATCACTTGCCTTGTTTTCGTGGTTCAGGCCAAAAGGGAGCACTGGACATCGACGACTAAGCGATCTACGCCCCGCCTGCCTAAGTCTGCAATTTCTAGATCAGACTCAAGAATTCAAAAGACGTGTGAATTGCGCCTTCCTAGCGCCGGTAAATAGCTTCCCGGGCCAGTGCAGCTGTAGGATAAAAGAATGGGCTGTGTACCCAATCATGCAGTCGCCGTCGGTGACATGCGAGAACCGATCGTAACACAGTATAACGGGAAGTATGAAAGGTCAGAGATTGATTCAGATCTGGGGATAGATCTATCTTGAGATTCAACAGGCTCGGATGATAGACTGATGCTGTAGGATACTCAGTAATTGGCCTTGTTGTAGTAGTCAATCTTACCAAGTCGCGGGCTCTGTGCTGTTTGTGATAGCACAGTTGTTGTCTCCAGAGACAATGGAGCTCTAAAGATGTATGAATTGCTTTCTGAGATGTAGCTTGAGGAGACTGGGGCTTCCCCATTAAACAAGGACGAGCAGGAAAGGAGGAGAAGTAGACAGAGGAAAGAATGCTTTATGGTGATTGCCTCATACAAATCTTATACTTTCCCAGCCAATGAGCGGGATGCCGGTCCCGGTGCCTGAACCGGCATGGCTCGTACAGTGGAAGTTCAAAAGTTTGAAACCAGAGACCAAGGAAACAGATCCATCTAAATACGTTTCGACTTTGCATTTTGATGTGATGATGATTCTACGCCAGTAACACTTATACTTGACATGTCAAGGATCTACAATAAGCCAGCTATGCCACTAAGCAGTGTCCATTCAATTGATAAAGTACAGTACAGTCATGTCGGGTTCAGATCACACAAAAGAGAAAGTAGCAAGAAAAGACATAGGGAAAGGGAATTAAACGCTGAACCGAGGGAACCATGCGAGCATACAATCAAACGCGTAGATGGTCATGCATCTTGAGAAACAGTTTTTCAGCCTTTCTGCCATTCTGTTGAATGGCCACCAGAATCACCGAAGGCACCTTCATGTCCTCTATTGGCCACCCGCCATGATGATTCCGTAATAGCGACGACTCATCTCCGCTGTCTGCAGGACACGCGCGTCGCCGTTCAGGGGGAGACTGAGAATAGCAGACGACTCGACAGACTGGAAAGTACAGTTAGCAAAAGCATTGTAAATAGAGAAGTTAGCGGGAAGACAAACATGAACATCCTCGTGGGTAATCCATCCAGCAACAGTGCGGCTCATCTCCTTGAAAGCCACGCTCTCCTCCAATCCCTGCATACCCTTGGGATTACGGGTACGCTCGCCCATATCGACAAGAGCATTCACAAGTCGGCTTAGGCGAGTCGGGTCACGCCGGCCACGGGGCGCAGTAGCCAAGCGCAAGAAATCTTCGTAAATGCCACCGCCAGAAGCCCAGCCGCGCATCTTGCGCTCGGGGCCGTCACCAAAGCCGGAGACCAGTCGCTCGAGCGTGTGGTAGTCACGTGAGATGACGGCGGTAGGGCCGACGATACTACAGAAGGTGGTGTGGGCGTCATTCCAGTGTTTGCCACGGATGAGACAATCAACCTCGCGAGCAGCGTCACCACAGTCGCGGGCGTGCAGAGCCTTGGCAACCCAGATCCAAGCTTCGGGAAGCTGGAGCTCAGCGGTAAGGTTCAGCCAGGCAGGATCGGCAGTCGATCCATCCTCAGCAGTGGGGTTGGGGAGAGTGGCACCGAAGCGAGCAAGGACATCCTGAACAGCACGCTTGCGATCTTCAGCCTGCGAGAGATGTAGAAGGACAAAGAGCGCCGGGGCAAGCTCTCCACCAGCGACAATCTCGGAAGCGTAGTCCCAGACAAGATGGTCAACTTGGGTCTGATCAACCTGAACAGCTTCGTTCTGCCCAATAACAGCGGCAAGAACATGATGAAGCTGGAAGGAAAGACGGTTCGTGAGACGATCACCCGCCACCGACTCTGGCAGCAGAGCCGCAGGCAGCTGGACAGGCGGAACGTTGGCGCGGCCAGAAGCCGCCGAGTACGCCTTCAGAAGAACCCACAAGGGAGACTCACGACCCAGGGTATCCGAACCAGGCTGCAAAGTTGCGCGGGTGCTAGCGTGGCGAGAAGGATAGGGGAAAGCAGGCTCAAGTCCAGTAGCGATATCATCGAGGAACTTGGAAACAGCAGCCTCAATCGGCTCGTCCTCATTAGTTCCGTACCAGAGACGAAGACCAAACGCCTGGAACCAATCAAGCTCGAAACGCTCGGTGAAGGAAAAGGAAGAAGCCCGGTCCTCAAGCGCACCTCCCGATTTGCCTTCACTCCGAAGGCCATTACCAGCAGCGAGCTCGTAGAGAGCACGGATTGGCTCGCTCATCTCCGACAAAACGTTATTCTGGCGCCAGACGTCGATCTGACTCGAAATGTCGGACCGCGAGGTAGCATCGCGGCCAATCTGTGCGACCACGGTGGCCAAGTGCAAATTTTGACTGTCAACCAATGTCTTGCAGGCCTCGTCGACACGGTGCGAGCAAAGCAGGTGGACAGCTCGCTCCTCGGGCGAGCGAATGGCATCGAGAGTGTGAGCGTGTCGTCCACGAATAACGGATTCCCAAAGACGAGTCAACCGGTCCTTCTTAATTCGGTGGGCAAACTTTGCCCGCAATTGTGGTGGTACGCTGGCGGAAATGTCATCCTCGATTTCGTCATTGAACAAGATATGGGCCAGCTGCCACACCAATCGCTCCTCGTCTTGAGCCGGGGCAAGGGCAAATTGACGGAGGTCAGCCTTGGCCATGCGGACCCGGGGAGTGCCGTCAACACGTTGGATCGCGGACTGCTTCCTTTGTACGTCAAGCAAGTTGTTTGACTACGTAATCAAGGGTCAGCTTTGGCTCCGTCGTCGGAGAATTACGCTATACATACAGTGCGGGACTGGCTGTACTGCAACACAGCAACATCTCGCCCTTCGCTGAAGACAGAAAAACGCTCCTTCCAGCGTTGATTGCTCTCAGACAAAGGTCCGGTAATGTCATTCTTGGCGCAAACGATCGAATCCATAGGACCCCAGCGAGGCTTGAAAGAGTCGTGGAAAGCAGCATCGGTCTTGTCCATTTGCGTCGAATCGCCGGCGAAGGTCTTGGGTTGCTTGTTGTAAGGCCACTGTACAAGAGAAGAGAAAATTTTAGCAAAGAGTGTCTCAAATTTGGTCAACTATCTGGCGGGGGAATTCAGTGCTAGATACATGATATTGTGGGATACAGGCTAATGTGTGCAGGGAATGCGAAAGATAATCACAAATGCAGGTTGTGCGACGGTGGGGTGGTGGATGAGAATGCAGAGAGAAACCAGAAAAAGAAAATCAAGTGTAAAGCAAGGAGGGAGCTCGAACCTCAAAGCCCTTGGGCTGGGACTTGGACGCCTTCTGCGTAGTAGGTGCGTTCTGCTTCCGCGGCTGCTGCTGGAAGAGAGAGTTCATCAGGTCGATACTGTTCGAGAAACCCTTCTTGGGAGAAACGGTTGTCTTCTCGGCCGGCGATCCGTCGTTCAGTAGGGGTCGGTCGGTAAAGGCGTTGGCCTGAATCTCGCGAAGTGCATCACGGTTTTGCTTGCGTGGGCTGATGGTTCGCTGAAGCTGCTCTGCCCAGTCGCCACTCAGGTCGAGACGTGGCTTGCCGGGGGTGCCAAAGGGCTTCGAAAGGGGGTGGGTTGCGTCCAGATCACTGCCGGTGCTCTGAGCGTCATCCTGCTCCACGGTGCGATGAAGATTGGGAAAGGAACCCGCCATGTCCATTGCCTGATCCTCATCAGATCCAACTATCGAGTCGCCAGATCGCTGGCTCTCGGTGACGTAGTCATCGTCATGCTCAGTAGTTGAACCCGCGGAGCCTTCCTCTAAAAAAGACTCGCTGTCGCCCTCAGATCCCATCTCCTCGTCTTCAACCTGCATGGCCTGGGTGCCAAAGGAGCCCGGGACAATCTTACGCTTCTTAAAATCGAACGTGTCATCGTCGACACCTGCCATGGAACCAACAAACGACTCGTCGATGGAGAAAGTCGCGGATTGCTCAAAGCTCGCAGGGTGGTCGTCCGAGGCCTTAGGAGTGCGATTGTCATCAGGGCCTGCACCAAGGGTGCTCTGCTCAAGACTCTCACCTTCGTCCTCATCATAGTCAAGACCATAAGTGGTGAAGTGGGGGACCTTGAAGACCCAAGTGCCGGTGTCGGTTTCGTAGTCGACAAACTCGGTATCGGTGACCTTGCGCAGACGGTCAACGTGCTTGTCGAAGAGAGGGCCGCTAGTAATGGGCAGCGGGTTCTTGCGATCGCGGCCACGGGGCCAGGAGTTCTGAATACGCAGGGTGGAGGGAACGTTGAGGCCCTTGCCCATAGCAGGCTTCACACTTTCCTCGGGGTAGACAGTAATCTTACGAACGCCAATGTCAACGATTCCACCAAAGAGGTTGTCCAAGTCGACGCTAGTGAGGTCGACAGCACCGTTGAAAGTAACTTCACCGCAGTTCTGACGTCCCACAGTGAAATTCACAACCTTCTTCAGCTGATCACGGGACATCTTGGAAAGCTCGGCATGCGACGGCGTCATCCAGTAGTCGCCAGGCTTGGGGTCTCCGCCGGGGATGAAGGAAAGGCGCTTGATGGAGGAGCCATCAGGGGCGGGCTCGGCATTTTCGGGGACGACAGCGAGATCACGGCGAACAGACTCCATCTCAGGACGCTCGAGTTCTCTATCGATGCCATTGAGGGTACCACTCTTGCGGGTAGAGCGAAGGAAGCCGAGCTCTTCGGCAGTTGGCTCAGGGCTCTTGGATTCCACGCGGACGATCTCGCCACCAGAAGGAGTGGAGTCGAAGCTGACCTTCTTCTTAAGCTTGTCAGCCGAGTGCAAGTCATCACCATTAGTGACGGGGGCAGGCGAGGTGCTAGCCGGGCGTGAGAATAGATCGTTTCTCAAGGAGCGGTCAATGGTTAGACGCTTGAGACTACCGCCGTTGCTGCGAGCACCGGTAGGCAGAAGAGCACCGGGAGAGTGAACGCTGTCCTCATCCGGAATGAAAGTCTTGCGCAAGTTGCTAGTTGAGTAGCTCTTACTGAAGCTACGACCCAGGCTGCCGCTGATGCTGCCACGGAGACTGCCGCTACCACTGCCGCCCAAAAGGCTGCTGCTCAAGCCAGAGCCTGGAGTACTGGCGGTGCTAGAGGGCGAGCCGTAGGTCGAATAGGAGAATCCGTAGCCCTGACGTCTGGGCGGGGTGATGAGTCGGTTAGCAGCATTGGGTGTGATCTTGTAGACCGGTAGAGGGGTCCGCTGCTTCTGCTTGATGCTGGAGGATAGAGGCGTAGCAAGAGGGCCGGGGGAGGACACTATCGGGCTCGGAAGGCCAGAGAAAATGGACTGGCTACCGTAGGGGTTAGCATCGAGGAATGAGGCTTGGAGGCTGCCGGGAATAGGCTGTTGCGGTTGCTGCTGTGCAGCCTGCGAGCCACCGAAGATGCTGCTTCCAACAGGCTGTTGTTGCTGGCTCTGAGCACCACCGAAAAGAGAGGTTCCAGTTTGATTCGCTGTGGTCTGACCACCGAAGATACCGCCAGTGGAAGGAGTGGTCGACCCGAACATGCTAGGCTTGGCCTGCTGAGTCTGCGCGCCACCGAACAGGCTAGAGCCACCCGCCTGAGTCTGGGTGTTACCAAAGCTGCTGCCAAATCCACCAGGAGTAGCAGTGGTACCACCACCGAACATCGAAGTAGCGGGCTTCTGCTGGTTCTGAGCACCGCCGAAAAGACCAGTCCCGGCAGCAGGCTGTTGGGCCTGGCCGCCACCAAACATCGAGGTTGCAGGTTGTGCTTGCTGGGTCTGACCACCGCCGAAGATCGAAGTGCCAGTGGTCGTCTGACCAGGAGTGTTGTTGAACAAGCCCGTGCCGGTTTGTTGCTGCTGAGTGTTCGCTCCGAACCCACCCTGGCCCCCGAAGATACCGGCGGGCTTTTGGGCCTGGGCCTGGGTGTTACCAAAGCCAAAGCCAGTCCCAGCGGGCTGTTGCTGTTGAGCTCCGCCAAATGGCGTGGTGGTGGCAGTGGTGGTGCCGAAGGGATTGCTTGCAGTGGTAGTCTGAGGAGTACCAAATCCGCCACCGAACCCAGTGCTTGTCGTACCGGCGCCGAAAGCCGGCTTGTTCTGCTGAGCGCCGCCAAACAGGGAGCCACCGGTGTTGGTCCCGAATCCGGTGCTGGGGGTAGTGGTGCTGGTACCGAATCCACCAGGGGTGTTGGTCGTGGTGCCGCCACCAAACATTGATCCCGTCTGTGCGGGAGTCTGAGTGGCACCGCCGAACATCGAGGTTGCAGGCTTAGCGCCAAACAAAGGGTTTGTTCCGGTCTGGCTGTTACCGAAAGCACTGGTTGTCTGAGTGGTACCAAAGCCGGTTGGCGCAGAGGTAGTAGTCGCACCACCAAACGGAGTAGTGCTGGTGCCGAAGCCCGTACTGGCCTGTTGACCTCCGAATCCAGTAGAAGAACCAAAGGCCGGAGCACCAAAGCCACCAGGTTGTCCACTGGCGTTACCGAAACGGCGTCCTTGTTGATAGTCGGCAAGTCTCAGCTCTTCGAAGGAGAACTTGCTGTAGGGTTGCATGAAACTGATGCTCTGGTAGTGGTTTGTCGCAGTTGAGTTTTGGTCCTTCTCAGTGAACGGGTTGAACGGAGTACCGCCAGTGCCCTCGCAAGTCTGGGCACCTTGGAATGCAGTGCCGGTACCCCCGAAACCAGTGGTGGCCGCACCTGTGCCAAAGCCAGTGGTACCAGACGAGCCAAAGGTGCCGCCTGTGTTGGAGGTACCGAAGCCAGTTCCTTTGTTGCCAAAGATTCCACCAGTACTAGGGTTGGTACTGCTGCCGAAGCCAGTAGTTCCGCCGGTGGTGGATCCAAAACCAGTAGAGCCGAACCCAGAGGTCGTGCCTGTGTTTGGGGTGGTATTGGCACCAAAGAGATTCTGACCGGTATTGGTGTTTGTTCCGAATCCAGTAGTGCGATTTTGATTTCCGGAACCGAAGAGAGACGGATTTTGAGTCTGAGTGTTGGAACCGAATCCTATGGAAGTGAATAGCGAGGTCAGTAAAAGATTCAACAAGTCAATCCAAGAAAAAGCGATCAACAAGTAGCAGCTCAATGAATAGCTGGGATCCATGGGTGCAAAGTCCTCAAACTCCGGGAGGTCTATCAGGTTTCATCTTCCCCATGGCAGCTGGAGTTGTTCGCGCGCACCAGAACAAAGGAGCTGAAACCACAAAGATCCTTATGACGGCGTAGAGAGACAAAGCCAATCCGGTGCGACGCGGGAACCCTGGACACCTCACACGCAAGAACGAAAGGCGAAACCCCCTGGGCGAAAACCGCAAAGCTCGGTCGTTTTGAGCACCTACCTGTGTTAGTGCCGGTGCCGAAGCCGCTGGACGTGTTGCCAAAGAGGCCCCCGCCAGTGTTTCCAGTATTCCCGCCACCAAACGCAGTGGTCGAGCCAAAGCCTAGATGACGCAGTGGGATCGCTTGTCAGAGAACTGATTTTTCAAGGCTACCCTTTCATCCCCTTCTCTTGTGTCGCAGTGTCGCTGAGCATCGAGAAAGTCCGCGGGAGATTCCGTGGGGGCACGAGCAAAGTGGGCCAGTTATGGAAGAGGTCGTTGACTTTGCGCGTGTCATCGCGGTCGCGGGTTGTCCGACGCCAGGAGCACCCTTCCCAGGAGATTTGAGGGGTTTTGCCAACCCGGAGCCCAAAAAAACAAAGCAAGAACGTGAGGGGAAGGTAGGACCCGGGCGATATCCCAGAATCCATGCACACAGCCCCATGGAAGCAGAAAAAGATGAAAAAATGACAATGCGCTGGGAAAGAGCAACCTACCTGTGCTAGTGTTGGAGCCTCCAAATCCAGAGCCCGTACCGAAGCCGGAGCTCTGGTTGGTCTGGCCAAATCCAGTTCCTCCTCCTCCGAAGCCGAAAGACATGGTGTCGGTGGGAGTTGACGATTTATGTTAGCATAGAGAGGAAATGATCACAGATGGTGAGAATGTGAAGGATGAATAGATGTCGCAGCGAGGGCGAATGGGTGGTGGCGCGTGGTGGAGGAAGAAGAAGAAGAGAAGAGAGGAGGCGGACGCGCCAGAAAAGTAAAGTCAGTCAAGGTTGACCCAAGTTTGCCAGCTCAGGCAGGCATGATTACCTCAGCACGGCCATCTGTGGTCCGTCACGTGAGCCACTGTTGCCTGAACAAAGTATCGAGGTCACCAGCCAATGAGATCATTTACCAATACCGCGCTTTACCTTTTTTGATCTGGCAAGCTAACGCACGGACCTTAATGGAAGACAACAATGCCAGCGGACGCATGCAGGATATCTGCCAGATCGTGCAGCTGGTTCACACCTGATGGATGGCACGTTTACATTGTTGCCGCGCTATTCCGTCTAAAAGCAAAGAGAGGTCCCCTTCTTTCATTGAATGCTCGATTCTACCCACAGCTACATTAGTGTAAACTTTACGAAGCACTTATCATGTCATGTAGGTTTGAGTGATCAAGGCATTCTACTGCACATTACAACGGACAGCAAAGGACGCGATCATGGAGATCTAGAAGCATAATACTATTCACACTACAACTGGATAGGCAGACCAGGGAATCTCAAATACACGCAGAAACAGGGAAATATATCAATCTCGCATACCTACATCCCGAACAGCCCCAAAGGCGATGTGGGAACCAACACAAAAAATACCCATCAGCATACCCAAGAAGAACTTTCAACCAAGGGCAAACTCTTCTGAAGCATCATTATCATCAATTCATAGACCGAATTTTTACTTGGCGCGAGCAGCGTGGACAGTGGCAATGATCTTGTCCACAACACCAGGCTCAGACAGCTGTAATAAAGTGTTAGCTTATAAAGTCAATCATGTCATATACAAGAAGGGCCTCTTACAGTCGAGGTATCACCCAGGCTGTCCTCCTCACCGCTGAGAATCTTGCGCAGAATACGGCGCATGATCTTGCCACTGCGGGTCTTGGGGAGGTCCTCGATCACAAACACAGCCTTGGGGGCAGCGAAGGGACCAATTGACTTGCGGACCTGCATGACCAGATCCTTGCGCACCTGGTCGGTGGTCTCGTTGCCGTCCTTCAGGGCAACAAAGGCGTTGACAGCCTGGCCGGTCAGCTCGTCGGAGATACCAACCACGGCGGCTTCGGCGACCATAGCTAGAAAGAGAATGAGTATCAAATTTGTTTTGGGGATTCATCCGAATGAGAATTCAAAAGATGTACTTACGGTGCTCGAGGAGGGCGGCTTCAATCTCAGCAGTGGACAGACGGTGGCCAGAGACGTTGACAACATCGTCGACACGGCCACGGATCCAGTAGTAACCATCGTGATCGCGACCAGCGCCATCTCCGGTGAACTAGAGAAGGTTCTCAGTCAGTTGATGCCACTGCCATAGGTCATGAGATCGGCGCCTTACGTAGTAGCCCTTGTAAACATTCAAGTATGTATCCATATAACGCTTGTGCGCACCCCAAACGGTGCGGGCCATGCTGGGCCAGGGCTGCTTGAAGGCAAGGACACCCTCAACGTCGTTCCCGGTAATCTCCTCTCCGGAGACAGGATCAATAATGGCAGGCTCAATGCCGAAGAAGGGAAGAGAGGCACTGCCGGGCTTGGTGGGGGTGATACCACCCAGAGGGGTGATCACGTTAGAACCGGTCTCGGTTTGCCAGTAAGTCTGGTAGTTCCACCGTTAGTCCAATGGATCTCGTCGATTACGGGGTGGACGTTAGAAACTTACATCGCAGATGTGGGCTTCCTCCTTTCCAACGGACTCGAAGTACCACTTCCACACCTCAGCAGCAATGGGCTCACCAACAGAGCCCAGAATACGCAGAGACTTCATCTTGTGGTGGATGTGCTGATCACCGGCGCGCTTCAACAGACGCAGGGCAGTGGGAGCAACGTAGAACTGGGTGACATCGTACTTGTCGATGACATCCCAGTAGCGGGAGAAGTTGGGGTAAGCGGGAGTACTCTCGAAAACAACAGTAGCACAGCCAAGGAGCAGAGGGGCGTAGACAACATAGGTGTGACCGGTAATCCAGCCGACATCACCACCACAGAAGTAACGGTCATCCTCGTGGATGTCAAACACGTATTTACCGGTCATAGCCGCACCGAGCAGGTAACCGGCGGTCGTGTGCAGGACACCCTTGGGCTTGCCGGTAGAACCGGAAGTGTAGAGAAGGAAGAGAGGGTCCTCAGAGTTCATCGACTCGGGAGCCAGGTAGTTGGGGTACTTCTCAACCTCCTCGTGCCACCACAAGTCACGACCGGCGGTCCAGGGGACCTCGGCGCCAGTGCGCTTGTAAACCAGGCAGGTAGTAACATCGGGGCACTGCTTCAGGGCCTCGTCGACAATGCGCTTGGTACCAATAACCTTGCCGCCACGCTTACCCTCGTCGGTGGTGATGACGACCTTGGACTGGGCGTCAATCACACGATCCCGGAGGGAGTCGGAAGAGAAACCAGCAAAGACAACGGAGTGCACGGCACCGATACGGGAGCAGGCCAGGAAGGCGATCACGGCCTCGGGAATCATAGGCAGGTAGATGGCGACCGTGTCACCCTTCTTGACGCCGCGCTGCTTGAGCACCCAGGCAACCCGGGAGACCTCGCGCAGCAGCTCGCCGTAGGTGATGGTGCGGCCCTCGTTGGGCTCATCGGCTTCGTAAATAATCGCGACCTTGTCGGGGTTCTTCAGGGCGTGGCGGTCAACGCAGTTGTACGAGGCATTCAGCTGGCCCTCGACGAACCAGGCGTTGTCACCGTTCTCGAAGGAGCCGAAGTGGGTCGTCTGGAAATCGCGCTCGAAAGTCAGGAGCTCGCGAGCCATGCGAGCCCAGAAAGTGTCGGGGTCTTTGATGGACTCATCGTAGAGCTTCTTGTACTCGTCCAGGTCCTTCAGGTGGGTTCCGGTAGGGTGCTTCTCGTAGAAAGCCTTGGGGACGTGGAAGGTGTCAACCTCGTGGGCCTCAAGCACCTATGCGAGGGATCTGGGTTAGCAAGGAATCCTCCCCCGACCTACGAAGCCCGCTCGCATTGCAATAACCTGGCGAGGGCGATCGCAAGCGCACGGTCTCCCACAGTTGCGATTCACACTTACCACCGTAGGCTTGGGAGCGTCCGACATGATAATAAGCTCCTGGACGCGAAGAACTCAAAAAAAATTATAATTCAAGAGTCAACACCTCTCTGCTCGGGGGGAGAAAAGAAAGCCAAGTCAGCGGTTATATTACGGGCGAGGGGCGGCGGGATCAATAAACTCCCACTTTGAGGGGGGGGGGAGGTGGGATGAAAGTGGGGAGGGAGTGAAGATCACCGACTTACTTTGCGACTGCAGAAGGGTAAAGCAGGATGAGAGGGAGGATGGAGAGAGGAGAGGAGAGGAGAGAGAAAGAAGGGAGGAAGAGTCGAAAGGCAAGACCAGACCGATGGGAGGGGGGCAGGGCCAGGTGGAATTATAAATAATTGCCATTTGGTAATTGCAATGCGCGAATGGATCCGGAGGCCGTTCGGCATGGAGGAGACTCGTACCGGACCTGAGGGACTTTTGATGGGGACCCAGTGAATTAGGCTACGCTACTCCGTACTTAGACTAAGGTACTACGACTGCTAGTACGGAGTAGTTGGTAGTAGGAGTAAGCGTAGTGTGATAAACTAACTAACTATTCTCCTGGTTATTATTACTCGCTCTTTACCCCGATGTTCCTCGGGTTGATACCAAACGAGTTACGGATGTAGACCTGGACCTGGTATTTCCGGTATAGCCATAGCATAGTTGTATAAGTGTGTGCATTCATTAATTTGATTATTTTACTACTAGCCGATTGTCAATCCCAAGCTTCTAGAACCCTCTCATTCAAAGCTAACGATGCAATAGGCCCTGATTAGAGTCTGACGAGGGGCAGAGCAAAACAGAGCTCCCCTCCGACTACGACGGCTAAAATGCACTGCCCAACGCGGCGTGGGCCGTGCAGTCCGTCGCATGTTTGCAGGCTACCCGATTTCCTTTTCCAGCCGTTTCGCGGCCCTACAGGGACCAGTGCATATTTATTTTACCTTTTGTATTGGTTCCATCGAGAGACCGAGTCTCATGCTGTGTGACTTGACTTTGTAGACGTCCGTGGGAAGAATATGGTTAGATCGAAAGGTCGCAAAACAAGCTCACCCATACAGGGCCAATACGCAATAATACTCAATAATACGCAATAATACGCGGGGAGGGGCAGTTCTCGGCCATGCGGGGGGCGTGGACGGTCCCTCTTCCGTTCCTCCGGGGAAAGCTGATTCTCCATCATTCCAAGTTCCATCCACTCGACCTGCTTCTTCCCATCCCAACTCCTGCATCTTCCGTGGGTACCATTCGTCCGATGCCGATACCCCCCGGCCCTCGTCTTCGCCTTGGCGTTTCGGACGGACTGGGGGAGGAGGGACCACCATGAGAAAACCAAAGAGAGGACGTCCTGTCAACCTAGGTTGCTATGATTATTGCCAGCTATACTTATCCGCTGCTTGCTTTTCCCCGGTTCTCGCCACCCCTCGATGTCATCGACCCGAACATCTACATAAATGAGAACTGGATTTGAACCATCGAGGAAGTTGAAACCCCCCAAAGAAACCCGGACCGCTGCAAACCGCAAGATCAGCGGTCCCGTCCATCATACAGTAGACCTATCAAACCGGATCGTCGTGCACGGAGGAGGGTAACGTTAGCTGGTTAGGGCTGCCTCCGCCCTGACTCAGCTGTCCAGCCGCCTCGAAGATGTTGATTGGCACCCCCGTGCTGGCATCAGCGTCAGGCTAGCGTGTCGCGCGGGCGGTTTGGAAGTCTAATTCTGCGTCGTGGCCAGGCCGGTGAAAATTAGTGTTGCTGCTAGTTTGATGTCCATGAAAATGGGACTACTTGGGACATGCATCTACTTTTATAGCAGCTCGAGCCACCACTTGCTTGGAATGTGCCGCCAATACCCTTATCCGTTCTCCACCAGCGTGAAGCCCTGGCTGGACCTTGTTGAGAGCGGTAAATGGTCCGGTGTTTTATCATGCTAATTGCGATAGTCGCCCTCGTATGTACTGTATAGTGGTGAATGGAAGCGGCTGGATTGTGGGGGTGGAAAGCAAATCAGTGTGGGACGGAGGGGCTGTGGGTGTACCTGGCAGGCTGGCAGGGGTTCCCTCCTCGAGCCCCTCTTTATGCAAATTACGGACCGTAGTAACATTACTACGAGGGCTAAGTGTCTGAAAACACAAAAGGCTCTCCAGAAAGACTGGAAACCGATGGTCAAGGTTGAATTTGTCCTGTGTTCTGTAGGAGGCGTGGGATATGCCGATCATCGGACGACGGATGGACCCGAGCCTCCCGAGTCAGCCGAATATATACGTTGTCTACTTCAAAATACTCGACTGTAAACCTGCCTTTTCTAGTGAATGATAAGCCAGGTCCACAAGAAAGCGACTAGATGGTGCATGATGAGTCCTTACCGTTGTGTACGGAGTACAGTGGAGGTCCAGATCTGCCACCCCTCCGTGCGACCGTAGCATGCGAACTGTACCGAAGATCAGTGGGTACCGTAAACAGACAGAGCCAGCCCGACGAGCGATATCGCTGTAGAATAATGGTGATCTGGAACAATTACCCTAGGAGCCTATTTACTCCCAGTGCAAATCTACTGACTAGTTTTATCAATTGTCTAAATTCAACTGTGATAACCATCTCTCGCTCATAGAACATGCAACATCGTCGCCAGTCCTGGACCATGAGGCTATCTCCTGGTTTTAGTGAGCTCCACTCATCCCACTTGGGGTCCCAACAGAAAATTCCTCCAAGCAGCCTCTTCGGACTAGCCTGCCCATTGCAGATTGTATCTGATGCGTTTCTGTACGTGGTATGCCATGTGTATTGACTTGAGTATCCAATGGGTCCATAAACAAGCGTTGCCACAATGACAAGTTGTTGCCGTTCTTATTGTGCTTTAACCATATTTAACCAGCGGGCTCACAAACATTTCAACTGCCACTTGGTCAGTGCCAAAGGTTATTTCACGCGCATTAAGCGTGGCCCAATGGAACGTCGCTATTCTAGCCTCTCGCAAAAGTACCTTTACCAATCCCCCCTAACGATTACATCTTGAACAATCATTGTTGCTACAAAACGTGTAGACGCACTTCCCACACCCTTGTTTCTTGACATGAGGACCCCATATGAGCCGGTGGTTCACAGCCGCCTCCAGCAAAAGTGTGGACCAATACGACCCCCCCAGGCCGAGAAAAAGCCGTACTATCTCCAGCCTCCGCCCACAGAGAATTGTTGAATTGCCATTCTATGGAACCCACGCTCTATACATACCGACCAATCCCTTAAAACAGCTTTGCATGAGTCGTTATTGGTCAATGGACCCTCCAACACTTCTGAGATGTGTTGGGGGTGGAGGGTTTCCGCGTCAGCCCGGTTTCATGCTGTCTGTCAAGTCGGACCAGGGCTTGTACTTCTCGGCGGTTTCGAGGATCAATTTCCAAGTGCTATCCTCACTGAACTTATAACGAGAGGGATAGGGTCGATTCACTCGTGCTGTGCCCTCAGATACAATTACTGGTTGATTTGACTTGCCTCTTGTCTTCGAGTAGACAAGATGGAGCTGCAGATTGCACCAACGGTCGAAGCAATAACTATAGATTGACAAAAATCAGCAGAGGGAATGCGAGATGAACCTAAGAGAACCACTAAGTGGTGATATATGATGATCAACGATCGCAATATACTGATAGTATCCCGCCTACACGCTTTTCTGCTTTGTGTCACGAGCCAATCAGAAAGGATACGAAAGCGTAGATTCTGGTGCATTCAAACGAAGAAACTAAGTCTAGAGAAAAGAAGAAGAAGAGAAAGCTACGAAGGTGCGCGATGAGCCCTTTTGTTTACCTCCGTCCTTCGTTCCTTCCTTTTCTGCGAGCCCGCTGTCGCTCCTTCCTAATCTCATCAGATCTCTGCTTCAACTCACCAAGGTCGCGGGTTCGAATCCGGCCGCATGCACACATTCGTCACACTTTGCATGGCTATCTCCAGCTAACGAAGAGTCATTCTATGCCTCATCAAGCTGCGTCTCGTTAATCCAAGATCAACATCGTCGAGAAGAATCCCAATTATTCTACTTACCACGCCAAATACATATGGATCACGCCATCAAAAGGGTACGATCGCCCTTAGCTTTCCGCGTACATCGTCCACAACAGGTCCTGACGAAGTTGTCGGTTCAACAAATGGCGACCCATCCCCTAGGTTACAGGAATATTGGACGCTAAGAGATGACATGGAACAAGACTGATTAGCTGTTGCAGAAATGTCGTACGAAGAAATTGCCTGCGTCACCACGTTGTATAGTGTATATGTATTTAAAGACCTGCAGCGACGCTCTCACGGCCTCAGAGGCGAAATGTTAGTCTACGTACCTAAAGTCTTCTAAAGGGTTGGGGATAGTCATCCTTATAATTGATGGTGCTATTAGCTATATGTGCAATACAAGGCGGAAGGGCGCTGTCATTGAATGGAGTGCTTCGCTACCGTCCCTGCTCTATAGCCTGACGTTGCCATTTTCGCTTGACTGTATAGAAGAATATTCAAAAGAGAATTCAAAAGAAGCATCGGTCTCATCTAAACTCTAGACTAAAGAGTTTCGGAAGCGGCTCGGCGAACCGATTGGCCTGATCTACCGGGAGATACTGCCCGATTAGAATGTTCCTAGAAGGCGCCCTGTACTCGCAGTGCCGATAGCCAGGCACAGGATCCACAAATCATGAGTGTCCACATCTAAGAGAGCTGCAAGAATGATATGTATAACTAGCGGAACCGAAGTATTTGTAATCAGTCTGATCTGATTCGGGTCGCCTCATGCCGAAGACTATCCAAGGAAAATCAGACCCACGCTAGCGACAAACATAGTCGTTCTTCTCCACAACAATCAATCTTGGGTTCCAATACGCCGCAATTAGACCATGCGAGAGAAGCCACAAAAGACTCAGTCGATCGGCCATTTCCAATCCGGCGTTCAATTACCAATGAAGCACTCAACGAACCAATGACAAGTCCGTTTCACCGAGATATCGCCCAGAATTTGCACCCTTACACCCCCACATCGGTAGAGATAAGAGATTCAGACCCCACACTTCAAAGGAACACTTCGTCCATCATGGGCTTCTAGTTCCAGATGACCACCAGGATGATTCATAAAGAGTGAACGTCGTCTCGTTTATCTTCTCATAGAGAACACCGGGGATATCATGGCAGTGCGAGACATCATGCGCAACGACAGCGGGGAGAAGACTGTGACTGTCTCAGATCCTGCTGAGCTTTCAAACCTTCAAGATGGAAGGGAAGACATTGATTTCCCCGAGGGAGGATTGAAGGCCTGGTCGGTTGTACTTGGGGCATGGTGCGCAATGATACCGTCCATGGGCTTATTGAATAGCCTCGGTGTCCTTCATGCTTGGACTAGCACCCATCAACTCAAGGAATATTCGGAATCGAGCATTGGATGGATTTTTGGCGCATATGGCTTTTTCCTTTATTTTGCGGGTGCCCAAACAGGTAAGTCATGCCGCTTGCATCAATTCTCTTCAGTCTCACTGACAGTATCAACAGGGCCAATTTTCGATACATATGGCCCTAGCGTTGTGGTGATTCCAGGATCGTTCGGAATGGTTGTTTCTCTGATATGCTTAAGTTTCAGTGAAGGTATGTCATGGTGAAACCCGCCCGACTCACATAGGGACTAACGACTTCCAGAATATTACCAGATCTTTCTTTCCTTTGGTGTGTTAGGTGGATTGTCTGCTTGCACACTCTTTAATCCAGCTATCACTGCCGTCGGCCACTGGTTCAATGTGCGTCGAGGCTACGCGACCGGCATCGCCTGCACAGCTGGTGGAATCGGCGGCGTGATTTTCCCTCTGATAATCCTCTTTGCAGCACCCAAGATCGGATTTCCATGGGCCATCCGTATCATTGCCTTTATAAGCGCGCTGATGTGTGCTGTTGCTTGCGTGCTTCTGAAGACTAGGTTTCCAGGCAATCTCAAGGCAGGGACGTCTGTGGACTTTAAGGCCTTGAGAGATATCAAGTATGCTTCTACCACAGCTGCAGTATTCTTGGTGGAATTTGCAGTCTTCATCCCGGTCACATATATTGCATCCTATGCTATACATGTCGGTGTGGAAGATACCATGTCCTACCTCGTTATAGCTTTTCTAAATCTCGGGGCTATTCCAGGGCGCTTCTTGCCAGGCTTAGTAGCGGATCGAGTCGGCCGATTTAATATGATGGTATTGACATCGGTTGTCTGCGCAATTCTCATTCTCGCACTTTGGTTGCACGCGAGTGACAACTTGGCATCGATTATCTGCTATGCAGTGCTCTTTGGCTTCTGGAGTGGAGCCGCCATCAGTCTCACACCAGTGTGCATTTCTCAAGTGTGTGCCACAGAGGATTATGGAAAGAGGAGCGGGACTACGTTCACGATCACCAGTGTTGGTATGCTTACTAGTATACCAATTGCCGGGGCGATCCAGCAGCAGAATGGAGGGGAATACGGGGGATTGATTATCTTCGGTGGAGTTCTGTACTTGGCGGCTGCTCTTGCTTTTGCTGTGGCTCGTGGTGTATGTCGAGGGTGGTCGCTCAAGACCAAGTTTTAGAGCTCAGGTCGATGACAGGATACGGAAAAGGGAGTAATGCCTGAACATAAGTGGGAGTAGGTCTCTTCTTTAATTGATATTGGCAACAGCCTCTTCATGGGGTCGGATTCAAGTTAATTCCGACAGGGTTCAGTCAATTAGGTAAGAGGACCCGGGGGCATATTGTCAATTACTTAAGATGAAGCTCAGCGAGGAAGGTTGAGACTACGATCCAATGAATCTACGGCACCTAGAGCCAATCACGATTACAGGCGTGGCAGCTCATTTCTATTTTCATGAACATTGAGCTCCATCTGATGGACCTTCTGTCGATCGAGCAGGAGGTTGCCGAATATACCACTCAATGTGCTTGGGATGTCATTTTAGATTAGATTGTTTCCGATGGATATCGGCGTTCGCCGAAATATCCTTCCCCAGGTCTTTCTCCACCACCATGCTGTTATCATGCAGATCCGAATCTTGTGTACCACAGTGGCGTTCACATTCGCATATTTGAATGAGGTCGCATCCACTATAGATTCTAATATCCAAGACACAGGAGCAATCAGAACAGACCTTAAAAGACATCTCCATATACACGAGATAAGTTTGGCTAAGCGACGCAGTTTGCCTTAGTACGACACGACACGACAGACCAAAATGTTCAGCAAAGCAGATGCAAGGAGCCTCAAGGCCAAAGTGCGGGCTATCATGCCAACAAATGATTCCAGATCTGATAATGATTCCATGAGAACATTGGAGTAAGATGTTCTCAAATAAAATGACGTCACCCTTCTGACCGATTGACAGTGAGCAATCCTCAAGAGGCACGTATTCTTCATCTAGGGGGACTCAGGAGACTGCTCCAACTCCCTACAACGGTATTCCTGCACCTTGAATCGATCCGTCATGAGTATTAACCGTTGCCAGGAGATCAGTGTTTTGGCAGCTGCTGCCGGGGGAAAGGTTATGCTCGGTAAACTCTGCATCGGGGGGATTATGTTGTTCTCGATGCATGATTGATTTTTGGAATGATTTACCTCAACTTGATGATAGCAGGCTATCACTTATACGAAGAGGCTTTGGTTATCTTTGTCCGTTTGGAAGGAATTTGGATTGTACATACCAACCGTCGCTACCTGAACTATGTCGCCGCTTGCCCGGAAGTGAAAATCTTGACTTTTTGGTCTTTTTTGATCCTTTTTTTCAGCTCAACACAAGAGAAATTCTGATCCAGTATACAAGTTGGAGGAAATTCTTCTTTCCTTTTGTCGTCTTTTTGGCCTACCGTTGAAGCTCTCAAAAGAATCTCCAAGAGGGGGATGTCGCGGGAAGGCGCTGTCGGTAACAACCCGAAAGGGGTTGCCCTCCTCCAGTCACCTCTGCCACCCACTTCCACCAACCGGACGACCTTTGCTCTTCGTCGGCGTCGAAATCGAATTCTCAGGTGGAGAGACTCTTTGCTGCTACTTCCGACCCACCCCTGTTGAGAGAAGGCGCTTGGGAGGTTTGCAGAGCGGCAAGTAAAGACCGACAGGTCGAGCGCAGGATCGAGGAGCTGCAATAATTAATCACCCGTCGCTCTATATGCTCTTGATAATTTACTTCAACTTTAAGGTGAATTCGTTCTATTGATACCAACATGCTTGAAACAATGTGTGCAACACGCTCCTTGCGCTTCAGCGCACGAAGGCCAATTTCCACAACGCCTCGATTTTATTCCACAGCAAGCCTCCAGATAAATGCGGACCGCCTCTGGAAGACATTGCATCAGACATGCGAATGGGGTGCGGCTCATCGATATGGGGAGTACGTTTTTCCCAATGCCCTCTTCAGATACGCACTGAGACTCACATGTGCACAGGGGCCCAACAGAAACTGGAATGGCTCGTCTGACTCTTACCGATGACGATGCGAAAGTCCGAAAGTGGTTTGCTGACGAGGTTCAAAAACTGGGATGTTCGCTTTCTGTGGATCAGATGGGAAACATGTTCGCGCGGCAGTCAGGGTCTATGAAGTCCTCTGCGCCTATGATCGCCATGGGTAGCCATCTTGATACTCAACCTCGGGGTGGTCGCTATGATGGAATACTAGGAGTGATGGCCGCGCTGGAAGTTCTGCGGACGATGAAAGAAAACAATTTCAAGACAAGCTACGACGTCGGCATTGTTAATTGGACCAAGTCTGTTTGCTCATGTATCCCTTTCATCCCTTCTATAGACGGGAGCATGACTGATGCTTATTTTGAACAGCGAGGAGGGAGCTCGATTTCCAAAATCAATGTGCTCCTCTGGGGTCTGGGCTGGAGCTATTCCGATTCAAATGGCGTGGGATCTGCGTGACATTCACGATTCAACCGTGACCCTGCGTTCTGAGTTAGAGCGACATGGCTATCTCGGCGAAATTGCGTGCTCGAATGATGCTACTACTGGTTTCCCCCTGGGGGCTCATTTTGAACTACATATTGAACAAGGCCCTATTCTACAAGAGACCGGCCGGTCAATCGGCATCGTGCAAGGCGCTCAAGGTTACAGGTGGCTGACCATCACTGTCCAAGGCAAGGATGCTCATACTGGAACGACTCCGCTTAGTGCTCGTCACGATGCCATGCTGGCGGCTTCGAAGATGATTGTTGCTTCGAATGCAATCGCCAAGCAGCATGACGCACTGGCCTCTACGGGTATCATCAGAGTGCCATCGAATGCGTCAACTAACACCCTGCCATCTGACGTGACTTTCACTTTGGACATTCGACACCCTCGGGACAGCACTGTGCAGGCTGTGCAGGAAGAATGCCTCAAGGCATTTGCAACTATCTCTTCGGAAGACGGGAAGGGCGTGTCTTTCAACTGGACAATGGACACCGACTCGCCCGCAGTGAAATTTGATCAAGGGTGTGTCGAGTCAATCAAAGCAGCGGCGGATCACCTTGTGGGACCCGAAAAGTCGATGTACATGACTAGTGGTGCTGGTCACGATACTGTGTACACCAGCAAGCACTGCCCATCGGCCATGATTTTCGTCCCTTGCCGAGACGGCGTGAGCCATCACCCGACCGAGTATTGTACTCCAGAGGACTGGTAAGTAACATTAGTCTGTTGCTTAGCTCCGGTCAATTACTCAATTACTAATTGGCAAAATTAGTGCTCTTGGGACCCAGGCACTGTTGGAGGCCGTGGTGCACTATGACCAGACTCGCGCCAAGAGTGTGTGAGGACACGTCAATAGCCGGAGCTGGATCTAGAGGATAAGATCTGTAATTATTTAGCGTATAAAAGCCGTTAAACTTCAGGTAAAATATATTTCTATAATGTTGAACATCTCTCAAGTTTGAAACCGACTTCTCACTCTGAATAGAGTTGCAGAACAAAGCCATTTGCCGAGGATAATGCTTAGTGACCGCGCCTCTGATTTGCAATTTGGTGATCATAAAAGCCGTACAACCGGGTCTCGGGTGCGAAATCTTCGTAGTTACTCTTGGGGTTCCACTGCTGTGGGTATATGATCCACTCTCTCCGCGGACCGTGTTGTCAGAAGGCGCGGTACAATGTCCTCGGAAGGCATTTGAAATACTAGACGGCACAGCGAATAGAGATAAAATCGAGCTCCAGCCACTAGTCAAGGAAAGCACCCAGCATTCCGAACGCCGAGGCATGATGTCTTCGCGACGACCAATTTATATCAACGCCGCCGCCGCGACGGAGCGCTGCGAGTATTCACAGGCGGCTGCCGTCACAAGATTCCATCAGTCGCTGCCCAATTATTCTCCCTCCCCGTTAGTTCCACTGCCAGAACTTGCAGCTGAGCTTGGTATCCGGGCTGTGTTCGTCAAGGACGAGAGTAATCGCTTCGGTCTACCCTCTTTCAAGGTCCTGGGAGCATCGTGGGGATGTTTCCGCGCCGTTGCACAACAGCTTGGGTTGCCGTCAACCGCATCTCTGAATGAGGTTTCCACGGGCGCAAAGGCGAGTTCGATTACTCTGGTCGCGGCAACGGAGGGTAATCATGGTAGAGCTGTGGCTTTCATGGCCCGGCTTTTGGGTATCGATGCGCAGATCTTCGCCCCTCGGTCAATGGACGAGCGCACACGCGCCTTCATCGCGGGAGAGGGCGCCCGCGTGATTGTTTCGCCAGGATACTATGATCAAGCTGTACGTGAGGCATCGGACCGGGCCAGCGAGCTACCTGGTGCTCTTTTGATCCAAGACACTGCATTTGAAGGGTACGAGAGCGTTCCTGCGTGGATTGTGGAAGGGTACTCGACGATGATGAATGAGGCCGAGCAACAGCTTGGCCAACTTGGTCTCACGCCCAGTGTCATGGTAACTCCCGTGGGAGTTGGCAGTCTTGCACATGCCGTGGTTCGACACTGCAAGTCCAGAAAGAAGCCCTTGTCAGTTGTTGCCGTTGAGCCGGACTCTGCTCCTTGTCTGTCCAATAGCTTGCAAGCTGGCAAGTCGATCACTGTGGAGACATCGTCTACAATCATGGACGGAATGAATTGCGGCACTGTTTCGACAACTGCATGGCCGGATTTACAGCGGCTTGTTGATGCATGTGTCACAGTCTCTTCTTGTGAGAGCCACGAGGCTGTCCGGTTCCTAACCTCCAAGTCAGTTACAGCTGGCCCCTGCGGAGGCGCATCCCTGGCTGCACTACGTCGGCTAGCGACAGAGCCAAACGGATCTTCCCTAGTTCACAAGGATTCTGTCGTCGTTCTTCTTAGTACTGAAGGTAAACGCGAGTATGTGACCCCACGCGATGTTTCCGTGGAAGACGTGGTGGGCTTGACCCAAATACTCACCCAGATCAACTCTTCCAACCCAACACTATCTGTCAGTGATGGAGTTGGCGAGAGCGAAATTGCAGACTACCTTTCTGCATGGTTTGCTCACCGCGACATCGAATTCTATCGTGTGGAGCCAGTTTCTGGTCGGCCATCGATCGTGGGTATTCTTCGGGGAACTGGAGGGGGAAAGTCCCTTATGTTCAATGGACACATCGACACAGTCAGCCTTTCAAGCTACGAGGCAGATCCACTTTCTGGAGCTTTAGGTACCAAAGACGGCAAAGAAGTTGTCTTCGGTAGAGGTAGCTTGGATATGAAGGGTGGCGTGGCAGCTGCATTGGCTGCACTGGCGTCCATTAAAGCCGGTGGCCAACTTCCGCATGGAGATATTATTGTCGCTGCAGTATCTGATGAGGAAGATGCTTCTCAAGGAACTCAGGATATCTTGGCTGCTGGTTGGAGAGCCGAAGGAGCAGTCGTTGCGGAGCCAACCATGAAAACCATCGCGACTGCTCACAAAGGCTTTGTGTGGGTCCAAGTCGATATCCTGGGAGTTGCCGCTCATGGATCCGACCCATCAGCCGGCGTCGATGCCATTCTCCATGCGGGATGGTTCTTGCGGGCTCTCGACCAGTATCAAGCCAGACTTCCGGTAGATGATCTTCTCGGGCAAGCATCAATGCATTGCGGTTTGATTCAAGGTGGCGAAGAGCCGTCTTCCTACCCGGGAAATTGCACAGTTACTGTCGAGTTTCGGACTGTTCCAGTTCAGACAGAACAGTCTATTCTCATCGACATATCTGCGATGCTTCGAGATATCACCAAGGAAAACCCTCTTTTCCGATTCGCTGAGCCTCGGATCACCATGTCCCGTCCAACTCAGAAGCTTGCTACAGATCATCCTCTCGTTGAAAAGGCGGTTGAATGTGGTGCTGCCATCTTTGGAAGTAAACCTGTCGTCCAAAGCGTACCATTTTGGTGTGATGCTGCGCTTTTGGGCCAGGCTGGAATTCCATCAATCGTTTTTGGCCCCGCAGGTGCAGGATTACATAGCAAAGAGGAATGGGTGGAGGTTCAGAGCTTGAAAGACATGGAGAAGGTCTTCATTCGCTTAGCACAGGAATTTTGTAACTGATTTCTCGCAATTAGAAAAGACAGAGAGCGATCATAGCCTACTAAATCGGACATTTCTCGCCAGCCAACAACCTATCACAATGCTAACAATTGCATCATTCTCGTCTCGCTGAAAGACAACGGTCCAATCTCCAGGCGCCGGAGCATCTAGGCCTCGCGGACATGTAAGAAACCAGATATCCTCCCCGAGATATCGCATCAAGTGCATTGGACCATGGCCCAGAAAGCCCTCGAATGATCCATACAACATGCCTCCTGTCCCAGTACACGTGAAAAGCGAGTCAATCTCTTCACACCGGTATTGACCCGCATAATCATTTTTGATTGGCTCTGTGGGTGATGGAATGCGTCTCGCGTTAACAACTCGATTGTCATCTTGGCGATGAAGCTGAATGGAATCGTCGCTGAAGATTGCCGACATTGTCTCCGAACTTCCTTTATTCGCGTCGACGAGAACAACTGTTTCATCGTGGTCTGAGTAGCGTATGCTCACACGGTTAGGGCCGGCATCGCGGACAGTAAGGGCTAGTTGGGCATCAGGATCGAAAAATGTCCCAAGCCAGCTTCGACTGACTATAATCTCGTTCAGAGGAGAGGATGCGAGTTGGTTCATATTGAGAATATTTTTCAGAATATACTCAGCAATGGTCTCTGCGTCGATTTCATGATTGAGCATAACCACAATTGCCAATCGCTCGGATGGTACCTGGAGTCTATGTAGACAGTACCCTCGAAGGGATCCTCCGTGACCAATTGTACTGACACCTCCAACTTTGACATGGGCTAGACCGTGTCCGTATCTTGCAGTTGCTCCATCTTGGAATGAAGGTACCTTAGCAATTGCGCGATAGAGACTCTGCTCGTCGGACCAGGATTTGTCCAGGTACTGCTCATAAGCAATCATGTCTTTCAGCGAAGCCACCACACCTGCATCGCCAGACCACTGAACACGATTGACAGCTGGTATAAATCCAAATGATTCATTGCCTTCATATCCGACACATGGTCCAGGGAGATGCGCATTATCTTCGCAAAACGCCGCTGTCTCCATGCGAGCGGGAGAGAAGAGTCGCTCGGCCAAGAGGTCCCCAAGTGTTGAACCCGTCACTTTCTCAACAACCCGTGCCAGAATATTGAAATTGAGGTTCGAGTATGCATATTGCGTTCCTGGTGGGAAATGCAACGACTTCGTCCGGCTGAGCGCCTTTTTCACATCTTCGGACAGTGTGAATACTCCCTCTGGCTGAGTACCCCAAAACATGGACATAGCCCAATAGTCACGAATTCCGGACTGGTTATTGCAGAGATTTTCGATATTTAGCCCAGTGTCCTCAAGAAGCTCCTCTTGGACTATTCCCCTCAGGCCGTCGGCTAGCTGCTGGCGCACGTCTCCCCGCTTCGCCATCTCCGAGGTGGGATTGCGTTCAAGATCCACCAGAATCATACACAGCATTTGTTTGGTAATCGAGCAAATTGGCATCAGTGCGGAACTCTCCAGGGGTATTCTTTTTTCGAGATTTGCGTAGCCCCAAACATGTTCGCCGACGAGCTCGCCATCTCTCAGTACCGCGACAGCCCCACCAGGCCCGCGGTAGAGAGAGGGTACCTTCTCAAGAAGCTCCAGGATGTGCCGCGAGAATCCTGCCATGGAGAGCGCGCTAGGTTTTAATCAGAATGCAGAGAATACCTTGTCTGGCAATATTGGAACTGGAGCTTGGAAGAGTTTAAAGTGTGAGGTTAACCAGTCGGGGTCCTAAAGCGGTTAACGACTCCACAGCACTCACCCGTCGCGCGTAGTTTTAAACGCCTACCGAGATCCGAGTATGCATGAAAATACTGGATGATCTCGCCAGTATTCAACACTCATTGGATATAGTTATTGTACCTTGATAAAGGTTCCAAGGAAGCCGTCAAAGTATATCCGAATGGATGGACGCCATGAAGTATTCAATAGAAATTGTCTAGTGAGAGAGTCATGGTTTCTATTTTTTTCCCACTTAATTTCTCGACATTCATGAACCCTACAGTCTTTCACAATGCTGGTATCTTGTCGGTAAGATTCCGGTCGCAGCGTTTTACTGGTTTAGGACACCATCGACAGTTACCCTGCCTAGATCTGACTAGTCTCATCATTCTAATCGGCCTCAAAATGCCGGGGAAACGATTGAAGAGAGCTGAACCAATGGCGGGACAGCGATTGTAGTGGCCACATCGCTCAACTGCTCAAACGATCTATCGCTATGTTGGACCTATGCTAATAGCTCAACAGTGTACTTGGCGGTAGCTGGCCTAGCCAGATGTAGGGTTGCAGCTGAATGAAGTCTGTACTAATTTTACTCTCCGAGACACCAGAAGCGAAACAGGGCCAGACAAGGGCCATAGTCGCTTAGCATACGACCAATGTTAACTCCAGTTGGGTCAATGACAATTCAAGGCTTATCACTTGTCTGAAAGGCCACGAGGTATGTGGATCGCCTAATTCGCGGTCAACTGTTTCACGCCATCAAAGCTAAGGGTAACAGTCTCTGATTCGCGACAAACTGTTGGAACTCTGGGGCGGAACTTCTGAAACTATCTTTATGTTAGCTTTTATTTAGATCAACAGTCATCAGCCACCCCCAGGATCACCATTCGTAATGGTTCTTGATTGATCAAACTCGCCCCCAACCTTGTTCCCTTGGCGAATCAGCGATGTTGCGCATCCAATGGACAGGGACATCAATTGAGACATTTCCAGTATATCACGACGCAGCACCATTTTTTGATCCGATATCTCGAATATCCGAGGGGACGAGACTATATAACGGTTATCATCAACCTATTCTAAATGTAAAACAAACGCCCTCCGCGCTCTGGTTGTTTTTGATCATTAGAACTTTCAACTACAGAAAACGAAAAGAAAAAGAGCCATCTATTCTTGATCATTCGAAATGCTGATCGGCGCCTCTCATATGGCCATGTTTGGCACGAACGACGGTTCCTCTGGAACATCATCTGGCGATTCAACGGCGAAACCAACCTCGGGATCTAAGCCGCAAGTCAGTTCAAGCACCACAGTCAAATCTGGGTCAACAACAGGCTCACCACCGGTGAAAGCCGAGAAGAAATAACCCCTTTGCCTGCAACTTCTCTTGTCCAAAAGTGTCACCCGGGGCCCAGTTGAAACTCCAACTTTTCTTGGACGGTGACTTCTTGGATACTATTCTCGAAGTTGATATATGTTCCTTGACGTGGTCATGAATTTGCACTGTCAAACTCAAATAATGGGGAAAGTTCAACAATTGTAAGTCGTTTGCAACTGGTTTCTTTCGAGGTCCCATACCTAGCTCATTGTTTATGTTCCTTTTCTAGAGAAGGTGTTGGGTTACAAGTGCTGTTTCGACGCATTTCATAGGTGTTTCAAGCGGTCCAAATATTGTCTCTCTTTTATTGTGTCTGTTTTAGATCTTATTCTTGCTCAATCTTTTATAAAATTTGTTGCATGTTGCTCCACAACGCTAGGTAACAGTAATCAAGGTAAATTGACCGCCAAAAACGACCACTCTCGACGCCACATTAAGCATGTTAGGTTTTTATCAGCACCTTAGTCATCGAACTCGCAAGTAACTAAATATCAAATTTACATTTAGGTATGTTTCTTTTCAGGAGTTTGAAATGAATGCAGGATAGGGCTCCCAGATCTACTCGACTTGTTTGATCTAGCTACAACTAGTCATCACAGCTTCCCGCCCCCTTTCCTATCAGTCACGTATGGAAGGTGGTCTATTTTTTTCTTTACTCCTTCTAGTGGTCTCTAATTTCTATTATTTACTTTACTGGATACCATGTTCTATTGGCCCGATATGAGCATGAACCATTGAGAAGCAGATACTGACTAAGCATGTCTTGGGAAGGTGGGGATAAAACTGTCCTTAACCGCCTTCGGTTAGCGTAGATGAGTCAGTGAGATGCTTGAATATCACGACGACGTCGAGCTAAATGAATTCCATTCACATGACACGTCAATATTTAATCCTTTGAAGCGAGATACTGGACATGTATCACCAGCAAACTTAATCTGCGAGGTGTTAAGAACCCATCCCCCATGGACTCGCAGCCGCCTTCCGACCCTGAACCTGCTACGGCTTCGTCCCGGCACTTGCCACAGTCACTCCCAGACTCGGGTCTCCAGAGCATATTCGATGCCGAAATCCCCGGGGGCTGGTCACTGGACGACCCCACTGCTGACTGGAGTGCCTTGAATGATTTCTATTTTTGCTCGTCCGAGCCCACCAACCTAGATTGGCCCCAATGGACGGGTCTCGAAGCCAATCAAGACTTCACGTCGCCTACCGGGGAGAACAATGCAGAGCCGCAGACTACCCATGTTGCACAAGAGTCTGTTCAACTTCCACAAGCTGAGAGCTCTACGTCTGGACTCAATTTCGGAGGTATTGGAAATGTTTCCCAGTGGCTTGATGGGGCCTATAGGCCTCCGGTCCCTTGCAGTCATTGTCGCAAACATCGACTTCAGTGTCTGATTATACGCACCACATCCGCAAATCCAAATCCAGTCACTTCATGTTCAAGCTGTGTAGCTCTATTCCGAGAATGCAGTCTTGCAAAGGGAGAAAAACGTGTCGCAGCTGGCTTTGAGACCTACACCCCAGTTTTAGGCCACCTACACGGACTGCCTGAGCATACAGAGGATAGGGTAAGTTCTCAGAATAGAAACAATCATGAAACCCGACTGACAGAATAATCAGGACAGAGATTTGGTCTCCCCCTCACACCAGGGAGAGGAACGAAAAGAATCTAAGCAATTCGTTCGAAAGGGAGCCAGGGTCTTGCGAGAATGGTTCTATCAGCACCAGGAATGCCCCTACCCTGATGACGATGAGAAAGCCCAACTGTCTCGTGAAACAGGATTTTCTCAAAAGCGTTTGTCAACATGGTTTGCAAATGCCCGCCGACGGCAAAAGCAGAAAATCCAGTCAGCCAATCTTGCATCCACCACCTACATCAGGGCTGGCTCGCCTCTCGTGACGAGCACTTTGAGCTCAATGACTCCTATGGAACGGTGGCAGGCATCGCCACCAGAGGATGAATCTGTCTCTGCATCAGTGATCCAAGAAGCTATCGCTTCGGGCACGGGCGAATGCCATCCTTTGGAAGACCCGTTTCAGTTTGACGGTTCTCATATGGACCTATTCAATTTCGATGAGACTTCATCCCACCTTGCATCTTCTATCTCAAGCTTGGGAAGTAGGGCATCAGAGACGTCAGAGAGTGTCTCATCTGCATGGAGCTATCAGTCCGGCGGGGAAGGAGGAAGAAGCACATTTCCACGACCTCCACAAACAAGGAGACCTCGCCGCCGAGCGCATTTACGCCAACGATCCAATGGAGAAGAGTATCAATATCAGTGCACTTTCTGCACACAGTCGTTCAAGAAACGACATGACTGGACTCGACATGAAAAGAGTGTACACCTTCAACTGGACTCTTGGGTGTGCACACCCAATCTTATCGAATTGCAGCAGCAGTGGAGCTCGCAGCTGGTAGGGTGCATCTTCTGCGACACCCCATTCCCCCCATCTACTCACTGGGAAGAGCATGAGTTTCACATATGTGCCGGGAAGTCCGTGACTGAGCGTTCCTTCAGTCGGAAGGATTACCTTTGGCAGCACCTGCGCAAGTTCCATGGGTGCACAAAACCCCCGGTTCTAGATCTTGATGCATGGCGTGACACTGGTGCAAACGTTCAAAGCCGGTGTGGATTCTGCGAGATTACCATGCCTACTTGGGCGGTTCGAGTTCAGCACTTAGCGGAGCACTTCAAGAATGGGGCACGTATGGATCAATGGGTCGGTGACTGGGGATTGGACTCAATGGCCATGGAGGCGCTGCGGAATGCTCTTTTGCCGTCTCAACGGGCTATTGTCGGCATTTCGACCTGAAAAAGGATCGCGTTCTCTGCTATCCAACCGAATAGATGCTACTCAAAGCTCATTGCAAAGCTTGCAGCGACTAGGGACTTGGCGCAATTGAACCGGACAAGCTCATGCTGCTCGCCTGTGAACTAAATTTGTAAGTAATCTAGGTGACGGTAAAACTACAGCCTCGAGGATGATCGGCTCCGGAGCAGCTCCGTGAGTGATCGCTCACCCCGATACTTGGGCTAATTGGCCCTTTTGGTTTCATCCTCCAAGGGGCGCCGAGTCTGATGATAACCGCCCTGCTACCTACTTTCAGTGCTCCTGGGAGCGAAGGCCGGAATAGGACGTACTCGCATGTTGCGGTAGTAACTTCGTCGTCTCGTCTCCTACTTCCGGCAGTCTTTTAAGCTGTGTGGGGATTTAAGTATCTTACTATCCATCCGTTGTACTATTTACTATTTCCTTCTCAATGCAGTCAAAAGTGCATCTTATCTTCTGTTTTCTATATCTAGAGCTGGATCATTCCTATAACCATCATACACTGATAATATCGCGCAAATTATCTTACATACCCTACTGGAAGCCTTAGCTGCGAGTAGCTGTTTTGTATAGAGGGCAAGACCCAGTCATACTACCTAATCATAATCATGATCAGTCCATTCATCATCTGTCTCCCTTTCCCACAGGTCCTCATCGTTGGTCGTTGGCTGCTTGATTGTGGTCGCGTTTTCGATGAAGAGAACATGGCGATGACTGACCACCCTGCTCCAGCTGAGGCACTTGGAGTTCATCCGCCCACTCCTGCTGATAGGCGCGCTGGGATCTCGGCGATCAATCATCACTGCTGCCAAAGAAACGTTGTCCAAGAGTAGAGTCGAATGTCTCCGCCAGTGGTGTTTCGGCCTCGACATCCAAGTCCACATTTACCAACGAATCGGCGTGCAACAGGAGCGCCCGGAAGATATGATCTAGGCTGAACATGCTTATTATGCCATCTATCGAGCCTCGGCCACCGACCGCATACGTAAACTCTTCTAGCCGTTTGGCTGACTCAATGACCCGCAACAGATGGTGGTAATCTAGGTTGGAGTTCCGAATGATAATGCTAGTATAATTTGCGGATCGCGGTGGGGGCTCAATACTCGGCCTCTGCATGCTCATAATTGCGTTGACTCGGATGGATTCTATTGCAGGGAGCCGGCGTACCAGGTTGAGGCTGCCGTAAAGATCATAGGGCTGGTAATCGTACCAGGGATGGATTCTTGTATCGGTATCGACAAGAAATCGGACCTGCGAAGATGATGCAGGAATGGCAGGGTCTCCTGCGGGCTCTTGCTTGCTCGGTCTAAGAAATGCTTAAAGAAATAATCACTTTCTCGCAGTGGAGTTCCATTGGCTTGGGCATTTAGTTTTGAGAGTTTCGATGGTTCCTGGCCGACAGTGCAGAAACTCAAGGATTTTAATAGTGGCGAAACGCTGACTAGTAATGCCGCCAACGCCTGGGCGAGGAACGGGGCTCGTGGGTCATTATGGCTAAAGAAAATCAGAAAAGACCATTTTCTTTGTGTGGATGTGCCAACGAAGTCACCGAGCTGAGAAAGGTGGAGGGGAAGACAAGCTTACTCCATGCTAGCCGGACACTGTTGTAAGATATTGAGCACCTTCTCCTGTTCTTCTGAGCAATCAAAGCCAGCCTTCCTGATCGTCGCAGTCAGACGGGCCTGGTCCTTTGGTCGGAGGGACCGTTGCGGCGGTTTGGGTGTGTATGACTGTACCAATCCATAGTTTAGCGATGGGGATCGGTTCAGCTCTATGTGGCGAACATACCCCCCATACCGAGGGTTTTTGAGGGTCGATCGGAGCATTCTAAAAGCCACTGCCAAGTCAAGGGGCTCTCGGAGTTTTACGCGGCGGTATCTACGACGGTTGGACATGTCACAAAGCCGATGCCAACGGTGGCATTGGAGAGACAGTGCTGCTACATCAGTATGAGATGGCAGGTAGGATAGGATTTGAAGGAGAGTTTCGCCTGTAAGGGATTGTAGAAACATATTAAATACTGACAGTAATATTAAACAATGCAGTCTCTCGTCGAGCAGGGGAGAGAGAGAGAGAGAGAGAGAGAGAGAGAGAACATGTAGTGAGGACAACCACGTGATATAGTGGACCATGATTCGACTATAATAGCTAACAATTTGAAGGCCATCTAACCTTGCAAAGTGTGACGAATATGATATTTGGATGAATTGAGCATCATCTCCCCTTGTTAAGCGAAATACGAGGGAATTGACTACGTAGACAATACAAACTTATAATTCACTTGACCCGGATCCTTCTCGTCCGACTCAAAACTTCCACTCCCACCATTGATGAACATCTCCCCGAGCTCTCCTTTGCCGCTTCCAGGCACAATATTAAATGACCCTTCCACTCTAAACTTCTCTGCATTGAAAGTTCCTTTCCCTTGCGTCATAAAGCTGCCCGCCTTGCCGTGGAAATCCTGCGACTCGACGAGATCGGTGAATATAAAGACGGCAGATCCATCCTTGGCACGATCACCTCCGGCAGGCAGGTACAGCATCTGGTAGGTGCTAGTGATCTCGGCGTTGAGCTCACTCAGGTTCATTTTAACTGTTGCGGGTGTCAAGCGAGGGAGGGTGGATTGGGTGGTGGGAGATCGGTCCTCGTCCCAGGAGAGGACCTTGGCGGGGAGGTGAAGAGTTCAGGCATTTCCTTTCAAAAAAAATCTTCCAGCTTTTTTCGATTAGTACATTTGCCCTAGAAATAAGTGTAGAACGAAAAGTTTTATCTCACGGAGCAAGAATGGGGCTTGGGATATATTTCAACTTCCAAGGTTTATCCTGGAAATATAGGTCATCGTATAGGAAGACCAGTCCTCCTGACAATATATACCTTTCTTTGTCCCATCCCGGTCCATTACCTACCACATTTGCTCCCTCAAACCTATTGATTCCAGTGATTCAACAACTGTCTTGATTGGACTCAGCATGGCCCCAATATGACGGGCTCGCCAGATAGTTCCAGATAGAGTTAGTGTAACGCGTCACCACGCGTCACCACGCGAAATGCACGCCAAAGCACGTGACCAATTATGGGTAAGATGGCAAGTCAGAGAATACAAAATACCTGGTTCCATAAGAATCGCGAAGCCGCTGCTAAGTTACATGGCCCAAAGTGTAAATATGCAAAGTTGTTCTTTGTTTCAAGCGTAATCGAAGAGCCCATGGGGGCTAGGCATCCTCGTATATGTGAGCTGGGTATCTCCACGAGGAACGCATCACAGACTACGGGCCGAGTCTCCAGCTCGTTGTATAGGCAACACACCCTCTCGTACAAATGTACTACAGGAAAATGTCCGCGAGCCTTGCGTTTCTGTCCCTTCTTGACAGTGGGCCTCAAGAATGTCCGAATCCATATATTCTCCCCGGCGAGAAGGAATGGTTATGAGCTCAGCGACTATTGCTGGAAGGTGGGCACCCACAGGAACTACAGGAGGCAGAACTCTTTGCATTCCCGGCTCGCTTCTCGGGAGAGACCTCGAATGAGATGTGCTTTCAAGTAAATATCCTCTTGTGCCGTGAGGGTGCTGAAATGGGTTGATGAAGAAGTCAAACAAATGCCTAAAGCCACTATCCTCATATGTCTACAACAGGTAGATTCCTCCATCGCCCTTTGTCACTCTATTTTTTCTAACGCCCTTTTCGGTACAACTGCAGGCTTCCAGGCATAAGTGGCTATAAGCACGCCCAAGTCTCGCTTGCTAGATCACCTTTTCGCTGCCCTAGGGCATCGCTGAATCGATGCTGGCCGATTCTGGAGGCCGCCTGGTAGCTAAAGTAGGACCAGGATGTTGCGGAATACTGAACACTATGTTCCAAGATCTCCAAGTAGTATCGGTGAGCTCTAGGGATTTTTTGAGCAAAACCCAGAAGGCCATATCATTGAGAATCGTTATGTCAGTCGCCAGCGTAACCGGATATGGGAAAGCAAGCCCGCTGCTTGTGCACGCTCTATTATTCCGTGAAGAATGTCATCATAGGGTAGGGTTTTTACGAGTATTACATAGTCTGTCTCGTCTGAAGCAAGGAAGACACCAGCTTTCAAGAAGGAATACACCTCATTGTACTATTTTAATACAATCAAGACCTCGCATACTAGGAAGAAGGAAACATGTAAATAAAATCTCACCACGAACCAAGCTATGTTTTCCCCCATGAGGTAGAAGCTAAAGATATCTGGCCTAGCGGGTGTGCGAGGAGCTATGGCCGTCTATCACTAGATTCAACAAAAAGTGAAGAAAGAAAATAGCGAAGAAAAGGAAGCAAATAGTGGGGAAAGATATGTGAAACGTTAGTAAAAGGGGGTATATAGCTTCAATTTGTACCCCAATGTTCGGGCATGCATCACTCTCATTCAATACAGACACTTCTCTACAGGGCTGTTTCATAGATAGAATGTATGCCCCTCCGAATATTAGAATTCCCGTTCCAAAAGACGCTCCAAGAGATGCTTCGAAAAAGGCGAGCGCGATTCAGAGCTAGTTTAGAATGAAGATTTTCCCCACGGAGAATTCAGAATTCATATAATGAGAGCTCAAGTATTCATGGCACGCTAATTATGAACAAATCAGATCAAACCCCTAATTACCAACACCCTGCCACTCCCGGTTGTACCAAGTACCCAGGCCGAGCGCAAACAGCACGAGACTCCCATCTCGAATAATGTCTCTGAATAGCTGTACCACCATCCCAAGCCCCGCTTGTTTCCCACCGAATAACACTCGCCCTCCAGTAAGAACCATCTCGCCAGTAACGAAGATCAAAAACGGGTTTTGGGCAGTAGCCGGCTTTGGTGGCGGGCTACCGAACGTCGCAACCGATGTCCCAATGGTGAACAGGAGGTACATGGCCACTCCGAGCGCGAAAATAGCATGCAAAGCCTTCCATGTCCGGACAGCCTTCTGCTCCTGCTCAGTCGGTGGTTGAGATGCTCCACCGAGCATGTTGGCGATAAATGGTGGCACACCGAGTGCGGATGCGATGGCGGCTGGCGAGAGACCTGGCTGCGGCTGTGCAGGCATAGCACCCGGGGCTCCCGGGGCATCTGGAGCACCGGGTGGGGGTGCATTTGTGCTGCCGGGCATGGCACCCAGGAGGTTCTCCAGAAGCTTCAGCGTGGGGTCCTCCACATCATTTTGTTGTCCTTGGCCGGGGGCCACCTGTCGCAACATGGCACGGAAAGCCTCCTGCTGGGCTTGGAGGGATTCAGAATCGGACGGCATATCTGGTTGAGGAGCTGGTGGTGGCCGGTTTTGTGGTACTGGAGACGGGGATGGCGAGACTGCGAGCTGGGGAGATGGTGAAGCTTCTTCGCGTACTACTGTGGATCAAGGTGTTAGCCACATGGCAACACATTGAGACGACGACCTCATCGGTTCAGGAATTTGGATGGCTGAATCATAAGCTTGAAACCATACCTGACTGCGGAGTACGGCCGCTGAGGCTAGTGATCTTGTCCAGGCGAGCTGATCCTCCTTCCTTGATTTTCGCCTCGCGGCGTTCACGTCGCAGGCGGGCGGCGCGCTGGGCGGGGGACTCCTCGGGGGTAGACATTTTTTGATGGATGACAGTAAACGAGGATGATTTAAGAGAGAATAATCGTAAATGAATGTCAAAGCCACTGGTTGGCAATGAAAAGGAGATACCGTGGATGTTATGCGACCACAAGTGACCAGGTGAGGTCCAAATGTGGGCGGAGGTGAGAAAGGTCCCGTGGCGATAAGACCCGCCTATCGCTAGATTAACGCTCGAGGCTGTGAGCGTTTTGATCTTCGATCACCACGCTTTGTTTTCGTGTAGACTAATCAATCAATTGGACAGCGGGCTACATTGTCTAGTCCTATATTTGAATTCACACAACAAGGACCTTCCAACGGTACTTGTCATTGAGGCTGAGATCTCTTTAGGCCTATCTGGTAAAACAAAAGCGCGTTCAACACAACTTTCAGTTATAAGCTTTCAAGTAGGCATTGGTGCATTGATTTCGAGGGACATATATGCTGAAAAGGTTTCAAAGCGAGGCCAGGTCGTGCATTATGCTTGATAGTCATCGTTGATCTCATCGTGTAAGCTTCAGGTGACATCATCCCATCCTTGAAGCCAGAGGACAGTCAATCACGAACGCAATTCCTAACAATTGACACATGCCAAGAAATGTGTTACTTCGATTTCTGCCTTTATGTCCATAGTCCAAAGGTACAGACTCTTCCGATGAGGTTCTATAGCTCTTTGCTGGAGACTTCCGTCGACTTGTATGAGCTCACAGCGCCAAGACCTTCTTCCCGCTGAGGCTGGACGGAGAGGGCAACACGTAGTCCTAGCATGTATGGGCCAGTGAATAATGTGGGGAAGGAAAGCAGATCTCCATGTATTTATGGCTTCAAGGTTACAGATAAACGATGGACCCGCCAATCGAAAATCGCAATGGGCATTGGCATCGTCATAACATTTCCCGGGTTCGCGACCGCCGATGACGTAGTTCTGGAGAGAGCTTGGCCGCGCTGGCTGCCGGGCCTGATGGACTGTCACTTTCTGTCCGGGTCTATATCGATCATTGATATAACTTCCAGTTTATTTGAACTGATCAATTCCTCAACTGCGTTCTGGAAGAAGTGGGGGTTGTTGTGAGGAATCTGCTTGATCACTTCCACCTCCACGCGACCATCCTCAGTACCTTGATACCTCGCAGCACGTACACGTTACTCGAATCCGCAACTCTAATCAAAATGGCGCCTACCGGCCAGGGGACTGGCGAACCCGATCGCCACCGCGTGGGCGAGTATTGGAGCGGCACCAATCCCGTTCCGACTGTCCAGAAATTTGTCGAGCGCCTCGACGTGGAGAAGAAAGAGCGAGACCACAGAATCGACGAGGAGAACAAAGCTAGAAAGCAAAGAGCAGCCTTGAAGCAGCAAGAACAATACAAGTCTGGAAGACCGAATGATGGATCCCAGACAGGTGTCATGGCCCATGAGGCCCGCGAGGTTGCTCAAGCTAATGTCCGCATGGTGACCGATCCAACAACCGGTAAAGAGATCGGGGTCGAAGATCAAGATCCTTCTTCCATGGAAGCTGTCAAGAACCCAAAGGTTTGTTATGTATTCGAAAAAGAGATAAGAACTAGCATTGAATGACGGAAAATTACAGCTGACTGTGCCCAACGCCAACCTCGGTCGACCGACTGTGAGCACATCACTATTGCAAATATATTATACGCGCAGGGTTAACGAGCTTTTGCAGGAACATCAAACTAGCCCTGATCAAGAGCTCTCCGAGTACAAAGAGAAGCAAGACATTACCGCTCCACCCGATCCTATCGCTGAAGGAACAACCTCCGACGTTCCCATTCGCGGAGAGAAGACGAACGTCCTCTTCCATCCTACCCCCACTGTCTCGTACAAACCCATGTTTGATCAATTGGAGAAGCGTGGAACTGTACTATGTATCGCCATTCTCCTCGCCATCATTGTACTCGGGCGGACCTTTGGAGGCTCCCTCCTCGGACTGATTCCTCTAGCCTTTTGTGTCACAAGTGGTGTTTGGCTATGGGTGCAGGAAGTAATCAAGAGTGGTAAAGAAATGGAATGGAGCAGTGAGCGGATGCGCGGTCAAATGGTATGTCGTCTTCTAATCAATGCATTGATCTTTCCACATGCTTACCAGAGATAAAATCAAAGGCCACCGTGAACCTGCTTCCAGAATCTGTCGAATGGATGAACTCTTTCCTGTCTGTAGCGTGGGGACTAATGAATCCCGAAATGTTGGTTCCTATGGCCGACACAATCGAAGATATCATGCAAGCGTCCGCTCCCAAGGTCGTCGAGAACGTCCGAATTGCCGAGATCGACCAAGGAAACAACCCTCTCCGAATTCTCAGCATGCGTGCTCTGCCCGATGAACATGTTCAGCACCTGAAAGACAACATCCATGAGCAAAATATCAAGAATAAGGACCCACAAGAGGCCGCGGCCGCCGAGGAAGGTGGAAGCTACTACAACATGGAAGCTTCTTTTGCATACCACGCGAAGCCGAGTAGTGGATCTGCCTCATCGAAGGCTCGCAATATGCACATGCATTTAGTGTTTTACTTGGGTATCCGTGGCCTCTTTGGAGTTCCGTTTCCAGTTTTCGTTGAGTTGACCGAGCTAGTCGGCACAGTCCGATTACGCTTCCAGATGATGCCAGAGCCACCCTTCATGAAGGAAGTAACCTTCAGTTTGGTGGGTATTCCACACGTACGTGCGGGCTGCCTGCCCATGATCCGTCGCGGTGTGAACATTCTCAATCTACCTTTGATCTCGAACTTCGTCAACTATGCCATCGGCGCCGCTTGCGCCATGTTTGCGGCCCCCAAGTCGATGACTATGGATCTTAGCATGATGCTGAAGGGTGATGATATCCAGAAGGATACTTTGGCACTTGGTGTTATGTGGATTCGTATTCACCGTGCGGTTGGCTTGAGCAAACAAGACCGCCGCGGTAGTGAAGGTGGTGGTAGCGATCCGTACATCAACCTGTCATTCTCAAAGTATGGAAAGCCAATGTACTGTACTCGGGTTATCACGGACGATCTCAACCCTATCTGGGAAGAAACTGCCGCGCTCCTCGTTACGCCCGAACTGATCAAGGCGGACGAAAACCTGAGCATTGAGCTCTGGGACTCGGACCGCAACACGGCGGATGATATCTGCGGTAAGGTTGAACTGCCAATTCGGGAGATGCTCCAGCATCCGGGTCGCATGTATCCCAAGGTCTCCAAGCTACAAGGTCTTGATGATGGCAGCGAGATGCCGGGCCAATTGCACTGGGAGGTTGGATACTTTGGCAAGCCCAAGCTGCGCCCTGAACTTCGCACGGATGGTCAGAAGAAGGACCTTCCTGAAAACCTCAAAGGAGATCCTAAATTCGAGGATGAGAAAGGCACCATTACTAATGAGGAAGAAGACGCTGTTATGCATACGCCGCCTGATCCCATCTGGCCTAGCGGTATTGTGCATATCGTCGTGCATCAGATCGTCAATCTCCAGCTGGTCAACGTCAAAGGCAGCGAGGGGAACCGCAAGGGTAGAGAGTATGAGCCTGCGAAACCATTCGGTGAGAATACCGAGGAAGAGGGCGAGCATTTGCCTTCCAGCTATTGCAAGATCATGCTCAATGATCAATTGGTAAGTTGAAAGCACTGAGTCGACTTTCTTCCCGATCCCATACACTAACCAGAGATGTAGATCTACCGCACTCGTCCAAAGGCCGTCAGCTCCAAGCCTATCTTCAATGCTGGAACAGAGCGCTTCGTCCGCGATTGGCGATCTGCCATGGTCACCATAACTGTGCGAGACCAGCGTTATCGTGAACATGACCCGATCCTGGGCGTTGTTCCAATCAAACTCTCCGATCTCCTCCAGACCAGCTCACAGGTGACCCGCTGGTACCCCCTCGACGGTGGCGTCGGCTTCGGACGCATTCGTATCTCGATTCTTCTCCGCCACGTCGAGACCAAGCTGCCTCCTAACATGCTTGGCTGGGATGTGGGCACCTTTGAGTTTGTCAGTAACAAGATCCTTGCAAAGGACTACGGGCGGCAGTGCAAGATCAAGCTTCGCACTGGTGGCAGCACGGGCAAGATCACCCGTAAGGCTGGAAATCTGGATGGCAAGGATCTGAGCTACGACATCTCCGACACGACCTTTCGAGACGGTCTCCGCATGCCGGTCAAGCACAGATACCGTTCCCCAGTTGTCTTCGAGTTCCACAACCAAGGCAAGCGAGGCGCAGCCGCATACGCCACCTTGTGGCTCCAGCACCTGGTCGATAACGAAGAAACCGACATCGACCTCCCCATCTGGACAACAAAGAGTGGCGCCCGCCTCACACAAAACTACATCACCGAAAAGAACTGGAAAGCCAAAGAAGTGCCCGGACTACAGGACCTGACCGAAGTCGGCCGACTACAGTTCACGTGCAAATTCTCCCCCGGCATTGACGAGTCGCACGAGCAATTCGTCACTGATAATGACTCTCGCGAGACCTTCGAAACCTGGGAAGCCTGCATGTCGCAGGGTGTTCGCTCGCGCAGCATCTCCGTCGAGGTCCCGGCCGAAACCCAAGAGAAACATGAGAAGTCGCTCATTGACGGCCGCGACGTGCTCAAACAAGCAGACCCCAACGAGCGACGCAGATGGGTCGACCGCGAGGGCCAAGACTGGAGTGGTGCATTCGGTCATGACCCTCGCGCATATACCGATTCCAGCGGACGCAAGGTCGCCGAGCCTGGACGCGATGAGCCACGGCATGACGCTATCACGCCTCCACCATTAAAGGGCCAGTCGTCATCTCATCTCGGCACGCAGAACGGGACCCAGGCCACGAATGTCCACAACGGTGAAGCGGCTTCCGATTCGGATGACTCTGAAACGGAGTCATCCTCGTCGTGGACACCGTCGACAGTTAGTCCCACCGCGGACGCTGGATCCTCACAGGCAAGCAGTAGCCAGATGAGCCAGAGCCAGATCAACAAGGCGAATAGACGGAGTGAGCAGCGTCAGCAGCGTGGGATGATGCAGTGGAAACCTGCACGAAATGCGGTGTTTGCGAAGGACGAGGCCAAGTTTGCGCTGAGGAAGATGAAGAAGAAGATTGGGATGGGTGATTTGACTGGCCGAGAGCCGGATATTGAGACAGAGACTTGAGGAGAATGAGAGAGACGTGAGAGGAGAGTTTAGTCGTTCATTTGGGTTGATGATTGGGAGTGTATATTTTTTTTTTTTGTTTCGGGATCGATGTAAAAGGCGTCGGTTGAGGATTTTCGACATATTATGAAGATTACGTCTCTATGAACACGAATATCATACATGTGTTGCTTTGGCGTCAAAGATCTGGACCACGGGCTTTGGATGATGCTGTAAAGCTATTGATAGGCCTCAGCGTGTAACTGTATGCTTCTAAGCTATAGGGATAGTTTGGGCGTCTTCTTTGACAGCTCGTCCTCACTAAAGACATCCGATATCGTGGTCTCTTCAAATATTGTTAACATAAGTGACGTGTCTCGTAAAGTCATTATCAGATTTGGTACATAGCCCGGAAGAACATAACAGAAGGAATATGAATGATACCTGTGCCCAGGTCTGCCAGTTTAGTCGTCCTCGTCCGTTTCCCAAGAATTATCACTTGCATCATTATCTGGGGGTCCTAGAGCCCGTGCCAAAGCATCAAAAATAGCTCCATCCATCGGCCCAAACGGTGTCCCCAGTCCAAAGTGGTGCCCAGGCCCGAACCCTTCCCCGATCGGAAAGTCATGATCAACCAGATCCATCACATGATGATGATAGTCGAGATCGGAGCCATCGTATTCATCGTCATAGTCATCATAATCATCATAGTTATCAGAGTCCATAAGATCCCTCAAGTCCCACATATGGAACGGCATGATCTGGAAGTCAACTTTGGTATCCTTGAAGAGATCCCGGAGGCTGTGAAAACATTGCTCAGGCGTCTTGCCGTCCGGGATGATCTGTCCGGGAAGTTTGACGGGCTGGGTAATATCGAGGGCGAAGACCTTGAACTCGGTTAAGTTCGGATAGAGACCCTTTTGACAGTCCGCCGCAATATGGCCGACCATGTCGCGGATGGAGGACTTGCAGTCCGCGATATGGAGCGTTTTGAGAGAAGGTGGGAAGTCGGGATGGGGTGGGAGAATAGCATGCGCGATGTACACGGACTCAAGGGCGTCAAAGTCACGGAATGAGCCAAGCGTGCCGCGACGAGAAAGGTGTTCTTCAAGATTTTCCAGGTCCCACGGATCGTCAGCGAATGTGAGCCCGATATGCTCAAGAGTGTCCTTGTGTGGAAGAATAGCTTGGTAAAACTGCGGGGCATTGAATTCGCGCTTGGGGGTCGGCGTCGGTATTCTTTCACGATGTATATCCACATGAAAGTTCTTATAGGAGAAATATTTGAGTCGTTTGAAGGCTTGCATGAACCTTTCCATGCCTCCGACATCCATGTGGCAGCGGCGAAAGCTGATTTTCTCCGCATTCACTGTGCCAGGGGCCCAGGAAGTTGGGAATGATTCGTCTGAAAGTTTAGCAAATTCAAAATTGGCCTCTTGGAGGTTTGGAAGTGTTAAAAATCTATGGTAATGCGCAACGTCAAAGCAGAGAAAGTAGTCATCTCCTTCGAATGAGATGGATTGAAGTTCAGACAACAATGATGGATTGCGGTTGAAAAGATGATCAAGGCATCCCATGCGGATGTGGCCCGCTGGCAGGAACAATTCACGAATATGGGGAGTTTTGTTGATCAGTAGAGCGGTAAGGATAGTAAGGTCGCGGAGCTTGAGCCCGGAGATCCACGCTTTCTCCTGAGCACCCAATTGTAGGTCCTTGATTGCGGCCTTGAGAAGCGCAGAGTCCGCAGCAGAAAGAGGTTTGGGTCGTTCATCGTCCGGGGGGGCATAATGTCGAGCTCCCGTACATGCTCTCCGAGCTGTGGGCGGAGATAAAGGGCTTGGGCGAAGGAGACGGTCTGAGTTAGGTAGCCGCTTAATCCCATGTCCTCGAAATTGTAGAAAAGATAAGGTTGTGCTAAGTCTCGAAATAGGCGCGACACTAGACAGAGATTCCGTAGATCCCTGTGCGGCCGACTATACACTGGCCCAAGCGTTTCCTTTTCATCCTTCTCCTGGCCCTTTATCTCATCTTCCCAAGCATCCTCGTCATCAAGCGTTTGGTCTGTGTTCACTCCACTGGCATCATCCTCGTTGGGGTTGGCGTCGGCACTCGGATCAGCATCATTGTTGGGCTTCTTAGAGCTTAGTTTCTCCAGAAAGCCAGGCGGGAGTGGACCCCGAAGAGGGGCAATAAAGAAGATGATGCGGGTCAGAAGCTCGGGCGGGAGATCCTGAATGTTAACCATGATCAAAGGTAGCAGGCAGAACGACTTGAATCGGATTTGAAAGATCTCAATTTTAAGCAGAAAGTCGCTCAGGGGCTCAACGATGTCGAAGAGGCTGGCATTGGCGCGTCCCGACGCGTGAAGTTTAGCCCGCCGATCTTCAATCAGTGGCCCCGAATAGGAAGTTAGGGCCTGGAGATTAGGGCTCTGACATCCTTTTCGGAGCGCAATCGGATTAGACATGTCCCTGTATCAAGGGCAACTATACATTTCTCGCCCTGTCTGATGGCGCTTGGTAAAGACGGGGACTTCAAACCGAATATGGGAGGTAGTCAAAGCAATTGATTGGTCTGTCCCATAACGACTGTAGCACGCTGGAGTCAAGACCAATGATCCACTCACATACCTCTGCTTACCTCCTTTGTCTTCAGGCGTTCGCTTGAAATTTACTTCAAATCAACCTTCTTAATGATCCTGGCATGGTCTCTATGTCTATTGTCTAACTTCAGAATCACTAGAAGATTTTACAGATTGTAGAGGTATGCTTGAGATTGGATCCCCATCCATTGTACGGTGTATCGATCAACTACCGTAATAATCGACTATCTAGACAGATAATCCAAGTGAGCAGTGCACCACTGACGTTGCTATTGACCAGCGGGGCATAATAGTCGGACTGCAAGCTGCCTAATCCAATCTGCACCCGCTGTCAGCGATCACCTGCCAAGACCACTTATGCAACCTGTCGTGCATCTTCCCGCCATGACGGCTGTCTGGCATTAATTGCATGACGCCATAGGTCCTGGGATTGTCCCAGCCACGGCGCTTGGCCTTTACTCTAATACTCGCTGGCTACAGTAATCGAGAGAAATGTCAAGTAGCTTCGCTGTGGATTGACAATTTCAGAACCCCAGAACTGACAGCAGGAAGATAAAGAGAAAATAAATTATATTCAAGAATGAAGTATATGGACCAAGGGATACCTTGATCCTCAATAAAAGGTTGTAATAGTGTAAGATACCCATGGAAAACGGGCTAACTCACAAGCAAAAAGCCACCAGCGCCTCTATATGTGATGGGGAGCATGATTCGTCAAACAGGATAGTATATGTGCATCGCCATTATGCAAGCAAAAACCCCAAATATGCAGATTGCTAGTATTCGCCAGCCATATAGTCATTTGATCGGTGGCTTTTCAGGCGGCGGATCAACCGGCTGGGGCGCAAGGACTTGCACCGGGATTTCGGGGTGCAGGTCGTCCGAGATAGTACCGACGGGACCTAACGTCCACTTCCACTCGCGCCGTCGCTTGGCTCGGCCCTGTTGCGGGGTCTGTGGTGTAGACGAGGCGTAGGGATCTGTATCGAAGCCGTCGAGGAGTGCGACGGCTCGGACTTGTCGCTCGGCGCACATGGTGCGCCGCTTCTTGCGCTCTGTTTTGGAGAGCGGCGTGTTTGCGCCGTCATCCGGGCTCACATCGTCGCTCGAGACACTACTCGTCTCTGAGAGTGAGAGCTGAGAAGCTGAATCCGAGTCGTCGTCCTCGGCAGACTCGGGCGTGGGTTCTTCTGATGCCGGGTCTGCCTCGCCGTGCACAGCCTCGGGGGTCTCCTCGTCTTGAAACAGGTCAAGGTGCTGCGCCGTGTAGCGCTCGGTGCGGATCTCCTCCTCGAGTGGATTCCGGTAGCTGACTTGTTTCTTGGCGGGGAAGAAGACCCGGCGTGCGCCTGCGCCGCCGGGTCCGCTGGTGCCTGCGGAGATGGAGCCGGAGCGTCGCCGCGAGGCTGATTCGAGAGGGGAGTTACGTAGGATGCTGCGTACGCCTAGGGGAAGTTGGTAGGGGCTGCGGTAGCTGAAGGCATTGGAGTTGTTGCTTGCATGGTAGAGGTAAGGAGAGATCGGCTTGTTGCTGTTGAATCTGAGGCTGGGAGGGGCCTTGGAGGAGGGTGAATTTGTCACGGAGGCGGGGGAGACGACATCGTAGGCGTTTTTAAAAGTGTTGCGGATGGTCGGCGATGCAGTTGAACCGGCTGCAAAGGAGAGGGAGAGGCCGGTGGTAGAACTGCCAAAGGTTCGTGGGAGCGAGGTGGTTTGAAGCGTGAGCTTGGGTCTGGAGGTGATGGATCGGTGGTCACCTGGAGACGACGAGACACAGGACATTGTGGTCGAACATGAAGGTGGAGGAGGAGGAGGATGACTGTCAGAGGAAGAGGTATAGATGTGTGTCATGGAGCATGACGTTGAGAAGGGCCTGAAAGGAGAGCGCAGTGTCCCTCTGTCTTTTCTGACAACCCCTCAAGACTTGAGTTGTTGGAATGTGTCAAGTGGCGGGGAATTTGCGCTAAGAATAGTTTGGCGCCTGCAAATGTGACGAGATGATCGAAGGGTCACCACCAACCAGGAGGGATATTGCTGTAAGTATAGAGGAGAGATCACTCGAATCGCTCGTGGATCACCACGATGGATTCTATATATTAATTTCACGATCACTCCGCAAGCAGAGTTTTTCTTTTCTATTTCTCTGGCCGGTGGACGCTGGACGGGCAACTATCGACGCCACCGCCAGCCCGGTCGGAGATGGGGATCGGCCTCGACCCTGCCTGTCTTGCCCGTTCTAAAATAAACTTAAAAAGGCCAGGTGGAAGTACTCCTCACCAGGACATCACTCGTTACTGTAATAAGATTACATCGATGGATGATGGAGACGTTGGAGATTGGCGATCGTGGGGCGTTGTACTGTCGCCTCGTAGGCAATGCAATTCCATGTCAATACGGAAGTCCAGGATGAACGAGGCAAACCAATCACTGGGACTCGACCTCATCGTCTCAGCCGGCACTTTCCACCTTTGACAGCTGTATACGAAGAAAAGGCGATTATCAGAGATTTAGTCATCCCCTGTCTGATTTCTATAAAAAGATCCCAAGAGATCCCGACACGAAGTGGGGCCGTTCATCGAATGGCCGAGCCCGTTGGGAACGATGCTGAACCCAAAGTACGGAGTACGTGTTGTCGAGTTCGTTGAAGAGATTTCTGTCCGTTGGGTGAGGTGAGACGAGACGAGAGACTCGTTCATGAGTTTGGAGGATACCTAATCTCCTATGGGGGCTGTTCTTTGCGGTCCTCGCTCTATGCGTAGTCTCGTATTCTATCTCGTCTAGCAGAATGTTCTACCAAGTGTTCTAGAACGATGGCTTCCACAAGGAACCGTGTTTGGCAGTGTCTTTTCCACCGAGTCGTCCTCCCCCGACCAACTCGTATTGATCCTTCATCCCACCCTTCCCCCAGATCACCAAACTTGGTTCCCTCTTTCTCCTCGCCGCTTAACACCTCGACTTCGTCCGTCCCTCCGCACGTGCCCAAGCAAGGTGGCGTCCGTGCGCGATCCCTCCCATCCCCGTCTCCTCCAACTTCAGTTGACCCTCCCACATCCAACAAGACAACAGTCTGGACCAACTCCAGTCCCTGTTTCGCAGCCATGTATTCCAGTTCAATTCACATTTCAGGTTCAATTACATCCATCGCATAGCTCAGGTCCCTTGCATATCTACAGCATTCCAACAACGAGGCAATCTCCACCTCCCTGACCATGATCGTCCGTGGGACAGTCGAACGACCCCCAACTCTGGTTCAGATCCACCCCGTATTCCAGAAGCCCCCAAGCCCGGGCCATCGTGTCCAACACTGTCGATACTTCACAAGTCTCGTACAACAAGAACCAGATGTTCGCTTCCACACGCAATACCTCGCAAAATCAACCTAAATCTACGCGATGACGCAAAATACGGTGCAGGGACTCGATTGATCTCCGCCCCCACGCGATGGCACTAAACTCCCCCTCTCTCTCTCCGGGCAATACGAAGTGATCGTCCTCGTAATCCTCGTTGATCGTCGCCAGTATGCCGATTTCGTCCATAACCACCATCAGAAATGGAAACGCTATCTTGTGGGAGGTGTCAATGTCTAAAGTAGACACGGCCTTTTGGTAGGCCCAATTGACTGGAGTAAATTAAGCAACAACATCGCCTTTCGCTTGTTTCAGGACTACGCAGGTGCATCGTATTCAACTACGCCCGCTTTTTCGACTTCAGATCCCGGTAGGTGCCCATGCGTCGCCATTTTCGGAATGACTTCCTTATCTCCCGTTTGAAAAGCAAGGCGCATCGGGGAAACTTGGAGAAGGATACTGAGCATGCCAATTCGATCTTCTAGTTTGGTAGGATGTGCAGAAAGCCATCACCTCCGTGCAGTGGCACGTGTATGACACTAATCATTCACCTAATCGAGACCAGGCTCAAGGGAAACGACACTTTTGTCTTCCTGAACACCGTAAGCAGATTGAGTATCTCGTTGGTCAGCAATACCCATACTGAATGAACATCTCCATCAATGAGGATGCTCTGTCTAGCAGGGCCAGCCTCGATTGCAGGCTCTAGAAGCAATGTGCACATGCCGATAGTAATCATGTCATCTGAGTATGCAGCCAACCTCGAGATATCTGACGAGACTGAGGTAGGTCTTAGGCGGTCACGAAGCTACTCTTGCAGAAGTCTCCAGTCCTCTTGAATCTAAGCCAGTGATCTAAGTCAGTCCGAGTGATATGTTCAATATAGAAGAGGACTTTTTTTAACTATTGCCTATTGCAGCCTGAATATACAGGCCAACAATTTCCAACTGGACTGAGTGCCTTGTCGCTGTGGCTGAGCGTGGCTGAGTGCAAACGCAGTCGGAAATTCGCGTTGTGTCTTCTCATAGGAACATACCAAAGAGTTTGAGGAATCTAAGGCTGAATATCTCTCATGTGAAAAAAAAAAAGACAAGCGAGTTGCTACTTAATTCAGGAGCATTCCAGTTTTGGTCTGTGGCGACCCTGAATGACCGACTTCCACTCTCACGACGCTCCCACCATCGAATATGAAACAATCCCAATCCTTGAGAGAAGCCTGCGATAATCCAGACGTCTTGTTTGCGCTTTCTGAAACGAATCTTGTGTCGTTAATTTATCAGGAATTTCCCGAAGAGATTGATCGTCTCCGTCGAGCTTACTCCATTCGCGATCCTCAAGGAACCCCTCCTGAGAGTCCGTCACCGTCGCGCATCATATACGAGGAAGACTACGATGAAGTCAATCGCACACTTGTGGGGTTTCTAGCCTTGCGCTGGATTCATAATGCAGAATACGAGGTGTTCATTGGGTCCCAGTCGCCAGAGCTCCGATTGACCAGAGAGTCCTTTGACTGGATTCGGAATTATTACAGTCAAGTCATTACCGACGCAAATACACTTTACGCCTTAAGCACCTCGATCATTATCAACGACCTGGGAAAAGACCCTGAATTGGCATTGGATCACCAGAAAATAACGCAAGAAGACATCTCAGATCTCAATCATGATCACATTCTCCTCAAAGCCTGCGGGTCCGGTCTGGTGTCGTCTTTGGAGAGACATTCTACCCAAGAAAGAGATGATCTACTTCTAGGCATTGAGATTGGAGCTTTCTTCAACTTTGGACAACTGGGTCAAGCTGAGAATGCGCCCGCCGCCTTAACAAGTCTATTTCGAATGGAAGACAGGCCACGCAGCTTTCAGCTTCGCTTTATGGAGCAGCTGCTCGACATTGCCGGTGCTGCAGGTCACATGGACTGGACCTGCGCGAAGAAATTGAACCAGCCTATCTTTGAGTCATATCGAAATGTCTATCATGCATGTTATAGTGTCATCAGTGGTACACTGGATGCTCGCCAGGGATATGATCACGTCCTCATTCGACGCGCAGAATACGTTCATACCAAAGGCTTTCGACGGTTGAAGGTGGAGAGCGATCAATACGAAAGAGCCTTGATGCGGTTACTATGCATGGGCAACGTTACCACCAAAGAGGCTGCTGAAATATACGAGTCTGCGTTGAATTCCCTTCAGCCAGCTACCAAGGATGCCTTCGTATATGCTTTGAACGTGGACGGCTCGGTAGACGAGCCCGCAATCCAGCCGACATATGCCCCTGCTTTACTCAGTCTGATCAAAACACGAACCCAGCTGGTCGCAGCCCTCGAGTACCTTTCTCGAGTCATGAGTGTCAAGTCTCGGGTGGATTCTTCGGCTATTCTTGTTGAGCGGAGCGTGCTTGGGGTTCTTAAGCGACATATTGAGAGTGATGAATTCCGTGAGAATCCGTCGATTCTGGAAGATGTCGAAGTGCCAGAAGATGTGGTTGCTCTCACTCTATAATGATTGAAGGATATAGAAATGGACCTACCGAGTCTGATACCCTACATGAAAGTCATGTCATTCATTATACTGGATGTTGTTGATGACAGACAGCTAAAGAATACAAATAATCCGGTAGGACTTTCCTTGAGTACTTTCTCGCGGTGCACGCTTCTAACAGTAGTCACAAAAGATTGCTTGCAATTGAAGGCCATTAAAACAGGTCGCAATCAACAAGATGCGTTTATTCATTCCATCAACCCATAAATGACTACCAAGGGTATCAGAGCAGTATTAATTATCCTCCGCTATCAACTCAACATTAATGAAATCACAAAGACGCGTTCTTCCCGTTAACATGAATCGGTGTGTGCGTCGAATTCAAAGCTTGAGTGTAAATATGAGGCTCGAGGCCCGCCACAGACACCTTCGCAGGTAGGTCCTTCGGAGGCGGAGTAGGAGGACCGGGATTCACTTGTTTGTCCAACTCCTGTCGAAGGTGATTCACTCTGGTACGGCTCACATCGCCCTGGCTGGCGAGGCTCACCTTCAACCAGTCATTGGGAGTTGCCAAATACTCCACAGAGCTACGCATTCGCATAACGCATTCCCGGTAGAGACAATTCTGCTCGAACCGCCAGCTGCAGAGCAGAGCACGAACCATACCACCTTCACGACCACAGATGAGCGCCACGACGGGCGGTCGCTCGGCAGCAATAACAGAGACGGTCATGTTGCCCGTATCCACGATGGTGAAAAGACGATGGTTTTCGGGAACGTTCAGATTCTTGGCTTCCTGCTGCCACCATCCAGGGTCTTGAGGTTCCATTCCCTCTCGGGTCTTTTTGTTGCGCAAGTTCTTGGAGAAGATGGTCGACGATGGCGCATAGGTCAGGCGGTGATTGAAGTTTCCATAGATGATCTTTTCGATTTCTCTCAGAGACATGGTGCCCTCAAATCCTATCAGGTGACAGGATACACCGGCGGCACCGCTGTTGCAAAGCTGTCGTACTGCCCATGGACTGAACCAGGAGATTATCCAAGCGCACCCGACGAACAACGCAACACCAACCAAGTACATATCGATGTCGATGGAAGACTGGGTATTGACAATGGATAACTCGAGAGATATGGCCGAGGAGAACAGGCCAAAGCCAGTCAGCAGGAACCAGGCACCAGCATACACAGCTTTCTGCGAGATTGTCGCACGGAAGCCATTCAGATCCTTGACATATTTGACTCTGGGGAAATTCTTCCACCGGATGGGTATACCACGACACCGATCCAGAATAACCGTGGGCGAGTCTTGGTCGTCGCCAATGCCGACCACACTGCAGGTGGGTTGTATGTCCCAGAGGTGAACAGAGTATTGGTCGCGATCGGCAATGTTTCTCAGGATCATCTCACTGCTGGCCAACTCGTTATTGCCTTCCTCTTGGCCCTTGAGCTGCTTCTGAGGGGGGTGCGGTGGCCACAGGCAGACTAGACGCTCAAGGAGGTCATCACTGTCATTCACAAGGGATAGCCTTGCAATAGCTTGGAATGGACTGTCTGTAGGATTGGGGCTGATACGATAGGCCAACAGACCCATAGCGGCGTAAGCCATGTCTGCTGTTGTGTAGCCCTGTCTGTCTTTGCCTGTAGATAATTGGGCCATGGCTTGAACAGCACAGGTGAATAATTGCAATTCGCTGAGCTTGGTGGTATTCGTGTAATGGTTGACGAGATGGCCGATGACATCTTCATGCGATTCAAGATTTTCTTCTTCATGACTCAATCGGAAACGAGACGTGGGTCCAGGCCAGAAGCTGTCGTACATATCCGTCAAGGTGACATCGAAGTGTGGCAGATCGTTGCTGTCGTTCTCAATGGTATCCGGTTTCGAGAAGCAATATCGAATTTTGCCAGCTGCAAGAAGGACTTCTGGCAGTGTCCAGATTCGCGATCCCCATATTCTCTTCTGTTCTCGGTCATGGCTAGGTAGAACGACATAGACTCGCTTTGCACAACGAACTGCATCACAGATTGAATGAACATCTTTCGTACGCTGTGATTCGGCCTTGGCCTCTGCGGTCTTGTCGTTCACATCGTCGGGCGAGACGCAATCCAGATCAACCCAAAACGCCTCTACAGGTGGTTCATCCGGGCGTTTCTCTCTGTTCTCGTGCTTAAGCATAGCCTCTGCGATGCGATAGAAAAACGGTCGTAATTCGTGGTCTTCTTTGCCGATGTAGTTCGCTCGAGAGAAACTGAGGAAAATGTAGGACTGCAGCATGCCGGTCTTCGAATCCCGGAGCTCACTGGTCTCTTTGACGACCCACTGGTTGGTTTGAGGGTCTCTCACCACTAAGCGACGAGGGATGGTGAGCTTGGTGAGCTGCGATTGGGGTTTCTTATTTTCAGGTGACTGGTCCAGTACATTCACAGCGTGCTTGGGCCAATACCATTGCACATTCTCATACTCATCGTATGGCTCTGCGGTACCATCGTCACTCCATGGAGCAGTGACAACTTGAATAGAGAGCAGCAGCTGAATAACCCAAGCTAGTCCCAAGGTGCACAAAGCTGCTGCTATCACATGCACAATGCGTTGAAGCACCGTCATCGAATCCTGTTTGCGTTGTCTTCCGTGTCTGTCTACTTCGTCTTCATCATCATAGCCACTCTCATACTGCTCGAGTCCTAGTGGGTTCAAGCAGAGTTCTGCAAGTGAAATGATAACCGGTACATGTCCCTTGATCTTCCGGCGGCTCCAGTGACGAGAGGCCGTGTCCTCCAGGGCACTCGAGGCCGCCTGTACCACCAGTCGACGGGGATACTCTTTGTTCGTACTGTAATAGGCGTCCACATCGGGATATTTCTCGTGTTCATTGCCTCTCCAGGGGTTGAGGTAGCGTCGCTTTCGGTACACTTTTTTGGAGTCTTGCAACTCTAGCATGCGACCCTCCAATTCGCGTGCGCTGACAGAGGGCCGATGAGTCTTCCCCTCAACGGACCAGTGCCATTGACCATCGTACTGTCTCTTGAGATGTTTTTCAGCTTTCTTGATTTCACGCTGTTTGTCGTCACGACGCAAAGACATAGATGCACCCATCTTGATGGTTGCGACGGCGTCGCTGAGCAAAATCTAACCCCCTTAAAGAAAAGCACCGCTGAGAAGAACTGGAGTGGAAAGATTAAAAGCTGTGCATTGAATTTAGCCCAGCATGGAGGGGGAGTTTGGGGGCCCAGATGCTTGGCCCGCTTTGGACCTATATAGCATAGTACTGGGGAAAAAGGGGCGTGGCGTCAGCCATAATAATCTCTTGGGGCTGATAATAGTTATGATCAACAATAATGTCACTCACCACTGATCAGCATGAAAACTATATGATCAGTAATCAGAAATTGGCTGCAGGATTTACCCAATCCAGCACCCTCAATATAGTGTTTTGGTCTTGAAAAACAAAGCATATCGTTCCATGTGCACACTCTGCGGCATGTACCACTTCGTCATTTTGTCTCTTCCACTCGAACTTCGAGACACCAAGCATCAACGCTGAAGATTACGACAAGTGATTCGAAACTTGTGACAGGGTGCAGTATCGGGGAGCCGCAACCCGTCAACAGTGAGTGAGACAAGTTTCTTTCGGCATATGAACGAGTCGTGGGGGCCAAACTCGAACAACCAACCATTGCCCGCCATCTGCCCCCAAGATAATGGGCTAATTGAGCCCTCGTATTCACTTGAATCCATGATAGGCTGGATTCATGAGTCCGGCATTGCCTTCAGGAGTGGGCCCTCGCTCCCTCTTGAGAGGAGTCTTGACGGTCGGGCCAGCGCCACACGGACGTGACAACGGCTAAACCCGAGGAACCAAACCCCGGCACAAACTGGATATCAAAAAGCTCAGGGCGCATGTACATTGTACTGACATATAGGATTTGGTGGACGAGAAAGGCTTCCTTGATTTAGAGAGGGTTGCTTGATACATCACACGGGGTTGATGAAGGCTCGTATTGGTGTCCAGTATTGCTTTTTATACCCCTAACAAACATCCACTGATAGACACACAGCAACTCTGATCCTCTGGCAATCAAGTCCATCGAGAGGGCATACTTTTGGCCCCAATTAAAATTGTGTGACCGTCTTGCAGATTTGTCAGAAGACGCTAATTTCCCGCTACAACGGATCATCTGTGGGGCTACTTCCTGACGGTCCGTTGCCCACAAACTGTGGACTCTGTCTGTACATGAGAAATTTGCTTTTTTTGGCTTCCCTTTAAGCTTCATAGCGTCAAGTAGTGCTGACTTACGGAGTACAGTATGCGCCATGACCCGCCTCACCAGCCGTCTACCAACGAGCGTCCATGCAGTCAGCTTTTGGCGCAGGTTGAGGCGCAACGCTCGCTGCAGTGCTGCCATCCACGAGGCCTGGGCGCATGGGACGTCTGGGGCTTCGCGTTGCCTGCAGGTGAAAATGAAATAATTTTTTGGTGCTAGGGGCATCGAAATGCTTGTCAGGATGCATATCAACCATGCACCCAACCCCAACGGTGATTCCTGGTAACAACCCCAAAAGTCTACACATGTACCCTTGGCATGCAAAACTCGCCTCCTGGGCAGAGGGGACAGGACTTCACATCGATGCCCTCGGCCTCGTTACGCTCCTCGGGGCGGAAGAAATGGATCGCAGCATTGGAAGACTCGTCCCAAGCCTATATCTCGATTTCCTTCCTTTGCTAGGAGCATTTGTGGTGGCAGGAAACAGGTTCACTGAAAAGAAGTCCGGTTTCGCTTTGTACAACATCTCAGAGGGTATTATGACTACCGAACTTGCTGGGTGGTTCTCCAGATGGCTTCAAGGACAAGAATTGCATCGAGTTCGCAGTGTGGTCAACTGGGAAGTTGATGATCGACCTCCCAGATGGAGTTCGTTTCTGATCGGTTTACTTCTCATCAGTGTTCCCGCTCATGGGTCACTCATTGCGCTCACTGTGTTGGCGGCAGATTGGTGGGGCTTTGCAAATGTCATGGCGATGATAATTTCGGTGATTGTCAGGTATATTCAGGTCGCACAAAACCAAGCCGGTATTGATGAAAATCTCAAAGAAGCTCAGGAGGAGGCCCAAAGATACAACTATCGGCAAAAGCTCGAGATCTATGAGGCGGCAATGGCACGCCACGAAGAACTACGTCAGAAGGGAACAGTCAGCGAAGACACAAAACTGCCAGTGGAGCCCAAAGATCCATATGCAATTGCCAAAGTGATCGTAATTACTGGGGACTCGAAAGCCGTGACTATTGCTGCGCCGAGATATCTTGTCAAGCACGCCTTTACGGCCAGCCCACAAGTTCCGAAGCATGTCCTCTACACGGCATGCCAATGGATTGGCTGGGCTGCATTCGCGGTACATGTTATTAGCATTGGCATGGCGGGACTTTACACTCAGATCTTCTCGGTAGTCATCATCCTTGTTGCTACCGTTCTAACGGCGCATAAGGTTGGCTGCGAGGATTCAAGATTATGGCCTCCTCTTCGCGGCAAACTCGGACATGGCGTGGACGAGGACCTGGGATATAGCTGTTGGGTTAGCTCCAGATTGAAGGCCACCCTATCATCCTACCCAGCGTCCTACGCTAATTGGAGTGGTATGCACCCAGAACGCAAACTTCCCAGTGTGCAGGAAAAAGATGAGCCGAGGGCAGTCTCGAGATGGGGCCGAAGAAACCCGACCGACATAGAATCGTCTACGTCCAAGCCAGAGGTTTCACCCAGAATACCAGAGAGCCGACAAGACCTATACGCCTGGCTAGACTTGACAGCACAAGAAGATAGCCATCTCAACTTTTGGGGTCTCATCCCCCACAACCAGGAGTGGAAGAATCTGTATCTGGAAAAGAAAGCTAAGCACCGCAGGCGGATGAGCGGGTGTTGTTAGATATGACTGTACAAATATCAAGACTGAATGACGACCATACTGTATCATAAGTTCCAGGAATTGAGGAAAGCGCTTACTTTTGAAATCATAAAATTACAAAGATTCGAAACGTTCAACTCTTTCAGTGTTTTGTCTTTTCCGCATTGGGAAAGTACGTGATCATGTCAGCAGCAGAGATCCACCTGATTTCACTCACCGCCTGCAAAAATCTCACCGCCCGATGAAATTTCCCAAATCGATCTTTTCGACTTCGGTTTGAAATTAGACAATAATACAGTACAGCAGACATGAAGCGCAAGTTGGATGCAAACGACGTTCCATCTCCAGAGCCAGCAGGTGCGGATGAGAAGGAATTTGATTTTGAGGCCCTGAATCTCGATCCACGTCTGCGCCAGGCCCTCATCAAGGAAAACTTCAGCAAGCCGACTCTTATTCAGGCTAAGGCGATTCCTTTGGCACTGGAAGGAAAGGATATTTTGGGTTAGTCGGTCATGATATCTCATTTGACTCGTGTTTCCATGCTAACAGAACAATAGCCCGTGCCAAAACTGGTTCCGGAAAGACTGCTGCATATGTTCTCCCCGTCCTGCAAGCAATCCTCCAACAGAAATCTGTCAGTCGTATCGAGCGTCACGAGAATTTGAAAGAGCAATTGCTAATGCTATTCTCCAATACTAGGCCGATCCCTCGTTGAAAGCCACCACCGGTCTCATTCTCGTCCCCACTCGCGAGCTTGCGGAACAAGTTCAAAAAGTTATCACTTCGTTTACTGCCTTCTGCGGAAAGGATGTCCGGTCCGTCAACCTCACCCAGAAGGTGTCCGACGCCGTGCAGCAGTCGATGCTCGCTGATTTCCCCGATTTGATTGTTTCCACGCCCACTCGGATCCTGGCCAACGTCAACAATTCGGCTTTGTCGCTCGAGAATCTTACTCACCTGGTGATCGACGAGGCCGACTTGGTTCTTTCATATGGATACGATGAGGATATCAATGCTCTATCAAAGGCTATTCCTCGTGGTGTGCAGACATTCCTCATGAGTGCTACTCTGACCTCAGAGGTTGATACACTCAAGAGCCTGTTCTGTCGCAGCCCGGTGATTCTAAAGTTGGAGGATAAGGAGGAGAAGAGTGCTGAAGTTAGCCAGTTTGTGGTCAAGTATGTTATCGATGCTCATCTAATCTTCATCTGTCCATACATACTAACGTGTCACTTGCAGATGTGCGGAAGATGAAAAGTTCCTCCTTACATATGTCATCTTCAAGCTGCAACTGGTCAAGGGCAAGGTTATCATTTTTGTGGGTGACGTGGACCGTTGCTACCGTGTGAAGCTTTTCCTGGAACAATTTGGCATCAAGAGCTGTGTTCTCAACTCAGAGTTGCCCATCAACTCACGCCTACACGTTGTCCAAGAATTCAACAAGGGTGTTTACGACATTATCATCGCCGCAGACGACCAGGAGATTACGGGTACACCCAAACCTTCAAAGAAGTCACAGGAAGCCGACGAAGAGGCTGAAAAGAAGGACGAGCTCGGTAGCAGCGAGGATGAGGCAGAAGTGGAGGAATCAAACAGCAAGCAAAAGTCCAAGAAGCGCAAGATGTCCAACAAAGAGAAAGACTATGGCATTGCGCGCGGTATCGATTTCCAAAACGTTGCCTGCGTTCTCAACTTCGACCTCCCCACCACCTCAAAATCCTATACCCACCGCATCGGACGCACCGGACGTGCTGGAAAGGCCGGCATGGCGCTCTCCTTCGTCATCCCCGCCGACCAATACGGCAAGCACAAGCCCACGTCGACCCCCACCGCCAAAAACGACGAAACCGTCATTGCTAAGATCATCAAACGTCAAGCTAAGATCGGCAACGAGGTCAAGCCGTACCACTTCGAGATGTCGCAAGTCGACGCCTTCCGCTATCGTATGACCGACGCCCTGCGCGCAGTCACTCGTCTTGCGGTGCAAGAAGCTCGTGCGCGTGAGATCCGTCAAGAGCTCATCAAGAGTGAGAAGCTCAAGCGCCATTTCGAGGAGAACCCGGACGAGCTGCGCCAATTGCGCCACGACGGGGAGTTGCGTGCTGCCCGTGTGCAGCCGCATCTGAAGCACGTACCGGATTACCTGATGCCGGCTAAGGGACGCAAGGGTATCTCGAAAGAGGATGTGGGATATGTTGGTTTCTCAAAGACGAACGAGAACCGTATTCGTAAGGCTCGCGATCGTAACCGCGCTCGTGGGAAGGGCAAGAAGACTGGGAAGGTGGATCCGTTGAAGACATTTAATCGGGGCCGCAAGTGAAATAGATATGGAGATGTGCTAAACATATGCTATGATACCATTGTACAGTTGGATGGGGAAAAAAATTACATTCTGCAATCATCTTTCATTCTCTTCCATGATTTTCTGTAGAAATTCCAAGGATTCGAACTGTATCTTCCACAGATCAATGGATGTACGCATCTATCGAGTGAACACGCAAAGTGTAAGCGGTGACAAGCTGGCGTCACGAACTCATATGCTTGGAGCGGCTATCCCAGGTCTCTTTATCTCCTCCAGTAAACGCCTCAATCCATTTCCCACGGCCAGCTTTCCTGATAGCCCGGATTCCAGCACAAACTTCTTTTGCCTTGCTGACCGCATCACGCCACGCATAACGCTCCCTGTCGCGACGATACATCCAACGTTCCTCCTCCACATTCCACGGTAAATCCGTTGGGGGAGGGGATCGCGGAGGGTCCATACGATCCGGCGGATCGTGAATCGCGAGGTTTTGAAAAGCATTGACCGGTGCATGAAGAGAATCGGCAAGAGAAGCAGGCGGGAAATACGATGGAAGGGGCAAGTTTTGGATTGCCGAGATGGGCCTTTCAGGAAGAAGGAGGTCCTTATCCGCTGGATACTCAAAGCCAGGACCTAGGCCTATCCATTCAACATTTCTCCATGACCCGTTCCATTCTGGGCCTGACGTGCCCGGCCGGCAGGGCTGGCCATCTGGGTCAGTGCCCGTCCATGTTAGCGCGGGAATCCATTCAGAACACCCTTCGAGATCCAGCCATTTCAGGCAGTAGGTATAACGAGAGAGCTGTCGAAGTATTCCCGCTGCTTCAGCCCAGTTGTTTTCCACTCCAGAGTACACATCTGTACCGCCGTGGACGAACGCAGGGCCTCGGTGACTCTGTGGGCGCATCCGCGGAGGTGCGGTGTGAGGGGTTCGAGTTGGAGGGGGCCAATGAGCGAGAGATAAGTGGGTGATGGTTGAAAGGCGGGAAAGGATGTTTAGGAGAGAGTTCCAGCTTGCAGCACCAGGGACTGGATGTGCGAGAGAAAGGTAGCGAAGATTAGTGAAGCGAACGTTTTGGCTGATGGGATTTGGAATGGAACCAGCTGTAGCGGCAGATGAAGTGACATCCTCCACATGCTCTTCAGGTTTCTGTTCATCCCACGAGGTAGGAACGCTCTCCTTGGACGCAGGCTGGGCGAGAGTAGGTACTGACTTGGCGGGTGTGAATAGCTCGCCTGAAAGCTGTTTGAACGTCATCCAGTAACCTAATGCCCAAGCCAGATCCAATCGGCAAATACTAGCACTGATCTTTTCAACTGTATCCACTTGCGTTTCTTCTTGCTCTCCCGCGGTTTCCGCGTTGTCACTTGCGGCAAAAATCAGTGGCCTCAGACCTCTCATGCGTCCTTTCAGCGACTGAGTTCTAGTGCGAACTGCATAGACAGCGACATAACTGAGCAGAAGCTCTTTGATATGTGAGGGGAAATGAGCCAGGAATGGTCCATCATAATCCAGATGCCAAGCCCAGTTCAGGGCCATGGACTTCAGAACTGCATGGTGTAGACTGGACTCGGGTGGGAACTGTATCCCTGGGAGTCTGTCAAGACGATATATAATAGTTCTGTCATGTCCAGCAGTCGCCAGGGTGACTTCCCCCGCGGAGCGGGATTCGTCACTGTCCCCCGAGAGCCAGCTGTTTGGGGGCGGAGGCCCCGGGGTCAATCTCACAGGACGCCCACCGATAACGGTGCGGCGAGAACCAAGGCGAGGACGAGGTTGTGGGGCTTCTGGAAGCTCGAGGAGGTTTCTGAGAGATGGATGAACAGATCCTTGGGAGATTAGAGATCGTGAAGAGGTTGGAGAGTCGTGCTCAGAGGGGTTTGGCGCTTGTGTTCGACGAAGGTGGCTGATCAGATCGTTGACAGAAGGCGAGTCCGAAGTGGAGACTGCAGGTCGTTGTGTTTGATCATTCTGCCGGGCTCTGGAAGTGAGGGTATGATGCGGGGTACCAGTGGGTTTGAAAACAAAGGATTTCTTCTGCTTTTTGGGCATGAGCAATGGATGAGCTTTTTGAGGGCGTAGGTGAAAGAGGCAAACATGAGTCAGTAAGGCTGTAGCTCCCCCACGGATGTCATTCCTCATCCTTATCGCTTATCGCTTATCGCTTATCGTTTATCGCCCCTGACATATGGCGAACTATATGTTCACTGCAAAATTGTACTGAAGGGTCCGTATCTAAGCAGCGAAATAGATTGATATTTTGGTAGATGGACATGCTATATAATTAAGGCTAGGAGTTAGGAATCCGCCAATATTTCTAAACGAGTACCTTCGGGGTGGTAAGCTGCTACCATTACTAGCAGACTACTTAAGTTGCAAGGCATGCGTGTAGCCATAAAGCCTCATCTCGATGCAAGGCGACTTGATTGAACGAGGCAAATCATTGTTCAATGTACTTCTCTTAAAATGGTTGAGCTGCATGGCCCGAAAATGGCCCGAAGTGCCAATGTACAACACGCCGTTGTACTCTATCATGAAATCTATACACGCTATTTACACATAATTGTACAGTCGGGCTCAAATATCTCGAACCCAAGAATCATCCTTCATATGGCCCTCCCGCTGAGGGCCCTCCTCAAGCCATGTCTCGACGAGACCCTCTTTCGGATCTTCATCGGGAAGACCTCGCGACCGTCGTACATCAAGAACGAGGTTTCTGATCTTCAGGGTGACTTCTTTGCGCAACTCAACTGCTTCCTTGTTGTTCAACAGCTCGTCACTCAGAACACCAAAGGCCAAGTCTCGAGATTGAGCATCTTTCTTCTCGACCTTAGCCCTGAGCTTCTGCCAGCGGGAGCGCATTTCTCCAAAAACTTCCTCGGTGTCCACCTTGGAGCCGAACGTGACGCTGACCTTCTTGCCAGGGCGAGGGAGGAATCGGGGGAACTCGCGACTCTCGTGCATGATATCGTCAATGCCCTCAATCCACATAGGGACCACGTCAGGACACTCGTTCGCCTCTAGGATGAGGCGCGCAATACCCCACTTGAAGTAGCGCATGGTCTTGCGTGGTGCCTGGTGGATCTTGCCCTCGGGGAAAATGTGAACCCACGAGTGAGAGTTGCACGCGAACGCAGAAGGTGCCATATGCGCATCATCGCCGTGGGTAGTATATGCAATGGAGAGATCGGAGAAGGGATCAATGCAGACGTTCTGCAGGCTGAAATGCTGGAGCTCGGGAGTGGCACGGTGATGATCGACCGGGAAAGGACCCTTCGACAAGAGTCGGATGGCTTGTGTGATTGCAGGTTGGCCTAGACCACCAAATTGGGAATGCGCGAGACGATGCGTCGGCAGGACTTGTCCCAGGGCAAAGAAGAGGGAGAGGGGCCTAAAGGAAACAGACAGTATCAACAAATGAAAACCAGTAAGCTACTACCAGCTTCTTCCAAGGATGAACTGACCTGCCCTGGAAGCAGATATCATGACTGCCAAATGACCATCTCTTGTTCCAGAAGCGCGCGGGAAGCAGTCCCCAGATTAACGGATCGTCCATACTAGTTTCCGTAATACAATGTCAGTTCCGATGGTTGTCTACGAGGAGATTTGAACTCTCAGAAGATATTCTTGGAACGTACACGCTGATATGGTTCGAGACTATGTCGGACAGAATCAATCAGCAACTGAACTTCATGTCCATATCCAAACAAGTTGGCTGACATACCTGTAATCAAACCCTTTGACCTTTGCGATGGATCCTGCCTCGAGTCCAGCAGAGCCGCAAAGGCCTCGCCACCATGAACCTCCGCACTGTTCAATGCCGACAAGAATGCGCGACACAACCCGGCCACTCCCCACATGGTCATGTTGGACATGGCCCGCCATGGGAGGGACGGGGAATCTGCCGTTGTTGCGCCGGAGTCCATAGTGCTGTGAAGGAGAGGAATCTATGAACACTCCATAGACGAGAGTCAGCTCTCGGGCACGCAGCGAGTGGCCTGGGCTGTAAAACGTCCCCCTTTGGCCAAGAACAGGAGTGATTACACAGGGAAAATGCGGCGACTGCTCGGCGAACACATTTGATCTTTCGGGATCATGTGACTGGACCCGGGGTAAATACTGACCCAATCGTCGTCCAATCTCTCGACCGTTTACGAATTACCTACTTGGCTCGTCTTTGTGCGCTCTGTCTTCTATACGTGTCCCTTTGAATCATTTCTCCTGGGCAAATATTGTTTTCAGTTGCTGGTCTTTCATGCCCTGTCAGCAAACTGTATACAGAAAAAAAGGGACCGTGCGCACGGACCAATTGCATTACCGACTTCCAGCACGATTTTGCCCGCCGCGCCGTCATCTTCTCTTGTCAAGCTGCAGTCATGTTCAAGCCCACATCGGCCCTGTTCTCGGGTCTTCTCTGGTAAGAAGGCCAATTCGGAGAAGTTGAGAGGACTAGACTTCAAGTGCGCAGAACTAACAATTCCGCTTTCCGACTCACAGGAAGACCCCATGGCGTCTCTCCGCACCCCAGAAGGCCCGGCAGCGCAAGCGTCTGCGCGCCGTGGACCAAGTCGTTGATACCATCAGTGCTGCTCTTGCTCGGCAAGGACATAGCACCAAGGCCGTTGAGCGGTGGTACGCTGAGATGCCGCGTGAGGAGGAGATGCTTCCCAAGGACAAGTACACCATCTTCGACAAGAAGGAAAAGACCTACCGGAAGGGTATTCACAGTATGTCAATGCCGTGGAAAAACTCTGCCAGTTGCGCACGCAAACTTGCTAATGACTTATCTTTCTACTTCAGAGCTTCCCAAGTGGACTCGCGTCAGCCAGCGTGTGAACCCTCCTGGTTTCTAATACCTCGATCCTTGCAATACCCTTACCACTCGCCGATACATCACCTCTTCAGCCTGTCACCTCTCTATCGGCATTTGTATTATACTCTTGAGCCTCGACGTTGTGCCACCCCTTCGACCCGGTGGCTGGTCTAGGCATACACAACATAGGAAGGATTTCCCGGAGTTATTGGCAGATTGGCAGAGAAACCCTGCTGAGGGCGCTCGGAAGAGAAAGTCCCCTGGCTTACATTGTTCCATTACCCAGCGTTAGATTCTGTTCTACAATCAACTTGTTTTTGAAGGTCTTCTATTCAATGCTTTGGATTCTCGGGTATTCTAGGTATTCTAACAATGGGACAACAAGGAAAGACCGTGGTAAGTAATGATATCACATCACGAGTGATCGATATATCGGAGATCATCCGATATTGGAGAGATAAATGAGCGTGGTGCGTTAGCAAGGAGCAAGACGACACAGTGAAGACCTTGACATGGTCTAAGACTCGACCCGGGGCTGACCCGTTTCTCTGGGAAGCAGCTTGAGCGATGCTGTACGACAGCCTCTTTGAACCTGCGATGCGACATCCTTGACCCGGTTTCGATTAGCTCGGCCTTGGTGGACAATCTTGTGTAAACGATATCCTCGGCGGACTTGCTGCCAGTCTGCAAGCTTTTCCTGCCACCCAGCACCTCCTTCATACCAGGCATTCTTCTGTCTTGTTGACATCTCAAACCCCTGGGGTGGCTTCGGCAAGATCCAGCATGCCGGGTCGATATGTCCGTCCGGGGGCTCCTCTGCCGAGTCCTCGTATAGCTCGACGGTCCGGATGGCGTTTCGGATTCCAGATACTCTCCTTTGTTTATTGACTGCGGCCCGCCATGAATCGATCCGCGGTAAGTGGACTCGTTTGCGTACGGTGGCTGGGTATTTGGGCCTCGGTATTCGATCACTCTGAGTGTTTGGAGAACCGAATCGTGGGTCCCCCCACTGCCGTCGATTATCTATGGACACTCTCGAGATGGGATCGATCACCAGCCAGGTCTCTCTGTTCAGCCAATGATTGGCAAGTAATGCAAAGTGATATGGTTTCTGCCCGGGTGTCATCTCATTGTACACCCACCCCAGTTTGCGATTCAATTGGTCAATCAATCGGACTTCCCAGTCGCTCAGCTTCGCTATCGAGACTTGTTCGTTTTCAGAAACTCCGTCCATGCAGCCGTCTATGCAGATTGGCAGAGTTGCGTATCGGTTTCGTGCTCTGGCTCTAGCTCTCCTAGGTTGACCCCACGTTTTTTGGATGCCGGGTTTCTGACGACGGGGTGTATCTGCATCTTGCCACGAGTGCCGTAGCTGGTTCGAGGTGCGTGCAGTCAAAAATTCCGGCTTCCTTGACGGCCGAAACCTGGCTGGCACAGTATTGAACTTGGCAAACTTCATATGCATGTCAATAGAAGTTGCACGGTTGCCTCTTTTCTCTTGATGTAGTGGCCCATGGCTGGAGGTCAGATGGATCTTTGCAAATGGTTGTCTTGCACCAAGAGAAGCCTCATTCGATGGCTCCAGGAAGGCATCGCAGGCACCTTGCTCCGACAGATAACTGGCCAAAAGAGCTGTGAGGGGCGTTCCTGGTGGCCCAGAGGAATCCCGAAGGTACGGCTGTGCTAGTCCCGTCGCTTTCGCTTGCATCTGTGCTGACCACGCTCTATACTTTTGAGAAGCAAGTCTTGCCCCAGGGAAGACGGGTTTCGGGGCTTCCGGGGTTCTCTGGAAACTTTGGTGCACACCTGAACCCGAGCTGAGCTCAGTGGCATGTATACTATTTTGTACAACTGATAAGTTTGAGAGACGTCGGACCCGAGTCCAAGACGTATTTTCACCTGCCCACGAAGCCCTTTTCCCAGGACCACGTCGGCTGTTGGTCGAGAATGGTAGAGATTGAATATTGGTTGGCAAGGTCAACAACTGTCTGACCATTCTTCCATCCACTCGCAAGCTACCTTCAGGTCGGTCATCGGAAGATCGTGTATGCGCCCGTGATGGCGGGGTGAACATCTCCAGCGAGATCGAAGAAGCCGTGCTGTTTTCAAATTGGTGTTCGTTAAAGCTGATTCGTGGCAATGGCTCGGCGATATCATCCCATTCGGGTGCAAGTCCAATTGGTTGAGAAGACTCGGACTCATGACTGTTGGCCAATGCCCCATGGCACTCTATAGAAGATCGTGGATATGGGACATGCATAGTGGGCATCTCCTCATAGCTCTTCAAGAACTCCGGTAGCAACTTCACTCGTTTTCGCTTGGCACGGCGTTCTTCCATTGCCTCCAGGCCAGGGTCCCACCACATCCATTGGAAATCTGTTCTGGGTGACTCCCAAGACAGCCACTCGCGAATGTACCCGAAGGTCTTCCGAAGAAATGCCTTGTTTCTCTCATGTATTTCCGCAGGAACCCAGCCGTACCAAGTCCTGGCATATCGGGTCGTCGTCAATTTGCCGTCACGCAGTACTCTGTGTCTGGTCAATGATCGAAAGAATTTGCCGAGCTTCCAGAATAGGACAGCGAATATAAAAATGCCCACAGTTCCGGTGAATAGTTCAATGAAAATTGTGGGGTCAATGAATGTATGGACAGTGACTGGTCTGCCTGGCGTTTCTTTACCATAGCCCGGTGTCGGAGGCGAGAATGAGTGGAACTGTCGAGTGTCCAGCGGAACCATTTGCTCAGCAAAACTGAACCTCTTCAACAATCGTAAGAAACCTAATTAGGTTTTCAAGAGAGTGACGAATGAATTGCTATTTGTTGAAGCTTGACGGAGCATGAAGTTGGAGCTTGGCGCTCCAGCGAGGAAGTCGCCTGCCACGGGCTTGCCGTGTTTTGCCCAAATAAATTATCAACCTCAAAAAATATAACATTGCTCCATCCACCGGGCAAAGGGCAAATTTTCAGAGTTCTTACCCAAGAGGAAGGTGTTCAGAAAAAATATATGTCTCTTTGCTTCCGATAAATCATTCGCCTTGCGACCAAAGCCTGCGACATAAGCTGGCTTCTTCCTTACAGCGCCAACCTTTCGTGTCTCGAGGCGTGAGTTGAGTCTTTACATGTGTTCTCAGTTTATTACCGGAGAATACTGAATGAATGTTGGCCAATTCTCAGAAAGAGCGCATTCTCAAATAGGTCAGAATATTCAAGGAATCTGCTCGTTCTAACAATCTTCGAAGTTACATGTCGGTCATTACAGGGTCTGCTCTCTATGCCAACTTATATGCGCTATTACAGTCTAATCTTAGGAGATAACTATCGTCTCAGTGTCTATTCATGCTTGGCCACACTTCCTCCGATGGCAGTACAGCCTCATGATGCAAGGCGACGTGGATATGTTGAAAAATTGTGCGGCTGCGTCATGAGATTCTCGCCAAGAGAAGGTCTGGCTAACAGTAATTAAACCTGACCAAACGCTTCAATGCGAGTCATGATTTCCGACTTCTTCGGAGCTTTCACCGCACCTACGATGAAAGCTCGCGATGTTCGTAACCCCGTGAGGCATACTAGTCACCAGAAAATCTACCGATGATGATGAAGCTTGTATTTGCACAATCGAAGATATTACGAGATTAGTGACCACATCAATGAGGGATGCGCTCAAGGAATTCGGACTCAATGGTCGGCGCCGACTTCTCGGAGATAAAACAGCATCATGGCAGGGCTGTGAAACTACTTACTGCTGGGGCCAAAATTGACGAATCGCGAAGGCTGCCTAATGCGGTAATTTATGGGTCTTGGGTTCCTTAAATCACTTACAGTGGGCTGTTCTGATTGGATGATAAGCAGATCTTTTTAGGCTCAAAGGCTTCGTACATCAAGCATACCAGAAAGAGCCCCAGTAGTATGTCATCTTGAGGCGCATGGAGTTCACGCTGTCAGCCTGGATTTGATCAACTACCAAATCAGAAACCAGCAAGCAATATAGCAATCAAGATCGTGGTTAACTGATTTAGCCTTCCCCTGCCTTCTATAATTAATTTTAGTCTCACTTTACAATTAGGCGCCTAGCCTTCCAACTAAGGCTGTGCCGGATCTTAGTATGATGAAAGTGATCCGGCTTACTCTGGAAGTATAAAAAGCCGACACTCCATTCCCAGTAGATTTCAGTATCCCGTCATCTTCTCAATCTTATTATACAAAATATCGATGCCTCCAATCCGAGTCGCCATCGTAGGCGCAGGCCCCGTTGGCCTCACGCTCGCTCGACTACTTCTGAACAAGCCCAACGTCGACTTTGTTGTCTTTGAGTCCGAGACGTCCCGAGATGCCCGTGGGCAAGGCGGCTCCCTCGATCTACACCCTACGACAGCATTGCTGCCTTGAGAGAGGCCGACCTGTACGACGAATTCTTGAAGAGAGCCCGCTTTGATGGAGAGGCGTTGATCATTTGTGACAAAAGATTGACTAAATATGTTGAGCTGTCGGGGTCAGATGAGAATTCTTCACATGGAAGACCGGAAATTGATCGGATATCTCTTCGAGAGATGCTTCTGGACTCTATTCCACTCAACAAGATCCGATGGGGCTATCACTTGCGCACCATTGACGAAGATCATAATTTGATCTTCGATCATGGCGTTGAGACCGGATTTGATTTGATTGTCGGTGCAGAGGGTGCCTGGAGCAAGACCCGCAAGCTTGTATCAGATAAAATGCCAAATTATTCCGGTATTTCTGGGATCACATTCGAGATCCCCAATGCCAAAGAGACGGCACCAGAATGCTACAAGCTTACAAACCGTGGATCTCTATTTTCTTATACCGGTGGCCGGTCCATCATGTCTCAATATCAAGGCGATTGTAGTCTCAAAGTCGCTGTCTATGCTACTCGGCCAAAAGACTGGGCTGAGAATCTTCCCTTCGATATTCATGACCTGGAAGCCACCAAAAAGGTCATTCTGGGTGAGTGTCATGACTGGGCTCCTGAATTGCTACAATTCGTGCGCCATGGTCAAAATGCAGAGGTCAGGCCACTCTACATGCTCCCTGTCGGGTGGTCATGGGAGAATTCCCCTGGTGTGACTCTGATTGGTGACGCAGCACATGTGATGACACCCTTTGCTGGTCAAGGAGTCAACCTGGGAATGCAAGACGCCTTGGTGTTGTCTCGTGCGATCATCAAAGGGGCAAACTCACCAAGCCCTAGAGATACATTGGCAAGGGAGATCAAGTCATTTGAAGAAGATCTATTTGTCCGGGCCAAAGAGACAGCAACCTTGACGAATGATATGATGACCATGCTATTTTTCAGTAGTTCACTTCGATCAGTCATTGAAAAGGTGGTATTGCGCAAATTGACCTTCTATAACAAGAGCCTCCTCCAGCGTGCCAAATACCCATTGATGACGGCGTTTGTATATGGATACTACTCACTGTTCAAATTGTGGCATTGATGATGGCATCCCCTTGCACATTTCTTGTTTACTCATAGATGTCTGTCTATTCTCTGTACTCTATCTGCTCATCAGCTATGATAGATCATAATAAATTTTTAACATCATTGTTTCCATTCTACTTGCAGTGTTTTAGGCAAGAATGTGACACAATTGCCTCACTTTCTTCACCGGTTTTCCCTTCTTCCATGTAGTCCTTCTCAATCACGTACTCGATCATATCCTTGACGAGATTTGTTTCAGTTGACATGTCAGATCGCTCATACAGCATCTCCCTGCCGCTGTCGATATTCTCAAATGGGTAGCAAGAGGCCGGATGGTGTTTCAGCCGTTCTAGGAGACTATGGATTATCATATGAAAGGACCCAAAGAATGGGCTCCTGTATACCGCACCTTTGGTAAAGGGATGACCCATGTGCACCTATCAAAATAGTACAGATCTATTAGAGAATTAGAACAGAGTACCAGGTCGGTCGAACCGGGGGAATCCTTCCTAATTGGGCAACTCACGGGTCCACCGCCACACCGCTCCAGCCACTCCTTGCTTTTAGCCATGGTCTAGCCACTGCGGCTGATGGCTGATGCTGTGGCGGTGCAACTATTGACGCTTGGCCTTGACTTGGGGGCCCAAACTACCTCTCCTTCTTGATCCACATTGCATAACCCATCAAAAAAACAAGGTTGGTTGATTGCTCTTTCTTGCTTTTTGCTGGGGTACCCTGGGTTATTTGGATTCATTTTGATGGAGACGTCACCCTTGAAAACGTTCCCACTGTCTTCCCGCGTCTGGTTGATCACCCTCTTATTGGTAGCGATTGTTTGGATCTTGATGCCATCAGCAGAATCATACTTGCAAATACCCCTTTCATGTCCACGCAGAATTAGGCTCCGCTGCATTTACGACTGCACGATCCTTCGATACTCTCTGACTGATCCTCCTAGATACCAGTCTCATGTCTCACGAGCTGCAGTTCGCCTCATCCTCAAGCAGATATCTCCATGAACTACAAATCGGATTCTGGGGATGCATCTACTGTGTGACCGGCTTTTCTCCTATCTCTGCATTACCAGGAACTCGAGAGATGATTTCGTTCCACAGACACCTATCAGCGGGAGTTACCGCTGCAGTGGGCAGGGAACCCAAATGATACGAACTATTGACTGGTCCGTGCCAGATCGACGAGATGATCGTCGAGCCTAGTACTCTTAGGGCGAGACATCTCAATCGCATGTTGGTCGAAGCTTCCTCCCTCGTGGAGCCCCTTCCTAGGTTTCTCAAATCCCTGCTCCCGCCTTAGCTCACACATGGTGCCGGAGATCTTATCCATTCTCACCTTGTGGAGTCTTCGAGGGCGGAGATTGCCACAGGGGACCTCAGAGTCTTGATCATCCTAAAGGGACTAGAGGTGAGGCTGATGACCCGCTGATACCGAAGTGCTGCTCTACTGTGGCTGGTGATCGATGGGACTAGCCTCACTTTTTTTTAGCCATTACCCTAGGCAACACTATTGTTCGACCATTTGCAGTACAATGAACCATCAAACGGGGTATTTGCAAAGAATGGATGCGCTCTCCAGACTACAGGTCCCTTGGGCCACAGTTGGTGAATGTTTCGGAGTGGCCGATGGGATTGACAACATACTTCCCAAAAAAGCCAGGCCCACCGGACTTCATGCGCCACAGGTCACCGTTAGGTGTGGCGGACATTGTTCAGCGACGGTGGATCAACTGTCCTGTAACAGGACAATTGCGGCCTACCTCTCTACCTTCTCCTCCCTTGATGGATCGCATGGGTTCCAAATTCCAATGGTCGTCACGCTGTTTAGGGTTTCCCGGAACTAGCGGGATTTGGGCACAGACCACCACTGTCCTTGATCTATCCCAGTTGAGGTGATTGCATGCTAGTGTCGACGCCACATCTGTGACCGAAAAGTGATGGTGACAGCTGCGACGGGCCGGACAGTTGACACCCAAACTAGAAACCGCCAAAAGAAATTCCAGATATCTTCAATTCGATTCAATATCAAGAACAAGGCCAAAGACTCCCCATCACAACCACAGCAGGCGCGGTCAAAATGTCGAGCGTATAGTGGAGACGGTTATACTATCCGTGCACGGAACTATTGACAAGTCGAAAAAAAGAGTCCAGCCCTCGAGGAGTAATTCCTCAATCCCGGCCCTCTTCATGGATACTCCACCAGTTTGTCCCTTGTACATGAACGTCGACCATGCATGCCAAGGCGTGTGTCTGACAATTTATCATCAAGCCCAGGACAATCGGTAGATGGGCCCGAAGAGACCAAATCAAACACGCAGCTGCCAAGTGGAACCCTTCCTGGGCCTGGAAGTGTCCAGTGCCTGTGTTCCCCAGTTCCGCACGCTAGCATCTGATCTGCCCTGCGTATCTGCGATCTCTCAGATCTAGTACCTGCTTTGACTACCCCTCTTCCCTTGGCTTATTACGTATCCGTCGATCAGACCATGACAAGACCAGGAAATCCAATTTTTCCTCACCCCCACTGTTCGTGTCCCATTTACCTGGAACGTGTTGCTGCAAGGATCTTTCTCGTAGATACCGGCGGTCCACCGAACCGGCCGGATGATCTCTCGCCGTTTCTTTTTTTCCCCTTTCTATCGATAGATCTGTGGTGCATTCTTTCATAGGATTCTTTTTTCGGCATTTGATTTTTTCCCCCTGTATTTTGACTTTTTTTCGTCAATCTACGAAGGATTTCTGATCTCCAATTTATGATTCGCACAGCATTTACAGCTGCCTTGGCTAAATCCCGGAAAGACGGTCACCGATTCATTGATGCGCTCATCGCTCCCGCGCGGTACTTTGGCCGGTGGCGACATCTACTGCCTCCATCGTTTTTCGAGGCCTAATCAGGAACAATGAGGCCGTAACATGTTTGGCCGCAAATGGGTCTCGGCTGGTGCCGGGAGGTATATGAAGACCGCATCAAGCACCTAGTTGACGATACTTTCTACGAAGCATCATTCATGCAAACCACATACCTCATAATCATAATCCCTATTGAAGATCACCTCGTTAACCTTGGTCTCTTGTTATAAACGGCCCTGCTACCCCTCCAAACTTTATCGCCAGATCCACTCCATTTATACTCCCCTGGTCCTCCTTCCTCATTGCTCCCCAATTGGCTCAGAACAGCTCCCTCGAACATCAGACTTTATATTCACCAAACTACTCAGTCAACACTTGAAATCTATCAAACTTTGCAAACAATGGCTACTCCTCGCGAATTCACTTTGACTCTCGAAACCGCCCCTCCAGCAGCAGCTCGCCCCGGCCTCCCCTTCACTGTCCCCGTCATAGTCGCCGTACGACCCATTGGAACACCCTCACGCACAGTACAACTCGTCGCCAGCGCCAGTCTCCGCGATGAAGCCGGCACCAGCGCCGCCGTTGGACTCAGCGGCAACCTGACCGCCATGGTGCGGAGCCACATCGAACCCTCGATGAGCGGCTACGCCAAATTCGCCGGTCTCACCATCTCGCGACCAGGCAAGTATCGCGTCCGCGTCATGCTCAGCACATCCTCCGTCAACGGCGTAATGACCAAGGAATGCGTTGATTCGGGAGTTATCCATGTGCACGCCGCTGCGCCAGCGGCCCAAAGGCCAAGTGGGTCTCTCTCTGTCGTTTTTCCCCTCCTTCCTTTTATCCTATCCTATCAATCGGATTCCACCTCCGAGATTTTTGTTAAAGACCCGCACTTTCTTTATCCGCCGAGGCTCTGGTTCGCCGCGATGGATAACGGCGTGGCATTCGGTGCCTTGGGACTTGAAATTGGTTGCCCCTCTGATTGCCGCTTCTGGCCGCTTGCTGATACTGGAAAACTCTAGCTCCGACCACGGTGGCAAAGCTGAAACGGCTGACGGCTGAAAATCTGGATATCTCGGTGGCAGATATCGCGAAGTGGCAGAGCGCGTGAGCGCGTGGACGACTGAGGGTTCTGTCATATGGTGTCATTGTGGAGTTTCCGGTGTTTCCTTTTTGTTTGGTGTTTGCTTCTGAAGTTCTTTTTTTTACTTTTGAGAAGTTTCGTTTAGAGCGGATCCTTCATGGCTCTGGAGCATCCGCTTTAGGAGTCCAAGAGCGAGGTGCAGTTCTAGCTTTGCGACGCACCTATCAAGACAGTAATTAGTTGGAGCCAGGTAATGAGGTCATTTCTTATCTTATTTCAGTTGAATATTGATCTCTAGAGCGGAGTGAGTTAAATATTGATAGAAGTTTTTGCATTGTTTGCTTGTGACGAAGTGACAGGAAAGACTCTTTCTAATTCCGGTCTGCGAGTCATGTCCCTGCATTTGGTAGAAAAAAGAAATTATATGATCTACCGTGCATTGTGCCAAATGATTTAGAAACGTCTTCTCTTCTTGTTTCTAGAGACGACCGAGGACCATTACTTGAGCAAAGGATTCTCGTAATTGCGCAATTCTCCTAACCGCGGCGCTGATGCAAGCACATATTGCAGGAAAGTAGCATAGTCCCATCCTATGCATTCAGCTGCCAGACCCATGAGGCTTGTCTGGTCGTCCCGCCCTGGACGACCTGGACCAGTGATATTCTAGGAGATGAAATTAGCCCCTCCGAAGAGTCCCGTCTCCACTACAACAAGGTATACATACCGGCTTCATATTAATATCAAACAGCGCAAATCGCGACCCGGGCTTGAACCGTCGAATGTCAATTCGAAGAGGAGCCCTCGTCTGTAGCAGACTAGCTACAGTCTCGCATTCCCTCATGATAGCACCATATGCCGGGTCTGCATCTACCTCTTCGGCCGTCACAGCGCGCGAGTTCACTGTCACCGCCACCTTGCCACTATAAGGGGCGATTCCATCCACATGGTTGAAGCGAGTCACCGGTGGCAGGGCCCAGTGTCGTGTGAAGCGATCTGAATATGCTTGTCCGGGAATCGCTTCTTGAGATGGAGGCATTATAGTGATGGTACCTTCTTCGCCATTCAGATATTCCTCCACGAGCACCCGAGGTGATTCATCAAAAAGATGAACAACGTGCCGAGATAACTCGACGGAATTGCGACAGATCTTCACGCCATGGCTCCCTCGACCACGCACTGGCTTTGCAACAATTGGATAATCACTGTCTTTAATCGAAGCCAAGACAGGATCCAATGTCTTCTGCACAGCTGCGTGATCACCCTTTTCAGTCCTTGGATCATCAATCGTCCATGATCTCGGTAGTGTTAATCCACCATGCCGACGCAGACAATCATTCACAAACGACTTGTCATCGAATTGATCTGCGCATAGCGGCGGTTGCCCTATAACCCGAACATCCGCCTCGTGCGGCGTCAACAGCGAAGACTTCTGCAGTGGATGCTCCGCGAAAAGAACCGTGTTAGCCCATAGATGCGTAGCACCTTTCTTCAATGCAGTCGTAATGCCTTCCTCCGTGTCAGGAAAACACCAGTGGTCCTGATTCGCTGGATCCGGCGCCTCCTTTGGCGTGAGCACCGTGGTCCCTGAGTGGGACAAGGTATATGCCACATCAGCCCCGGAATCTCGGTAACCTAGACATGGGTTATTAGCGTGCCTGGTCCTGTACGCTTTGCTTTATCTTGATATTGGCTTTGCACCAAGGTTGCCCTACCACCTGGCTTGGGTGGCTTACTCACGCCACCGTACATTGGTGGCGGGAGGGCCTGGTATAGTACCGCGACGACGGGCTGGGTGGGGGCCATATTGGAATAATATTTTTGAGTGGGAAATTTGCGACAACGCGGTGTGTTTCTCGATGGGTGGAATGTAGATGCAGGTGTTGGTAGCTGAATGTGGGGGCGAAGATAGTAGTCGGGATGGCCGAAGGTGCAGATTTGGCGTGGAATGCGAGGACAAAAATTCATTCCGAGTGAGATGGAACTGAGTCTCTAGGAAAATACAAAATGATAGCAGTTTCGAGGAAATTGTCATGACCTTTTTTATCAAGTTCAAGTCGCGTGGGATAGCTCGGGGATGTTCCGATCTTCGGAGGTGGAGTGTTCCGAGCGGAGATGGAGCGCTCCGGGGCCTAGTTGGAATGTTGGTCATGACGATGGACAGCGAGAACTACTTTAGGAGGGCTAGAGGAGAAGGTGCGAGATTCGGAGGATTCAATGTGAGTTTTTTTAATAACAAGTAGGAAGATATAATTGGCTCGCAACTAGAGATAGACACAACAGAAAAGAGTCCAGCTCCTTCAAGGAGACAAGGATGACATGATGGAGAAACAATCCATCAAAAAAAGATGGAAAATTTAGTTGTCGGAAGGAAACGACAGGATCCTTGGCCATATCATGAAGTGATCAGAATTCAAGATATAGAATCAGATTAGATTCGTGACCCTATGAGATAGGCTTGTCACAGTACAACAGTACAATGGTCAAGGCATAGTTCAGTCCCCAGGTGCAACTAGACAATCCGGAGAGGGCTGCACCCGGGGTCAAACTCAACGACGAAGAAAAAACATAGTCTTCATTTCTGGTGAACTTGTTTTGAGTGTCGAGTCAAGCATGCAATTGAGATTTTTGCCGTCCGGGTATAAGATGATTATCTCGCAGGACAACCCATCATAAAAGTGCGTCTGAGAGAGACATTACCACGAGCGGTAGTCTGGATTGAGGGAAATTTGAAGATCAATTGGCGCAGCGACATGATTCAGCTCTCCTTGTCGTGGTGACGGAACTTCTCAATGCCATCGCGGACCGTCTCGCGCACACTGAACCCACCAAACAGCCAGTCATTGGAATGCCGACCGCAGTGATTCACAGTGCCACTGTAGCGACGGTAGTCGTCACTGCTCTTGCGGGTTGGCGTCGATGCCCGCTTGGTGATGTACTCCTGCTTGGGAGACTGGGGGAAATAGCCTGGGGAGACATTGGGTCCGGGCTATGAGAGCGGTGGTGGTGGTCGAAGTATGAGTGCCCGGGGGCGCTGCGGGGAATGTCTCGAGGGTGAGAGACAGTCGCTGAGGATTGGCGTTTGTGTTGTTTAGGAATCTCGATGGGAGTAGGAGACTTGCTGCCCGGTCGGAATAGCTTGGAGGCCAGTGGGTTGGATAGATTTCGGCTGCGTTTCTTCTCGTCGGAGCGTTGAGTACTGCGAGAGGAACAGGTGGTAGTTGAAGTTTGAGACAGAGACCGCTTTGGATAGGTGTCACTGTTGTAGGATTGAGAGTGCATCACTTGGTGGGAAGAGTAGAGAGAAAAAGAAGTGTATAGAGGATTGAGGACTGAGGCCGACATGGGCACGGGGCACGGGGTTAATATTTATGCTTGTCCCAGTTCACCCGTCAACCGACTCAACCCTGGTCTCTTCCTCTCTTCCTCTCTTCCTCTCTTCCTGTCTTTCATTCCACCCCAATTCCCCCCTCTTCTTGCCCTTCTCCAGGATCGTCAACCCTCGTAGGGCAACCAACCAAAGCGCAGTCCGCTTCTCACCTGCACTCGAGCCGGTGGAGAACATGCCCCAAACACATACGCAGCCAATCGCATTCGCAAGCTCTCCAGCAAGTGCGGACCGGGCCAGCAACGTACCAACCGGAGGCCAGCAAACGATGACCCGCAAGTTCCACTGCTAAGGTTTAGCGGGCGTCCGTGTCGGTGAGATTTCAGAGCACAAAGGACGCCAACGCGGTGGTTGCCCTCGCCTTGGGCCAATCCCAGATTCTTTCTGCCTTGGAGCCTCCTCTCTGCTGGGCTCCATTTCATCCCGGTTCACGGCGTTCCCTTGCTTCTTTTCGCTGGGACCCCGCAGTTGAGGCCGCTCGTTGCATCATCATCGTCCCGATGGTCATCACCACCGGGAGGGACACGTTGTCGCGCGGGCCAGAGTTGCGAATGCATTCGCACATGGCTGCATCGAAGATATCCCACGTTGGGCAGCACCAATCTACTCTTCCCGAGATTCCTTTCAAAATAGACACATCACCAAGTTTAACTCTTGGAAGCTGCAGCAACCTGTCCAGCTGAGCCGTCCCGTCATCCTTATCTCCTGCCATAGGGCTGGTTCCCTCCACTCCTCGGAGTTAGGCAACCAGGTTTTCCCAGAATCCTTGACAAGATTATCATGCTGTGATCTCTCAGTTTCATCATCACAGGTGGACCCGCCTGCAGACGGCTTGGGCACTTGGCCAATGTTCCCTCGAGGCTCTGCGAGGTGTTGTTTGCCCCGAGCACGCATTCCACCATTCATTCATTCATGCCATTGCCATTGCCCTCGACCCGCTAGCCCTACGGCCGTCTCTTGGCAATCTGACAAGACTTGGAGAAACTTCTTATCGCATCCACTCAGGTATTCCCGTCCACAACCCCTTTCACCAATCACCACTCGTCTGCTGAGACACTGTCCCTTCTAGAGGCCTTCTCGAAGGCCGACTTAACCGAGCGAGGATGCACGTGCCGATGAATTATCCTGTTTGGGTCACTCGGCCCCCACGCGAGGGTGCATCAGCCAAGAAAACACGGCTGGGATGGTGATTCACTCGGCACGGTGACTCCGAGAACCGTCCCATGGGGAATCTCTGAGCGCTACATTATGACTTTTTGACATTATAGTTAATCAACTAAGGTTTCTTCGTTGTTAAGATGATGCTGGCACTACTTGAAGTGTCTTTCATCACTGCCTACTATCCGTGCCTTTCTGCCCACCCACCGCTTTCGCTTGTGGGTGCGCCCTAAATCCCCGTCATCCCGAAATCCCCGTCGCTTTTTGAAGAAATCGTCAAATTTATCAGCGAACTAGCTAGTTATCAATAAAAAATAGCTCTCCTGCCTCTCTAGCCTCTCTCTCGCGTATAATCGCCCGTTGAATACTATCCTCTGATCTCTGCGTGGGTTCGTAGCCATATATCTTCTTGAACTGCTTGGCTAGCTTCCTTTCCTCCTTCGCCATCTCTTCTTCCTTCCTGGCTACAATTGACCGATTTGCATCGCGAGTAGTCAATATACCAGTTGCACTAAGCAATTTGACCTGCCGCTTGGTGTATTTGCGTTTTACTGGCTCCTGCGCGGCCCTGATTCGCCGAATTGTATCCTGCGTTATCGCTAGCTCCTCCTGCTTCTCCCGCTGGTGGGCGAAATCTTGGTAAGATTCCGCTGCGCCCTATTAGATAGGGCACTGAGCTCCTTTATAATCTTCGCCTGGTTCTTCTCTAGTGCCTCAATAGATTTTGGAGGGCTATTTTCTACACTAGAAGACGAGAGATTTGGTGGTGGTGGTGATGGTGTATGCGAGCCCTATGAGCGAAGATCTGGTGTATATAGATCAGGAATCTCTAGTTGATTCGCAAGATTCTCAACAATCTTACTACCGTCAACTGGATAGATACCACGATCTCTAAAGGATTCGCGAATAATTCGCTGCGTAAAGGCCTTCTTGCGAATTGGCCCGATAATCGCGAGGAAATCCGATTTCCTATACGGCTTATCACCCCAGAAAGCTAGCTCATTATTCATCAACCGAAATTGCTGCTTATAATTCAGAAAGGGCTTTCCGTCAAGTGGCTGGCAGATATGCGTTGAATGCGGCATAAATGCAAAAGGGATAATCGAATTCTCTTCGCAAGTCTCCAGAAATTCGAGTGTAAGATACGCGCTATGGCCGTCGAATATAAGATAGCGCTTTTCGCCCTGTTTCACGCGATGAGAGGTCAGACGAATAAAATAATGTAGCCAGGATAGGGCTAATACATCAGAAATCCAGCTATTCGGAGAAATAGCCATCATCGTATCAGGTGGCAGATTTTCGCTACCGTAGAACCAGGCCTCCATAGGATTTTTGCTAGTTCCTTTGAAAATAAAGAGCGGATCTATATGCTAGCCGTCTGTAGCAATATACTCCAAAGCAGTGATATTTTCGCCTCTTTCGGTCTCTGCGAGATCAGGCAAGATGATTTAGACCCGATGACGTTTCTTGATCGCCCTTGACCAGGTTGAAAGCCGTATTCATCGAAGTTATATACTACCCGGGCAGGAACATCATAGAGGACAATTGCAAGCTGGTCGTACCAATGCTGAAGAAACCCTGCATCCTCCGCTTGGATTCGCTTTAGTTCCTTAGTCTTCTGCTTCACTAGGGCTAGCTCTAGGTGCTTTAGTAGGCGTGATATAAAGTAATATGCCCAATTCTTACTAACCTGCCTATCTGGCTGGCCCGTTCGCGACAAAGCGCGATTTGCCCACGCCTGGATAATCGCTACGGTAGGTGGAAGATTCCAGCCATGCATTTGGGTAATCTAATTGATTAGGGCCTTCTCCTGATGTGGCTGTAGGGCGTTTTTCAACGATTTGGTAGGTTTCTTGCACGATCGGGCCTTTTTGACGCGATCGCTCAAGGTAGTGCGATTCACGTCGAATTCACGCGTAATCTTTGCGATATTTGAATTTTTTTGGGATAAAACCGCTGTACAGGCTTCGGCCAATCGAGATTCATCAAAATCGCTAGATTTAGGCATATTGGGTGGTTGAATTGGCTAATAGTAGGCTACTGGTCAAAAAGTGACGGGGATTTCGGGATGACGGGGATTTAGGGCGCACCCACAAGCGAAAGCGGTGGGTGGGCAGAAAGGCACGGATACAAAGTCAGCTATTAGGAGGGACCGCACTAACCGTAGCTATAGTGCATGTTGCGGCCGAGAGATAATAGGCCGCACGAAGGCGCCAAGAAGACACATTCTTTTTGTCTCCGTTAGTGTTAGACCGACTGGTGACTCACGGAAAATGACCCGCCTGCATAACTAACTACCTCTCGACAGTTGACTCAAAGAATCAAACTTCAAGGTCTGGTCTAAATCACAATAATACGAATATGTTGTCCAACCCTGTCTGAACCCACACAAGGGTAGAGGCCTCTCGATAATATTCAAGCTTCTAAAGCTGAGTGGTAACGATATTGTAGTAGATAATTCGGCGTACTGCTCGACAGGCCACGAACGCATACGCCTCGTCTTCAAGCAGCTATGGCGATGAATGATACAATTGTAAGACAACTCCCAGTGTTGATTCAAGTGTGTGAGAGCATGTAGGGTCGACGAGAAGTGCAACTACAGAGATCAGTTATGTAGATAAGGACCTCATCTGCGCTCTCTATCTGCGTGGCCTATTAAAGTTGTTTGATAGGTATAGGTAGGTCACACATATGGTAGATATGTGGATACCTCATCACTGCTGGCCCGTATACGCATTAGAATAGCATCTACGGTTCCTTTCGCTTGCTTTCTCTCTCTATCTCTTTGTCTTTCCTTCTCTAATCCGAGTAATTTTCTAGGATTCTCATACAATTTCATCCTTGATACGTTCTGTGATTGAACTTAAGACAAAATTCGAACCGCTAGATATAGATAATTTATCCCATTTATGAGCCATAAGGATATACGACGGCCAATTGAATGAATCACCAACAATTGCTAAAAATATCGAGCATGTCTTTGTACCTAAGTCGTTAAATGGAGGTATTCTTACCTCCGTTGTATTTCTCTATCAACCTTGCCTGTTACAGTCTCTGCTTTCAAAGAATATTTTTCGTTACAGCCAGGCGAAGAACTTCATTTTTGTAGGAACTACTATCCTAGACTATACTATCGATATCTCGATCCTCCTCCCTCCTAGCAGACCTGTCCACTTCAGGTGCGGAATTTCTCCACGATTAAGTGAACTCGGGAATAATTTTAGAATTGAGGCTCACGGTGTTCCACTTTCAACTGAAGATTCCTCCTGTAAAGGCCACAAGCTAGAGCTAGGCTCTCTCCATGACCGTGGCTGTTCTGAATGGCATCGTCGATGGCGTCGCTCAGCCAGAAATTTCGCTGTATCAATCCCGGGGAGAGCCTCCTGACTTTTTCCAAAGACAGCTACCGGCTGGGCTGAGATGCGAGCCGGCATCCAGCCAGAAATGACCGTCTCATCACCAGCCCTTCTTGTCGTCGGCATGATGAAAAGTGACCGCGTCTTATCTAGTGGTGGCCGTCGAATCAGTCGGCGGAGCACACTCCTATGGACATGCTTCCTAGCCTCGACTGGGGTGGATGAAAGATGAATAACTTCGCGTCTATCTTTCAATACAGGGCGGGACCAGAGACGATGCATCTTCGGTCTTCGTGATCGGATAATGCCTGCCATTTCGGCGTCGTCATCTTCAATGTCCTCTGCGATGAGAGGAGCTATTGTGGCTTGCTGAAAAGACCATGGTGTGAAATTTGGGAGACCAGCACTAGGTTTGGAAATGCGCAGCTCCAGGCTGCGAGGTTCGCGCATGCAGACCTCCGAGCCACAGTGTGGCCAGGAGTGATGTCTTCTGTGGTTTCGGACGTGTGGCATTCCAGCGGTTGGGGGTGGAAATGCTGAAGGAAGCAAAGCTTTTTGAGGTGTCATTCAGATAAACAGTGCCTTTCTAACGTCCATCATGAATAGAGATAGTAAGAATAATTTGGATTGGATTCGAAGATGACTTTAGGTTATGGAAGGATAAGAAAGGAATTCGTTCTATATCTACCAGCTATTCACGGGCATTATAAATCGAGTGCTTGGGCTGACACCTTTAATGAGGCTCACACGTGCCGGGTTGAGGTGCCCGCCTCGACGGCCCGGGTGACTGATTAATCATTCATTCATTTGAAATGACCTGTAAGCATGAGGAAAACCTGTATTCAATTCTGTACGCTGGTGGAGGATCTGGGTATGTGAGTGTCCTATGTAGGAAGAGCACTTAGTCGGGGTGACATTTGTGGAGCGTGGAATATATTCCCGTTGAGAGTACCGGGGTGAATTTAATATATCTACCGTTGACTGATACCAGTGGTAAATCTTTCTAGGTTGTACACCCTTGATCGCAAATAGACAGCTGGAAACTTCCAAGCCAAGATCCGCTACAAAGTGGCACTAACCAGTTCCAGGAGATGACCTTTATAAGTGATGTGGTCAAGAGACCCCGGCGGGCACCAAAGTTGTCCAGACGCTCTGACCCCATGACCCGGGTGCTGTAGGGTTAAGCCACAGGCTATATACGATTTTGCAAACCAGGTTACCTTGTTGAAGGTTAGAATGAGAAGAGCTCAATGTAAATAGGCGGTCGCCAGACACTTCCAAGAAAATGGATGGACTGCAAACTTGCCTGAATACTCAAGGATCACGTGAGATGGGTATTGATTTATAGCTGATGAAAAATTGGTTGAAGAGCGTCCTTGCTTAGTCAATTTGATTTTCAAATGACTTTCGGAATCTTTATGGATTATTTACTTGCCATTAAGGGCTTAAGTATGTCCAACTTTTCTATTAGTTGCCGTACGTGGAAGAAATGTATGTACAAACACGTGATCACCAACTTTCTTTTGCTTCATGGAACCAAAAGTTGCCCCCTCCTAACATCAACCAGCACCAAGTGGTCGAGCGGTAACTCGGTCATCTCCATCTTCCTTGGTCTAGTGGTCATGATTTCCGCTTGTCATTAACACCGATAAGCGCGGGAGACCGGGGTTCGATTCCCCGAGGGAGAGTCATCTTTTTGCATTTCTTTTTGCATTTCTTTTTGCTTCAATCAGTCACCTTAATTTCCAGAACAACGACGTCAACTATATTCTGGACCGGAACATCTTGTTTTCTCTGTCAAGTGGCCTACCCTCGGGTATCTTTCAGTTCTGTTCACAACCTAGGAAGTATACTTCCAAATGGCCATGCTACTTGGCAGGTATTCTATTTCTACAAAGCAACTTAGCACATTGACATTGACGGATCCATCTGATGTTCGCTAATATCCAGATTCAGGGTTCCTTATGTTCAACCTGTTGTCGAAGGTGGTTTACTCTGGAGTACAGTAAGAAAGTCCTCTCGATCTAAGCCGTTAGATCTATACCAAAACAAAGTCAAGAAAGGACCCTCTAACTTACCTTTCGGAGACGAAAAGACTATGGAGATAACACCTTCCCTCTTCTCGACATTGCTACTTCTAGGATTCCGCGCCAAGATATTCACCATATCCAGGCTCGTGCCACGAGCATAAGGTAGCTTGGGAAAGCTGACGCGGGAACTCTCCCTAGTAGAATCGTCATACTCCGAAGGAATCGCCATGGTCAACCACTTGTCCGGAACGGATTCACCCCAACGCACAGCAAGATGAGAACGATTGCCTCGATGCCAAAGTTGAAGGTCTGCAGCGCCTTTGCCTGACTTCTTAGATCCGCCAAACAAGGGTTTGCTCTTCGTAGATAACGATTGAATGCGTCGAGCGAATGCCAGGTCATATAATGGAGACAATGTACTTAGAAATGAGCGTGACGCCGAATCGTCGTTGAATTCGATGATCGCCGAGCCTAGTTTCTTCTCGCAATGTGAGAAACCAACTGGTGTTTCGGCTCGGTATAGCTGGTCGACGTGGGTGGAAATGTAGTCTGTGAAGGAGATTCGGGAAAAGCGAACGGTGCATGATGAATGGTCGTAGGCAAAGTCCGCATCGCGGTACAGATAGTACACATTAGAGTATCGCCATGATGATCGGCTCTGGAAGAGAACTACCGCTTTGTATTGTTTGTGTTCCCTCCCAGTATCGACCACATCGTATATACGACCAGAACTGCTGAGTTGTGACCAAGCAAAATCCGACGGAAAGTTTAACTCGAGTACTGCCTTTTCAAAGCCCTCGGCACCTTTTTCGGTGCAAAAATGTAGATCGACACCAATGTTAGGCGTATTTCCGTCATATACGTATGAGTGGAGGGTATTGTAATTGCCATCCGTCTTGTCTGAGCTTTCTTGACAAGTATCCGACCATTTGAGAATCACTTGGCGTGATCCACATTCGCGTCTGATCTGAACTTTGCTGAGTGGCATGAAGAATTCGATGCATTGTGGGGTTCTTTCAGCTATCGAGGGACTAATCACCATTCTTCTCATAGAGTGCCATGCTTCACCAAAGGAACGTTCAAGGATGCGCACTTCGCAAGATTTGATAGAAATTGGTGGATTGGTGGGATCCATATTTGGCGTTTTTAGTTGTTCAAACAACTCCACTGAGCTCTTGAAAATGATGCTCTCGGTGAACTCTTTTGAATCGATAGGCTCCCTTTGCCAAATAGCATCAAAATATGCCTTTGGAATGTCGATCAAATGCCCTAGGTCGGCCTCGAATTGAAAGGAAATCGACACGTTGATATTATCAAACTTGAATGGTATTGATTCCGAAACGCGGGAACCAGGGAATCCGGTTTGCGTAGCGTTGTGAAGATGTAACAACGGTGGCAAGTCATCAGGTACGACTATAATGTATTAGCATTTGAAATCATATCTTCTGCAAGCCGGCTGATACCAACATTGGCGTTCAAGGCAGAGAGAACCACTTTGATTGCAAAGAATAATTTTCGGCTCGCTTTCGCCCTCGCGAGTGGCAAGCAGTAGCATATATGGTGCGCCTTTAGTGCGTATTCGAAATTTCTTACCTCCTATTCCTGCATTGACGAATGCTCTGTAGAGGACTCGCTCCTCGTCGCCACCCGCATCTTCTATGTCAACGGCGATCCAGCGAGATGCCCCGAGGCTCAGAGGGATATCTGTGCCATTTTGTGATGCTTCTTCGGGCTGCACAGGCTCCCATATGTCGAGACTTTGAGACTGAATGATGGAAAACTCGGGGATATCAATAGTGGTGTATTGCGAAAGCTCTTCATTGATAGCCTACTCATGGTTACACTGGGCAATCATAGCTTGCATTCACCAAAAACTTACCTCAGACAGATCGGCAATTGACTTGTGATTTTCATCGGTCAAAATCACTGGTGAACTCTCATCTTTGAGCACAACATCATACAGAATATAGGAGGCTTTGAGGAGATCAATGTATGCTTGATGCGACGTCGATTTTGAGACTGTAGATGGACTCATGCTCCCTCGTGCACTGACATAATTATGTCTGTTGCAATTTGCAAGGGTCGCGCGAGCCTTGAGCAACCACCAGGTTGCCACATGAAGCCAGTCTGTCGTATCGAGGTTTCTCATTGGCAGCTCCTTATTCACAGATGCTTCGAATATCTTGACAATGTCCGGATCTGGTTTATGAGTTTGGTTCTGCGGCGCATATCGAATCGGTCGGGCGAGCTGCTCCTGTAACCGCACTTGGCGAAGCTGGTCCATTGCGCTTGTCACAGCTTCCGCGACATTACTACGCCCAGAATCAGCGTAAGGCATGTCTCTGGATCGTTCTATGCCATGCCAACCCTGTGAGCTAGAGTTATCTTCGATGAAGTCCTGGTCAACGGCTCGAGAATTAATAGAGCGATCATAAAGCGGCTGCTCGATTCGATTTTGTCCGTGACTGACTTTACCCTTTGTGCTTTCTGATAACGAGAGGGCTGTATCTAGCGAAAGGGGCGACGTAGGGGCGGTTCTTCCACGAAGTGAGCCATCGGATGCGGATGCCAAGGAATTCGACGACGTGGATGCTTGTCTAAGCTGATCATGGCCTTGGTGTGTTTCGAGCTGGCCAGTGATTTCTGTTCGCATGAATCGAAAGGTATTCGGTTCACCCAAATGTCCATTATCAGCTCGAAGGTGCAAAGGTCCGATTGCAGCGTCCGGATCATGACCTAGCCGTGTGTCGAGTGCGAGAACGGTCCGTTCATTTTCTTCCAAGGCATGAGACTTTTCACTCGGAATTAGAAATAAGCTCAAGTCACAAGTATGAACAACGATTTTAGAGCGAAGACCTTCGATTTGAGGTCTCAGAGTAGCCCAGTTGACATCTTGCCCGAGCTCTTTGATATCCCAAATACCTAGCTCTCGAGAGCGATTTATCAAATCTTCCAAGTTCCGTAGCGTCTCAAAGCAAGTGCTTAAGCATCCCTGGAGTGCGACTTTCCGATCTTCCTTCATTCTCTCATAAAAGGGCCCATTAGAGACGATCCCATCACTGAGAGCGCGCAACTTCTCTTGCAGTGATTCAAGTTCCGGAAAAAGCGCTCGAAACCCTTCAGGGCCATTGTTCGCGATGAGGTGGCATTGAAAATGAAGCTCCCACGCTACTTTGGTCAAAGTGGCCATATTAAGGGTCCTGAGACTGGAAGACATGAGAGTATAACTGGCCAAAGGCGGAGTTATTGTGAACCCATAACTGTCCCTGTAACTGGCCATGGTGCAATTATCTAACGTAGCGCCAGGTTGTTTTGTGCCCACAAGCCAGAACCGTCACGAGCAGAGAGGCAGTCAGGCTAGGCTAGATGGCCCAAGCCCAAAGGACGAATAGCTTATCGGATTGTTGCTAATTGCCTGACAGATGAGCGCGGATGTTGAAACATGGAAATCTGGCATCCACCAAGTCATAGCTGCTCGGGCATGGGAGGAAGCTTGCAATCCGAAAATCGCGCTCAACAAGGCAATACAGAAGAAGAGAAAGTCTACACCATAGCGGAGACAGCAATCAGCCTTGATGACAGCCTGCAAGTCCTGAGACGAAGATTTGATTGCGGCCACTGCGCATGGGGGGAACCAGTCAGGAAACCAAGTTGAGCCGCAGCAACCAATCCGAGGCTTTGGGTGGCTTGCTGGAGCGTTGTACCCTTGTCAAATCCCCGCCATTTTGGCCCCTTTACGGCCCTTTACGGGACTTTATGGGACCAGTCAAATTGTCCTGAATGCGTTAAGCCGCTTGAGAGAGTGAGCTTTGCCAGATGAGACACCGGGCGAGGTCTGCGCTGCTAGGCTGTGCCATCGCTGGTACGAGATTCAACCAAAGCTTTTCAGACGGCAGCATGAAAATCGCCCAAAGGGTAATTGTCCGATGGGAGACTTTTATGCAGGTTAGATCTCCACGTCTCAAACTTGTGTACTCATCATTGAACCGCGTGCTTGAAATTCTTGTTGACGTGACCCTGGACGAGGTAGAAAGGTGGGGACAGGACGGGCGCCCAAGTCCCACGAGGCTTTCCCCACACTTGAGCCCTGGTACCTTATGATATTGCTACTTTGTCAGCTCTGGAGTAGTAACTAGTAGTAATGACAGCAGTCGTCGAAGATTCTCGATAGTGCACTTACTATTGAACCATCCAAACAATAATACGATCTCAGTTCGATCTTGGGAAGTGGTTTTCACTTCGGTTGCTTACAGGCGATCTAGATCTACCATTCGACACCTGAGGCCACCACGTGGACCCCCCAAACAGTTAGCTTGGAGATGATGATTCTCCTGAACTTCACCCTTTCTCCTCCTTCTCACCTTTCAACCAGCTCTGTAAATAAGCATACAACTGCCTCCTGCGCATCCGCTCTCTAGAGCGCGGCGACACTCTCCCACCAATTTACCACCACAACAACCCACCACCTGCCAACCACCGCCAAAATGACCACCCCAAACAGCTTCACCCTCGACCTCCCCACCGTCCTCTGCATCGCCTTCTCCCTCTCCTTTATGCCAATCGCCTACCTCCTCAGCAAAGCCCTCATCCCCTCCACCCACACCCGCAACCGTATCCTCTTCTTCTGGCACGCCTACGACGCCCTAACCCACCTCTTCATCGAAGGCTCCTTTCTGTACCAATGCTTCTTCAGCTACGCCTCCCTACCTGCCGGCATCCAGAGTGCGGGTCCGCACTTCCTCGACCGCCCCGACCGCGTCTACGGCCCAGCCTACGGCTCCGGTCCCAGCGCGCGCCTGTGGCAGGAATACGCCAAGGCCGATCGGCGCTGGGCGGGCGCTGATTTGACTGTTATCTCGCTGGAACTGTTGACTGTGTTCGTCGGCGGGCCCGCGGCGGTTTATGTTTGCTATCTGCTGTGTCGGTCGTCGAATGAGAAGTTGAGTGCGAAGGTGCGGGGTGGTGCTAAGGCGACTCTGTGGTTTGTTGCGACTGCGTTGGCGACGGCCGAATTGTATGGCGGATTTATGACTTTTGCCCCGGAGTGGTTGACTGCTAGCTCGCAGCTTGCGACGGAGGATCCCGTGTATCTGTGGCTATATCTGTTCTTCTTTAATACTCTCTGGGTGTTTATTCCCCTGTGGGTGTTGTGGGAGGCTGGTAAGGAGCTGCAGGCAGCTTTTGTCTCACAGGAGGTGGCAGAGGCTGAGCAGAAGGGGAAATAAAGGGTTCCAGTTGGGATTGAAAAGTAATGTTGGACGGAGTTTGTACAGACGGACGGATGGATATATGGAAGGATTGATTATACTTGGATTCCACTGGTTTGGGAGGTCTCATTTGAGAGATGTCGATTACCTCCGAAATACCTATATAATGCGGCACTGGTTGAGCCAGGTTCAACCCCCCCTGTTATTAAAACTGGTTACATAATGGGACAAATGGACAGAAACAATGCAATGTCATATACTGTACACACCGCTGGAAACACAAGTAAATAGATCAATCTGGTATCATCAAACCCTCGGCAACACCTAACCCTTCATACCCCGATCTTTATCCCAGAACCAGTGATAAAACGTCTTCCACTCCGCCGCCTCATCCTCGACATAATCCCCAACCAACTCAGCAGTCTCATTGATATCATAGGAAACACCCGGGACCTTGAACCCGGTAGAAGCATCAACCCCGTGCGCGATATTTCCAATTTTCGCCGCATTCGCAGCCGCCGCATGGGAAGTCATGTCAACCGCGACGCTGCCGGAGTGGCTCTTGAGCGCATCTTCAGCGCCTTCGCGCGTCCTCTCGGCCAATTCGCGGGCCCCCTCGCGCGCAATTTCGCTATACTCTTCGGCTTGTTCGCGGGCGCGCGCGAGAAGTTCCTCGGGAGATGGATACCGACGCGAAATGATGAGAAGAAGGTAGTAGAATCTGACGATGGTTGCGTACACGGCATCCTTCGCCAGCATGGTGAATCCATGGGAGAAGAATCCCTTCACTACTTCACCCGAGAGACCGGCGTACAGAGCAGAGATACCTTCCGTCTGGTAGATCGTTGCCACATCCGAGAATATCTTTGGCGTGAGCGCGGCCAAAACCGCATTTGAACTCGAGCTCTGCGGGGCGCCTTTCTGAGCGCTCCTGAGTGCCTGGGCCCTAGTCTTGGCCAGAGAAAACGGATATGTGATAGAGGAAGCGGTTGATTTGCTCAAAGCCGCCAGTAAGAAAGTGACCGCAGGCGAGGGTCGCTGGCGCTTTGCACGTGGAAGGAGAGCATATTTCAGCACCTCGTTGAGGAAGAAGGTGACCGACGGGTTTAAGGTGAGAACCAGGGAGGCCGAGTATCCAGACCAGAAACCGCCAATACCCTTCTCAGCCCGAATCTGAGCTGCAATGTCCGCCGTCGAGAGATCCTTCCCGCCATTTCGCGCTGCAGTTTGTTTGCGGGTGACGATATTTGACAAAGGCGTCGTGAACAACTTTGAGAACGCACCAGCGACCATACCAACCGCGAGTTCATCCCAAATGGGCAAGACGATATTCTTGCTCTTGGCCGCCTTGGCGGGCCCGACACGAGCGATAATTCTTCGTTGTCGGACGGTGTTGTATGCGAGGAAGAAGAGGAACGAGTCTGCGACCGACTTCCAAGTATCCTGTGCCAGACCGGGGTAGAAGCCTGCCAGGCCTTGCTGCTCATAGATTTTTCGGGCTGCGTCGAGGATATCTTTATACTCTGGTTCCTCGTCGGATCCTTCTTCTGACTTGTCCTTTTTCGCTTGGGTTTGTAGACGGGCGACGATCACGTTGAGCGGGTAAACGATGATGTTGGATATCGCTGAGCCAACGGCACCGGCAACTGCGTTGCCCAGAACCGGCAATGCTGGTCCGCGGAGAGCGGAGGTTTTCCAGTCCTCCCTTGGGTCGCGGCTTTCATAGCGGAAGGAGGGGTGGAAGGCATCCTGATCGGGCGGGGATCGTGTTAGTAGGCTGGGATGGACGGGGTGGACTCAACGCACCAATTCTGACTCGTAGGTTAGTTTGTACTCAGCCATGCTGTCGGCTGGAAAGAGTTATTTTCTCCTTGGTATTATCCTCGAGATGGGCAAGTCTCCTTCGGGTGAGATATCAAGTGTGTTTACAAGGCTTGTGCATTGGTGGGGTTCACAGCAGGAGGAAGGCTGGGTATGAGGTCTCTCGCATCACCCACTATGCGAGAGAAAAGTATCCAGAAAGGCCCAGCCAGCGAGTGAGATGACCAGGAGATAAGACTTTTATGAACGTGAAGGGCAACGCTGAGTGATGGCCGAGGTCCATGCCTTGCGGAGGTGTCGATTACATCATGCCGATCATGTGGTCCGTGCAAGGACGTGGTCTGATAACACTCGACACCTTCAGGCAGCCAGGCATTCCTATGGTCGATTTTGAAGGAGTGGATTGACATCTCAAGAAAGTGATTCTAGGATGTTAGATCCAGTGCCTCAGCTTTATCCGACACGCTGCCTCTTGTATCCCACGAACGAAGTGACAACGCCTCACTTTGATTCATTTTACTACGTCTCGATCAACATGAGATGACTCGCGAGCAATGCCTACTCCGTCTGGACTCTGATTGGGGAATATCCCACTCAATATTGCGAAATCAAGCCAGTCGGATCAATGCTAGGGAGAAGTGACATAGAGGTGACCCTCCTTCTTTGGAAGTGCATCCGAATACGACAAGCGTGGAGTCCTGCACTATAGCTTTCAGGAGGGCAGGACTCTTTTGACGCCACAGGCTGGGATGTATGGGCATCGCATAGACACATCGAGTATCTTGTGACGGATTCGCTTTGACACCAGATCTAACAACGACATAAAGGGAGAAAACCATATGTACAGACTATCCTTGGGTCCCTGCTCTCCCACAACCAGGTCCTTTCAAAAGGCAGGAGGACATCGAATAGGGAAAGAGCACTACACTCGCTTCTACGAACTCGGGAAATCTACATGATAAGAACAAAACTGGTACAGACTAGTGGCAATTGTTCCATTGAGACCTTGCAGGGTCAAGGCAAAAAGCCAAGCCAACTAACTAAGAATAAAATCCGTAAAACCCATTCCCATATTCGCAAGTAAAAGAAAATCCCAATCCCGTAGCATCCAAACCCCATCGGAAAACTGGGTAAGATAGTCCCAGTTGAGCCATCATAAGCCTATTGTAGGCAAAAAAAAAACCGCAAGGGAAAAAACCATCACACCGTGGCGCGTTAAAAGAAACCAAGGACCGGCAACGGGGAAAATAAGACGGCATGCAAAAAGCCGCCAGCGCAATTCCCGCCAACGCCAGGCCCAGAACATCCTGAGGGGAACGCACTTAACCACCGAAACCGTACAGAGTGCGGCCCTGGCGCTTGAGAGCGTAGACAACGTCCAGCGAGGTAACGGTCTTACGCTTAGCGTGCTCGGTGTAAGTGACAGCGTCACGGATGACAGACTCAAGGAAGGACTTGAGAACACCGCGGGTCTCCTCATAGATCATGGCGGAGATACGCTTCACACCACCACGGCGAGCGAGACGGCGGATAGCGGGCTTGGTGATACCCTGGATGTTGTCGCGCAGAATCTTGCGGTGACGCTTGGCGCCGCCCTTGCCGAGACCCTTACCGCCCTTGCCGCCTGTGAAGATGTTAGTTTAGAGTCTTTTCGGATAAGTTTGCAAGTATGTGTACGAAGGTCGAAGGCGACGAGGTGGAGACTGTATAGACACGGCGAGGTGTTGTGTAGAGGTAGAGGAAGGAGGCCAGCCTTGTCCTGTTTGGGTAAAGCGAGGACGCATGGCTGCCTTGGTGCCTGGGGCACACAACGCCACCCAATCACGTGCAGCCAGGGGCATCACCACCTTTCAACCTCATCGCAGCGACCAGGACACCTCACAGGCACCAACGCATCAAAATAAATAAAAAAGGTAAATACTTACGTCCAGACATGATGAGTTCGATAGAAGGTTTGATGAAATAGATAAGATATTGATGAGAATTGGCTTGGTGGATGACAGCCTCTAAGATCTAGAGCGGTCGGGACGCGTCGAGAGTTGTAGAAAGAGAGAAAAAAAAACGAGAAGAGGGAAAGAAAACCAGTCAGCGACGGGCGGGGGAACCAAGGGCTTAAATACGTGCAATGAGCTGACTACGCGTGATTTTGGGGGGAAAGCGGGTTGGGGGGTTGGTTAGGTAAGCCCATCGTTTTACATTCTGCAATACGGCGGTAATTGGCAGTGCGGCGAGGGAGGAAAATGGGCGTTATGAAAGGCAGGATTTGAGCATGTCTTGTTGGCCTGGGGGCTGCCCGCATTTTCCGAGCGGGTGCTATTAAAGTGGGTGTGTCACGTGGTGATAAGATAGATGGGTGGGGCGGTTCCCGTTAGTTGCAGCCGTGGGCCTTTTGCAGTGTCGAATCTAGGTTCTTAGTCACGGGGCGATAAGGGAGGGACCTCTTATCTAGGGTGCCACCCTCAGGAAATGGAATATGGGTACAACCCACCTGATAAAAAAAAAAAGAGTAAGTATTCCACATTAAAAGATTGGCGAAGTGTCTTTAGTCTCATAATAAAGTGCTTTTCGTCTTATCCCTCACCTCCCACACAAATCCATCCCAAAATACTGAGTCAGCTTGGTTCTGCCACTCATCTCCCTACTGTACAAACACAAATTTAGACCATGTCTGTTTCTACAATGGAGTCTTTCCAGTACACTGGGAGAAATTATGTCATGACTCGAAGTCGCGTTCATTCGTGTCTTTCATTGTCAAGACTATGCTACGTCGCAGCACCAGTCTCCACCGTGAAAATCATATCTCTCATGCTAATCCATCACAACTTGCATCCAGTCCTGATGTGCCCATAAAACAACTTGGCCAAAAAAGGGAGTAAAGAAAACATCAACAGGCGAAGAGAAAAAAAGAGAACAAAAAAGAACCCCGGAACACCATGCAAAACTTTGAAAAGTCAAGAAACAATCAGGCCAACGATAAAATGCATATGAGAGCGGAGGCGGGCCCAGCGAACTAATAATAAACTTTTTTGATGGAAAAATGAGGAGTCCGCCGAGTGGCAGGATAAAGAATCGAAATGGCCTCTCGAGGTGGTTAGGGTTGTAGGTGATTGTGTCGTAGTAAACGAGAGGGGAAAAGGTAGAAAGTATCGTATCGTCATCATGCATAATCGAGACAAACTGCGTGTAGTGGTAATGGCAACTCCAAGGTGGTAGAGAAGAGGGTGGGAGGACGCGTGAGAATGACCACATCGGACCAAAGTCCCGCGTCGATAATTTCTCCCGACGCGACTCGTGAACACTCCGACACAACCAACGATCAGAAAACTAGCTCCGCGGTTTATTACACATCGCAAGAACCAGTTCTCTGTCATCCGCTGCGGTCAGGAGCAGCCACAGTCCGGTCATCGAAAGTGGAGGAGAGAGAGAGATCAACTATGCAGGGGATAAAAAATCACTGAGCACCCACACAGGGCGCATATGCATAATCGGTCAAGGACGGAAAGTAAAAGGAATCGGGCATCTCCAGGAAAGAAACATCATATCCCCTTCAAACACAAAATCCGTCAACATTGCACGCTCGGGGGAAAAGGGATCGGTCGGTGACCAGGATAATAGCAGGACTCCGGAGCGGTCGCCAAGCTTTTGATGTCACTCACCCTCGAATGACTGGCGACGACTGAGAGTCCTTCATGAATCCATTCTGCAGTGTCGTCTGGTGGTAGGGATAGCGAAAGGCCATTGAAGGCGATGCACGAGGAGAGGCTCGCGGGCTCCCCGAGGCTGGACGAGATTCCACACGAGATGCCTCGGTCGCAACCAGTTCTCGAGGCAGGGAGCGGGGAGAAAGAGGAGGCGAGGGAGCAGCCGCGTTGAAGAGTTTCGCTGGCTCCTCTCCTTTCAGGCTGAGGGTGAAGTTCGCAAAGTTTGGCGGCTTCTCATTGGGAGTATTGTTGGATGAACCGTACTGTAAGGGTAGGTTAGTGGGCTGTCCTCCAAAAGAGCCTGGCGGATAACTTACGAAACAGTATTTATCCACCAGCTCTTTGTACGACGAAGACTCGTGGCAAGGCTTGCTAGATACCAGTGAGGAAGGCTTCAGATCCTCTGGTCGAGCATCATTTCTCACTGGAGAAATCCGACCTGGCCGGATGTCCAAATCTTTCTCCACCGGCTTGGCCTTGGGTGCCTCCGGGGTCTGGGTAGACCGAGCGCGTGCGGTCAGAGTGGTCCGATCAACGGGAGTCTTGGTCCGCATAGCCGCAGTCAGCGATGCCCCGAAATCATACCGGTTGCCGAATGCCTGTGGATGTGGCTTCTCGCGGCGCTTGGGAGGGCCGATCGTGTCAATGTCATTCGAGGTGCTTCGACTGAGCGGAGGTCCTGCGTTCGCGGTGAAAGGATTACTGAACGGTGCCTTCCTGCCAACGTCGGCGAAATCCTCAAACGAGGGAGGCATAGACAGCGGGCGGCTACCAGAGTGAGAGCCAGTGAAAGTTCGACTACGAGGAAGAGCTGGGCGGTTGCCACCTGATGGTTTGTTCGTGGCAGGCTTGGAGGCTTTGACGAACTCGACCTGGTAGTTCATGCCGTTGTTGTTGTCCCAGTGCTCCTGACCATCGACGTTGTACCGAATGCACACAAACATTTTCTTGCTTTCCAAGTTGGCCTGATCGTCGAGCTTGATGTCGAAGGTGAACCGATCGTGTCCATCATGGGCGTGCTTGCGACGAACATCGTGGCTGTACACGGCGACGACTTCGGACACAGTTCTCCAATGATCGAACGTGAAACGGGCAACCACATGCTTGTGGAACGCGAGGTTAGCCACAGACACAGAGCCAATCAGACTCTTCTTGTCAGCTGAGAGGAACAACCGTTCTAGGCGGACTGCATGAGTAGCGCGGTGGGGCGCATCTTTAGGGAAGTTCGAGAGCCGCAACTCCCACTCCCAAGATGGGGCAGATTTGTCCGCATCATGACCAAATGGAAACTCGGTATCACCATCGTGGCTGTCCACCGGGGACGTTTCGGCGCTCACAGCCAAGGGCCGGTCGAGCTGCAAGAAATGCCGAATATGCTCCAATTGCGAGTCGAAATGCACAGCCTTGGCATAAACCGGGGTACCTGGCATGCTAGATGGTCGCCGACGAGCTGTGGCGGGACGAAGAGCTGGACGAACCAGTTCACCTGACTTCTTTCTCACCATTGGCGGCTTGGGGGTAGCCTCGGCATCGCTGTCGTCCGGCGAGCTGGTCAATGCCTGTTCTCTCCTGAGATTCACTGCTGTTTCAGTAGACGAGCGTGAGTGGGAGATCTTGCGAGACTCCTTGGATAGCCGCAAATAGTTGGGCTTGGGCTTAGCCTGGGGAGTGGGCGATGAAGAGGATTGAGCCTCAGTTCCTGACTCGTCGGCCGGGCGCATCGTCTCTCTTTCAGGTGAATTCTCCCTCCGCTGCTCAATGGACCGCACTGCAGCCTCGAGTTCCTCAAGTTTGATCTCGTCTTTCGGTTCAGATGATTCCTCATCACTCGAGTTCGTCACGGATTCTGGGGGCGAGATTACCGCCCCCGGGGGAATGGCTGCATTGTTCAGAGGCGGCGGAGACTGGCGGAGACTGGCATGCGGATCGATGGTGGGGGAAAGGCGGGATGACGGGTCAGAGGAGGAATGCACGTTCGATTTCGAGATCGACGGGCTCCTCCTGTGCCGACGGACGTATGAGGTGGAAGAGTAGGATCGAGAATTCTGCAGTCGATGTGATGCAGACCCAGCCGCGCCCGGTCGTTCAGGGCAGGCGTCGGATGGAAGATTGGTGTATTCAATGTGCTGTGTGGCGAGCAACGACTTTGCTGGCGCAGTGTATGGCATCCGGCCGACTTGTGTGTCTCAACACAAGAAGGGGAAGTGGATATGTGAGCAAAGAACAGGCAGGCGAGATGCTCTCAAAGGTTCAGTGCAGGTGCAAAGATGGATCTGATGGGAGGAGCTGAGTCAGTTCTGGGTTCCCTTTAATCAGAGGTACTGTGGCGAGAATGATGGGGAGTGCAGAGGCAGGGTTGAGAAACCGACAGGCAGGCGAAGACGGCATCACCATGCATTAGCCAGAATCACGGTGACTCGGGGAGGCAAGGTCGTCGAGGTGAAACTTCTTCGGCCGTCGTAGGATAGATGCAGATGGTGTGGCACCCGAAGAATGGCGAGAGGAAAGTGCGGACCAGTGGGGAGAGAGGTAGCAATGAAAGGGTATCACAGCACGAGTAACACCGGAGGCAGTGAAGAGAGAGCCGGTTCGGAGGACAATTGGGGAGAGGGGGTCTTCGGGGGAGGGCAATGGATAGAAGGAACAAGAGTGGAGAGCTTGAGGATTGGAGAGAGATTGGAAATTGGAAGATGGGAGCGGAGGAGAGAAGAGAGCTTATCAAGCCTACCGATGGGTGGGGAGTGTGGCGATAAAAGGGCGATATGGGCGGATATGGCGATGCTATCAGGGTGGGCCGATCGCTAGTCGGGTAAAATTCAAAAATCGAAGATGAATAATAGAATATGCAAATGCAAACTCCCAGCAGTGACAAGATGGAAGATCAATGAAAATATTGATTTCACCCAAATGTACAAAAGTCAAAGAGCTGGACAACCACAGGGTAAGTAGATGATGGGATGATTTCGATCGAGGATCACCTCACTGTACCTCGAAAGTACCCGGGAAGTCGTGCTATGGGAGGCAAATGGACGCTTCTTTAACAAGCCATTTCCCGCTTGGACTGTTCAAATCAGTTGCTGTATGGGCAATGATAAGAGAGGAAACCAGTCTAGAGGTTCCAAGGTTCCTTGACTGGTGAGGCAAAAAAGGTGCCCGGAAAAGGATGGAGGATGGGGAAGATAAGAAGGACAGGAAAAACGGTGAAAATTGAAAGAAGAGCTGGGTAAATGCGATCGGAGCAGGGAGTTATAGGAATTCGGATAGCTGTCCCTAATGGCAGGGAAATCCAGAATGATGGGAACCGGGAACTATCATATTTAATATTGATGACTTAATTAAGGTAATCGAGGGCCAAAGAAAAAATAAAATAGAAAAAAAAAAAAATAATATCATCATCTCCTCCAAAGTAGGAGCAGAGAAAAAAAAAAGTGGAACAAGATAAATAAAGACGGGCATCGCAAGCGCCCATTGGGCAAAAAGCGACCAGACCAGGCCCTTTGACTCCGGATACTACCGTCAGTGCGTCGCCGTATAAAATGGTGGCTTTAAGAGGCCATGGCATCGCTTGCTGCGTTAGGGACACGCCGAGTGGGTCGTGGTCTGGACACAGAAAAGTCATTTTGACTAGTGGCGCTTGGATACTGAGTAATACTGCGTACAAATGGTACAATCATATAATACCTCGAGAGAAATTGATATCTCTGAATCATAATCGAATCGCTTTTCTATACCGTTATTACGGCTACTGCGGTGGAGGTGACTTGCATATTGGAAGCAGCCCTTGATCTGGGCAGTACTTACTCTGGACTCCATCCGTTATCCGTGCTCTCGATACTTTGGATGTACTACTACGCTCTGACGTTCGCCCGTATACTTCCCTGGAGTACATCCCTCCGGTATGTACACCCGTGTCCACCCACAGGTACCACGACCGACTGGGGCGAAAAAAAAAAGAAACAAAAGGGTTCCGAATTTTCCGCAACATGTGGCCCCTGTGCACGAGGGCGTTGGGGGATCTCCATTGGCGTTGAATCGCGATCTCTGGGACTACAATCATCTCACCTCTTGACAGAACTCTGAATAACCCTGGATACACATCCATTGCCCTCGGCCGACCGCGGAATCCTTACGAGTTTCCAACTTGATCATACGTTCTTCCAATGCAAGTAGTATTATAACAGGACGCGAACATTCCAGCTACGACGACATCCCTCTCCAGTATGGATCCAGCATGGACGCAGGACTCCATACTGCTCCGCCCGCCTGGGGCGCTAATCACCCCAGTCCACTTCCATCTCACCTTGTGTTCCCTGTTTTTTTCAACGACTGACGTCTTGCAATTGTATCACTTCATCCACTTTCTTCCCAATCCATTCCCCCTCCCTTTCAACCCTAGTCATGGGAATTCGCGACCGGGATGATAGATCTACATCAGCGTGCAGCGTGAAACAATTGGAGCGGACCATCGAATCTGATTGAGAATTCAAAGACCGTCGGTGAGCAGAAGGCCGCGACCGTGGTACTTCGCAGAGTACGGACATCGACAGTCTTTTACTACGCTCTTATCAAGACTCTGTTAGCGGCGAGGTCCGAGTCCGCGGGTTCACCACTCTTCATTGGGTCGTCCCGAACTTGGCGACCAGAAAGGAAACACCGAAACCGAAACCCTCGCCGAAGTGCGACTCCTCTTCTTTCCCCACCAGACAGCACCTTAACTATTGTATGGATATGTGAGATTCTCCATGCATGAATGGAGTATAAACTGCGCAAGTGCTGAAGCATAAACCTTCCTCTTCTCCTCCTTTGACTTTTCCCCCTCATTTCAGTGATCAATGGTCTAGCCCATTTAATTTAGCATAAGCATTGACCACTGATTATGGGACTTAACGTATGCAAAATGCGGGATCCAATGGTGCATATCCTTCAGTCTAGCCTTTCGACTCGTTCTTGAGGCGATCCTGGTTGGCGCGGGGGGGGGAGGCAGCTTGTCGTTTTGTCCTCGTTGCTGGTCCGACCATGGAACAGCACGACCACGAACCCTTTGTATCCAAGGGCCAGCTTCGCATTTGCTACTGTTCGCAAACCAACCCTCTACGTTCCGCCAATTACTAGAGGCTTTACTATCTATTAGTCAAGTTATCTTGAAATTATAGTTTTGAGCGTATCCCCAGGAGATGCAAGGAGGTGTTTAGTCTGACCTGGATGGAGGTAAGCTGCAGTGGGACATGACGGTAGGAGATTAGAAGAGAATAGAACAGCAGACAAACCTTCGCAATGGTCAACTAGTTGCCCCATGGAGGTGTTTCCCCCCTCCCAGGATACACAAAGCGCTTGGATAGTAGAAAAGTGAACAACCTGTAAATGAACTGAGGGAGAGAGAGAGGGGCCCGAGTATCAAATCCCCCCTCTATAGGCCCCAGCATCAATCCCCAGCATATTGATGCTCCGTGACATGCAGCATGCAGTTAGATATCTAGTCCAACGCTCTCTCGTCTGGAGGTGGATCGACAAGCAGCTGCACTCCGTAGTCTGAGTCTCCAGTTGTCTCCAGTTTCCAGTCTCCACAGGTTGGTGCCGCAGAACCCGGAGTTGGGTGGGTTGGGGCCGAACGGCCGGCCGACCGAACCTCGCTCGGGAGGTGATTTTTTTCTTTCATTCTGGTTTGGGGTCGACGTTTTTTTTCCCTTGCTGCCGCGAACAGCGATGATTTAAGCTCTTATATTGCAAGGGGAACACGGGTCGCAAATCTGGTATCTGCCAAACAGGTCCAAGAGTCTTATCAGAACCCAATCTCTGGTCAATTGACTCAGACAGTCGCCATCACCAAGAGTCGTCGAGTCCGGCTGTCGCAGGTTTATACTCCGTCCTCAGCCGGGGGGTGGGGGGATGGTGGTGGTAATACCACGCGCAGACCCCAGTAATGGATGACGTCAAGATGCATCTGTCAGGCCCGTGAGTCGCCAGTTTCCTTGGTTTGATTTTTCTTGGCGGCGGTCTGGGCCCCCCCAGTCGCTCGTGCAGTGCAGCCCAGCAACTATTTGTCCTGGTACAACAATGAAAGAGAAGAGAGTTGCACCACTTTGCTCCGAGGAGGTTCGCGGGAGGTTCGGAGAACTATTTTCTCACGATCAACGACGCTATCAGCCGCAGTGGGAGAAATATCTGATCTTGTTCCTGATGATGATATCTGTTTCAGGGCACGCCATTGTTGGAAAATCCTGTCTCCATGGGACCAGCCCTTGCCGATCTTGTTTACGGTATTACAACGGGAGTATAGCTATGGAGTAGGTAGTATTTACTCCGTACACGAGTACTTTGCACTGAACGATCATGGGGGACCCACCAGCAAGTAATTTGATATACGCAGTAGTAGACGATACGTACTAGTTACTATAGTTGATGTCGCTATCTGGAAATTTGTTGGAGGAGACAGGCGCCCATATCGCAACAGGGGCCCGTTGCGTCCAGGGCCGAGTGCCACAACCGGGGATTTAAGAAGTATGGTCTGTGGCCTATCTTGTCTGTGGCAAGTCATTTAGGTACAAGTACATGGACGTTATATGCATATATTCATTGTTCTATAGCCCTACTATATTGATTCTCGGACATCTTGATTCCGCGTTTCACAATACCTCCCAAAAAGCGCCCCAAAAAAACGTTGAGACTACGCAGAGGCGCATGTCTCACCGAGCACTCAGCAAAGAATTTTTCCTACTCGTTCGTCGCATATCAAAATGGCCCATGCGCCTGGGCCACCAGCCAACCTCCAATCGTCCCCCTTTGTTGTTGCGCCTCGATGGCACACTCTAAATTCAATTTCAATCTAGCGGCGCAGAGTTTTCCAGTTTTCTCGCCACCCTCTACAGTTACTATCAACACAAAAAGCAATACGATTAGGTACTCGACGGTGCCTGTGGCAGTACACCTATCGGCCTAGCCGTAACTTTATCACTTTTGATCGAGCTTGGGATGCCCAGGCTTTTGGTGCGCTAGTCCTGGGTTTGGCATAAGCCGGCCCTGAAACTGAGCTCAGCCAGCGTCTCCATCGTGAAGGTCGAGACCAGATTCTAGTTCAGTGCTAGCTAACTTTGACCCCTGGTCCCTCGTACTCGGACCTGACTAACCACTTGACCTTCATCTGATGGCCAGCTCGACCCTCAATCCTGCAATTGGCCCCTCTCTCCCGTTGCATAATCTAAAGCCTGTTCGCGATGTTGATCACTGTCTTCAGATTTTCACGTCGAAGACTACAGACTCCAGCCAACACCTTCCTCTCCCCACCACTCCGCTTTCCCCTTCCCCCTTCCCCCTCCGGGGGGGCAAGTGTCCCGCTTAGTGTTGGTCCATGCGCCCGCGGAGCTTCAGTCTGGGAAAGTATCTCGACTCGCCCCCAAATGATGCACTTTGATATCGGGAACTTGTCCTCCGTACACAATTCAATGCAGCTTCCTGCTGATAAGGGCTGGGGCTGTCCTGATGTGCTGCAGTGACCTGCAAGGCGGCAGAAGGTTTCCGACCATGTCTGTAGCCACCGTAGCCACCAGCCAAGGCGATAACGCTCGTTGGCCGGTCGCCCCCTCCTCGATCAACCACTCAATCACGAAATCTGCGCGGTTCCTCCGTGCACTTGTCCTCCGCAAAAAGGAACCTGAGGTGATGTTGCAATCTTCTCTGGGGTTTCTAGACTTTGCCTCTCGACTGGGCCACCGAAATCGCGACATCGACAAACGTGAATTCGTCGTGAATGGACCTTGACGAACCAGAATGCTCGGTACGTTGGCTCAGGCAAGTCGGTCCATCGCGCCATCGAATCATGAACAGTGTCCTGAACGAGACCCCGTGAAACCTCCCAAGGTGGGCGAAACGCCTGAGCGTTGCGACCGGGATACTCTACCGGGGCAGGCCTTTGGGAAGACTGGATTGGCAGCTTGAACTTGGAGAGTTCAGCCCTAGATCTTAGTTTCTGACATATCTGGGCCCAGTGCGCTTACTCTTCTTCTACTCTTCACAAAAAGACTTCCAACAAGGTTTCAGTTGCTTATTGTTTCATTATTGGAACTTGAACCTTTCTTTTTTTTTTTCTCTCTCTAGATGAATGAGCTTTTCTACACCGCCATCGAAAAGCATTGTCGCCATCGCGCAAACCATTTTTTATTCCTCTTTGATTCACCGGGACTAAGGTCTTGGCCTGCTATGGCCTTCAATACGGGCCCCCTCCCCCCACCTGCGCGGGCGTTATTGTGGCTGAACCTTGAACTGAGAGCTCCCTTCGGCTTCAGGCCTGCCGAGCACTACTTCGCGAGGCAGACCAACCTTTACTACCACCTTTCAGCCTGAGGCGCCTGCAAAGACCAATCGTGATATTTCACCTTTCCCACACCCTTGCACATCCTGCTCTCATCTTTCGTGTACCCCAGACGCAGACCTTCTAGCCCGCCGCCACGGCTGGCTAACACTCGATCAAAGTGCTGAGGAAGTCGTTAGTCGATGACGACAAGATGGGCTTTACCTTTCCTTGTCTGAGGCCGCCGGGGGAGACCAGGTTCCCCGCGCAGGACCACCACGTCGAGGTCATCGCTCGCGCAATGTGCATCATTTGCGTCGCGCTCGGATGGGACCCCCGCCCCAGAACGATCTGATGCGATCTGGGGTTGAGCGGACTGCTTGCGGCTCCCTGTTCATATTGCGGGGTCACCTGGGACTCTTGTGATAACAAGATCGACCGCGAATCAGGAGGATTCATCCTGTTTCGGCGTTCATTCAGCCTTATCTCCCCCAGGTTCCAGACTCGCAACAAAATGTCGGTGTGACGAGCAGTCCATTGAACTTGGTCGAGGACACGTATCTGCCTTTTGCTCACTCACTGTGAGTGGTCGTCGTCCAGGTGAGATTCTTGAAAGCAGATTTCTTCGCTTTTCTTGAAGGAAAGACTTCTTCGGAAGATTTCTGAAGATCATGGCTGTGGTCATGATTCATTGGCTAGGACAAGCCCGATATCTCTAGGGTCCTCATACCTCGTAACCAGGCGCTTGTCTGACTCACCATGCAGTACTAAAGCACGCCTTTGACACTGTATTTGCACTGTGCGGGGGCACATGACCTTGCTAAGGGATGCTGACACGTTGTCTCCAGTCTCCAGGGTGAAGGTTGATGATAGATGCAAGGGTATAGTTTCCTGATGCCTAGATCCAGGAAGATTTCTGTGCGGTGTACTTCGTGCCTCAGCCCAGGTAAGCTCCCCTCCGCCATACCAACGTTTCGCGCTCAGGCGATCAGGGACCACGACGCCAGTCCGTGCCCGAGAGTTGTAGCACCGAATTCAATAGCAAGTACCCCATACCCCGTACATGTACAACATTCGCTAGTGCACTCCGCGTACGGAGGATGGATTACAGAGTACGGCGAGTACCTTGGGTCCACTATAGTTATACAGCGATAAAATAGGAACACTAGCGAGGGTATGAGAAACACATACTTTGATTCCCACCACGCTTATGCATGGCATGCAAGACCACCCACCAGCGCCCCCCCAATAGCCCCGCATGGCCCCGCCAAAGTTCAAACACAAACGTCGACCATAGCCTAGACCTTATCGCGCGGTAGTCACCGAGTCAGTGCACCGCAATCCCGGGCCCCTTTGGCGACTACAGTACTCGACGGTTGGCGGGGGCCGAGTTGTGGGGCGGATGAATTCACCGCTGCGAATCACCTTGTTGTGTTTACTGCTGTAGCTTGCTGGTCCTGCAACCCGTACATAAGGCAGCGCGTTAGTGCGGCGAACTGACAATTTGCGCTGCATGTGTGGGGGGGGGGGGTCAATGCATGGCATCATCTGGGCTTTGGCTGGGGCATAATCCTGGGATGTTTTGTTTTTATTTCATCTCAGGGGCTTCATAAAATCTTTTCTTAGCTGGAGAGTACGGAGGACTGTCTTCCACTTTTGCAGGTGTACCCCGAGATGAGTGGGGGTCATGTATAGTTAAAGTGTGTGCCACCACACTATATGTACACATAGGAGCCATCCAACCCCACCATACAGTACTTCTGCCAATGTCGGGCGTCAACGATGGCGATTTTTCGCGACCGTGGACGTTCTGATGGCGCTAGGACCTGGTATAGTCAATGTGTTTGAGATGCTCTACTAAGGTTTCCACTCCTTCGTATAATTTAGAAGTATCTACCCTCAGACCCTAGAGGCGGAACCAAAGTAGCTCCCGCTCAGACTAAAGCGATCGTAGCTCGCGCGGCGCTAGATGTTGAATTCTTCAGAGAGCACGGAGCTTTCTACCCAGTAAATGGGAACCTCGTAAAAAGAAAAAAATGGCATCGTACAGGAAGCATTGGTGATCATCCTCATCGGAGGAAATAAATGATCGCCTCAACTCCCCGGGGTAACATTTCCACCCCCAATGGATCTCCAGATACGACCTGCAAGCTGTCAGGTGGCAAACATTGCGTGATGCCAGTCTCCGAGCCATCCTGCACCATCAAGATTCATACTCATACATATTGTCTTCGTTATCATACCACGCTTCGAAACGACCGTGGCGGGAGAGGCGCTTGCCGCCGCCGCGCCATCGTTCTGCGAAGGTCCAGTCAAAAACGATGCTGGACGCAGGCCCTCGTCCGTGTACTTCTGATAACCAGCTTACAACGAATCATGCCCTAGCCGTGCGGCCGTGTGGCGATGGTGCCACGCCGCACTAGAATTGAGGCACGGAGGACCAGGCTATGGTAACTTCTTGTTCCTTTTGTTGGGGGCGCTAAGGCGGTCGTCGATAGATGAAACTAGAAACTGATTTGCGAGGTCAATTACGCCCAGTGCTAGTGCTGCATACGTCAATTAGACCCAGCTGGTTGGGTGGAGGGATTCCCATCCTTGTGCGTTTGACTTTTTTTTTCTTTCTCTGTTTTGCTAAAATAGACCAGACTACATACATTAGCTGCTGTGACTCGGTGTCAATCTCCCGTCTGCGCGTGTGAGTATGCATGGATACTAGTACATGGATATACCTTAGTGAGGGGGAAGGTCATAGCTACGGAGCTACTTGTCGCACCCTAGCTATCTATGAGCCAGTTAAGGCTCTGATCTGCTACCCGCACAGATACGCGAGGACGATGAATGAACATCTTCAAGTGGAGACTTTGGGAGATTACTGCTGGAGAACTCTGGAGGTTGGGGCATTGCCCCATACTCTGTATGCTCCATATAGAGTAATGTTAGAGAAATATCCACAACATCGACATAGGGAAACTCCACATCAGGATTGCCGAGCATTCTATCGGTTCAGTGTGCCTTTTGACTCTGTACTTAGCTATGTGGAACTGCCTAATTGCGAACGCTCTGGGCACTACTATCGACATCCCACTGTATATATCAGTTTCACCCCCCGCGGAGGCCGGTCGTAATACATGCGCCCTCCAGCCTTTGGGATTGCGGGGTGCAGAAGGCCCCTGCTACCTGCCACTTCAGCAATTCACACTCCACCCTGGAGTTTTTTCTCGTGCTAAATCAGCTGTTTTCCGAGGTTCTGGGGGTGAAATACCCCGCGCTTACACTGCTCATGTCAGCACTGTCCTCAACGCTCACGCATTGCCCTTACGTGGCTTGGGTTATAAGCAGCATTGTCGAGTGAGAAGAGCTGGATAACGAGCATTGGTCTCATTTTTCTGTCTTTCTCAACTAGCTCATCTCCGGCCCGCCCTTCTGCTCTTCCCCGGCCTCCAATCTTCGACTTCTCCTTGTGCTTTGCGTCGTACTACTATCAGCCACAACCGACACAGGCGTTCAGTTAATCCCCGGAAACCTGGGTGCAGCAGAATAGACGGTCCATTTTCTTACATCTATACCACACTGCAATAATAGTCCACAGACGTTCCTGCCTAACCACTGTCCATACGGCTGACTACCATCTCTAGCCTGCAATCTTGCGCCGAGAAATCCGTGATAGATGACCCTTTGCATGGCTCTAAACAGCGCCCCCGGAACTTTCGGTAACACAGATAGAGCTCCTGGGGTTATCACCTGATACTTCCTAGCACATTCTACAACGCAAACATGAGATCCGGCGTTCCGGCCTGTGAGCATCGGCCCCCGTTCAGAGCCACAATCACCCTCGCTAATGCTATCTTTCCCCCGTAAAGCAGCAAAGTAGAAACTCAATTCTTCAAATTCATGGTCTACTTCTCTACCCCTCTCTGTTCTCACCGTATCGCTCAGATCCTTGCTTTATTGAATGAGTTGGCGCAGCAGCGCCGCCACGACGCCGTAGACGAACGTCTAAAAAATCTTTGCGTAGCCATGGAGATTTCCTGAGGAGAGCTCTGCGGTTAGATCTCGCGCCCCCCTTCTGTGGCGACTCTGATGTTTTACTACCGATCAGGGGCTATGTAGTTGGAAAGTCACTGGGATGTACCTGGTTTGTTTCCAATGGGGGGAGATCGGCTCGGTGCAACGTAGAATTCTGGGGACTGGTCTTGCAGCATTTCCGCCACCCCTGATGTGTAGTAGTCGATTCTGCAATCGTCGATGATGTTTGCTTGACTGAAGGTATTGCTGTTGCTGTCAATGTTTGAAACCTCAATTCTGCTCTTTCGATATTTTCCGTTATGCAACTCGTTGCATAGCCTCTTCTCCGGGAGGCTTGAGCGACCAATTCACTTTTTTCATGTTTGCCGCGGGAAATATTTCTCCTCCTCGAATATTTTGCTCAGAGGGCCATAGTCAAACTCAACAATGAAGACTGATGAATGCAGGAAATACGGTGACCCTTATACAGGACTAAAGCTACTGCCAGGAAGGACAGCCTTAACATCATGAGTTATCTTGAGAAGGCCCAAGAACTATTTTAGCAAAGTCAATGAACTAATATCTGCCAGAATTTTGCCATCATAGATACCTTGCCTCGATAGACGACGGATGAATATCAAGTTTGATGGTCTCATCAAACCGCTTTCGATTCCTGGCGGCCACCCTACCTTCTGTTCTAAGGTCGTTTTGCAGGTCTCTGCCTACCCACCTGGGTAATTGAACAACCCGGAGCATCTTGCTGTGATACCATTGTGTCTCCTGGGGTTATTAGGGCCTTGTTTGAAAATCATACCAGTCATGAAAGCTGTTAGCAGGTGCTGAGATCTGATACAGAATGTGCCATCAAGACTTTGGTATGTGTTGGAATGCCAGGAGCGAGTCTCCAATATATTCAGTGTCACAAAGAAGTGGTGGGTGGACAGCTTAATCCAAGACGAGGAGATGAGTATAATCAAAGAATGAAATTGCCAAGTGTGAAGTTACAAATTTGATTACAAATGAACTTTCTTGCGATGGAATTTGAAAATCTATCTCTATTGACCTCTGAAATTTCTTCAAGGGTTTGTCATCTATATCATTGAAAACATCGAGCGCTGTTGGCTTCCTAGAGTTAGGCAACAGTTCTGGGTGGAGGTCGACGAGAGGGCTGATTAATCAGGCTCGCCGTTTTAATGTCACCATCTCCTCGTGTTCAATTGCTCATTACTCACTGTCCCCTGCTCACTACTAACCGCAGCGTTTGATGCCCATCTCGGACTGAACAGAACGTGGACGTCCCATGCTCTAGACTTTAATCACTAGCAGCTGTGCGGGCTCAGGTATCCGCTCTATCTCTATATCTTTGCGGAGCTAAGATTCATTCCGACTGACTCCGTTCGAGCACAGAGCAGATCAATCTGATTATGGTCGAGTGACTGTCAATATCAAACAGCTTGCTTCCTCCAGGGTACCTTGACCTGCTGGGCTGGACAAAGAGCATTAAGGGTGCATTTTGATCACTTGCGTTGGGCTGCGCTCACAGGAATAATCATTGCTGTCCTTGACCGGCCAAGATGAAGGTCATTCTGGAACCTTACAATCCTCAGTGGCCACTCAAATTCAGCGAAGTAAGAGAGCAACTCTTATCCATTCTCAAAGATGTGCCCATCATATCGATTGAACATGTCGGAAGCACCTCTATTCCCTCCATGAAAGCCAAACCTGTCCTTGACATCGACATTATCATCCCTGCCTCCTCGCTCCAGGCCGTAAGGAGAGCGCTTGCAGACGCAGGATATACTGACTGTGGTGAAATGAATATTCCTGGTCGCGTCGCATTTCGACAGCCAGGATACGGAAGACTTGATGCCGCTCACGGCATTGGAGCACCAGACGAGCTACGGCGCAATACCTACGTTGTGATCGAGGGATGTTTAGCACTGAGGAATCATCTCGATGTGAGGAGGGTGTTGTTGGAGGATCAGGAATTGCGTGAAGAGTACGCACGGGTGAAGAGCAAGATGGAGGATATGGAGTTTGAACATATTGGGCAATATGTGGCTGGGAAGACGGAGATTCTTTCCAAGATATTACGCAAGGCTGGTTGGAGCGAGGTAGAGCTAGAGCCGGTTATTGAAGCTAATAGATAATGCATCACTTTACATTTAACAATGAGAAGTATATATCGTTTGTTCTTGAGTTGATTACCCTATTGGCAAGCTTGATTACCATCTCAGCGAGCCTTGACGCTTAGACTCGGGGCTTTGGTCATCTCAGACCTTTGGGATACTCGAACAGGTTCCTCGGCATTCTTTTTGTGCGTCTGTAACCCATTGTGGGGGGACAAGCCCGTGTTTTGTTTCAGAGATCGGTTAGACTGCGACGCCTGGTGGGACCAGGAAACAGCAACCCAACCTTCGACGGATGGCGAGCCTCGAGTCAACCACTGCCTGAAAGTGCATCACAGCAGGCCGAGCTCTAGTATATCTTATCGCATCCTAGAGGAAAATAAATGGTTCGCGTATTCTGTAGAGGAAGTATATAGATCATGAAGTTGAGATGCGATGAAAGCGGGACTACGATAAGCTCCAGTGGAGTCAGGTTCTCCCGAGCCACCGACCACCTTCACCTCCGCCTTTTTGGTTTCCTCGGTTCAGCTTCTCCGCTTCCACCGCCACGTTCCTTGGACCTGGGATCCAGTGTTGGGCTTCCTCCCCCCTCCTGACACTCGGTTGTCTTCATCTACGGCTCTCATTCTCCTCATGTCTCAAGCGCAGCCGCCCCCTGGGTTGGCTGACCTCGAGAAGGAGCTGGGATGCTCGGTATGTGCGCAATCTGACGATGATCATCTTCCAGAACCTTTCCATTCCTGTGACCTGCACCCCTTACATTGCAGTCTTACTAACGTCGCTTGTGATGTATAGATCTGCACGGAGCTGCTCTACCAGCCCCTCACACTCCTTGACTGTCTGCACACGTTTTGTGGTTCCTGCTTGAAGGAATGGTTTACAGCTCAAGGCTCGCGGCGTCGCTCGTCGTCGGACACTTCTCGATTTACCTGTCCATCCTGTCGCGCTGAAGTGCTCCGTACTAAGACAAATGCCACCGTGACAACCTTGCTAGAGATGGTGCTCTCGGCGCACCCGGACCGCGCCCGGTCTGCCACCGAGAAGGAAGAAATCGCAGAGCGATACAGTCCTGGAGAGTCGGTCTTCCCACCCTTGCCCCCTCCTCAAGAGGACGACGAAAGCGAAGAAGATGAGGATGATAGGAGGGTGCTGCGGGAAGTGCAGGAGCTGAGTCTCCGCGAGAGCCGGGCACAGGCGCGGCGTGAGGCCCGACGAGCAGCAAACTCGGAGAGGACACGCGATAGGAGCAGCAATCCTGAGCGATCCACAGAGGATGGCCGATCTCGCCGACGGCGAGATGAAGATTCAGAGCGACAACAGAGCTCGACGCGGACTCGCGACGATGCAGACCGTGCGAGGCGCGTTGAGCACCAGTCAAGCTTACGCTCTCTACTCAGTCTCTCCTCCGAGGCAGAGACTATGCAAGAAGAGATTCTGCGACAGATCCTCGAAGAGGGGTTGCTGGATGACATTGACTTCGACAATCTTAGCGCTACACAGGAGGAAGAACTTAGTGAGCGAATCGCAGATGCCTATCGTCGGAGGCATATGCAACAACCGCGCGCTCAAGGGCACAGACGGAGACAATCTCCTAACGATTCCAGTCGCACTCATTCACGTTCACAGTCAGCTCAAAGATCAAGCGAGACAACTCCGCCCCAGTCCACTCGCGATACCACGGATAGGCGACCCCCGGCAACCCGGCCGCACTTGTTTGATCCACCTACGCCACGTCCGACGCCAAATCATCAACGAAGGAATTCGGAACAGGCTGATGGCCGCCGGCGTACTTCGCCTGCTCGAGTAAACCAAGCATCAAACTCGGAGGACACACTGCGACCAGCGGCCCGATCTTCGAGCGATATGACAGCCGAACGTACGCGCGGCTCTCAGAATGCGCGGACAAGAGCTGAATCGTCTTCAAACCGACCACGCCGTGCAACGGAGTCGGACCAGGGCATATCAGAAGCATGGATGGGCGCTGGAAGAGAACGGGGTTCTTCCAGAGTCATTGCTAATCAACCCGTAATGAGCTCACCAACCTCGGATTCGTCACCGCAACCCAATCCTCCCCAAAATTCAACACCGACAGATCAGTCGGCACCAGTATTATCTTCGCCTGTTGTTCCACCACGGTCTGCCAGGCGACCAAGTTCTTCAAGGTGGAGTACAATCGCGCCTTCTACCGCCCAATATAGGGAGCCCTCTATCTCTTGTGATCGCTGTGGCATGACGAATATTCAATATGATGTGCACAAAAAGTGTTCCAAATGCAAAGATCCCGACTATCACCTCTGTCTGCGGTGTTATCGGACAGATGGAGACTACCCCCACGGAGACTCTTCTCGCACGAATGGTTTCGCGCCGGCTGCTCAAGCAATATACGAACAAATCCTCGCGTCTCCAAATCATCGTCCGGCCAAAATGCGCCAAACAGGCCATATACTGCGCTCTTTCAAGTATGACCGGCCCTCTGACAACGCGCAGGTGATCGCCAGTGGCGAAAGAAAGATCACCAATGACAACCCAGCGCGACGTTTGATCTCGGGGCTTTTTTGCGATATTTGCCAGTCCCCGGCTAATGAATGCTTCTGGAAATGCAGCCAGTGCAACGAGGGTGACTGGGGATTCTGCAATCGCTGTGTGAATCAAGGAAGATGTTGTACCCATCCCTTGTTGCCTATTAGGCGTATTACTGGAGGCCCGAAGATATCAGCGACGAGTACACCAGCCGATGCAAATGCCCTTTCTAGGTCTAACTCGGAAAGCTTCAAAACACTCGCCTTCTCCACAAACTGCGACATATGTACCTACCCAATCCCTGCTTCGGTGACGCGATTCCACTGCCTTAAATGCAACGACGGTGACTACGATGTCTGCACCAATTGCTACCTCAAGCTTGTAGCAACCTCGAAGATCAGCAAGGAGAATGGCCATAATGGTTGGCGACGTTGTCTTGCTTCTCACCGAATGATTATCGTCGGCTTCGAGGACCGAGATGACGGTCAAAGACGAGCCATTGTTCGCGATCTGGTCGGTGGCAATGCCCTTCAAGACGAGCACATTGGACAATCCCCTACTTCCTCACCAGTCCTCAGTAGTCCCGCATCACCCGATCGAGGAAACGGTTACTGGAGCTGGAAGGAAGGATCAGAGCGTCGCAAGAAGGCTTCTCGTCTTCGCGGCTCCATCTCTTCGCCCACCGGTAACAACCCCAGTGCATCATCTTCGGATCTTGGCCATAGCAGTGGTACGCCGACTTCCCAGCACGGCGGGCCCTTCCGTCGTTTCCCACCCGATGGGGGCGTTGGTCTCGTCGTGCGAGCCAAGTGGTCGTACTTCCCTGGAGATGAGGATGAAGATGAATTGGTCTTTCCTCGTGGTGCGGAGATCAAGGAGGTTGACGATGTCAATGATGAGTGGTACTGGGGCAGTTATGCTGGCCGTACGGGCTTGTTCCCTGGGACTCATGTCACTGTTTTGGCAGAGATTCGATGAGTTGTCTGTCTTTGGGACGTGGAAAGAAGAACTTTTGCATTTGGATTATGGATTTGCATGAACATCACGATGATTACGACCGAATATGAATGCATGTAACTCAGGTGGATCATGATTTCTATCCAGCTCTCCTAGCCATAGGTACTATCAATTCTCACCACTACTCGACGAAGACTTGAAAGTTGCTTTGTGTCATGCGAACATAATCTCATCCATCACATCACTATGTACTGGTATCAAATAACCCAAAATTAACGTACAACCAAATCAAAAAAGCCACAAACTAATCCCACACAAGCCACATTCCAACCCAAAGTTCACTACCACCGAAAGCATCACCTACTCCAACAAGGCAACCATCAACTTCTCAAGATCCCCAGAGGTCTCCTCGCGCACACGAGCAATCAAATCCTTCCCAAAGCGATGCCTGTACGCCCTCTTAACCATCTCCTTATGCTGCCGATCCCAATGAACCCTCACAACCCTAACAACCAACCTCTCATCCTTCGTCCCCATCCCCGCCATACACTCCTCCAACAGAATCGCATCCCGCATCGCCGGATCCGTCGCCGTCCGCAACATATGCAACAGCGCATCCTCCATATGCCCCGAGAACTCCTTCTCAACATGCTTGTCCAGCGGCGTATGATACCGCGCCTGGAACGCACGGTCTATCTCGCGCAGCTCCGTATTCGACGACCGCACAAAGATCCCACATACCTCGATGACATTGTTGACCATGCGGGCGGCGGTGGAGTCGTGCAGGGTGCGCACTTCGGCTTCGATGGCTTGCGGGTTGATCGGGACGGAGTCTTCGTGGCGGGTTGCGCGGAGGACGTTCTTGAAGAGCTCGGCTGTTTTGAAGGAGAGGTCGTCTTCGACGTCGCGGGTTAGTTGGCGGTGGTAGGTGCGGTGGTAGGCAGCCAGGATGGCCTGGAGGTCGGCGTTGGATCGGCCGAGGAGGATGTCGTTCAACAGCCATTCTTTGGTGCCGGCGCCCTTGACGGCTTCGTGGACGCAGGCTACGTCGTACATGAGCGGGCCTTCAATCACGGCGAGGAGACCCTGTTCAAGGTGCCCGCCTGTCTCGGACTTGACGTCCTTGTACAGATCGCGGCCGATGTGCTTGGAGTATGCGGCGCGCACGCCGGCCATTTGGAGAGGATCCAGACGAGATAGGACCTGGATCAGGGCCCTTTCGTCTGTGCCGAAGCCCTTCATCGCTTTACGGAGGGCATCTGCTTCTGCTCGGAAGTCGCCTGGTGCGACTTGGCCGGGGACGTAACCTAGCGATGGTGGAGCTGGAGCTCCCATGGGAGCCCCGTATGCGCCGGGCACACCGTGCATAGGAGCGCCATGAGGTGGTCCCTGTGGAGGGGCATAGCCATGCGGCGGTTGGCCATGCGGCGGTTGGCCGTGTTGGGGAGGATATTGCTGGCCCGGTGGGGGTTGGCCGTATGGCTGCTGCGGCGGTTGGTGCTGGGGAGGATATCCGGAATGATGGGCCGGGGGCGCACCATACGGCGCCGGCGGTTGAGGTGAAGGAGCGCCGTAGTAGCCCTGCTGTTGCTGAGGAGGGGGCTGGCCGTAGCCCTGCGGTGGAGGATAGTGACCCTGCGGAGGAGGGCCACCATGGGGCGCACCCTGAGGAGGGCCGTATTGTTGTTGAGGATGCGGAGGCTGTTGATAGCCCTGTTGGTAGCCCTGGGGAGGGCCCTGTTGATAGCCCTGGGGAGGGCCTTGAGGAGGTGCACCCTGGGGATAGCCGTAGGGCGCTTGTTGTTCTTTACACAAAACGAGTTAGCAGTTGATAAACTGAGGGGTTGCCCCGCATTCTGGCCGATCAGGCCGGATGAGGCTCATCAGGGGATGTTTGTTTACTCACGATTAGGCGGATATTGATACGACATGATGCGAAAATGAAGTCGGAGGTGGATACGAGGGTGTCAGACGAGGGGTAGACGTCGCCAGGTTTAAATAGATACGAGCTGAGAGTTTCTTGGTACTCCTCGGGCTCGGGCTGTGGCGCAGTCGCTTGGGGTGGGGGACACAGCCTTGTGGATGGGCGTTTGAGAGACAAGCCTGACGTGTGCCAATGCTCAGCCCTGTACGGCCATTCGACTCGCATAAGATTAGTTCCAGTTTTAGTCTGGAATAATTGGCTGATATTCCTAGCCTTGTGGCCGAGCTGTGGCTAGTGTATTCTACAATATCCTGCTGGGACTCCTTTGCTGTCTGTGTACGTAACCTTGGAATCTGCACTCGTCACAATTATCATCTATTAAGCCCTGCTTAAAGGTATAGAAACACAAAGAAACAAATTGACATCACAAAAGTCCAGCCTATGAGATGCAAACCATCAACCAGTCATCACCACATATAGAATGACAGAAAAAATAAACAAATGCCACGCCAAGTTCTCAGGAAGGCTAGAGAGCCCCACAGACAATATCAAATGTTCGCAAGAGACCGCGAGGTCAATGCACGTCTTGAAAATAAAGCTTGCCTCTCCATGAAATGCTCAAGGACAAGAAGAATCGAAGAAGAAATTTCAACCAAATAACCAAAAGAAGTGTGAGGGTATTCGTCCGAATAGGGATGAAGAAAAGAAAGCAGAAAAAAGTAGGTACATGTCCATGCAAATTAGTTATTCAATCGTGAAACATGAGATTCATCAAGGAAAAAAACAATCATATCGGTCAGGGGTATCGTTTCAATTTCATTTTAAACGCTCGCAGTGCGCCGCTTCTCACTCGGTTTCTGTGCGTAGGCGATAAGCATGCGGAATCCAGTTCCACGCTTTTGACACTCGCGCAGAACTTTGCGATCATTCCACATGCTGAGGTCGTTGTCGCCAGTAGCATGGAGTGCCGGCTCTTCGTAACATTTAGTATACCACCAGCGACCAACGCGAGCCACGATCTTGGCGATTGACTCGTCGTTGGCGGCTGATGGGGAGGGATCAGCGAGGAGGTCCCAGAGGGAGATGTTGTCGTCGGATGCTGTCTGGGTACTCTGGCTACCCGTCGCGGTGGAGACGGAGACGGCGGGGAGCGAGAACGCAGTTGATTGAGTCGTGGCTGAGGCAGAGAGAGATTTGTTTGATGAGGATGTCGTGGAGCCGGAGGATCTGACGACCATTCCTGCGACAGGGATGCGAACCATACAGCGACGGAGATTATCGAAGCCCTGGGTGCCGACTAAGCGTTGAATGCTGTCGCTGGTTTGTTTGAGACTGATGCTTGAATTGGCAAGACAAGTCATTTCTTTCAATCGGCGGACTGCTTTGCGAGTGCGGACACCCATGTTGACCATGTCTCGGTCCAGAAGGCTCATTTCGATGTAACCGCCCGAGCGAAGAACACGACGGCATTCTTGAACGATGTTGCCCTGGATGGCCTCGGAGCTTGCTGCGGGGAAACGCAGGACGGCCACGGTAAAGTAGTCTTTCGGGAAGGGCAGGGGATTCTGGAGTCCAGCGTGGTACACTGTGTGATGGTTGGTCGGAGGCTGCCATGCTGCAGGATGGGGAACTGCGGTCGAGACTGGTCGTCCGCTCAGGCTGTACACCTCGGCGTCCGGGTATGTCAACGAGCAGTAGAACGACCAGTCGTCATTGCCCAGTCCATCAATCACGAGAATTCTCCCATGTGTACCAGACTTGACATGATTGTGTGCTGGACTGAAAAGAACCCGCCCAAATGATAACCACCGACTTGTCATGAGGGATGCAGATCGCATATTGGTCCGGGTGACGGCATCCCACTCACGCTCTGAGCATCCTGGAAAATCTTTGAGCTCAGCAGATTTTTGTTTCGGCGCAGGCGTGGCAGCAAGTGACTGGAGGAAGGTAGACTGTTGCTTCTGGACGGGGTCCAAAGGAGGTTGTGCCGGGTTTGCAGGGCTGTTCATGACCTCAGGGTCACCATAGCTTGCAATCAAATTGCTATAAGATGCTTGTGTCGATGGTGCAATCGGGGAATGCAAGGCTGAAACAATTCTCGATCGACGCAGATGGACCGAATCACTGCTATCACGAGTAGAAGCCCCAGCAGAAGAAAATGGTGGCGGCTGAAGGAAATTGTCACTGTTCAACTCATCCTGTAACGCCTTGCTGGCCATCGTCGCCATCTCAAATCTGTCATCCTCTTCAGTCTTGCCAGTATCCTTGGGTTTTAATTCTTCGGGAGAGAGGACGTGGTCAATCAGGTCGTCATACTCGTTCCATACTTCGTCCTCTGTTGGTGCAGTGCCAGGCTTGGGCACCACAGCTGTGACGGCCGCCAAAGCGCTAGAACTACCTGATGAAGGAGAGCCTTTGTGTGGAGAGAAGTGGATGAGCTCGCTGGCTAGGTAAGGGCCAGCAAGGAATTCCAAAGCACTCGCTGCCTCCGGGGCACTAAATGCTGGGTTGAAACCGTAGCCCCAATCACCTGGCTTGCTGCTGGGGACGTCCGCCAAAGGAATCCCACCAAGTCCCGGGTAATCACTTGTACCCTCTGGCGTTGGCGCCATCAGCGACGGTGATTCAGCCGTGCTGAAAGGTCGAGAGAAGGACTGCATCGCCGGTCTGTGGTGTCTATCACGTCTTGATACCACTTGCGGTATTCGACCCACAGAGGCTAGCCGTCTCGGGTGACGATCTTCAGGGCTGCTCTCAGGATCTGCGTTCATCATATTTTGATTGAACATAGCAGTTCTTGGAGAGGGCCGGTTATCTCTTTCAAACTCCCCGTGCATCTTTGGGGGTGATGGCAGTAAGATGGAGGGATGTCGCTTTTTGATGTTCAAGCTTGCAGGTACCTCGACTGTCGCAGTGTACTGCTCTTCTTCTGTTGGCGGCGAGTCTTCCACATGATTGAGAATGTCGTCGAGCTCGTCTGAGTCTGCATCAATGAGAGCATAGTGGGCGACGGGACGGCTGTTGAGCACCGGAGAAATCGCAGCGTGAAGCTGTGCGGTGTGAGAGGGAGGACCGGCGGCAGGTTGTGCAGCGGTGCTTGCCTCATTGACACGGCTCCTTTGGAACAAGTTCCATCGAGACAATTTACCTTTCTTCGGTTGTGCCGGTTCAGGCTTTGCGGGCTCCTCTTGTGTGGTAGTCGTAGCCGGTGTAGCTTTCGGTCTGTGCAGAACAACAGTACTTGAGGTATTGCTAGACAGCGATGTGCTGGTAGTCGTAGCGTCTGAATTGGCGTACAATCCTGTTCTCTTGCCTTTTGGAACTGGCATTCGAGACTTTGGTGGTTGACGGGTGGCAGGTATCTTATTCTTTTCCGGACTAATGCTCCTACTTGGTCCCAGGCTATTTGCCGACTCGCTGCGTGGGCCGGCATCACCAAAAGTACCGGTAGAAGTTGCCAATGACTCAGTTGATTGGGCAGTGGAAGAGGTGAGAGGAGTCGGGCGAGGCAGGTTCGAAGACGTCACACTCATGCTGCTGATGCTCTGTTCACTCACGGTTCGGGAGAGGGTCGCACCGTCCATGCCTCCGCCGCTGATAAAAACGGGCTCGAGACGACTTGAGAGAAAATCATCCAATTCGAGATCTGGGCGACTAGACGACATACTCCTCTTGCTGCTTGAGACCGAACGGGATGTGCTTCGCGTTGTACTTGTCGACCGGGTCCGTACGCCACTAGCACTGCTGGCACTTGATTTCCTACCGCGTTGCGAATACTTCCCATATCCTTCATGGCCGGTTCCTGCAGCAGGTCCTTTCCTCGTCTGTCGAGCAGGATCATCAGAACCAGTATCAAGGTCTGGCTTTGACTTCTTTGTAAAAAGGCCAAACTTCTTCTGCGCCGCGGGTTTCTTCAAGTCGGGGTTCTCCTTTGGCTTCTCCTTTGGAGGCTCCTTGGTCAATGTTTTAGGCGATTTCCGTGTCAATACTGGAGACCCGGCCTCTCTCGAGGGAATCCGAGATAGATCCTTGGATAACAAAGAGTCCGTTGAAGCGACGGTAGACTGAGACAGGGCAGTCCGATTCTTCTCCATAGATTCACGTCGCTTGTGACCAGTCGACCGGAGATAAGGAAGATTGCTTTGAATCACAGGGGATGTCTCCAGATCCAAACGGTGCGTGCCCTCTCGGCTTGGCCGCGGAGGTGTGTGTGGGACTTTGGACACGCTTGTCTCGGAAATTGATGGCGCTCTTGGTCTTTGCGAGTTGAAGAGCTCGCGCTCTGCCTCCTCGACTTCCTTCCTAGCTTGATCAATGTCTATATCAGGGTTCTTCGAAGGAGCATCTCTGGGTGGACTAAAGTTGACGGATGATTTCCTCGGTGGGGGGCTGTGAGGAGGGCCTCGAATGTTGCCAGGAGTAGATTTGACATTGGATTGAGTTTTGCCAGTTGTAATCGTAGCGGATCCAAGTCCAAGTGATTTCTTGGGAAGCCCTGACCGTTGAACTTTCGAATCCACTTTTTCAACCTGAGCACTTTGGGGGCTTGCGTGCACTGGTGGTGGCGAAAATACTGGATGTCGGGTCTGCGACGGGCTTGGCTGTCTCATGCGTACAATCTTGGACGAGTGCATGATTCCTGGCGAATAAGACGATAACGAGGTCGGGGTCGAACCCCGGCTCCACATGCCTGGAGACTCCGAGTAACGAGTTGATGGCGTACTCGCAGAGGGGTAGTAAGGAACGGGAAACGGTGGTAAGTTCTGAGTGTCGACCGTAGTACGAAAACTGGCCAGTTCTATCGGCTCCTGGGTCCTTGGAGCGTCCACAGCACTACTATCCATCCTACCTGACGTACTTTGGGACGATGATGCAGTTTCCGCAGAATAGGTATCTGGTAGGATGGGCAATCTGGGCTCTCGCAGGTCGACAGGTTGAACGGTTGGCGGAATGACCAAACTAAGCTTCTGGGATTGATTCTGCTCCACATGTCTCCCTATTGTTGGTGCCTTCCTGCGAAGAACATTGCGTGCTCGTTTGGGTGGGTTGGCGGGTAGCGCTTGATAGCTTGATGCAAATGGGGAAGGAGTTGTTAGATCGGAGGCGGAGAGAGATGAAGGAATTGATGAAGCCGGGGTGTGGGGCGATACGGTCGATGCAGGAGACGGGGATGATCCTGTGCCACCGGTGCTTGGGCGTGGTAACAGTGACAGCCGATTCGAATCGTTCGATAGCTGATAGGACATTGGTGGCAAGGCGGTGATTGAACGGGAGTCTTCCGCGGCTGATAGAGAAGACGCCCGACTAGTTCTCGTTGTATAGTTGGTTGGCCTTGCAAGTTGAGACCGAGGAAGCCGCGGGGCATAGGAGGAGACTGAGTTGGTTGGTCCGGGATGTGATGTCTGTGCAGGAGGAAAATGATCATTTGGCGGCATACGACGGCCGCCCATATTGTACGACGACATGGTGCGACACTGTCAGGAGTCTCTGGCTCGAATCTCGAGACTGTAATTTAAGAAATGGGCTCCTGTGCTCCAAATTCGTACTCATCACGGGCATATGCGAGGTGTGTCGAAAGCAACGGCGCTAAAATGATACCTGGTTTCATGAGTTTTGACAAATCGAGTAGTAGACCAAACAGGAAAATTTGACGTACAGCATTCAACTCATTACTCTGGCCAAAGGGTCTCCAGGACACTTTCGAGCTTCGGGGAATATTAATAGATGTGTGCAGAAAGAAGAAGGAAGGCGTAATGGAAAGGTTGAAGTATAGCAGAACACGTGCGTAGAACTATAGAATCAAACAACAAAGATCAATCGACATTATCTGCAAGGGACTATTAAGCATGAGACATAGAACCATCAACAACAAGACAGCAGACGTCAGGTAGATAAAAGATGGAAATTCACCGACTTTGGCAGGTGGATCGGCGCCCACGAAGCTGCAGCTGCTTCGCCACAGTCTGGAGCAGTGTGGCACTGAAATCTCAGGATTTTCCACTAGTCTCGGCCACGTCAGAGGTAAGCAATCCATACGAGCCTAAATCAGGCACAGAGTAAAAGAATGAACGAAGAATGAAAATTTTTTGAGAGCATTGGAAAGACGTAGAGTCAAAGTTCGGATTAAGAGTCGGAAAGTCCTGTAGAAACTGCAATACGCACGTTTTGTAAAGGCTGACTCGGGTCCTCCCTTCGAAGTGGGGGTCGTCGAGAACTGGAAAAACCCGCCCTCAAGTCTGCCCTGGCCAGATAAAATGCACCGAATAACATCCAAGGGTTGTGCGATAGACGGCAGTCCCGGGTCTTAGACAGGAGAAGCCCAAAATCTGCACGACTATTGGGCACAGAAATTGTGACTACGGCTGTGACGAGTCGAGACTGCGTGGGCGCCAGGGCGTGTGAACAGAAGTGGCCCCGTCCCGCTGAATCGCAACGGTTCCAAAACGAGTGCTTCTGTAAAGTTAATCTTGTAGTCCTATCACGACAGGATTGTCCTCCTATGGACGGAGCACAGAGAAATCCAGCGAGCCCCGGGAGGACTGGAATTCGCGCACGGAGACCCGTATGGAGGGGAACTGGGTCCAGCCTATTCGAGACACCTCGTCTTTCCCCGGATATAAGTCGCTGTCGTTGGTCAGAACCCCGTCGACAGGATCGGAAGGGTATCAGCGGGCGTTTGCCCAGGCAGAGTAAATCACCTGAGTCGCTAGGGCCAGGATCGGTGGACAAGTGGGACACAGCATGACAGGACCCAGTTTCGCGAGTGGCGTGGGCATAACCGGCCCATCTATCCGCCCATCAAACCATCAACGATGGAGTCCCAACCTGCCGGAAAATAAAGCCTACGAATTCGCACCCCGTCTGCGGGAAGGAATCAACCCGGGATCAGCTAGGACTGCAAGCTGAAAGGCTGTTATCTTCTTCGCGACTATCTGGTCAGGAACCAGTCGTTCACCGCGTTTGCGTCTGCCTCGCCTCGTTGACAACTCATCGATCGGGGACGCCGACCCCCCGATCTGACTGCACCGTCGATCCTCCCCAAAAAGCACGGTTGGACCGTTGCTTTTTTGGGGCTCCTGGTGTTCCCGGGTTGTGACTTGCGTTGGAGTTTTCTAGAGTAACCATAGAAATGGTAGTGAACGTGCGAGGCACGGCTCGGTCCTCCTCAGCGCTCGGAGAATTAACCAACGTGCTCTTTTTCAAGGGTGTAGCAGTCTTCGTGGATTCTTCGTATTTAGACCCGTCCTCTTGAACCGCGGGTCCAACTGTCACGCATTTCAACCAGGGTACTGTCTTATTCTGGATCATTGTAGATCGCGGTCCACCTGTCCCTGTTGACAGAAGACAGGACAGACCCATAAAGCCGTTGTCTGAAGTCTGGTACAACAAAAGGGCCGTCCCGAGCCTTGGGCGTTTGAACCAGCCCTGGACAATGATGACCCCCAAAATCTCCGAGAATCTGACACAGGACAAAGGGTAAGATCGCCTCCAAAATGCCGTGGTGGGGTCCAGCCTTTTTCCTGGAAGAGTAAACTCGCTTTCTTTGTTGGATAGATCGCAATCGGCCAGCCAGTGATTATGGTTGGATGCTTCGAGGCATAGCATTTAACGTATCACCTCATCTCCAAATCCGTGGTTGACTCTCGTTTGGGATCGCTGCAGCGGGGATTGAGGCCCGTTCAGTGTGATGCTCCACCAGACATCCCAGCAACAAAGGCGTTCACGACGCTCACTCACGTCTTTGCCGCCTTGACTGGATTGAATCCATGAAGCCACACTCTAAAAACAGCAACCCTGGCTGGGGATTCGCCAGAAGAACTTCGATCCAAGTGGGGCCTGGCGGTAAATCGGCGTGATGGCCTGGTCCATTGGCGAATAAGGTCAGGGTCTGGCAATTGCACTTATGAGCGGCTTGTCTTCCCCGGTGCGACTCAAGGCATGTCGTGGGATTTTGATCGAATCCCCAATACTTGCATTTTACACGCAATTTGGAGGACGTTTTGAGTTCGTCGATCCCCGTCTGGACGTGCCGATCTGGAGGGGCTGGGCTGGTTGGGAACCCCGTTCTGAAGCCAGACTGGCCAGCGCAGGTGCTGCAGGAACGAGAGGCTAATGCACGATTCAGCTGGCTGCACACGAGAGGATTCGAAGAGAGAGCTACTCCTCTGGGTGCTTTGCACTTCATAAGAAAGTTCTTGGGGTGTTTCAAGAGGTTGAGGGATGAGAAGAGATCAGAATCAGGTTATCTTGGACACAGATATCTGACAACACCATCCTACATAATCTAACCTACGTCAAGCTCAAAACACTACTGATAAACACCCACTCATTAACATATCATCGGTATATTACAGTATGAAGAAGAGATTTCCGATTTGACTGGTTGCCCCTCAAATTCCTTAATATCGTATCATCACAAACGCCCTGCGAAAGCCCAGAATATGTAGAACACAAAAGAAAGCCCCGAATCGGTCAGAGAAAGTGTGCAGTAGCAACAAAGGGAATGACAGCGATTTAATTGGCGGCTGTAAAACGCTTCTTGCGAGCTTCCATCGCCAGGCGGTCCTTCTCACCCCAGCTCTTCTGCTGCGTGCTCTGTCCGCTCTGTCCACTCTTCCCGCTATTCGCGCTCTCTCCACCACCATTGCGGTTCTGGTTACCATCTCCACGGCGGTTGCGGTTCCGGCCAACGTCACGTCGCTTGCCTCCACGACCACCCTGCTCATTGCGGCCTCTCTTGCGAGAGCGTTCGTCGGGAAGAGCCTCGTCAAGACCCTTGACACTAACACTGGCACTAGCTTGGGCTTCACCGCCGGTGTCAAAGCGCTTTGCCCGCTCTAGCTGCTTCTGAGCCTCCTTCCGAGCAGTCTCATCATCTTCAACGATGCCAAACTTCTCAGCGCGCTTCTTGCGCTTTGCCAATTCTGCCTCTAGGTCGGTAGCTGCAAGACCACGAGTGTAATCCACAGCCGGCTTCTTCTCGGCCTCTGTAGCAGGCGCGGTTTCAGCCTCGGGTGCAGCCGCAGTATCGACGCCGCCTGCCGATTCCACCTTCAAGTCGTTGGTCGTAGCGGGGTCGATGTCGAGCTTTTGATTCGGGACAGCGACGGGGTTGGCCACCGGACCCTTGCCGCCAGCGGCAATGGCAGTCGCGGAAGCCTCTGTGGAAGGTTTCGCAGTCTCAGCGGGAACATCATCATCCCAGTCGATGACATCCTCGGCGACGGCGTCGGGTTTCGCGGTCTCAGTAGCTGGAGCTGGGGCAGCTTCCGCGGACTTCGCCTCGTCGTCCTGCTGGATGCGGGCGACCAGGTCGGCTTTCTTGCCAGTGTGGGGAAGCGATCGGGATTTGAGGATCTCGACCAGCTCGGCATTGGTCTTCTTGCTGTAGTCGTTTGTCATCTTGGAGTCGGCGGTCGGGGATGTGAAGGAGCTCGGTATGTGACGAGGTTGGGTGATGCGCGGAAGGAACGAGGGGTCACTTTAAAAGTCAAGAAGGGAAGTTTGAAGATTACTGTGGACTAGGATTCATAGTGCGACAAATTCGCAGGCAGAATTTGAATAGAATTGCAGATGTTGCGTTGACTAATGATGAGGACGCGCCCTGGAGGGAGTGTCGCGTAGGGCCATCGTCATGGTCACGTGATTGTGTTGTGTCAGATACTTGACACCTGAGGCATCAATAAGGTGTCGCACAAATATAGGGCATAATACCGCTAGACTAAAAATGCTCCATGGGCTACATTCTTAGTCATACGGGCTCCTTGTTGTTCCGTCATAAGGGTCTCTACTGTATGAGCTACTATTATTCTCTTGCAATTTTCTAAGACATTGCATGTCTTCAATCACTTTTGGAAATTGAATCATCCATCACTTCTGCTCTACATAAACCCTTTACCGTTTGACAGGCACAAATTCACTGAACAGTGCTACTACCTAAGTACAAGCCACATCAGATATACATCGGGGACTCCGAGTGGTGAATTGATTCATTTTCCTGGGCCTACAAATCGTTGCTGGCCAGCAAAGCAAACAGGTTCGAGGACTAAGGTCATATGACATAATACCCTGATCGTATCAATGAGAGATAAAAGTCCCCGTTTGTAGCCGCCACTGACATATACGAAATTCTCCGATCAACGCCACCTGGACGGGACATGACCCCGAAGTGAAGCTGAAGCTTGGGCCCAACAAAACTCTCTGCAGTATTCCGGTAGACTGAGTCATAAATTGACAGGTGTTCGACCAGGTATAGCTGAAAATCTGCTGGCTTCCATGTGGACAGTTGAGGATGCTGCACGCACTGCGCCACATTGAGATTTCCACTGTGTGCGCCACTTATTGTTGCCTGAGGCATCATATTCTCGTTTATCAAGACCTATTAGTGATGGTTTTGAAGCCTTAGGTTCGTAGTTCATAGTAAGCTTTTAGCTCCTAAATAGTACTGGATAATAGTCAAAATTTCTCGAATTTGCTAGTTTTGTGCAAATAACTACGGAGCCTAGTATGAAACTCGATGTATATACTAGCCAGCTTTGTTTTTATACTACTGTACAATACGTGAATGGGCCATGAATCCGGCAATAGGTAGTGCTCTTGCTGGGAATAGACTAGCCACTGGAGAGGTGAATCCTTACCTACTCTTGACATCGGTTATGTCCATGAAATCGTTCTGAACCAGGGTATTCTATTCCTTAGTTTAGTGACAGAATGTCCCTAAATGGACCAAGATAGTCACTTGGCTATTGAGCTCCCACTCAGGTTTGTGTGACAATTAGATAATTCAGCTAAGACAGGTATCGTTCATTGGTCGCGTAGAATCAGGCCATCTTAGCATAGAAATAGGTTCAGGGCTGACTATATGAATATAAACCTGAATCCAAAAATAGCACGGGTATCACCCATAGAACCAATATTCTGCGGCATAATCCACCAGTACAGTGTCGTTCAGACCAGCACAGGTTGACGGAGCGGTACCTTCAAACGTCATGACTCGATAGACTTCCTGCAATAGTGTCAGAGAGCGACTTCGCCAATTGGATTGATCAAAGAGGGGTGTATAACGAACCTTGACACCATGACCTTCCTTGGAGCTAAGCTTCAGCCAGGCCACATCTTGATCCCCGTTATCGCCAGTTATGCGGCTCACTCTCTTCGGCGCCATCGTGGAAGCATCCTTTTTGGTACTCATCCAAGTATCGGAACCACTTAGCTTCAAGCTGAAGTAAGGATCTCCAGCAGCATCGAAGTAGTGTTCACCAATGATGAGATTCGAGCTGTTCGTAGTGACGCTAAGCAGCTCACCTAAAAGGGCCACAGACCCAAGGGGAGCCTGTCCTATGGCAGCAGGCATCTCATGAAGAAGGGTGAGGGACATCGATGCGATGCAGGATGCATCAAAGAGTGTCGCTGCCGCTCCGGTTGCAACAGGCTCGCTGGTCTCGTGGGAGTAGTGGGAGTTTGTCGAGGATGGGCACGAGTAGTTTTGGGTTCCACGACCCAAAGCAATATACTTGAGTTTCAAGCCAGTGGATGGTTTGGGGAGTTCCTTTTTGGTATCATTCAGCGGAAGGCTGGCGTTGGCCAAAGAGCAGTTCCCCAAACTGATGTGGTCAAGCTCGTTGGAGATGCGTGAGAATGTGGCAGCAAGTCTTAATGGGCCCGGTAGAACCGATGTGGCTCCAACCTGCACTATCGTAAAGAGAAGCATCACTGCTAAAATAACTCGCATTATGGCAATATTGGGCGGTTGCCTGAAGTGATGGTATCTCGAGGATGAGAGTTTGGTGAAGGAAGGAGTTGCAAAGTGATCTGAATAATGGCAAAAAGCTGGAGTGTGTCTGGTGACAGTGTCAGCAACGGCAGTGGTCTTCTCGTTTAATAAGTGAAACCGTCTGTGTTGTTACTCTAATTCGCGACAAAGAAAGTTTACCTTGATAGCGAGATATTACCTTGGAGCCACGCAGCAAGGCACACTTCAAACCCAACGCAAACCAACAGTTCTTGCTACAATCGTGGCTTAGAGAAGAGTCCCTCGATCAGCCTTATACTATATAGACTTGACAAGGCGGTTTGATCTTAGATAGGTTTCTGCTGTACGTTTGTAATGGTGTGGCATCTCCGACGAGGGAAGTATTGATAGGAGAATCGCTTTCTTTGTTGGTACCCTTGCTAGAAAAGCCTTGGTATGGGAGACACGGTGCTCACAAACAAAGAGAAGCAACCCCATTCCCCATTCCTAGCAGTCAATGTAAAGCCTAGTCGATGTTACCCATATCGCAAAGCCTGGTTCATGTTACATCTCTATCCTAGTGCCGGCGGCTAGTATGATATATAGGGGTTCCATAAAGTATTAATAGACACGCATCGGCAAATCAGAGTCCACAGACCAACATGACACTCCATAGGAAATTAGTATAATTGTTGTACAAGGGATCTTATGAGTCCAAAGCTACTTTCAAGCTGCCCTCTTAGCGGACTATGATCACCGTCCAAATAATGTGTTCAAATGCCATATACATTCTACAAGAGGTCATTATCCACAATTTCACTAAAAATCCGAGTTCAAAGGAGCCCATCTGTTAATTGTAGTAAGGTTAGAATGATGCACTCCTGATACAGTTTGTGTGTGACATAAATAGACCCTAAGCGCCCTTATGGCACCTAGGTGCCTTTAGAGATACACTTGTTTCTCCACTTCCCAATTCTCCTCACCACCGCTATGACTGACCCATAGCTAGGGAATTCTCCACATTATAGAGGCACTCAGAATGGTGTTCAAACAAGAGAATTGTTAGTTGTTACTTTAATCAGGTCTTTCTCAAGACATTGGATGAATTGGGGGGACGCTTGGCAGCTGGGGCCAGAATCATATCACGTGACGAGTATGTTAGTCATCCAGCTAGCGCGACTTCGTTGGCGTCGTGCATTTTGCATCCATCGCAGGACCTCAGCGCGACAGCTTTCCATCATCGATGCTGCCGTTCCAACGGTCCCTGATCCGAATGTAGCTGCTGCTACGAATCCTGTCCGATCATACAGTCATTCTGGACCTGACTTCCCACCCCCACCATGTCTGATGGTAAGCGGCCCTCGACGTCTCCCACTGACCTGATGCTAATCACTCCTGCAGCCGATATTGAAGCTGTTCGGCGGCTTCAAGCCGAGCGCAATGCTGCTGCTGCTGCCAAAAAAGGTTCAAGGACCTTTGACTCATCTAGCCAGCGCACTGACAACTCGACTAAGGCCTCCCTGACTGAATCCTTCGACACGACTTTGTTCGATCGGAACGGATCTGACAAGTTCGCTGGCTACGATACATCTATTGCAGTGAATGGCGATGATGACGAAGATATGGAAGATGCGAATGGCGGCCATCGCTTGGTCGGCCAGTACACTGCAACCAGAAGCCAGATCGATGAGATGGCCCACGGAAACGGAGTGGAGGAAGAGGACATCTTACTTGGCCGTGAGAAGGCTGCTCGTATTTCTGATCGAGAATCTGACTACCAGAAGCGCCGGTTCAACCGCGGCCCTCTCACACCCACTCGCGCCGATCCCTTCGCTGCCAACGCCGACGCAAATATGGAGGAGGGAGATGGTCAGACCTACCGAGAGGTTATGGCCCTCCATGAACTCGAAAAGGAAGAGGAGCGTATTAATAAGCTGATCGCCGAAAAGCGAGAGCAGGGCGAAAACGTTGCGATCCCAGAACACGAAGCCACATTGAAGATTGCCGAGCAGGCCGATTCCGGTGCCGCCGTTGAAGCAGCTGGCAGGAAGCGAAAGAAGCGTTGGGACGTGGATACAGAGGAGAATGGAGCAGACGAAGAGGCCAAGCCCGTGGAGACGCAGACAAAGCGATCCCGATGGGATGAGACTCCCGCTCCCGAGGTGTCCGTAGAACCCAAGCGTCCATCGAGGTGGGATCTAGCACCTGCAGCCACCCCTATTGGCAACCAAGGGCTTGCCACTCCTATGCACCCGTCCCAAGGAGGTGCAGCCGTGGCACCTGGCTTCGGGACCGATTTGGCTGTCCGACCTGGAGATTGGACTGATGAGGAGCTCGACATGATGCTACCTTCTGAGGGGTATAAGATTCTGGAGCCTCCTCCAGGATACGCCCCAATCCGAAATCCTGCACGCAAAATGATGGCGACTCCAGCCCCTTTGGCTGGTGCTACCGGTGTTGGTGGATTTATGATGCAAGAACCCGAGAGCGCTCGGTCTCTGGGCAAGGAGCTTCCAACAGATATCCCCGGTGTTGGCGACTTGCAGTTCTTCAAGCCGGAGGATATGGCCTACTTCGGAAAGCTCATGGAGGCTGGAGATGAAAGCACCATGACTGTCGAGGAAATGAAAGAGCGCAAGATTATGAGGTTGTTGCTTAAAGTCAAGAACGGCACACCTCCAATGCGAAAGACAGCATTGCGTCAGCTTACGGACAATGCGCGGAACTTTGGAGCCGGTGCTCTTTTCAACCAGATTCTTCCTTTGCTCATGGAGAAGTCCTTGGAGGACCAAGAACGTCACTTGCTGGTCAAGGTCATTGATCGAGTTCTCTACAAGCTAGACGACTTGGTTCGTCCCTACGTCCATAAAATCCTGGTCGTTATCGAGCCACTGCTCATCGATCAAGACTACTATGCTCGAGTAGAGGGTCGGGAAATTATCTCCAACCTTTCCAAGGCCGCTGGTCTCGCGACTATGATCAGTACGATGCGTCCCGATATTGATCACGTCGATGAGTATGTGCGAAACACCACAGCACGAGCGTTCGCGGTCGTGGCCTCCGCTCTGGGTATCCCAGCCCTTCTTCCATTCCTCCGCGCTGTCTGCCGCAGTAAAAAGTCTTGGCAGGCTCGTCACACTGGTGTGAAGATTGTCCAACAAATCCCCATTTTGATGGGATGCGCCATTCTTCCTCACCTCAAGGGTCTTGTCGACTGCATCGCAGACAATCTGAGCGATGAGCAGGCCAAGGTTCGAACTGTCACTGCTTTGGCCGTGGCTGCTTTGGCTGAAGCCGCCAACCCCTACGGTATCGAAAGTTTCGACGAGATCCTGAACCCTCTCTGGACCGGCGCTCGCAAACAGCGTGGCAAGGGTCTTGCCGCCTTCCTCAAGGCTGTTGGCTACATCATTCCACTTATGGACGAGGAGTACGCCAATTACTATACCAGTCAAATCATGGAGATTCTCTTACGAGAATTTTCGTCTCCAGATGAAGAAATGAAGAAGGTGGTGCTTAAGGTAGTCTCGCAGTGCTCTAGCACCGATGGTGTGACTGCCAACTATCTCAAGGAACACGTCTTGACCGATTTCTTCAAGAGTTTCTGGGTCCGGCGAATGGCACTGGATCGACGAAACTACCGCCAGGTCGTCGACACAACTGTCGACCTCGGCCAGAAAGTGGGTGTTGGCGAGATCCTCGAGCGAATCGTTAACAACTTGAAGGACGAAAGTGAGCCGTACCGTAAGATGACGGTGGAGACCATCGAGAAGCTAGTTGCTTCTCTCGGAGCTGCCGACATTTCGGAGCGGTTGGAAGAACGCCTTATTGATGGTGTCCTGTTTGCTTTCCAAGAGCAAAGCATTGAGGATATCGTCATCTTGAATGGCTTTGGTACTGTGGTTAACGCCCTCAGCACTCGATGCAAGCCATACCTCCCGCAGATCGTGTCTACCATTCTTTGGCGGTTGAACAACAAGTCCGCGACCGTTCGTCAGCAGGCGGCAGATCTGATCTCGCGCATTGCGATGGTCATGAAGCAGTGTGGCGAGGACGCTCTGATGGGCAAGCTGGGCATCGTTCTATACGAGTACTTGGGTGAAGAATATCCCGAGGTGTTGGGCTCGATTTTGGGCGCCCTGCGGTCCATTGTGACTGTGGTCGGTATCAACCAGATGCAGCCGCCCATTCGAGATCTACTACCCCGTCTCACTCCTATCTTGCGTAACCGTCACGAGAAGGTGCAGGAGAACACCATCGACCTTGTCGGTCGTATCGCAGATCGTGGCCCCGAGTCGGTCAATGCTCGTGAGTGGATGCGTATCTGCTTCGAGCTGCTGGATATGCTCAAGGCTCACAAGAAGGGTATTCGTCGCGCAGCCAACAACACTTTTGGCTTCATTGCAAAGGCCATTGGTCCTCAGGATGTCTTGGCCACCCTCCTAAACAACTTGCGTGTGCAGGAACGTCAGTCTCGTGTTTGCACGGCTGTCGCCATTGGTATTGTCGCTGAAACTTGCGCTCCCTTCACTGTGCTGCCAGCCTTGATGAACGAGTACCGCGTTCCTGAGCTTAACGTCCAGAACGGTGTTCTCAAGGCCATGTCCTTCCTGTTTGAATACATTGGTGAGATGGCCAAGGATTACGTTTACGCCGTCACTCCCCTGCTCGAGGATGCTCTCATCGACCGTGATCAGGTTCACCGGCAGACTGCAGCGAGCGTGGTCAAGCACATTGCGCTGGGGGTTGTCGGTCTTGGCTGCGAGGATGCCATGGTCCATCTCCTTAACCTCGTGTTCCCCAATATCTTTGAAACCAGCCCTCACGTCATTGACCGGATCATCGAAGCCATCGACGCTATTCGCATGGCCGTTGGAACAGGCACTGTCATGAACTATGTCTGGGCAGGCTTGTTCCACCCAGCTCGAAAGGTACGCACGCCTTACTGGCGCCTTTACAATGACGCTTATGTCCAGGGTGCGGACGCGATGGTTCCCTACTATCCGGATATGAAGGCCGATGGTTTGGATCGTTCAGAGCTTGATATCATCGTTTGAACACGATTCTGTAATTCTGAATCTGCTTTCTTCTCTCCATGCATAAGTATCTGACTTTATTGGGACAACCCTTTTGTGTTTTACAAGCCGGCGCTATTTGCCTTTTGACTTTTTTCTTCGTTCCATTCTTCATGCAGGGACGAGCGGACGTTTGGCGTGGTTACTGTATATCAAGATTTCAAAAGTCGCTAGGTACTAGGAAATTTTCTTTCAATTCAAAATGAATTTGAATCACCCAATAGAATGGCTTTTAATCTATCCAGAAACAAAACCCATGCTTTCACAAGTGTATGTTATCTCACTCCAGTCTACTCCGTAGAACTGGCAGCGATTGTCGCACCATCCATGTCCATGACGAGACGGAGACCAAGGGCGAGCGCCACCAACAATAACCACAATCTGACTTCAATTTCGTTCAATAGTACAAGCCCAGATGCGGTGAAATTCCTCTGGTGGAATTAAAATCATATAAATGGTCAGCAAAAGTAATATAGCCCGAAGTGGGCCTGTCAATTCTATAGTTGCAGTGAGAAATAGATTAATTGATCGGGATGGCGCACTATCAGATTTCAATAAATTAATCCTGGGGGCGCCCGCTGGTCGCATCTATGTCTCAAAAATCTGTCCACGATCCCCCCCAAAAGAAGGCGCTTTTAGGCACCAGGAACGCCCCCAAGTCGATCACAGCGCCTCCGATCCCCCAGATCCCTGGGAACCATCGTGGCCAAGCTTAGTGACAGGGGGCAATTGGGTAGTGATCGCTCTCCGACGTTGTCAGTCACTGTCAATCACTGTCAATCACGACTATCTTCTTCCTGTCCTGGGTGACAGAGTCTGGGGTTGGCTTCTGCAGAGACAGATGTCTGGAAAATATCGAAGCATATATCAACGTTGTACTATAGCTCGTGGTAAGAGATAGAGAGAGTTGTCATGTTCAGGTAGAAAATCCATCTAATGACGGGGGGATCCTACAACCCCCTTTTTCCACTGTCATCATAGTGCCTGACCTTTTGCCACACTCAGGTACGCAAATAATAGAATCCAGCGCAAAAAACGTAATGAACCATAACAAGGTAACGGGGGACAAGAACTGAGGAAAGGAAATTAGAATTTACTACTCGTCCAGAACCGGGAAACGATGAAACTCCATAGCATGTATTTTTGGCTTTATTTTCCACTGACAAGCAAGGTTTTTTGGGGGGTTTCCTATCCACCACATAACTCGAGAAAAAACAGGCAGGGACAAGAGGAGTAACCGCATCGTCCAAGCAGCGCATTGCTAGCCACTACTCCATACATACGGAGCACTGTGCACACACTCACACAGACAGAGAGAGAGGGAGAGGGATCGAGGGATGGAGCATCAACCCAAGTTACCCACTCAATCGCGGTGCCAAGAAGCGCCAAATGCCTAAGCTTGCCCTGGGAAGGGCTTGGCGCAGGATGTGGCCACGTAAGCTCTCCATCGAAGGGACGTCAGACTTGCTTCTTTTTTGCTGTGGGGAATCTGGTAAAATGGTAATCTCCCAAAAATCTTCCCTGGATACTCCATCTGACCAATGGTAAGTGGGGCTACATTGCAGGTAAGAAGAGGTCAAAGTCAGGGACCCGACGTTTGGAGTGTGCAGTGCTTTAGAGTCATTTTTTTCGATGTTGAATTTTAGCTGCTGAAAGGCTTGGAAGAAAGAGTGTCATTGGATCATTTACGTCAACTTTTTAGTGCTGCATAAAGTATATGATGATGCTTTTGTCGTAGTATTATCAAGCGGGTGATTCTTCCATCGAAACAGAGATATAGTCGTATGTCCAATCTACCAGCTGTTGTCGGAGAGTATGGAGTACTTGACGTAGAAACAAAGTCGAAAATAAAATCAAAATAAAGGGATTCTTGGTCCCTGGTTCCCGGGGATCAGAGTATGTCGAATCCACGCGCAACGGGCTACACAGCCTCCCCCTGAATTCACAGTTCCCAATCACAAGGCTCTTGCTGAACCGGAGAATGGAGATGGTGAGCACTGTTCGGTTCCAGGTGCACCTCGAACGAGCTTGGTAAATGGCAAAAAACTGTAGTCTAGTCTTGACAGAGTAGTTTTGACGGAGAGCACACCACTGCACACACAGACCCTGAGATAAGGGCGGCACTCGTTACACAAGCGATTTTATGACTGGATGAATGGGATGGTTGCCCCCATCTTTCCCACAATCATGGCGCTGTGGCTTACGCCCCTTTTCACTTAGTGTGCTTATATCTCTACAGCTTACCTAGTCTGGTAGAGTGGATTTTCAGGGTCCAATGTTCCGTTGATAGGGGCATGCTGGGGATCAGAGCTTAGAGTTTGGGACTTTGGTTTTTTTTTTTTTTCCCTTTCATTTGAATTTGGCTTTATACTTCTGCTAGACAGGCACGGTAGTTCTTGGGTCGGTGGCGGACACGGCTGAGAAGTGGCTCCTTGGTTGAACCGACTCCAACACATCTTGAGCCTTTCGCTGACTCGCTGCCAGGATAATGGATCCAAGTTGAGAGGGTGATACAGAAGATCCCCTCTCAGAGATCGTGGAGGCGTTGGTGGCACATGCAGGGAATGAACGCCCGAGATGGGGAATGGGTGGATGGTGGCAGCAAACTCCACTCGAATAAAGAAACGCCAGCTTTGTGTTGGACGTGCTGCCTTTTTCCGTTCAAATGTTCATATGGTTTTGGCGAGGGAGTTTGACGATTATACTGGCTTTCGATTTTTCTTGCACGCAGAGCGTTACAAAAAGGCACTTTAGACCATTGTAAACAGATGCAAAGAGATCCGTTCAACATGCGGCGAACAGGATGGGGGTGAATGTCGCGTGTTGCCTGATTGGTACTCGATTGGTATACACATTCAGTACATAATCGTAGCGGCCTATCAGGATCGTGCATGAGAGATGTACCTGTCAAGCATGCGGGAAACCGCGGATTCATGTGAGAAGCTCGGAGGGGAAATCTGGCGCGCAGAGCCAATCATGCCATTGCCTCAGGTCGGATTGCGTGAGAGACAGGGATCATGGCTGTTGGGGAGAATAGTTGCGCTTTGGATGATTGGAGAGGATTGGGACCAAGTCAACATGCTGCAATGCAGCGCACACCACCGAGCTCCAGCATACAGGTTGTCATCAGTACTAAGGTGCCACTGGGCGACGCGCGCAAAAACATAAGTTCATGCCGGTACTGTGTATGTACTCGGTACTCTATCCACACACAGAACATGTGCTGTTCTTGGTGCTGGCGTGACACAGTTATTACATAGTTTAGCATAGCATAGCCTTTTCGCAAGGGACTTGAGACCCTGCAGCGAGTGCACAAACCATGAGAGAGGAGCATCTATACATCAATGCGCTTGTCCAGTCTCGAGTGCTTTCCGTCAATTTAGAGGCGAGGGGGAAGTGCCTGTGCGAGCTTGATCCGATCGAAACTAAGAGAGAGATTATTGATGTTGGTAAGGGACGAGTGGAGGGGGGAAGAGGAACGAGCATAAAATTTTGGCATTTCAGATTGTTAGTTCGGGTTGACCCGTTGGACAGCGCACACCGTAAGTTCTCCGAAGTATGGATTCCTTCGTACATAACAAACTAGTAGTTGGCGTGCGGAGAAAAGGCGTACGGGAAACCTTCCAACAGGAACGGGGGAGATGGCACTCAACCCTGGTGGCGGGGTCATCCAGCAGCCACCACAAAAGCCATCTCATCGTTCTTGGAAAAAACTATCCGGAGCTATACGGCAGGGCTCCAGAAGGCGCGATGAACATCGCGACTAGCAACTAATGTGTTAAGTCGCGAGCTAGTCTAGTCCTCAACCTCCGAGGGACTCCGCTGAATAAACCGGCTCGTCACGAAGTCACGAAGTCACGAAGACAAGGGAAATTGCACTTCGTCTTTGCCCCAGTGGAAATGGAGACTGGCTTGCCGGAAGGAGTATGGCCTGCTCGAACCGTGTGTTCAAGAGGAGTTAGATAATGGCTCATGATGGCAGGGATTGTTTCGGAGGAATATAAATCCAGTTCAATAATATTGTCAGCTCGAATAGGGAAACAAAAATTCCTGGAAACAACCCCTAACAGAGCCAAGGACAAGTTACTTAGAATAGTTAGATGTAAAGAGAGTAGTAACAATGGCCAATGACTTGATCTCGAACGGTTCGGGGTGGAAATGTATCTCCAGTACCCAAATCAACACGGTTGGCCAGTCACGTCACAAGGCTTGACCAAAAAAGGTGGATCACCTTTGTTCAGGACAGACAGGAGTTCAAGGCTATCGAGTCATCGACCGACAACCAGAGACAAAAAGACTCGATCCATCCTTCAAGATGCACCGGGCGTTTCAGGTTGGCCTTTAGCGTTGACCCTGAAGGTGGCAGTGTTTTTAGCGGCGATTGTGGGCCTCACCAGGATCGCACGCAGGGATCTTCTTACTAGCTCCGTATGTATTGTACTACTCCGTAATAGGCTTTTAGGGCCCTAGCGCCTGAGGGACTAACGCCAACGGGCTTTTGCGGGGATCCAGGGCCGGGTTGGAAAAGGGTGAGGGAGGGCGACTAGCGCGGTGCCAATCACGTCATAGGCTTGTTGCCAAGGTTGGGCTTGAGGATTCACTGGTTGTTGATTGATTTACTTTTACTTAGTTGATAATTAGTTCCAACTTTCTCTGTAGAGTCTTTGTCAGCATCAGTGCCATAGTTAACTAGTTAACTAACTAGTTAGTTACTCACATTAACTTCCATAGTTATCTACGGAGTACATCATCTATATACAAGAGCGAAATTTCGACTGATTAAAAATAGATTGATTTAGATATTTGCATCTGAATGACAATCTACGGTACAGCAGTTTTGAATAAAACTCTATTACCGCCATTCCTATGGAAACACAAAGCTTTTGTGACTGGATCAACCCCCAACATACCCAAGCTTGCAACTTCACTTTCCCCTAGGATGTACCTAATACTACTGTACTTCCTCGTCTACCAGTAACGAC